AACGACAATGGGGGTTAGTGGATTGCTGAACAAGCTAAAAGATATCATATCGCAGAAGGTACAGAAGGACAATCACACTCACCATCGTAACAGCAGGAATGATTTGTTTGAGGGGTCTGGGAGAGACACCGGCTCTGACTCCGAGTCAGAGTCATGATGCGAGATGATACTCGTGCTGTATCAGCATGTACATTCTCATTCGTAGTGACAGAATGTACGTACAAGTACGGTATGTCAATCATCGAAAGTCGCCATCAAACTCATAATACAAGCTCATTGGTCGGCACAATGTGAGGGACATGTCCTCACTTCCGAAGTTCACATACCAGAAATGCATTTCAAATATTGACCATCTCGTCCAGAAAAAAGTTGTAGTGCGATTCCGTCATCTCGCGCGTTATGGATTGAAACTTCCAAACCAGACGTTCGCCTGCTCAGCAGCTGAAGAGTCAAACATCCACTGGTTGTGCTCATCGTAAAGCTCAGGGAAACCTGCTGGATTGCAGTGCATCTGACAGAAAGCATCGGAGTCCTTGTGCTTGTTGATAGCGTGAAAGACATCAACAGGAAATCCTATTGTGTCCAGTCGATGCTCACCAGCGGCAATCAGGTGCCGTAGCAGGCAGCAGTTGTTATCGAAGAAGAGATAGGATGGACAAGCACAGGAGAAGCGAGCTGGAAAAGTGGCAAGAATAAAATTCTGGATCATATTAGAGTGCCACACAAGCGTAAGGTTGGCATTCCACTCACCGTGGCATTGACAAGAGACTCTGCATGGAAAAATGTCACTCGTGATATAATAATTCCACAGCATCGTACCATGAGTTGCTCGTTATGTGTCCACTTGCGCGTCAAGGACGTCTTGAGCCTTGGAGGTGAGGACAGACCTCCGATCGCTGGACCCACTTGCATAGATGATGCAATATTTGCTGACACATCAGATACAATGAGACTTGAGCCTTCAATAAAAGTCTCTGTCTCCGGCACCTCCAATGGCATGGCAGATGTGTCAGCCATTGTAAGCTCATCAAGGTAGCCAGCCACATTTCTCGGCTCTGCCAACTCAGCAATGCCAGAATGTCGGGCTAGTCTGGCTTTGAGTCAGAAGATTGCCTTTCCCTGCTCGCATCGACACAATTCTATGCCGCGATGAACGGGATTCTTGCAAGTGCAAAAGCCTTGACATGTGTTTGCACTGCAGCCATGTATCGCGCATCGCATATGCAAATTGGCATGAATGGGACAGAAGCGATCACGTGGTGATGCCAGCGACTCAATGCAGTCAGCTACATTGCACCTTGGATGACTGACAGTGACACCATCCATCACACATGCAGTGATACGAGCTACATTGCATGTGGCAGAATTAATCAGGCAAGAGAGAATCATAGTAAACAAAGAGACGTACACCAGGAGCCATCATGCTCGACAATCACCTTTGCACAATCTCTGCATGCATGTGCCCACTGCTCCTGCCCTGTTCCAGCCACACACAAGTTTTGTTCAAGCAATCGAGCATTTAGATGATCTTTATGGCTTCCACAGTGAGGTAGTACCAGTCCCACAGATTGTCGTATGCAGTCTCGCAGTAAGGCATAGAGATAGAATGTGTTCCAGACGGTCTCCGAACTCAAACAATCGTCATCATGCTGAGTGTTAATCGACAGGTTGTATATTCTCGCAATGGCTTCACCTGATGCACTGCATACAATCGACAAAAGAATGAGACCATGCAAACACTCGTGGCTTGAGTAGAGAATGACATACTGAGAAAATGCCATTTGTGTTGCAAAAAGCTGTGCGAGTTCACTTTCTACGTAGCAATGTTCTGCCACTTCAAGATAGCGAGGCATGCAAGATAAATAGTGTCTGCATGAGTCATTCCATTCAGTGCAACAGACCGAGTAGTTAGGCCGATAGGTTGTCTTGCATTCTGGAAGAGATGTGATATAACATCATGCGCAGAAATATAATGCCATGTATTGCTTACCACGACAATACAGCATGATGATCTGTGCAGGCAAGATGCCTCAGTGCAGGATATAAAGACGAGCCATATACTCCTTATGCTCGGCATGCAATTTATGGCTGAATTTCTTGCACGAGTGATTGACACACTCCCATTTGTCGGTAATGATGATTTCTGCACCTGCATGCCATAATTCAGACATCCTAAACCACTGCAAATCAATCATAATGAGAGTGACCAAGTTTATATTGGGGACCCTGTTCACATAGTAAGTGATCTAAATCCGCCAGTAAGTCCGAACCAGTGGCAACTTCATTCTCCTGAAGGATAAGACCATGGATTGCGAGCCAAATTGCCTGCACGTTTTCTGCAGGAATGTGCGTGAACAGGCTTATCAGATCATGTATGCTGTCCAGCAGTGATGTGGTTTGCAGCGTGGCAGGGGCACAGATTAATGGGGATTTTAGAACGATTACAGGTAATAATCGTGTGCAGAGGGCTGTGAATTGTTGCAGCTGCCGTTGTGTTAAGTTATCATAGAAAGGCAACCTCCAAAGTCTGTCTGATAGATCACAGAGGAGCATGGCAAGACGTTCAACATGAAACGACAATCGACAATCATGAATGGATGCTAGGCCTTGAAATAAGGCGTACCCACGTTATCGTATCATAATCGTCTCGAATCAATATGATTCGACCTTGACACTATGCGACGCGTGAACGCCATGGGATTACACATGAATCATTCAGGTACGAAGCCATACCGACATCACCATTTGCATTTGTTAGCCCACCAGTGCTACCTTGAATGAATCAGCATATGAGAGAATGAGAGATATCATCATACCACTAGCTCTTCGCCTGTTCTGATATGATAGGCGATGTCGGCGCTGTGCGAATGCTACCCTCCTACATCACGTGAACGCTGCAGAACTGCATACAAGCCACTCAGATACGAAGCCATACCAACCTCGCCCTTTGCATTCTTTAGCCTACTGGTGCTATCCTGAATGATTCAGCACATCATAGAACGAGAAATATCTCATACCTGGCTTGTCTCCCACCCTTGAAGAACATCCATCTTGCAACTCTTGAATGATGGACATGCCGACGCAGTGAGATTCAGTGCGAATGCTACCCAGCTGTACATCACATGAACACTGCAGGATTGCACACAAATCATTCAGGTACAGAGCCATACTGATCCAACCCGCATATGCGATGACCACCCATAAGTCGCAGGGTCAAACATTGCAACATGTATTGGTGGACCTGCAAAGTTGTCACAGAACTGAAGCTCCATATGTGATGGTATCGAGGGTCACTTCCCTTCGTGGGCTGCTTATATTACGTTCATTCAATGGCAACATTATCAGCTGTCATCAATCTTAGGATATGCGAAAGGAAAATGCACGACTACGCTCGATCGTCATTCATACTGTTATTTCGCATGGTACCGATGACGAGTGCCACAAAGCTACATGCGAGCTTCAGCGGCAGCACACATTAAGCTCTCCTGCAAGCCACTGTCCCATTCCATGTTCCACGACAGAGCAGATAGCCATGCTGCACGTCTCTCAGAGAGCTTCATTGACTGGACCGGCCTTATCTTCTGCAACTACGTGGATATCAAAGAACACACGAAAGTGCACCGCAGCTATATTGTCATCTGAAACTGTTGACTACGGTGAGCTCTCGACATTGACGTGCATATGCTGTCATGAACTTACATACGAGCATGGATGCTGCTACTACCAGGCTCGGTACAGAAATGGCTCGACATCTCATCCGCCCACTGCTTAACCTCACCCATCCTGGCTTCTCTCTCTCTCGCATGCTACCGTTCACTTGAACCTTGCATCAATCCACTGCTTAACCTCACCCATCCTGGCTCGTCACTTTCTGACATGCTACTGTGAACTCGAAGCCTGCAACCATGAACTGTCGCTGACCACTGGCTCCTCCCCACACCTACCCTCCCTTGTTCTGACCATGCCCACCATGTGACTCACTTCACAACTGTAAGTGCAGCTGCTGTTACCCATTACATTCTTCACACGTCTGACATTATCGCATAATGTACTCACTGCACTTCCACAGATGGCTCCACACTGGAATAAAAGTATATGTCACCTAGAGGACTGCTGTTGCCGTTCAAGTGCTTGCAAAATGTTGATCACGTCAAACACTGTTTCCGACTCCGTAAACATTGCAGATGGACCTCTGAAAGTACAGAAGCATGCCCTCCGGGTTCCAGGGTCAGATCCACGCTCGAGCATGCTACCTGTCTTCAGAGGAATACTGCACATTGAGCTCGATGACTCCATACTGACGGCACCATTTGCATCTGTTAGCCCACTAGTGCTATCTTGAATGGATTAGCATATGAGAGAATGAGAGATAACCACTAGCTCATTGCCTGTCCTGATATGATAGGCAATGTCAGTGCTGTGCAAATGCTACCCTCCTGCATCACGTGAACGCTGCGGGATTGCATATGATCCACTCAGGTACGAAGCCAATCTGACGTCGCCCTTTGCATTTGTTAGCCTACTGGTGTTATCCTGAATGATTCAGCACATCATTGAATGAGAAATATCATCATACCTGGCTTATCGCCCATCCTTGAAAACCATCAAGCTTGCAACTCTTGAACGACGGACGTGCCAGCACTGTGCAAACACTACCTGCCTGTACATCGTGTGAACGCTGCAGGATTGCACATGAACCACTCATGTACGAAGTCATACCGATGTCGCCCTTTGCACTGGTTGGTCTACAGGTGCCATCATGAATGATTCCACATATGAGAGTGAAAGATGTCAAGACGGTGTCCTGTCTTCGAAGGCATCCATAAGATAGCGATGCCGGCACTGTGTGAATGGTCCCCGCTTATACATCATTATCAAGATGGTCACCTGCCTTCGAAGACATCCATAAAATAGTGATGCCAGTGTTGTGCGAATGCTACCCGCTTGTACACCATATGAACACTGCGGGATTGCACACGAATTGCTCATGTATGAAGCCATACGGATGTCACCGACATCGCCATTTGCACGTTAGCCTATGGGTACCATCGTGAATGATTCTGCCTATGAGAGAGTGAAAGATACCATCATTCCGCTTAATCCTCAAAGACTCACGACTCACGATAAGGACTCCAGCACTGTGCGAACACTACCGGCTTGCACATGAATAAAGGGCATATCATCTGCCTATGGGCACTAATGTGAACAATTCAGCACTGTGTATGAGGGAATGAAATGGCGCCGTACCTCTGGTAATGGTGCGAATGCTACCGGCTTGAACGCAAATTGTTCATGATTCATACTGAACAGGGGTCATACCCACATGGCCATCTGCACATGTTAGCCTACGTCAAACACCGTTGGCCCATCCTGCACAAAAAGGCAGCCAACTGCCATGAGTCATCACTGGGCGAGGTGAGGCCAGGTCCGTTGGGCATATTGGACCATCGATTAGCACGACGGCGTAGCAATGTGCTCAGGTGGGCTCTACGTAGTATCATGCTGCCTGCAGCGATGCGCTGGCGATGTGTGGACTCTGGTCAAAGTAATCACATGTGCACGTCTAGGTGACTTACACCATCTCAGTGATTAGTCAGAACTCCTGTATGTGTGCGCACGTAAAAATAATAAAATACATAGCGATTCCGGGACTCTGTGTTGCACTGCACACTGCGAGCTTGCACGCGAACCATTCACGAGCAGTGCTGCATACTGCAGCTTGTATGCGAACCATTCACGAGAAGTGCTGCACAATGTGTGCTTGCACGGAACCATTCACGAAAAGTGCTATACAGTGTGGGCTTGCACGCAATGATTCACAAGAAGCACTGCACACTGCAGACGCTGCAGGCCACCGGGGTTCTGGACAATTCACGAATGTCCATGTACCATACCCGATCATCACATGGGTGCCTAAGGATCTGGCATCATCCAGCGGATCCAGCGGATGGTTCCCCATAGGTCTGACCTTCATGCGGCACACGTCTGCCCTGAAGTGATCACTCCACCAGTTCATCATTATCTCGTGATGACCTCCTTGGCTCCTACCGTCTCTCTCGTATATGGTAGGGCCAGTACCGGCAGCACCCGCTATGATGAGCACATCATGCGCAGCACATTTGTGGTCTATCGAATTATGTGACCAGCGAACATATTACGTACACATAGAGTGAAGCGCTATGTAGGTTGGTAGTTGAGGTTAAAGTACGAGGACACAAAATGTATTCACAGTGATGGACAGGGTAATGTCGTTGCATAGTAAGAAAATGTAACAGGATGACGTGCACAATGCTATAGATGTCAAATGAGGTACGCGACATTGGGCACTTGGACGAGCATGAATTGCAGCGTGACAATGTCGGATGTCTTCAGAAATTCGTGACGATATTTCCGCAGTGAAGTCTGTGGGAATTACAGTCACACGCGTGCATCGAACATGTCATCGAACAACTCGTCAGCAACAGTGGTGAAAGTGAACAGGTCTGTGATTGGTGAATAACAACAGTGGACGAATGGGGATCATACCTTTTAATGATGCACATAGCATATGAGCCATGGCCTTACGGTCGATCGTTTGCAGTAGATCGATTGTCAGTTCAAACCAATCTGGTCGGGATGGTGGAGGAGTGTAGAAAATGATACCAATGACAACAATTTTGAGAGGGGAACTGAGGCAGAGTGTTCGACTCCAGATGGTGGCTTTTGGAAGACGTGTCCATGTTGCATGAGTGGGAATGGTGCTAGCACTGTAACAGAACGTCTCGGGATCGGAATAGGTGCACAGTGCCTTAAGCGTACTTTGGAGAGCGAGCGTGGTAGTGATTCAGCATTTAATTGAAAATGTGTTGTACTCACCTCCTGATCTGTTGGTCTGCAGAATACAGAGACAAAATAAAGCCACTGGACATACCCAGAATTCTCGTTTCTTATATTCTTGATAGGAACCGGTATCTTTTATGTTCGCTGCATATCTTTTCTTCTCTTCACCTCCCGCATCAGTCTTAGCACCTTCTCTTCCTCATGGTCACAAGCATGCGGAGACCCTTGAACTTCGATATGTTTGCAAACACGAGCAACGGCGTCACAAGAGACAGGTGTGAAGTCAGATGCAACGGACTGAAAATTCTGCTGCTTACATTTAAGGCAGGAATGAATCAAGACTGTTTGGCACTGAACTGCACGCAAAGCGAAGCAGAAACCAGGCTCCTCCACAGCCTTTCTTCGGAAGTTAAGAGGGGCCTTCATACTAAGGGTAGGATTTTGTGCCACATCTGCTGCCACACCTCAGCCACATTTTCATACTCCGAATCAATTCAAACTCCACAATCTTAATCACCCCCATACGACGGCTGCAAGAAAACATCTGTAAACAGCGGAGCCCGGGAGTGAGTTTCCCCAATCAGGCAGTCCCATTTATTATTATATAAGCGCCCTGTCTCGTATTTTCTTTGAATATGTTATGCTGTGGTGATGCTCATGGCCCCACCATCTTATTATTGCATGTGTTTCACCAAAATCATACATCTGTATCTGTACTCCATCTTCTGGGAACAGCAATGCTATCCAGATGTCAGTAACTTGCCTGAAGCTGTTAGAGCCATGGTAATGACATCCTTCTTGCCCTTCAGTAATTTTCATGCTACTTGTGCTTATCAGAGGCATGGATTGTCACTGAGCTTGGTGAAGATCTTCTTCCTGATCTCTTCTAGGGGCAGCAGTGCAGCATATTGTGGAGATATAGTGATCATAGAATCAGAATAAGGCACTTCAGCACCTGAATGAAACATATTTGCCACATTAACCCTAATCTAATTCTACAATTTCCGGCAAGCACCACTACTATATAGAGGAATATGATGCGATCACTCTGTTATTTACAGATGTTTTCTTGCAGCCGTCGTAGGGCGTTGGGGGCAATTAAGATTGTGGAGTTTCAAAACTGTGTGATCGCATCATGATCGAACACATGGTAGTGATCAAAACGTGGCACAAAATTCCACCCTTAGTATGAAGGCCTTAATGCCTGAAGAAAGGCTGTGGAGGAGCCTAAGCAGGAATGCGCAGCGGAATAGAACATTCATATCATCTCAGCCACAGTGGAGCGGTCCCGTGGAATGACATCATTTTTCACGTGCTGTTAAATTTTGGCAGAGAACCTGTTGAGCATGTCGACGCTAAGATCCACTACTGTCATAGCAGGAATTTTTTGTGTGCTCATCTCCACTCATGTCACGAATCGCTGTGCACGGATCCTATGCTGGGATTCCAGTATCTATCCATGTTGATGCTTCTTGGGAATGCTCGTGCATCTCATCTGACTTCGCCAATGTGCACAATATATGACCCCAATTGTCTTCTGGACCATCGTGGACCAGTTTTCACCCATGTCCAGGCAAAGGCGAAACAATACAATTACAAAGACACCTGTCACAGCACTGCTGGACGAGAGAACAAAGAGACTAAAAAGGAACGGTTACGTGAAACGTGCCACCCTAATCCCCCTGATCTCAATAATCTCCCTGAACCCTTATACGACTTGAGAGCCTAAGACTTACTTGGTGAAGCAAGTGGTTGGATGGGTGAGAGAGATATATGAAGGAGCTTGGAAAGCTCAGTGGGTGCTACTGTGGTAGACGAGGAGAAACAATCTGAAGTTTCGTCCTCTACAGGCTGGTCTTATATACATGTACAGCGGGCTATCTTACCTAAGCTACCTATCTACGGGTATAAGCAAATGGCTGTACATGAAACAATGGAATGTCCAGAAGTAGAACAATAAGTGAGAAGATCGATGGTTGCCGCAGCAATGTGTGTGAACATCGTGCCTATCTTGGTTTCTCTTTTGTTCTCCGGTGTGAACATCGTGCCTATCTAGGCTTCTGGCTAAACTAATAGGAAGCGGGAGGCTGATGCATAACAATAGTCCTTGTTCCCTTTGTTCCCAAATGGGTGCCTCTATTGTATCCTGGAATAGACAGGTCTGGCCATATCATCCGTGGGCCTGAACCATAACATGTGATGTGGACTATCACCTGATCTCTACGTGTCGTGTCTGTGGCTGAGTGGTGTGAGATATTGGTGAAGCACGTGATCTGTGGCATGAGAAAAGTCACGTGCGGACTTTGTGGTGAAAATCTGTGACACTACCCCCCTCTCAAGGCTCATTGTCCCGAGGAGCCAAAACCTTTATTTCCCCTTCTAGTTGCTCGCAACGGTTGGTAACTTCAGGAGGGAAGCCCTTCGGCATAATACTCGAAGATTATCTGGGCTATCCTGTCTCCCGGCTTGACCGAAAATACGAAATCCATTGTGTTAATCAGTACGACCTTGAGTTCTCCAGTGTAATCAGGGTCAACGACTCCTGCCCCCACATCAATTCCTCATGTGGCCAGTCCGCTGCATGGAGCTATTCGTGTATAGGTGTGTTTGGGAGGGTGAATTGCGACTTCTGTTTCTACCACAGCTCGTGAATGCGGAGGGATTTCGTGCATTTCTGCTGCATAAATATCCCATCCTGCTGCTTCATTTGAGGATTTTTTCGGTGATTTGGTGAGGTCTGTCATTTTATGATATAGAAAGAACTCATCTGGGTGGTCGGACATGTTGATTCTGTGTGTGGATATCGGTGCAACTTCGTATGAGGATAGTTCGAAGCGTTTTCCATCAAATGTAACAACCCTGATTGGTGCTTTGGCTGCATCTGGATGTTGTTGATGGAATTCTTGAAGAAGCTCGTCAGCGTTGGTGAGGTTTGTTCAGGGTTCCCATGTATTGTCGGAATGGTCATAGCCTTTCCATTTGATGAGGTATTGGACCCTTCCCCTCATGACCTTTGAGTCTAATATTTCTTCAACTTCGAATTCTGGTTCTCCTTCGATTTCTATGGCTGGGGGCTTTGAGGGTTCATGGTTTGCGACCGTGTCTTGATGATACATGATCAACTTGCTAGCATGGAAGACCGGGTGGACCTTCATTTGCTTGGGCAATTCCAGTTTGAATGTGACTGGGCCTAGCTTCTGAAGTACTTTGTAAGGTCCGAAGTTTTGTGTGCCTAGCTTCGCGGATTTGACTTTTACCCATAGGTCTTTTCCTTTGAGTAGTACTAGGTCTCCGACTTTGAATGGGACTTCTCCCTTTTTCTCGTCGAAGTACCATTTTATCCGTGAAGCCAAAACTTCCAATGCTGCCTTTGCCTGTTCTTGTGCCTCAGATCGGTGGGCGAATAAATGTTCCAATGAGGGATGACATATTGTTTCCTGTACGTCTGGTGCCATTTTTGGATGTCGGCCATATTCGACAAAGAATGGGGAAAGTGCAGTGGACTCATGGGTCTGGTTGTTGTATGAGAATTCTGCCGTTGGCAGGTAATAGACCCAATCATTCTGTCTGTGGTTGCAGTACATGCGAAGGTACTGTTCCAACACCTGGTTAATCCTTTCTGTCTGGCCATTTGTTTGGGGGTGATATGCTGTTGACATTGTTGACTTTATACCGAGCTTCTGGCAGAACTCCTGGAATAACTTGCTCACAAATTGAGTACCTCTGTCTGAGATAATCTGACGCGGCAGTCCATGGAGTTTGAAGACTTCATTATAGAATACATTAGCGACTTGTGATGAGGTGACTGTGTCATCCATTGCATAGAAGTGCGCTCGTTTCGTGAGTCTATCAATGACGACAAGTATTGCCATCTTCTTTTCTTCCCTAAAGTCCATGGCTGGGGGAAGTTGAGTGATGAGATTGACTGTGACGATCTCCCATGGTCCTCCTGGTACTCGTTGGGTTGTAGTAGTCTGTATGGTTTTTTCCTTGAGTACTTGTTGCGTTGACAACTGTCGCAACCTTGTATGTATTGTTTAACCATTATGGACATTTCTGGCCACCAATAATTCCGAGTAATGAGCTCCAACATTTTGGACCTGCCTGGGTGTCCAGCTGGTAAAGTGTCATGATGGAGCTTTATTAGGTCGAGGCGTAGCTGTTGATCTTTGGAGACATAAACCTTTCCGCGATGGAGCAGCAGTCCATGCTCAAAGTTCCATTCTGCGAGGTTTTTCCCAAATTTGTGCTGTCCTGTAGTCAAAAGCGCACAATAATCTTTGATCATCATGTCATCTGTGAGTGCCTTCTTGATCCTTTCCAGTAGTTGAGCATCATCAACTTCAGATGCGTGAGTGGGTCGAATCGCATTGATAGCGAAAAATTCAGCTTTTAACAGCATTTGATTTGAACTGTCACTGTCTACCCCCCTCTCATGATCTGGCCTCCTGGACAGAGGATCGGCATGTAGCATTGTCTTTCCAGGTCGGTGACTGAGTACAAAATTGAATCGTGTGAGGAATAATGCCCAACGCACTTGACGCCGGGATAACTTCTGTGCCTGGAGGAAGTATGTAAGGTTGAGATGGTCTGACCAAATCTCAATGGGTTCTGGGTGTCCTTCTAAGTAGTGCCGATATTCTTCTAGTGCCTGAATAATTGCAAGCATTTCCTTGTCGTAAATCTCATAGTTTCTCTCATGTTCGTTGAGTGACTTTGAGTAGTATGCAACTGGATGCCATAGCTTGTCTTCTCCCAGTTGTTCGAGTACTGCACCAGTTGCATAGTCTGAAGAATCGGTCTCCAGACGATATGGTGCAGTGTCATTGGGAAGCTGTAAGATCGGGGCTGAAGTGAACGCCATTTTGAGTGCACTGAAGGCCTGGTCTTGCTCTTTCTTCCATTGCCAGGGCACGTCCTTACAGGTGAGAAGCGTTAAAGGTCGTGCGAGTTTCACAAAGTCCTTTATAAATCACCTGTAGAAATTCACGAATCCTAAAAAGGCCTGTACTTGTTTGATCTTAGTAGGTGCGGGCCAGCCAAGTACACCTTCGACTTTAGCAGGGTCCATCTGTACTGAGTTCTTGCTGATGATCATGCCAAGATATTCGATTGAGGACTGTTCAAAAAAGCATTTTTCCGGTTTGGCATATAAGTCATTATCCTGGAGGCGCTGTAGAACTGCTTTTACTAGTCGTCGGTGTTCTTTGAGATCATCCGTAAAAATGAGGATGTCATCTAAGTAGACTACTACCTTTCCAGTATGAATTAAGTCTTCCAGAACCATATTCATCATTGTCTGGAAAGTGCTGGGAGCATTACAGAAACCGAAGTACATTACTGTGGGTTCGAAGAGGCCGCGATGCATGATGAAGGTGGCTTTTTCTTCGTCTCCTTCCCTAATCCTTATGTTATTGAACCCCCATCTCAGGTCGAGCTTAGTAAATATACTAGCATGTGAGAGTCTGTCGATGAGGTCCGAAATGTGGGGGATTGGGAACTTGTTCTTCTTTGTTACTGCATTGAGGTTCCTGTAGTCTTGAACTAGTTTCAGTGATCCGTCTTTCTTTTTGACGAAGAAGATGGGTGCTGCTGTTGGACTCCTTGATCTCTTAATGTACTCTTTGGCCAACTCTTGGTCTATCCACGTGTCGAGCAAATTTCTTTCCTGTAGGTTCATAGGATATAACTTTACCGGGCATGGTAATGATGCCTCTGGAACAAGTTCGATTGGATGATCATAGGGCTTTCTTGTGGGCATTCGTTCTGACTGCTTCTTGGAGAACACATCACCATACTCATGGAAGTGTTTGGGGACATAGGCTGACCAGTAGTCTTTGTCCTGTACTCCTTTTTGCAGCACTCTATCCTGATTCCTCTTGGTGTCAAGGCCCATAATGAGTGATGCTACAGCTTGTGCATCAGGGTCTTCTGATAATGACACCCATCTAATGAAACTGTCCATGTCGTTCCAGTTGTCACCTAACTCCTGAGAACTGACAAACTCCATCAGGTCTTCGATGTGGGGGATGTTTGTGTCTTCCAGGTCCTCCTCCTGGACTGCTACCTGTGAGGGTGCACATCTGTGTGGGCATTGGGTGAAATTGACTGTGAGTTTTCCCCAATCTACCTCTGGGTTATGCTTCTTGAGGAAACTCATGCTTAGTATAACGTCCTTGTGACCTATATCAGTAACCAGAAGACTTTGTCTACTCGTGTGGTTTCTGATAGTTATACTGAGAAGAACCCTTTTCTTAATGGTTCCACCCTTGTTGTGAGATGTGTCTGTGTTATAAACCCTGATCTCCTTCTCAAGTGAGATCGTAGCAAGGTTCAACTGATCAACCAGCCGTGAGTTGATATAACAAGAATATGCTCCTGAGTCGAGGAGTGCCTCAGTCTGGACTTCCCTTACTCCCTGTTTGAGGTGAACAGGTAGATCGATCGCATGTTTTGATGAACCAGTAGATGCAATATAAAGAAAACTTGATACTGGTACATGCGAGAGTGAGTAGGTACTATTACAGTGTCTATGGGAACTCTGGCCAGACCTCAGAGAACCTGCCAAAGAAAATCCTCATCATTCTCCACCTCTGTGACCCTAGCTGCTTCAACAGCTGGTTCCAGTTCTGCCTCCTTTTCTTTGTCCTTCGCATCGTAGCTGGCGATGAAAGCACAGACTGCTTCTTCTCTCGCCTTGCTGTCATTGGAGCTGTTTGATGATGCCATCATGGATATTGCCCTTGTTGCTTGCCCCCATTTTGGCATTTCGAATTTGCCTTTGTACTTAGGGTCTGGGCAGCGCTGTTTAAATACGAAGGGGTGTTTCTCACATTATATGCACAGCTTCCTTTCTAGCCATCCTTCCTGCTCCTTGGTGAGTGTGAATACTTAATCCACAACCATTGCGTTGGGGTCTTTCGGGGCCCGTGGTGTCTGTGATGATGTTACCGTTCCACGCTGTCCTGCCTTGTCAGCTCTGAACTTGGACTCAAGTTGGAGACAGAGGTTGAGGTACTCCGGCCATGTGGTCGGATCTGCGATTCCTAGACTGTCCCATATCACCATTGCTTGGCGCATGTTCTTGTCACGATGTTCAGCGATATAACCGATGAGTGCAGTGTGCCCCAAGTTGGTCTTGGTGGCCCATTGATGGAACTTTTCTGTGAAGGAGACCATAGTGGGGTAGGTCTTTGTGCAGATCTCCTTCAAGTGTTGCTGCGCATCCTTGTTCGGGTCGAGTGTCCTGTAGTTGACCTTGAGAACATCGATGAAGTCATTCATGTGCCGAGTGATTGCCGTGCCACTGCCTTGGTTGCGTATTCGGACATGTAGGTGAACACGCCACCTTCCAAGTGCAGTAGGGCCATGGTAATTTTGTGCTCGTCATCATTTATCTCGTTCCACTGCATCCATATGCCGAGTTGTTGGAGCCAATCCTCCAGACTTCCTTTGCCTGAGTAGTGTGAAGGCTCAGCAATTTTGATGCAGGGTTTGTGTGATTGAGTCATACCGGATGTGTAACCTTGTGTCGCTGTGACGCCGCTTGCTTTGAGCGAAGCTAGCTCATGCCACAGCTTGGCGTTTGCTGCCTTAATCTCCATCATCTCCTTCCTCATGTCTAGCATGGCTCCTTGTGTCCCTGTGAGGTCATCGTTGAGAACTGTCATGTGCGCATCTTGCACGAGGATCCTGTCCTTGAGTTTTCTGATTTCTGTTTGGAGGACTACCTCCTTTAACCGGTGCTCGCTCTTGTTGGTCTGGATGACAGCATTGAACGCTCTCTTGTGCTCGTACAGTTTGTTGCTGAGCATGTTGTAGACCTTTGCGACCTCCATGTGGACAGTGAGTTTCATTGCGACTATGACCCATTCACGGATGTGGTCCGGGACTTCTCCAGGAGTGGACTGCCTGAGCACATCTTCTAGATGCTCGAATTGGTGCCCATCAAACTCTCAGGTGGGAGAGACATATGCGGGTAAAAGTGATGGTGTCAGGGATGTGGGTCCTCTGACTTGTGATGCAGAATTCTGGGGTCCTAGCCCAGGTTCAGGTGAGTTGCACTGCAAGGCGTGTGGGGTACTTCCATTGTGTGCCGTTTGAATGTTAGGGTGGAGTATGTCATCCATTCTTTGTCTGAATGTGGACGCGTATGCTCGATCTGTTCCTTCCATTGTGACGTATATATGTAGACTAGTACAAAAAGTGCAAGTATCTCTTCTTTGAGATAAAGACCAGGGCTTTGGCGATTTCCTGCAGCCTCTCCTCTTTTTCTATCTGCTTGAAACTGATTCCACCTATCTCCAAACAGACCGTATTGATGACCTGCTTCTCGATGAACATGTAAGTGCATGTGCCTGTGTGAAGGTCAGCGCAGACTTTATTGAGTTCTGTGGTGAGGCTGTAAATGGGTCCTTGGTGCTCGTCCTTGAGACGATACGAGAATGCTCCTAGTATAGGTTGGAGCCTGAAGCGGGTAGCATCTACCTGCTTTGTAAGGATCTTGATGTGAATCATCAGCCTGACTCTAGATGGGAGTGGTCAGATGGAACGTGCGACAGTGTTGGTCTTTATAAAGTTCAGTAGTGGCCAAACTGGGATGGGAGCAATGATGGGAGGAGGGACTGCATTGGATGTGATGAGCTCTGGAGGAGGTGCCAGCTTGTGACTACCAGTAGTGAGGTGTCCTGGTCTAGGCTTGTAGCGTTCGAGTGGTGGGGTGCAATCGTGGGGCTTGCGGATAATTCTGCGCTTTATAATGTGCGTAGTATCGATGACCCGGGCTGCTGCACGCTGTCTGTCTGTGGATGAGGCACCTAGTGATGCAAGGGTAAGGAGCCTTCTGTGCTCCTTGTTGGTGTCTTGATGCTTATAGTGGGCATTGAGGTCGATCCTGGGTATGGCCTTGCACTTCAAAGCTTTGGGCAGCTCAGAGTCTTGCTGAGGCTCACGCCGGGTAGAGATCAGGTTGGAGTGTGTGTCAAAAAAGCCGGGCACTACGGCTGAAACTGCTTGTGCTGAAAATATGCAGCTGCTTGTGTTAGACACTAAGCAGGGGTGCAGAAAATTGTCAGATTGTTTCTAATGTCACAGCACCGCTGGACGAGAGAACAAAGAGACTAAAAAGGAACGGTCACGTGGAACGTGCTGCCCTGATCCCCCTGATCTCAATAATCCCCCTGAACCCTTATACAGCTTGAAAGCCTAAGACTTACTTGGTGAAGCAAGTGGTTGGATGGGTGAGAGAGATATATGAAGGAGCTTGGAAAGCTCAGTAGGTGCTACTGTGGTAGAGGAGGAGAAACAATCTGAAGTTTCGTTCTCTACAGGCTGGTCTTATATACATGTACAGTGGGCTATCTTACCTAAGCTACCTATCTACGGGTATAAGCAAATGGCCGTACATGAAACAATGGAATGTCCAGAAGTAGAACAATAAGTGGAAAGATCGATGGTTGCTGCAGCAACATGTGCGAACATCGTGCCTATCTTGGTTTTCCTTTTGTTCTCTGGTGTGAACATCGTGCCTATCTAGGCTTCTGGCTAAACTAATAGGAAGTGGGAGGCCGATGCATAACAATAGTCCTTGTTCCTTTTGTTCTCAAATGGGTGCCTCTATTGTATCCTGGAATAGACAGGTCCAGCCGTATCATCTGCGGGCCTGGACCATAACATGTGATGTGGACTATCACTTGATCTCTACGCGTGGTGTCTGTGGCTGAGTGGCATGAGATATTGGTGAAGCACGTGATCTGTGGTGTGAGAAAAGTCACGTGCAGACTTTGTGGTGAAAATCTGTGACAACACCGACGGAAACCTCATTCCTCCATGAGAGATCTGCAACAAGCTGCATCCTGGTACACTGGTCCTTATGAACATGACATTGCACTGCTGGGTCTACCGTGACACCCACCATGGCAAAAACAGTAAAGAGACCATTCACAAAGTGAATAAGGTAAGTGGGAACACGCTGCTTACCATCTCCCCTCTCCTAGTGATCATCTCTCACAGACTTACCAACATCTCGTGCACCACATCAAGGTCATCGACGGTTCTAACGAGCAACCTCACCCCCTCCTGTTCCTGGTAACATGCGCATTTTCGCCGCCGCTCCCAAGGCTGCTTCTGATGTGTTCAATAATTTCAACACCACTCCTTCTAAGCGTGCACACCACCACTGCATGGATATGACTGACTGAACATGCTCACTTTGCTATAATGCTCCTTGCCTTTCCCATTTTCTATTTATGCGTACTGTTACTGTTCATCTTCGTTTCTTTTCTCTCTAACGTATATACTCACCGTAACCATTTAATTCCTCTTCTCATAATCTATATGTTCCTTGTTCTTTCTAATCTGCATGCTTCTCTCACCTTACATCACTGTTCTTTATAATCGCTTCTCACAATTATCTCCTTCTCCTTGTGTAATACTACTCATTTTCCACCACCACTTCACCTGCAAGTGAACTTATCGTGCTTCCGAAATCGTTCCTTCCTGTAAGCGCCCGCACTGGCTAAATAACTGCACTCATCATAGCGGGCACTGCTGGCACCAGCCCTACCACCTTATATAATCATGGTGGAGCAACTGCCGAAGTTGACCCTACAGACTCGTGAGCTTCCCTCAATGGTGTTGGCCTGTTTTGAGCTCCGCTGATGCGTCCGCGGAGCTCCTGGCCTCGTGCTACTCCAACACTAATTTGGGGTCCGCTGTGTGGGTGTATGCGGGGGACGACTTTGGTGAGGGTTTGCTGCGAGCCGGTTTAGTAACTTGAAGCTACTGGCAATAGGGATGGGTAATGGGTTGGTAATGGACTGGGGTAGTGTGCAGGTGCGGCCAACAATCGCAAGATCAGCAAATGACGATGTGGGCAGCCAATATCGAGCCTTGGGAAAGGAACTAGGGTTGTGTGGGAAGAAAAGGCTGTATTTGGAAGGGGCTCCAAGTGTGGGACCGTCGGACTTGATCGCAAATGTGTTTTGATCGCAGCGAGGCAGAGTGGAGCTGATCGTATATGGGATGCTGATCGGAGGATGGCGGGGAAGCTCGGTTAAGTCCGATGTGTGAAGATTCTTGGGCCAACTACTATATTTGGGATGAAACCCATGGTCTAAGGCTAGAAATGGCCCGGAGCTGATCGAAAATGCGATATTGTCGCAAGAAGGCAGGTCGGACCTGATCGTATATGCATTTCTGATCAGAGGGCATCGGAGTGCTGGTGGCTAAGCCAATGAGAGCGAGGCCTCAGACAGGTTCTGAGGAGTCCTGGGAATGTAGGGCTGAAAGGGGTAACTGAGTGACATAGCATGGGAGTGTGATGGAATATCTTTGGTTGCTAGGTGGGCTGGGCCTGATGACATAATGATGATGAAGTGTGCTGTGATTGGTGCTGGAACTTAGCTGAAACTGCGAGAATGCACCTAGTGACCGTAGCTAAAGCAATAGAAAAGAGCTTCTGGCTGAGAGACGAAGTGCTGAGACGTAGGCTGTGGGCTAGGAGACTCGAGCTCCTCCCAATTTGATTGTTTTGGTATGTACATGTAGTAGGCTTATATACTGCCCTAGCAGGCCACCACCGAGAGTTTGCCTGCTTGGGTGATTAAACTAGATATGGTAAAAGAAAGACTGAAACGAGTAAGATATTAGCTGAAACTTGCAATATAATTGTGTTCCTGTTTGAGATACCGGACCAGACCATTAACACATATCAAAACACGTTTCACCCATGCTGACTTGGCTGGGCAGTCTTCGCGCATCTTTGCCATGATGGCGGTCCTTTGCCCCGGTCTTCTGGGTGCCTACTGCTGATGCTGTTGCTACTGCTAAGTCCACCAAGCCTTCTTGCGTTCAGAAGCATCGGCGTAGCTTCAGGATGGCCAAGCTTTCCCACAACGCTTCATTTCCACTGCCTCATGGTGAATGACTCTTGTGGTGGCAATAGCACGGACTGGCTCGTCGCCTTGCTGGCCTAACTTTGCCAAAATCGGGGTCATTCTCATGCTTCTGTCGGTCAGCCGCTCTCGCCGCGCATCACTGCACCCACTCATCCATCTTATCTTTCTCGATTCTGAGGCCGTGCTTGGTTAATGTCATATAGTCATAGTACTCCACGATTGTGTCTGTCACCGTCAGATTTTCACCCCGTTTGCATGCCACCCAAAAGTACGCAATGACTTTGTGCAATTAATGTGATGACCATGCCGGTAGAGGAGGCCGAAGAAAGGCTGTGGAGGAGCCTGGTCTGGCTCAGGCTCCTCCACAGCCTTTCTTCGGGAGACCAGGGGGGCCTTGATACTAAGGGCAGGAGGACTGTGCCACATCTCAGCCACAATTTCGTACTCCAATTCATTCCTGCTACATACGCGTTAGTCACGTGCTCGTGCTGTCAAGTCCGAGTTCCCCATTCTCCTCATAGTGGCTGCACTTCAACAGTTTCGCATGATGATGATTGGTCTCTGCCTTTTGGTAGAATCTCAATTGTTACCTTCCTGAGTCAACACTGTCCCAGTCAGTTTGTATGCATATTCAGGGAAGTACATCGCAGGTCTCAGGGACATCTGACAGGAACACCAGCCCACCACAGGTAAGCATCTTGGTCTGCAGGAATGTTGATGGTGTCTCTTGAACTTCTCAATATTGTTGACTCATCCGCCATCATTATTCAATGCAGCACTATCATGTTGTTGATGGTTTGCATCGTCTGACCAAAGAGGCATCACAAGGTGATAGATACCATTCTAACCTGTGTTCCCAACTGCTCGATAATGACACATGACAGATCCAACTGTCGAGATGAAGCAAATAATGAGATATGGCTGGAGGGATCCTGTATGCAGAATTGATAATGCTGCTGAGTAGTATGAGGAACCGCGTGTCTGCATTTTTACTTATAGTTGCCAGCATCTGCAGGACAGTTCTATGTCATCGCCCCCTGCAGACATACAAGGGACAAAATCTCCCGGCATCTCTGGCGTACTTGGCGACTTATTAGCATGTATGGGATCAACCTCAATCCAACCTTGGGTGCTGCATTCATCGGGATTTTGTGCACCACAGCATAAAGACAATGTCTCTGATTATCAATTATATGCTGCTCAATCTGACGCCTCTTTAGCTTCTATGGTATCACTGCCCTTCAGACAATTTACTATGTGTGTTCGTCATCAGATATTAACTGCTCTCATTTTGCTTATGTCCTTCAGTTCATGACATATCCGAAAGACAAGCTTCACTTGAAACTTCTAGTGGGTTTCCCGTCAGCTCTTCATGGCCATGTTGTGACTGACTATCTGTCTGCGCAGGTGTTCATACTGTGGTATGCATCTGCAACATGCTCTATGCAATTAGTACTGAAATATGCAGGATTCTGGACACGACATCCCTTGCATTTGTGGCACACGGTGTCTACACCCTTCTCGTTCTTGATTTTGGCAATTTCTTGGCATTGGAATATGTGGTTTGGTGATTCCCAATCCTTGACGCACAGCTCTATCTGAGCATTGCATCTAATTCATTTAACGGAAGTATAGCGGTACGCATGCAATTGATCTGTGCTATCTGAATACCTGCTTTAGGCGGAGCCCATGGTGTTGGTAAGCAATATCTGTCGCATATATATTGATTGTCGCACTTAATGAACACTCATTAGGTGACTATTGCTTTGATCGTTCATCTGTGTGTACTCTGTATCCACCACACATCTGGCTGATGATGACTGTCGATATGAATACTGATCTCTGGTATCAGGTTTCTAGTCTACCATATCTGGACATGTATGTGCAAGGACCATACTGTATACATGTAATGGCTGCCTGATCATGACGAATGCAGTGAATCAAAACTGGTGGAAATATGCTATCTTTCTGGTAAGCAATACCTCGACTTCATCACTCACTCTCTGAATTCGCTGATACACTTGCAGGTGCTGTTCTCTATTGCTCCTTTCAGTACATATTGCATGAGCGTGTTAACATCTCTCGTTGGTGTTCTAACTGCTGCTACCAACGTATAGTCATTGCAGTGGGTGAGTGTGCACATATAAGAGATCAATCAATGTCATATTGATTTTCAGCCATCCAGTATTCATCGCTCGCATGTAAGCGCACTGTGGTATTGCCAACGCTGTATCTCCTTTCTGAGACTAGCATGCCATGAGTTTCTGAAATGATTCAGATCCCCTTTGGAGTGATGCACCACCTCAGGCAAGTGAAATGTAAACTGGTATTTGCACGGTACTAATCTGCTTTGGGTGTATAGTGGATAGACATCGCTGCAGATACCCTGACGTCAGCTGTTGACCTTGTTATTGCATGCACGATCTGCCTTCAGCTCTACGCCAGCCGCACCAGTTTTTCAAAGTGAGTTCTCATGTTGGTTTCAGATATGCATGCTCAACGATATTAGGACCAATGCGATCATCAACATCCTCATAATCTACACTATCAACAGCGGTGTGTTGCCTACGTACGTTTTCAAGTTGATGTGGCCGCTTTTGCGTGCCTTAATGCATGCTGCATGGCACATTAGGATCGTGAGCTTCGCCATGATGATGTCACAGTATTAAGTGGCACCTTTCTTTTTGCACCATTAAAGTCCTCATTTGAGTGGTTATTCAGATGCCAACCCTCATATTGGTCTCACAAAGTGGATACTTAGACAAACAGCACAATATCACCACATACATTGCGGATATGACTGTGTCTACCGCATGACCACCAAGCACCCATGATTCAGCCACCCAGTCACGTAACACTGGCCACTTGCCCTATTTGGAAGATGTCAGGAGTTGGTCACGTGACATCAGGCCACTTGCCCAGAAAGGAACTCATTGGACCATCAAGCTAGCAAGCACCCAATTCGCCACTCAAGATAGTAGCACCACTTTGCCGCCTAAACCAATAGGCAGGTACCACAACAGAGGATCCCCCTACCAACCGGCATACAGTATAGCCAGGTACAGGATAGGCTACAGTGAGCCACAAAACTGTTGCAATGTTTGCAACAGTTGTGTTGTTTGGCTTATATCTCAGGAACCAAAACAGCTACATATGCAAACATACATATCATTAGAAAGCCTATGATATGAGCTTTCAAATGGCACTTAGATGAAGTAAATCCGCCTTCTGGTTGGTGAGATACAAAAATGTCTTTACAAAAGATGCATTGCAACAGTTTTGTGGCTGACAGTCTTAGATATGAAAATTCTCAACTTCAGTACTTTGTGTACCCTCCCTTTGCCCTCAACACAGCTCTCACCCTGTCTGGCATACTATTTATTAAGTTCTGACAGACAGAAGCCTCAATACCATTCCATTCCTTCTGTACCCTGTCCCAAAGGTCTGCAATTCCTCCAGGTGCATTTTCTTATGCTGCCAGCCTTCTTTTGAGATGGTGCCAGAGGTGTTCTATGGTGTTGAGGTCTGGAGACTGTGCAGGCCATACCATAGTCTCAAAACCATGCTCCTGTAGCCACTTCCTGGCTTTCTTGCTGGTGTGCTTGAGGTCATTGTCTTGCTGAAATACCACATCCTTCACAGTTTTGCCCCATTCCTCTATGCTATTCTGAAGTTCATCCTCCAGAATAGAAACATAAAGATCAGCATCCATCTTGCCATCAATCTTGCAGGCGTATTCAATCCCTTCCCAGCCCATACACCCCCACATCATGAGGCTTCCTCCCCCAAACTTGAGTGTCCCTTCTATCAGCCTATCACTGAGTTCCTCCCCTGGCTTCTTCCATGCCCATTTCCTCCCATCTGACCCTAACCTGTTGATTTTGGTCTCATCTGTCCATATAACCCTCTTCCAGTCCTCCACAGTCCACTGCTGATGGCTAACAGCAAAGTCCAGTCTTTCTCTCTTATGACACTTAGAGAGAAGGGGACGTTTATGCTTTACCACAGCCTTCAGACCGGTGCTTTTGAGCTTTCTACACATAGTCTCCACATGAAAGGGCTGGTTGACAACATCTTGGAGAAGTTTGGTCACTTCCACAGCAATATCTGCCTGTCCAGTGATAAGAAGGCGAGTAGCATGGTGAATGATTCCAGGATTAAGCTTGCTAGGACAACCTCCACCAGATGTAGGCATGTTAGGATGATGCTCAGAGCGAATTTGGGATACAGTGGAGTAATGGACTGCAGTCACATGAGCAATCTGTCTGACAGAATGGCCTTGATCAAGCAGGGAGAGAATGTGGGCAGTCTGAGTAGCAGAAACCTTCTTCATGATGGTTGTGTTGAAGTTGAACAGTCTGTTTGGTGTTGATCAACTCATGTTGAAGTTCAACAAAGATCACATGATCAAAACTTGAAACCTTAAAGCAAACAAACTTCTGCAAGGGGGTATTTTTGTTTTCAGAGTTGTCAGCCACAAAACTGTTGCAATGCACTTTTTATAAAGAATGTCTCATATCTCACCAACCAGCAGGCGGATTTACTTTATTCAAATGTCATTGGAAAGCTCATATCATAGGCTTTCTAATGATATATATATTTGCATATGTAGTTATTTTGGTTCCTGAGATATATGCCAAACAATGCAACAGTTGCAAACATTGCAACAGTTTTGTGGCTCACTGTAGATCTTCTCACAACCCTATCCAGATGAAGACTGATTGTCACACTCATTGTTCTGAGTAGTGTTGTTCAGGGCCGGGCTCAGCTTGAGGGGGCTTGGGCTTGCATATTTCGCAAGCCGGGCCTTCACTGGAGGGCCGGGTCAGGCTCAGGCCGGGCTTGGGCTCACCCTCGAGCTTGTTATATAGACACTCACAGAAATGCATTTTTGTACTTCATAGAAAGAATATGAATCTAATTGAGTGATCTACACATCAACATCATCGTCTTCTACATCAGAATCCAGGTCTAGCACCAGATTTTCATCAATATCATCACGTGAGGGTTTATAGTTCTCTTCAGCAGCTTCTAACTCCTCCTCCGTGAAAGACGAAGGCCCAACATCATGAAAAAACAGGTTCTTATGGTACGCACATTTGAGTGCCTGGAGGGCCTCAACAATGTCGCCCTTCAACCGGTTTCGTCGTTTAGTAATCGTGATGCCTGCGCTAGAGAAGGCCCGTTCACTTGAGACTGAGGTTGCCATAATTGCAAGATAATCACGTGCAAGCGAAGCCCATATAGGGAAGCAGTGTGCATTGAGCTGCACCATTGCGTAAGTGGAGATCAGCAGAAGGCCTTCCATACAAAAATATGTAGTACGTACCCCCCACCAATGCACCGTAGAGACCGTCTCTGGAATATCATCATCGAGCATTACATACTTATTGAACTCCTTCTCCCACTCCTGTCCTGGATCTATGACAGTCTGGCTCGCACCTTTAGATGGCATGGCATGAGTTTCCTCATCAGAGGACAGGTCAGCAAGCATGGAGCCCATGCATCGAATAGACTTCGTCTTAAGCAACATTGCTTCATTGGCAGGGTTGGCAGCACCGCAGACATCGGCATACCTCTCCTTGTACTAGCATGACTTCGTTAGTGGCTAGCAACATACGAAATAAGGAGTGACTTACAATTCGCCTGATAAGCAACATGGCTTCATCACGCAGAGACTTTGGCCAGCTCCTCTCAAAGAATGAGAATCGTATACGAGGGCTTAAGACTAGGGCTATATGTCAGTACTCATTTGATTCATGTAAGTCGCAAATGTACGTACTGATTGAGAATACATACACGTCGTTGTGGCCTGTCTTGTCATAATACTCGCTAATCTTGTCAAGCCCTGACTGTAATCCGGCTTCGAAATACTCATACTGGTCGTTTTGAAGTCGCTCTGTCCAGCACGCATGCAAATCTTCAAGTGCAGGTAAGGCGAGATGTAGTGCAGGTTCATGCTCGGATGAGAAACGCTGTTGGCAAGCGTCCGCACTCTGACATGGATGGACGGTCATGCAAAGTCTAAATATCACAGTGAGGGTGCTGAACGTACCTGTAGAATGCGCTGAAACTTCTTGACGTGATTCCATTCTTCAGCGCTGGGCAACAGTGAGTACAATTTTGCTGAGGTTGCACGATCCTTGGCAGTACGAGAGATTTCCGTAATGAACTTCTCGACATGCTGTAAAGGCATGTCTTCAGTCAGCTATGAAGGCACACACAGAAGTCTATATTAAAAACCTGCCGTGCGAAGACTGTAGGCACGATTTAACATCATGTACGTCGATGACCAACGGACCTTCATATCGACTGTAAGAGTCTTGATGTCATTGAAGACAGCACCGGCTGTCACTTGAATATCATGAAAGCGCTGCTTGCGCTGACTTGAAGAGTGTTCCTGTGTGATGATGATCAGTATTACACTGGATGGTGAATGCTCAGCCTGGCTGCTTTATTCGTGCCTACCTTGACCGATATAGCACGAATAAGTCCGACTTCATCACGCACAAGTGCGTTCATATCTGGTAAGTGCGCATCGGGCTGGTGAGGATCATAGTGAGGAGATTTACTTTGCGCAGCTATCACTGCTTGAGTAGCTAAGTTTATGATATGGGCGAGGCATCTGTAGGATAAATGTAATCAGTAGTGGCTCGAAGCTTTTGCATCAACAATACGGATACATACCCGACGTGCCGCTGGTCTGCATCAAAATCTATGTGATGTTCTTTGTTGATGACCCTGGCGAATTCTCTCATCATCGTTAAGTTGGGGCTCGCATTGTCGCATGTCACCATGAATATCTGCAAGTCAATGAAGGCTCGTCATCAAGGCACACATGATTTCGCATAGTATTAGATTAGCACTCACTCTTTCTTCTATCCCAACGCGTTTGGCGACCTTATATAATGCTTGACCGAGACGTTTACCGTGATGTGAGCGATTCATCTGCACGAAACCGATGAGTGTGCCCTCTGACGTCCATGCACTTGACACCTTCTCCTCGATCCAGTGGGCAGTTACAGCGAAATAGCCATCGATGTTGCTTGCTTGCCAAGCATCGCAGGTAAGTGATATCTTGCCAGATACAGTTGGTCCCTGAGGCATCAATGTAGGTCAAAAGGGTCTACACAGTAAGGATATACATACCGTCAGACACCGCTTCAAGTCACGTAAGTATTGATGAAATAAATTGATGATTTCACGCCATGTGGTGGATCGTCTAGAGATCTTGATGACGCCCTTGGCACGTGAGGCAAGTTGGATCATCTTCTCGAATGCTGGGTGTTCGAGGGCACTGATGGGCTAGTAAACTTCATCAGTAAGTCGAATCAAACCTGTTCTTTTGAACAGCTCACCTGATCTGTCTCCACAAGCCATTGTATTGTGACAGCCTGGAACGCATCATCGGAATATGGAAGGACACGTTCGACAACATCTCCCATCTGAACGCATCCATCTAATGTGCCCTGTGTCTTATAGCCTTCAACAATGTTTGCCTTTCGGGCTGTTACGTCGTCCGGAAGCTTCGATTCGAAAGCTTCTTTCTGGCACCACTTGTAGTATCTGTGCTATATGTGCCATTAATAAAGGCACAAAATCAGTGGAATGAGCATACCTTATGGTGACACTGCAAGTGCCGTCGCAGTGTTGTCACATCTGCAACGATGGTGTGCTCGCCAATGCGCATTTTCCTGCAATAACGAGTCAAATCATATCAACAAAAGCAGTTATAATAACGCGTTAAAACTTACTTGCAAAGCCGACAATCACGAATGCACTGCTTCTTGTCTGGTTTGGAAGGATGACGACGTTCTCAAGGGTCATCAAAAAATGCCTGTATATCAGCGGTCTCTTTGAGTCTTGTCTTCTTCTCACTCGGCTCCACAATGTGGGCAAGATCTTTCAGGTGGCCTTCAGAATTGTAGACATCCTGATCCTTCTCGCTAGTGTTATCGAATATGTCGTCTGCAGTACAATGATAAGTGTCAGCTGCTAAATCATGCAATATGTACTTACCTGATCCTTTCTTCCGTTTAGGTGGCCGAATCTCCTGATCTTCATCATCATCCCCCTCAACTTCAATCACCGCCGCTGTTGGTCTTGGAGAGCGAGGGCGAATGGTACCTATAATGGTGTGTCTTTCAGCATTGTTCTCATCTGTGAGTCGAGCGCTGGGTTTTGGCACGCGTTTTTGTAGCAGTGATGCAGATACTTTGTCTGCGAGTGTGACTTCGTCACCCATGTTGAAGGCCTAAAGATAAGGGGGGAATCTCGAGCAGTGGCAACGTGGTGAAGAGGACACACCAAAATTTAAGGGCCACTTCTAGGGCCCTATTTTTCCGTGCAAAGCCCTAGCTATCCAAGTTTCAGGGTAAGTTGCCCAGCTATATAGTGAAATTCGATAAAACTGACCTTGCTGTCTGTGTTCATGGCACCAGCTATCCATCTGAATATACAAAATGGTGACATGACGTGGCACAGATGGAACCTGAGTTGTGTAGAGGATGCTTACCTCTCACAAACCGCATTGCATCTTGACTGAAGTGGTGGCCAGGGCTTCAGATCTGAGATCCCACCTGGGCTTGGCGACGAGTGCGCTGGTCGCTGACCATCGGCTGCTGACTGGGGGAACACCAGAAGATGTGAGAGAGCGGTGTGGGGAGGCGTCTAGAATGACAAAACGATGGCGCGATTATGAAACAGTTATACAATTTGCTGAGTTGACGTCCAGCACACGTGCGTACTTTCTATTTCAGGACATTGGCAAATATGCCCAAAGCCGCGGGCTTGTACGGCCGGGCTCAGGCCTGCCGAAGCAAAAGCTGTGCCCTTTCATTGGGCTCATGGTGGGCTTGGGCTGGGCTTTTAGCGGCTGGGCCGGGTCAGGCTTGGCCGAGCTTGGGCTCAGAAGCCCAGCTGCGAACAACACTAGTTCTGAGTTTGGACAGATCCTCTCATCTGATGTTGCAACTGTTGTGATGTGCCCTGTGGGCCATCACCCATTGGCCCCTCAACAGTGGGCCCACTTACAGGCATTTATCTCATTGGATTAGATAGGATTACCTCAGCGTATCCACGGCCATTGTCAATAGTTGCTATGATGAAGTCCAGAACCATTACCGGTTCTGACAATATGTTCACATGTAGGTATCTGAGGTCTCACAGTAGCACAGTGCCAGGGGCCCTGCCCTACATGTATATAAAGCCCATAAGGATCTAAGGGAGGACCTTAGATTCATTATTCTATTGCATGCGGCCTAAACAGCCAATTCACCCCCTAGTTGTGAGCATAAGGCTAAGGGCCCTTTGAGCCCCATTTTCAGACTGCATACCACTGCGCACGTCCTCAGCCTAGCCCTTGTGGCAGGCTTTTTATGTGGGATCATTTGTGCAGGTCACAAAAGCAGACTTGCCCTTAATTGGGTTAAGTGCTTTGGTGCTTTGTGACAGATGATTACAGTTTGTATTTCAATGCTATCAGAATGCCACATAATCGCTGACATGGCTGGAAGGCTCTCGTGTGGCCTCAGAACCTTGTCGTCGAGGTGTTCAATATGATCATATTGAAGGGTATTTTTTTTGGCATTTATTTCTATCCCACGCTATGTGTGGCGTTTAAAGGGAGGATGTACAGGCACGGGCGTACGCTACAGTGCAGCGCAACTCAGGGTGGCTACAACAAAGGGGAAAGGGAAAAAGGGCGACAGAGCCGCGAGGGGGGCGATTAGCCTGGGTCGAACGGCGCAAGGCTCGCAGAAGTGAAAGCAGGGGTGGTGGCGATGAAGAACGCGAGACGTTCCAAGCCCTCTGGGTGTTTCCATAGGCGGCGGAGGTGGGTGCGGGTTGGAGTGGCAATGCCGAATAGAATGCGCCGGGCGTCATCGTGCAGCGGGCAGCTAAGCAGAGTGTGGGTGCGTGAGTTAAGGAGCGCAGGGTTGCAAATGCACCCGCGAAAGGTACGGTGGTATCGGGAATTAAAGAAAGTGCCGATGTGGCCATGACCGACGACGGCCTGGACAAATCGACCCTCGGTGTTTCGAGAAAAGTCTCCTAAGTGGAAGACAGAATGAAGGGTGGTGGAAGGAGCCCAGGGCCAGGCTTCACGCAGTGCAGTGGGACGATCAGTAGCCGCATACTCCACCTGCCAAGAGGAGGTCGCTCGCTCGCGCGCCCACCTCTGCGCCCACGCAATTGTGGGGCGGATGCTTTCAGGTTGGGACACAGCCGCCTTGGCGAGGCGGTCAGCCACTTCGTTGCCCAGTACACCACGGTGACCAGGCACCCAAACCAGCATGATTTTTAAATTAGGAAAATCGCCCATGAGCGGCGTGAGGTGGTTTTGGAAAGTGAGTGAGAAGGGCTGCCCCGGGTGGGGGTTCAGGGAAAAAAGGAGAGACAGGGCGGCGCGATTGTCCGCGCAGATGTAAATGGTGGAAATGTCCGGGTAGGCAGTGAGGAAGCCTCGAAAATAGGAAGACACGGTCGTGATGGCGAAGAGCTCCACGTCAAAGACCTCGGCTCGATGCCCCATTCCCCATGCATGTTGAAATTTTAGGGCGGAGTGATGGTAGACACACGCACCTGCTCCTGCTGCACGATGATGGGGGGCTGGTAGCGGGTGAGAGGTTTGGGAGCCATCGGTGAACACCCAGAGGGCTGTGGGGTCAGAAAAGTGAGCGGATAAAAGCGGGTTAAGAACAGAGTCGACATGATGAGTAGATGCTTCCTTAGAGGGAGCAGGAATGAGTGTGACTATTCGCGTGCCCCACGGGTGCTGCGCCTCCCATGGTGGCTGGAGGAAAGGGTCAGTGCGCATGGAGTCGCGTGGCAGTTCCTCCTCTAGCGCAGTGACCGGGGTGTGCTCCGCGCGATGATGGCGTATGGACAGGTTGAGGAGGGTGAATTGGGGCGGGTATAGGTGGGCCTGGTCGCTCATGCAGGCGGCGACTGGGTGGTGCCGAGGAAGGGTGAGTAGTCGCACAGCCGCGAGGTTAGATAGGTGCTGCAGCTGCTGCTTCATTGGGAGCACGCTGGCAATTAGGTTCAGGGCGACCTGTGGAGTGGATTTCCACGCTCCGAGGAACCACCGCAGTGCCATGGTTTGGACACGTTCGAGCAGGTAGAAGAGGGCGCGCGGCGCACAGGGATTGTACCAGATGGGGCTGCCAAAGGTGAGCATGGGCAACACAGTAGAGAGGTAGAGAAGACGGGCTTGGGCGACCGAAATGCCTCGCTGGGTGTTCGCGAGTTGGTGCAGAGCGATGACCCGGGACTGAGCTCGCGCTGCCATGACGCGAATGTGGTGCTCAAACGATAGGGTGCGGTCAAGCCATAGGCCGAGCCACCTGAGGTAGGGCTTCGGCTCCAGGCATTCTTGGCGGCCATCCCACTGAAAGAGTAAGGGTGGGTTAGAGGATAGACCAGCGGTCGACGGACAGAAATGAATGAGCTCAGTTTTGGGCATGCCGACGGTGAGGCTGAGCATTCCCAGGGAACGAGCGATGGTGGGAAGGGTGTCCCGCATGAGTGTGACATTGTGTTTTAGCGAGAGAGAAATTATAAGGAGCGTGAAATCGTCGACGTAACCTGCAACAGTTTGCTGCGGGTGGAGAAAGGGATCAAGTGCGCTATAGAGGGGAGAAGAATATATGGTGGATAAAACAGGTGACAGGGGCGAGCCCTGGGGAATGCCGAGAGCGGCGACGGGGTAGGAGGAGCCGAGCTCCCCTTGTAGTTTGGGTGAGACGGAGCGGTCAGCAAGGAACGACAGGATCCACCAGACTTTGTTGGTGGGGAAACCAAGTGAGAGAAGGATAGAATGCAGGACGTCGTGACGGATGTTATTATAGTATCCCTCGATGTCCATGCAGAGAAGGGAAGCAGAGAAACCGTTCGCCCAAGTGGTGCGAATGGTATGGGTCAGATGCGTGCCCACATCGACGCAGGAGTGCTGCGATCGTCCCCCAAATTGGGTGCCCGGGATGAGATTCAGGGCGCCGATCTGCCAGTTAAGGCGTGCAGCCACCACTTTTTCCAAGAGTTTGCTCAGGGTTTCGAGCAGGGCTATGGGACGATACGTGCTGGGCGCCGTGTAGTCTGGCTTGCCCAGTTTGGGAATGAACACAAGCACTGCTACTTTTAGTGAAGAAGGAAGGTGTCCAAACGAAAGAGATGCGGCTAGGAAATCATAAAGAGCGTGACGTGCGGTGGACTGCCAGATCCACTGAACGAGCCTCCAGGAAGTTCCGGAGGGGTCCGGAGCTGACAGGAGGGAAGTAGAAGACAGTGCCGCAGACACCTCACTCTCGAGAAGGGGGTGGGGTGTGCGCGGTGACGGGTACGGGGGGGATACGATAGGGTGCAAGAAGGGAAGAGACGGAGAGGAAGGGAAGTAGTGCTCAGTGAGCACCTGCTCGATGTCGTCAGGCAGGCTGAACGACTCATTGCGAGCGCGAATGATGGATGGCGCCGGGGTGCGTTGCCCCTTGGTCCACGAGAAAAGGCACCAGGGATTGCTGTGTTGTAGTTTGGAGGCTGCCGCAATGGCCCACTCCTTGCGTGCCGTGCGGATGACTTGCTGGAGGTCGCGCTTTGCGTGTCGACGCTCTGTGATGCTGGTGGCGTCTTGGACTCGTTGTCGGGCGAAATCGCAGCCGTCGTTCCACCATAGCTGTGATGGTCAGTGGGTGCGGGTGCGTGGTGGAAAGGTGGTAATGTTGGCAGCAGCGATGGCTCGTAAGATTGCCACGGCACCCTGATCGAGGTCACGGGTGGACGAGTAGCTAGGGGGAGGAGGGTTGGTTAGGAGGGCGATGGCGAGGGCGTCAAGCCACTCGTTTCGCAGGGACGGATCCACGCGGAAGCCGAGGTCAACTTCCGCAGGAGTGGCCTCAGTGCAAATAGTATAGGTAATGAGTGAATGGTCTGAGGCCCAAGGGGAATCCTCAACTGCATACTGTGAAAGAGCGAAACGGGGGCTGCTTGAGGCCCATACCAGATCGATGATAGCACCCGTGGATGGATTTCCTCCGACAGTATGCGTGGGGAGATGTGGCTCAGTGAGCAGCTGCAGGCGATGGTCGATGGTCCATTGGACCAGGTCGTCCGCCCCTTTGGTAGTGGTACGGAAGGCGCGATGCTCCCATGACCATAGGGGGTGATGCATATTAAAGTCCCCACATAGCAGGAGCGGGATGTCAGGTGGGAATGGAGAGGAGAGGAGGTGCCAGAGGCCCGACTGGCCAGCCGTGGGCGTGTCGTTGTAGATATTAACTACCAAGAATTGGTCACTGTGCGACGCACGAGACACGAAAGACAAGACGAGGAGGTCCGGGTGAGAAGAGATATCAGAACGGAGCGTGATATGGAAGGAGTCAAAAAGGTGTTTCCTCACCAGGCAGCTGACGCGTGGCCTGGGTGTTGGGTTGGAATGAGGGAGATGGAACGTAACAAGATTAAAGGGAGCCGCATTGATAGTGCCGAAAACAGGGGCACCGGTTTCCGCCCCGTGCGGGGTGTCAGACCCAATGCGTCCCCACCACGGCTCTTGGATGAAATATAAGTCAAACGAAGAATTGGCCAGGAGGCCATGGAGCCGCGGATTCAAACGGGCTACATTCAGTTGTGCGGTTGTAAGATTCATGATGCAGCGACAGTGGACAGCGAAGGAATGCGATACTGAGCGCGTGCAGTGCAAGACGGGTCGGCAGCGTGGTGCATGCCATGGATTCCACAAACGCGGCAGAAGAAGTGGGTGGACGGACACGGGACGGTCGCAGGGTTGTTCTCAAGAGCACAGGCACTGCAAGCGTTGCGGTGCTGATCGGTAGTATGGGTGTCCTTGCCGCAGAAGCGGCAGAGGGGCAGTTTGCGCTTACAGAAGCGTTCGGTGTGAGTCAAAGCCCAGCAACGTGTGCATTGGCGCAGGACAGGTTTGTCCTTAGAGCGCTTTATGAGGAGTCGAGCTCCCATGAACCAAACAGACATGGAGGGCTCGCCGCGGTTGTCACGGCCAAGTAGGAAACGTGAACAGAAGTCCCGCTTGGGGTCTTCGATGGAGAAAATAAGGGGCGCGCGCTCCCGCGTGTCATCCGGCCCTGCAAAGGTGGTGAAGGCAGGTATGCCGTTGAAATAGACATCCGTGAAAACAGGATTGGTACGGAGCTCGGTCATGATTTCTTCCCCGGTGAGCAGAGAGCCGCTCACGGGGTGGCGCCTCGGGCACGCCGGCACGAAGAGTTTAACAGTAGGCAGAACGGGACGGAAGCCCTGGGGCAGCGCGACGGTGCGTGCACCCGCCGGGGCCGGGGAGGCAGCGCGGGGCTCAAGATCAAGGATGACGCGGATGGCCCGCAAAGCGTCTCGAATAAGGGTGTCTGGAGAATCATGAGAGAAAGTTAGGAGCACCTTGTTTGGGGCAAGGCGCATGCCACGGAAAGTTACCTTCGACCAGGCCTCAGCTTCCTGAATGCGCTGGGTTATGCGCTGATACCAGATGGCAGGGGCGGTCTCTCGGATGCGTGCTACCTGCTCCGGCATGAGGATGGTATGGTAGGTTTTGTCCGTCGGCGGCGGGGGTGGCGGCGGCGCTGTGGTGTTAGTTTTTGCGGTGGTGGGCTTGGCGGCGGCCGTGTCCGAGCGCGCGCTGTGGGCGGCATCGGAAAAGGTCTTGGCGGTTTGCTTGCGCGGACCCGCGGGGGGACCCGGGGGTACCGGCAGCGGGCGGGATCGGGCCAAGGTGGCTTCGATGGCAGATAGACGCGCATCGATGGTGACGGTCGCCGCACGGACGCCCGCCTCGATGCCCTTCGCGATGGCTGTCTGTATGTGCTCGGGCTCAGGGTTAGCATGCGTGGATGCCCTCAGGGGGTCCATGTCTCCAGCGCACTGTCGGAGGACGGTGGCGAAGATGGCTGATGCCCCTTTGCCCACTCTCGTTTGCATGACCTCCTCATTGTTGAGGAGTCGATTCTGGACGTCCGCGAAGGTGTCCGCAAGGGCGTCGACGATGTCGATGATGCCCTCGCTGAGGTCCTCCGTGATTACTGGGTCTTTGGCCAAGGTGACCATGCGCAGGGGCCGCTGGAGGAGGTGCTCCAGATCGGTGAGTAAGTCCCGCAGGAACGCAGTTCCCGGCGGGGTTGAGACAGGTAACGGTTCAACATTACTTTCACTAGCCAAAGGAGACTCCCCCGGGGGGGCACGCTCTACAGTGGCGGCCTCCATCTCGACGTCAGTTGCAGTTGCCGGTTGGGCGCTTGACGAGGACATGGTGGTAAAGAGACAAGAAGGGTTGAAGGGTATGTTCGTGTGACAAGGTCAATGAAGCTTCCTTGCATTCTGACAAAGTGCCATCCATGCAGCATATACCAATACACTCCATGCAACATAAGGTGCCACATAATTTACCTTTGATATGGATCCACACCATCTGCACTCTGAACAGTAGAAACATCACAAGAGACTTGTCGGCGAAGGCCACCATGGGAACAATGGCGTTTGCGGTAGTGGATTTTGACACCAGCGCCATGGCTCGTTCATCAAACTGTTCCTCAGACAATTTTGACAGCGTGCCTCCGGTAAATTCCTTATTACAAGACGTTATAGCCATAGCTGATTTTCCGCTTTGTAGATCGCATCCAAGGCTCAAGTTCCGACCTACGAGTTGTCAGCCGTCAGTACTGGTGCCGTTAGCGGAGACCAAGATAAAAGCATAGTGTGATTGCCACATCTCACTTCAATCGGCCGATGCATTGTGAACTGGTTAAGGGAAAATGGACTGAAGTTATGAAGAAGTCCTAAGTTCTCACCATGTCGAAAATTTCCCCTGTATTGCTTCCCCCTACCACAACGAGCTCTCGCGTACGTACTATCTTAGAAGACGGTTGTGCATCTGGGATAAGGAGTCTTGATGGAGCAATGATCTAGGCTCAAGACCGGCCACTTGTGAAACGTTGATGAATCATCACACCGTGTGTGATGAGATATTTGCTTTTATTCCATTTGCCAAATGCGTAAACAAAGGAGTCGAGCGAAAGTCAAGAACCGCGGGACGGCCGCAGTGTCTCGAATCCGTCATAGAAATGTATGTATCATCTGTTATTGAACGACGGTGCGAACGCTGAGTACTGAAGTACTGATGCATGATGCATAATAATGCAAGCTAATAATGCTATTGGCTGGAATCTACTTCCGGGGGTTGTCGGTTCATCGAACAGTCCACTCAGTGGTTCAGTTCAGTACCAAATGTCGAAGTGCACCTCAGACCCTGGATTGGCGCCTTCATTTCATTGAGTATGATTCAAATACTAAGACGATCTATCTCTACACGTTACGCCATTTCTCTCCACATTCCTTTCAGTCGACGAAGCGTACGACTGCATCATCGTGATTCATCTGAAGCAAGTCCTTTGCGCGGCAGTTAAGTAAGTGCTTCGAAGTTGACGCTCATGTCTTCGGCCCCAGGCGATGGCACGGAAGGTTGTGTGCTCGCAAACAGACTGAGCACTGACGAAGGCGTATCAGTACTTTCCGTGGGACGGGGCGGGGTAGAGGACAACTGGATCTCTCAAATTCCTCTATTTGCCCAGATTTTAAGGTCGCCACGGATCGTTCGCTTACACGTGCATGGAACCGTCCCGCAAGAGCGTGCGGATGAACGCGTTATCGAGCTCACAGACGGCAAATCTCTGGGCGGGGCATCCAAGATTAACGCAATGTTGTATACGCGAGGACTACCGGCCGAATTCAATTCACGGAGTGCCGCAAGCTGCGAAGGTTGAAGCTATGACGATCTTCAACGATACTTCATCAAGTCGGAGACAAACTTGGATCAAGACCGCTTACGTGCAGATGATTCCCACGGAACATCGGGTATGTATCCTTTCGTGGCACCATCATTCAAGTCGCCTAACAATGTATGAAGGGGAATGACGCAACAAATCTCATCAAGGACACTATTGGGGCTATTATAAACAGTGAGCTCTGTCCCACCTCGGGGTGTTGCCATAATCGCTAAGATGTGTTGATAGCATCATGGAGGCTGTTAAAAGCCTTGATATCCCGTACATCGATGATTTGAACTCGCCTTCACATCCGTCGCATGGATGCGCCAAAATGCACTACACCATTGACGGGTCGAGAAGACATAGCTCGACCCTCAGTGCATTCCTGCCACAGAAACTCGTCAACGAGCGGCGAAATCTGCAATTGTCTCCAAAATCAATGTCAAAAAAGTGCAAATGGTGTAGCTACTAAGCAGAAGGAATCTTCCTGAAATCGGCGAATGACCGGTGCCATCTCGCTTCATACGTGCTCGCGAATGAAGTCGTCGTCACCGCCGGCCCGATCGGTTCTCCTCAGATTCTGATGTTAAGGTATGACTGTTTACTCAATGAACTGTCCACAATTCATTGTTGCGGCTGTATCGACAGTGGTATTGGTCCAGCGGAGCATCTCAAAAACCATGCAAAGGCGGTGATCAAGGACAATGCGGCTGTCCGTGCCCATATGGTACGGTAAACGTTATGCCTCTCTAATTGACGCTAATCAATACCCTCCGCCGCAGCAAGATCATATGTTCATCCTTGTACAATTTCGTATGTCATTGGCAGACTCCCTAATCAAGTTGCAAATGCGGCCATGGCTTCTGTTCAAAGCTCTACATGTTCTACGGGATAGGCTTACTGCTCGCTCCTGTCCTTGAAATGTCTATCTTCGTTCAATCTCGCTTATTCGACTCCGACTTCCGCATTATTACGCAGTCCAAGCGGACGAAGATGCAGCGCTACCCGCCAACCTACCTGATATTGAGATCATGCCCGTAAGTTGGCGAGAAATACTATTACAATGATCTTTGACGTATATTTCTGAATACAGATTGCGTGGAGCGACCTGGTGTCATCCAAGTCGAAGGGAGACGGTGGCCTAGTATTCCTTGCTATAGCGCTCCGACCAACTTCATTGGGCACCGTCCGCCTTGCTTCCAGCCATCCTCTCGACGACCCAATCATCGACCCGCAATACTTGTCAACTGAGCATGATAGGGTCATAAAGCGTAAGACTGTGCGACTCGCATTGTGGCTGGGAAAACAGGTTGCGGCCCAAGGGTATCCTATCATCAGCTTCGAGGTGCCTGCCAGCGAGAAAGACGAAGACGTTGATGCATTCGTCAGGAAATGGTGTCATACATCTTTTCATTACACATCTACCTGCAGGATGGCGCCGGAAAGCGAGAACGGGATAGATGGGGTGGTGAATGACCGTTTGCGGGTACACGGAGTCCGGGGCCTGCGTATTGCAGACTCAAGCATATTTCCTCACATTCTCAGTGCTCATACCGCAGCTGCAACTGTAGCTGTCGCCGAGAAATGTGCGGACATGATCAAGGAGGATCGGGGCTCAAAGGAGGCGCAGTCTGTCTCGCAATTTGTTTACTAGGACAAGACTTCATGCCGCCTGGATGTATTTAAAATCTGTGGATAGCCGTAGATCATCGCGTGGAGGGTGCACTGGTCTGCAATTGTGCCAAAGTCGTGTGGCAAACCGCTCATACACGATTCGGTATTTTGTGCAGCATCATTACGTAGGTCAGTCGTGAGATGTAGATCATCGTACATTTGAAGTAGCGTAGGGGAGCCTGGTAGCAAGCACTATTCGGTTGCGACTCATGATGAGACAATTCGCATCAGCTGCGGACAAGAAGTGGCATTTCCGACAGCCGGTCATGTTTCAAATTGCGCACCCACTCGTCAACGCTGCCCTTCTCGACTACCAGACCATGCTCGGACTGCAAGTGCCTGCGAAGATCATAAGCCCGACTGAATACGAATCGGCAGCAACCGCCGCTTTGGCCGCTGGCCGACGTTGGCACCTCATTTAGGACGAACGAAGGAGGCAGAGTCGGGTATGGGCACTGCAAGTTGGCAGGATTCTTGAAACGGGTCTGTGAGCGTGTTTGGTATGCATGTCCTGTGATGAAATCGATGCTCAACGCCGTCTTGCGATGTTCCTCCGCGCTTACATCACCGTCAGATTCTTGATCTGTTTGTGTGTCAGACTCGGAACTCGACGGAGACTTTGCGCGGTGGATTTTGGCGACATGCCGCTGGAGGAGGTGCTTGTAACCGAACGCACGACGGCAATCCGCATGCGGACAGATGAAATCTCGGCGACCGAGATGACTGACATTATGGTGACTGGTGAGAGCCTTTTTCTGCATCAGATGTGAGTCTCAAGCCTAGCGAAGAGGCGCATGATTTGATTCGCACAGATTTGAAGTCCTTTCCACAGCCTTCCTCAGCGCAGATCCAATCTCTGCCAACTTCCCCTCCTCTTCGCCGTTTTTTCGGTGTTTCTCCATCCTCAGATGGGAGTGTCTCAGCAGCTGCGAGCTCAGCCTCGAGATCGCGCTCGGAATGTAGCTTCAGGTGGGCACGGAGTCCCTTCTGTGCAGCAAACGCCTTTCCGTTGCAGGATGGGTACGGGCAAGTGGGCGGGTGAGACGCCCGCATGTGATGCTGAAGAGTCGACCAGGTTTGGAAATATGTAGGGGCTGAACCCGGTGCGGGCAGACACGACTCGTGGACGCAAGTGTAGCGTTTCTCTGCGGACAACTTTGAATGAGAGATCCTGCAAAATCGACGCGAGATGCAGCTCACCGGTGTGGGTTTTGGCATGGGCCCGGAGCTTCTGGTTGGTAAGAAATGATTTTGTGCACTCAGGATGTTCACACCGGTAAGGCTTAGTCCCTTGAAGGGCGTGATTTGTGCAAACATGCTCCCTCAATTGATGATGTTTCCCGAAGGAGGCCTGACAGGTAGGTTCCGTACACTATCCATGGCAGGCGATTTCAGCGGGAGGAGAAGTTTAGCGAGCACAAGCTAACCTTGAAAGGTTTTTCCCCCTTGTGCAGCTGCTGGTGCACGCGTAGATGCTGTGACGTCCAGAAGCGCTTTTCACAACCAGGTTCATCGCAAACCAAAGGTTTCGCAGAATCGGGTTGATGCGTCCGCGCATGTGCTTGTAGATGGCTGTCGCGTAGATATGTATTCTTACATACATGACAAATGAACGGCCTCTGGAGCAGGTTGAGATACAGTACAACGTTCGTGTAAACAAAGTACGTACATCTCCTGTATGTGATCGTTCATGCTCGGCCAGGCGCGACGGTTTGGAGTATGCTTTCCCACATCCCTCATGTGTGCACTGGTACGACTTGTTCCTAATTTTCTTGATTTGCTTTGCATGGAGTGACGCCGAAGATGACGAGGAAATTTGAGGAACAGGCTCGAACTCGGATTCCGACTGAGAGCGATAGCTTGGAGACGGTGAAGACGGCACACGGAGAACGAGTGATGCAGCACCTCTCTTGCGCTTTCGGAGCACAACCGTTGTGCTTGCTGGGGCAACAGTGCTCACCATGTTTTGAGAACTTTCATGGATTGCAGATCATTGCACCATGGGGCCAGGCAAACAGACGCTCGCAGTGGACGAAAAGTTAGAATAGAAGCGCCGGCCGCACTCCGGGAGGACCAGCGCAAATCCCCCCAGAGCCTCGATCCCGCTGAAGCTCGATATGGGGTCTCGAAAATGGTCCGAAATGGGGTATTTTGGACTGAACCTCGTTCCAAAAGGGGGCAATATGGGGTAGATTTGGGATCCAACCTCAAAACATCGTAAAAACTCGTTAAAATGGTTAGGAGTTGTATAAAATTGTTACAATTGTTGAAAACCGTAAAACATCGTTAAAACACCATTCCGACCTATTTTGACACTTTAGCGCGCTGTGATTCATTGTTACAAGTCATTTTGGGGTGATTGTAATTATGTGGTATAATATAAGTATCTCAGGCTACTGTTAATTTACATAACAGTAAGGTTCCGGGGGACCCATCGTCAGTGGGAAGTGGGGTCAGTCGGGATCGAACCTGCGCCCGCGATGGTCCCATATTTTGGATCCAACATTTTTGGCCGCAGGGGGGTCGGATTTGGGGTATTGGCATCAAACATTTCACCGGGGGGTCTCCGGGATCGAGGCTCTTGGGGGATTTGCGGGGGTCCTATTCCGGGCCAATTGGCTGGATGGCGACAGAAATCATCGCCCTGGTAGAAGATCGGCCCTTTCCTAGGTTTCATGCAGGAAATCAATCACACAAGCCCACTTTCTATCAATTATCTCGGCAAGAATGTCTGCTAGCCTCATAATGTGTGATTGGGCAGTGTGCGCACGAAATTAAGCTACCAGGCTGAAGACCATTGTCATTGAACTAATGAAATCCCTGACATTCATTTACAGAAAACATTCTGAGGAACCTTGTTCTAATTATCGATCATGGAAACCGACAATGCACTCCTAGGCAGCTTCCTTGAAAACATTGTCATGACGTCTCTGATAGCTGCAGGAGTATGAAGTATAAGCACTCACGCTTACATACAAGGGTTAGAGGAGTAACGCAGCTCTCACAGAGAGTGTTTTCAAATTCAATCAAAGAAAGCAACTGGTCAACAACCTTGTTGTTCCAAGCTCAAGCTAACGAAGTTCAAGCTTCGAGGCGCAACCTGGCACAACTCGGAAGTTGTGGCCACACCATACGACCACGTGACCGCGTATACCACCTGACATTGGAGAAGCGACGGCGCGTCTCTTTCACAATTCCTTCTGCGCTGAGATCCATATGCTGGCTAACGAGCGATGGATAGCGCTTTCACTAGTCTACTAGGCACTACCCCTCAAATTAGCTAAGATCAAAATGATTCGAGATGGTTCTGGCTGCTGACTCAAGTTTCACCGTCTGACCGTCGTTTTAGTCGAGCCTGAGGAAGACGAGGACTTGAACATGCTCAGACTCAATGAATGAATACCTCATTGGTGGGAAACTTTATGATCTGATCCGCATTTGAGTGACTGGCTGTTTGGGTATGTCCTGGTTTGCCTTTGGGGCTGGCAGGCATCGATGTTCTTCTGTTGGCACCGGTCAGGATTGCAACATGCGGCGGAGCTCTCCAGTGTCAGCCTCTTGGGCTTATATTCAGCTGTCGTCCTTGGGCGGTAGTCTCCGTTCTCCCTGCGACAGCCGGACTATACTCTGAGGCTTCTGGCAAGCCGAGCACTGGATTCTTTTGTTCAATCTTCACTCGAATTTGCTTCAGCAGTATCTTACCATCGCCATGCGTAGAATTAATGCAATTGCCGCAGGTACTGTGGCGATGATGGTCATTGTCGTTGCTGGTACGTCCTTCTTACCTCATCCACGAGTGCAGCCTTGAGCAGCGCACCTCAGCCGATTCGAACGACTGGGTGAACGTCAACTATGTGCTTAAGCAAGGCAGTAGTTCTGGGTCGAGTGACACTGCAAGTTCCCGGAAGAGTATCGTCAGCAGTGCTGGCAGTTCTGCAAAGTCCGGGCCGTGGAGTACGTCCTCCTTAATCTGCTGTCCGATGAGTGACTGACTCTGATGGCAGCTGTTGTGGACAAGGGAAGCGTAGCCCCTCCAAGCGAAGATCCCCAGGACTATCTGAGCTGGGCACCATAGTACGTGTAAATTGACTGTACAAAGATTTGTCCATTGAGCCTTTACGGTAGCCACTGGCCTGATTGTAACTGGTGTTCGAAAGGCACAACACATCTGTCCAATCCGGGCTCGGACGATGGCGGCGATGACGGAGATGACTCTAGCGATGAATCTGATGATAGCCCTGACGATGCAGATCCGGACTCTGATCCGAGTACCGATTCCGACCCGTACGACGATGGGGACGATGACAGTCTGGCTCTTCTCATCGTCAGAGAGCATTCAGACATATCCTCAAAGCGAAGCAGAGGCATCTTCGGCTCACATCGTCGCATGAGGAAAGTCAAACGAGCGTCCTCGGTGGATCTGCAACATATCAGACGAGACGATGGGCTGCCTGCTGGCGACCCGTCGACGACCGACACTACTTTGTTACCGACAGCCGAGGTCTCAGCGCTGCTCAATGATACCTCAGCGCTTCCTACACCGACCGACAACGTCTCTCAGCTTAGCCTTGCAACTGATAGTACATCAAGTTCAATCGGCACCGTGGCGGGGACACCAGCTCCGGCTCAGGCCCCAGCAAAGACAAGCCAAGGAAGCAAGTCGTCATGTACGCCATCACCCACGAAGTCGTTGGCCCCGAGCGCAAGTATGTCAAGCTTCGTATAACGTGGTATTAGCTCACGAACGTTTCCTACCAGCTTGGACGACATGTCCGTATAAAGTCCACGACGGCAAGGTCAATCCAGATGTGCGAACCCTCCCGGACTCTCCGGCGGTGGTCAGCATGTCCCAGTCCGTGCTATACAACAGTCTCGCCTATGCTATGCAGAAGACCAGCGCATACTCTCAAAGCGCAGCTTCTTTCATTGACGCGTTCTTCCTGTCGTCCAAGACTGGCATGCATCCCAACATGAACTTCGGACAGATGGTGCGAGGCCCGGGCAAGGATCATCAAGTCGGTACATTCACTGGCATTCTCGATTTGCGCGGGCTGGTCAAGGTTGTGAACGGTATTCAGTTGCTGAAGGCTGCCGGAAGCCCCGACTGGACGTCAGCCAGAGACAAGGAGATGACAAGTTGGATGAACCAGTACATAACGTGGCTGCAGACAAGTGACATTGGCAAGCAGACCGCATCCACGCCTAAGTAAGCACTTCCGCGTATGCATATATATATTGGCAATGAGATGATCGATGCTCCTTGCAGCAACCACTTCACCTTCTACACCAGCCAGATTGCCGCTGCAAAGCTATATGTAGGTGACACCAATGGCGCGATGACTGCTCTTCAAAACTATTTCTCGAATCAATACCTGGATCAGGTCGCTGCTTCTGGGGAACAACCCTTCGAGGCCGTCAGGACAAGGCCTTACCATTACAGGTGCTTCAATCTGGAAGCTATGATCGTAAGTAGCGCTCCTCATACTGCAACGTCTACTATATTCAAATGTCTATCCAGACCAATGCGAAGATAGGCGATCAACTTGGGCTCAACCTGTGGAGCGCGAAGTCCAAGTATGGCGCGACTATCCAAACTGCTCTCGACTACGTGATGGGTCTAAGCCCTGGCAGTGAGGCAGTTTCAGACATCTTCCCTCATGTCGCTGCTGTGGCCGCGGCATACGGAGACCCAAAAGGGAAGTATGCTGCGTTCCTCCAGAAGCAGGTCAGCACCTACAAGAGCACGCCGTTCTATTTCTACGATCAAACCGCCGCATTGCCAAACTCGCCTGCCGCTCATTCCACGCACAAGCGGGGAGTCGACGAACGATTGGGGGAAACGCTGTCAACGGTCTCTGGCACAGAAGACTTCGTTAAAGACGCCGCCATCACCGCCGCAGATATTGCTTTCGAATGTCCTGCTGTGTTTACGGTGTCTCCAAGAGTCGAGATTGACAATGGTATTTACGTGACCTGCGATGAGCTGAAGCCGTTCTACGAGATATCCATACCCTTTGGCACCAACACTTCTGCGCTTGTTGTCTGATTTCTTTCTAAATCAATAATACATTGTACATGTTCGTGCGCATTTGTTGAGCGGATACAAACAGCAGAGCATATGGCACGCGCAGCGATTCGTGAGCGCTTTACATATCCGGCAACACAGCAAACAGGCAGTAACAACAACTGGCGGTCAACCGGAATCACCCTCCACGCGGTTCTCGTTACGCCACCGCTATCCGCCCTTCTAAGCCCCTTCCCTGCATCCTGTAGACATGGCCGACGGTGCTTCAGGCTCAACAGAACGCTCTGTGCAAGTCAAGCTGGTCTTATTAGGTGAGATTGGTTACTACAATGACTGTGCAGTGAAATCTCGCGCCATCGTCTGCTGCTCGTAACTTGCTCGAACGCAAAGAACCATGTCATGACAGGGCATCTGTTTACAAGTCGATTCATTGAACGATATTTATCTGGGTGCAAGACGTGGTGCTGATATGATTTGCAGGCGAGGCCGCTGTGGGGAAGTCGTCCGTAGTGCTGCGATTCGTAAGTCAACTGGCTCATGCGCTACCATTATACCTTCCTGATGCACTGTGAAGGTCAACAATGAGTTCCAACCCAACAAGGAGCCTACGATTGGTGCCGCATTCCTGACGCAGAAATGTCGCCTCGAGGATCGTATCCTACGATATGAGATCTGGGATACGGCCGGCCAGGAACGATTCCACTCTCTTGCTGTGGGTTACCTCGTTACGACTGCTGTCATCACAAACTGATGTCTTGTACGTTTTGCAATAGCCCATGTACTATCGCAATGCTCAAGCTGCTGTAGTTGTCTACGATGTCACGAAGGCATCCAGTCTCGAGAAGGCGAAGACATGGGTGAAGGAGCTGCAGAGACAAGCCAACCCCAACATTGTCATCGCCCTCGCTGGAAACAAAGTCGACCTTGTACAACCCTCTCCGACGTCATCATCCCCCACACCAAACCTCGATGGTGAGGAAGAGGCTGACGATGCGACTGCCACCCCCGGAGAGAACGCTGAGTCTCAGGGTGGAGAAGCGGAGAGTCTCAGGCAGGTTCCTCGCGAAGAGGCCGAGGCATATGCCCAGGAAGCTGGTCTCCTCTTCTTTGAGACGAGTGCGAAGACCGGCGAGGGAGTTGTAGAGATATTCACGGAAATTGGTGAGATATTATCCCTGCGTTGGCGATTTAAACTGACACCGACATCCTCTGGAACCTGATAGCCAAGAAGATTCCCATCGACCAGATCCTCGCTTCCTCTCGCGGAGGAACTGGTCGTCCAGGCGCTACTGGTCGTCCAGGCACTGCGCAGGAGGGCGGCGTCAACCTAGAGCAGAACGCCGCTCAGAACAAGGACGCCTGCAACTGCTGATTGACGAGCGAATGCAGCATATATGCACGAACAGTTGGCAGCACCGTTTCATGATCACGACTGCGCTCTTTGTTACACTATTACCGTTATCTCTACGTTGTTGTGTTCTTCCGTCTGATCTATATGGTTTCCGTTTCGTATTACATGTATTTGCTTACTATTACAGGCGAACTTCAGATCTCAGCATGCTGGTGCAGAACATCTAAATTAGAGCGGTGACCGATAGAAATGCGAAGCGGTAGAGTCAGTGTGAATGATGGACCAAGTCCATGTACGGAGGGGGTCCGGTCCCATGGTCCTGAGGTACATCGCTGTAAGGCACACGATAAGGCGGAGGAGCATGTGCGTGAGACTCAGTATCGTCGTGATTCGGTGGAGAATGAATGGAGTGTTCCCTAGGAGGCGTAGCAAGATGTGGCGCAGGAGTGTGGTGGACTCCTGATGGGCCACGGAAATCGGAGTCGATGGATGGCGGTGGATCAGAAGGGTCGTCCATTGGTGGAGGCGGAGGCGGTGGCGGTCCATCACACAAATCCTCCTCGACATGCTCCAAACCCAGCGCGAGCCCCAGCGCCTCAATCGCTACGTTAGCGTTGAGGTTCGCGAGGCCTGTCACGTCCGTATCTCGCGACGCCATCTCGACCGTAGGAGGCGGCGTGAACGAGCGATCCATATCCGCATAGCCATCGAATTGCTCTGATGGCGGGAAACCGAAGAGCGTTCCCTCGCCTTCAATGGCAAAGTCAGGCCCCGATGGCGGTGGCGTCATGGAAGGATCCTCTGCAGAGGGCACGAAAATCTCGTGCTCGGATTCGAGGAAAGTAGGAAGCCGCGAGGAGGTGGAGGCTTCAGGTTCGGCTGTGGAGAACGGCGGGGGTGCTTCCCGTTCCTCGAACGGAGGAGGCGCACCGCCATGAATGCTAGGCCCTGCCACTCCTCCGTCGTATTGCGGCGCGTCGGCGTCGTCCGCTCTAATAGTCCGTGCAGGGGGGCGATCATGCTTCTTGTAGTAAGCATTGTCCAACGACTCCTCGAGCTCCGGTAGCGGGGCTGTAGGAGGAAGAAGGGTGATGGGCATTGACAACACCGATATGCGCTCGGTACGACTATGCATGTGCATGAACGCCACACGAATGCGCAGACTAAACGTCACAGAGTGCAGCAAGGTCGTCTGAGAGATCGAAGCACATTCGACGTTATCAGGAGGATAGAACTCTGCGGTGGGGAGATTCTGGCTGGGTTCGGCGAGCGGAGAATCCGTCGGCGAATGTATGATGAGTCGGATGCGTATTGGACGCCTTGGGTGTAGTCGACATGAAGCACCCGACCATGCTATTACTTTGCTGTCTTGAGGTGTGCGGGCGGAAGGCGCATAATCCACATCCTCAAACGACGTATCTCGGGCGATTGGACTCGTCACTTGAGAGAGCGTAGAGCCACCATCTTTATCTGGCGGCGTCTCAACAGGAACGTCTGAGCTAAACGAAGAGCTTTGGTCTCTCTTGAGCTTGACGCACCGGACTAGCTCCGCGCGGACATTGCGTAATCTCACCCCCTGCTGGACGACGAGCTCCCGCGGTGGCACAGGCACGGTCACGTAGACCGGCAACGGCTCGCCGACCTTGAACGTCCTCCGCGGCACCTGCACCTCCACGCGCATTGGCACCTCCAGCGACCGCGTCACCGGAGCGGGCGGACATGTCAACGTATGTGATGAATACCGCCGAGTGTGTACGGTTATGGATTTCGTCAGGATGGGGTCACCGAATGCCGGAGCATATATATTCGCGGTGACGGTGTGCGTGAGCGAGGAATGTGGTGTGTGTATGCACTGGGGCGTATCCGGAGGGAGCGGGATCGCGAACGGGAAGCTTGCGCGCTGTACGGACGAACGAGCCTCTATGTCAGAGCTGGAGGATGAATGTAATACAACCTCCGAGGCCCCTAGTTCGATCTCTGCCTCATACGCAGATTCAACAGTGCGCAGGGACACAGTCCTGAGTGAGTCGGACGCCATCAGCATCATGCCAAGGACGGAGCAAGAGGGGGACGTACACTCGTTCATAGCGGAAAGTGTCAGCACACTTCAACTGCAGCTCGCCCTCGATGGCAGCGTGCTCGCCGTCTGCACCGAGGTAGCCCTTCTGGAAGCTTACGCCGTTTCCAGTCGGAATAATGAGAATCTGCGGTTCGATAGTCGCGCTGCCCGCCTCGGACAGCGCCTCTTCATCGTCCTGCGGGTCGACTGTATACGTCGGCGGAGGCTCTGTGGGCCCCATGGCGGTTTGCGATGAGAATGGAGTTGGGCGTGGCTTTGGCTCGGAGATGTCCCAGATCAAGTGCACAGCGCCCCGTGCTCAGCCACCAAGCGGGATCTTATGTACAGGATATCTTGTAAGCTCCTTGCACATCGCTGTACGAGTCGATTGTGTTCGGTGCCGAGCGGACGGAGCATCTCATCTGCATCGCAGCAGGCAAGTGTTGGAGTAACCAGAATGGTCGAAGGACGGCGGAGGCACACGGCCGGATAATGTTACGTGAACATGATTCAATTGAATTAGCTATAGGTACACAGCTTTTGACAACAGTATAAATCCCGGTACGACAGGTATGAAGGAAAAGACAGACAACGACAGCAGGAATGCAGGGCAAAATCTCACTTTTCAGAAGAACAATTGTCCCCTAAGCTGCGACACACAGAGCCGACACGTCGTAGTCTCCCGTGGGCAGACGAGACAATTCCTTCAACCTCCGCGGGAACGCTCCGGATATCCTTGACTAACACGTCGGACTAGTGCACAATGGTATCATGCCTTCTCTTGGCTACAATTTGACCTCCGAATGCATACCGTTTGGGTACATTAGTAGCCTTCTTATGGTGAAGCGACTGCGCTTTCAACAATGACCGACCAGTAGCATCGGTTTTCGCTGCTTATGAACGGCATACACACAGACTGCTTTGCGTCACGAATCTATAGTGAGCGATCAGTCTTCACGACATCAACGCAGGCATTCTATACATCTTGTCTGGTAGACTATTGCTTAGTGCCTCAGGATGTCTCCCAAATGCGTAAGGCGTAAAGGGCCAACAATCTTCAACAAGTGAATAGGGCTTGATAGAAGACTAAGTCAAGGAAAAGTTGATATCGGCTGCACTTTGACCTCGCACAACCATTGGTGAGGTAGACGAGGCTTCGATAGAGCCTACGTGTGCACGATCGGTGCAAGTGCTTCTGAGGATTAACAGAAAGATAAGATACATTATGGACAGAGGCGGTCGTAAAACTCACTTCAAATGGACTGGAGACAAACGAGGAGAGATCTGCCTCCCATAGTGTATGCATGATCATCCTGTCGCGTGAACGAGCTGGCAGAGTGCATGAGAGAGAGGATCGATGCCGGGTGCACGTTGACCCTGCGAAGCCATGGTACAATGGTAGAGCAGATTTGATCCAGCCGTTTGAGGAACTTGCACACATGCGATGACATCGATGGAACGTGGGGTATCTTGCATACATCTACTAGTACATGGGATATATTATCAGAAACCTAGAGCGTTGTCGTCAGCGTGGTCATAGTGCAGATACTTGGACTGCTCACAACACTGGCAATCAAACGGACATAATGGTGTGTCTTTTCGTGCGTCAGGTTATGTTGAGATTGCATACGGCACTGAAGATCCACTCACCACCACCCTCGTCGGTGATACCGAGCTCGTCCACCTTATATATAGCGAAGCCTTCCTCCGTCTTACGCCCTGCAGACGAACCGTTCGCAAGAGACAATCGGAGTACATACATAAGAACATACTAGGCCCGGAGCCTCTGGAGTCTTTGAAGCGCTCTTCTTCCTCCTTGTCAAGCTTGGGTTTCTTTGTCGACACCTTTACACTCTTGTGCACCTTCGCATCGCTCCTGTGAGAGACAGCAGCAGGCGTGCGGATAGATGGGTCGAGCACTGTCTCTGGTGCACGGCGTTTGGCAGGGTTTTCGTTCTTTGTGTCATCCTCAAGCTCGCGCTTCCTCTTCTCGCTCTTCTTTTTCTTCTTTTTCTTGTCAGCGTGAGATTCAGGCGGGAGTGCAGAAGCAGGGACAAGCTTGCCCTTGGAGGCAAAGATGTCGTCGATTTCCGAGGGAGGCATGAAGGACGCGGGTGCTGAGTCACGCGGGGCGGCTGTTGTCGTTTGCCGGAAGAGGACAACGCTGTCTTCGAGGCCGCGAAAGTCAGCGGAGCACACTCTTGGCTGCGCGTTCGAACGAGAAGCCGGCTAGCTGAATTATGATGTGCGTGTTCGCCTTATCCCCTCTCTGCCGTGCTTTGTGACACCCCCGCAGGCAGCAGAACGACGGGTCGTCCGGGGGCGTCGACGGGGGGCTTTCGTTTAATCTGGACCCGTACACGGCGAAACAGATGGCGGCGCTGCAGGCGACGAGTCTGGCAAAGGCGGGGAACCGCTCTGCACCTGGCGGAACCTCGGTGCCTTATTTCGGAGGATTAGTGCCACAGCTCCTCCGCCGCCCAGATCTCCCTTTCCAGCCAAACCAGCCACAGCCCCAGAATCACGACCACATGCACGACCAACCCAATCCCTTCGCGTCCGCGACCAATGTCAGTGGCCCCTCTCCGCTCCCGCTCTCCTGTTCGCGTGCTCACCCCCCCTCCAGCTCGCCAACCCGCAGGCCATCCAGCAACAACAACGTCTCCTCCACTTCCAGCAGCAGAAGCGACAGTTTCTGGGCAACCTCTTCAAGATCCACCTGCGCACGAACCGCCTTCCGCCGCAGCTTATTGGCGTGCAATATCCCGATGGTTTCGATATAAACCAGTCTATCTGGAAGGGACTCGAGATCTCCCCGCACGATATTGGCACCATCCGGATAGCAAACAGGGATGTGGACCTGTACAAGATGTGGATTCTTGTGGTGCAGGCGGGTGGCCTCGCGAGGGTGCGTTCCAGGTCTTCTAACTGTGCTGTGCATCTATCTGACACTCTTGCGTTCACAGATAGAAGAGTACAACTACTGGCCCGCCGTGCTCCGCCACATGAACTTACCCGAACAACTGCCTGAACCCCAGCCCAACGGCCAGCAGTCGGTCTTGCCTGCTCTCAAACAAGCCGTGTCCATGCTTCTGGGCCCGTTCGAGGAGGCTTATCGCAAGCAGAACGGGGGGATGCTGCCCAATATGCGCCCCAACCCCCAGCAGCTTCCAGGAAACGCGCATAACGCAGGGTCCGTAAGCGATAGTTTACCGGGTTCCTCCCAGATGGGTGCGATGCCCGGTATGAGCACTGACTCGAACATAAGCCTGGGAAGCATGGGGCAATCCATTTCTACCCCGGGTTCCTTACACAGTCTTGACTCTGCCGCTGGGGTCTCCTCGGCCAGGCAAATGACGCCCACTGGCCTGTCGCACACGCCGCATATCGCTCAACAATCCACATCTATAGGCATGAATGCTTCCCAAGGCATGCCTGCATCAACGGCTTCCCTCTTGTCCGGAGCAAGCCTGTCAAACCGACCTCATTCACGGGTGGGCAGCGTCTCACTGCCGGGTACTGGACAAGCCGCGAACGGAACCGACGCAGATGCAGAAGGTCGTAAGAGGACGCGGGAACCGGAAGAAGCAGACGCAAAGCGCGTTAGACAGAAGACAGGTGAGACTACTAAGAGCACGCTCCCATCGTGTCACTGACATCGTGTTCAGGTGGTTCAGACTCATCAGACCTGCGGGCCGTGAGTATCCTCGTGATTCTTCCGTTGACCCGAGTATTCTGACCATTGAGTCGGCTGCAGTCTGTTGGTCTGGATCGAAATTCGGTACCCCCTTCTGGAACAGCAAACGGCCACGCTACACCTGTCGCAGCGGTACCGCGTACAATCCGCGTGCCCTCGCGGAGAAAAATCGAGTATGTGCCCCTGTTGCGCGAGGACGACACCGCGGGTGGCAGGAACTTGGACGCAATTCAGCATGAGTTGATCCGCGCCTCGCATCGGCCGATAAAAGACATGAACGAATGGGGCCAAGTCGACATCGAGGCGCTGGCGCTGTCACTGCGCTCGCGCCTGGCGACGGAACTGAGCTATGCGCTCATGACCTTCACGATGCTGACGCTCATGCGTTTCCCTAATAGTAAAGACTCGGGCTTTCCTATTACATATGCTCCGGACCTCTTAGAGGAGGTGCTCGACATTTTGGAAGACATAGGGCTTGAGGGGGACGCGAGCGAGAAGCACGGGAGCAGCGACACAGCCCCTGCGACCGAGAAGCGCATTCGGACTCACCGCGAGCTGGTGAACGCTCTAGTGGAAGAAGGAGCGAAGCCATTTGCCGGCCTGGAGGCCAAGCATGGATGGAGGGATCCCAATAACGGGCCACGCCCCAGGTATGGGGAGACTATTTTGACCATCTTGAATATTTTGCGCAACCTGTCCACTCTGCCTGAGAATATGGCCTATTTCGCCAAGCACGAGAGACTTCTGTCCATCATCCTCCGACTCTGCGAAATGGCACCTCTTGGAGCGGACTCGCTTCCGCGCCCAGCTTCACCTGCCCTGTCCCTCCAAGACCTGCTCACGCTTCGCAGAGATGTCCTGTATATTCTAGTCAACATCGCTGAACATGTCGACCTCACTTCGTCTCCAGAGCAGGCTTCGGAAAATGCCCGACAGGCGTTCGAGTTTCTGTCATCTTACCTGTCGGATCCGGTGGAAGCGGTGTCACCGTTCGCCTGCGTTGTGATGAGCGGAATTCAGCCCGTAATGCACCAGCCGAAACCGCCATCATTGGCCGACGCAGCATCGGGCATATTCGCACGGCTCTTCCATCCCGACGACAATCGCCGCGTGCTCTCTCAAGCCGTCCCGTCTGAATGGCTCTGGCACATGGTCGAGGCTCTCGTGCATCGGCTGCCCGTCACGGAGAACGACTATTCGGTGATCATGAACATCGACTGGCTCAGCTACGTCGAGCGGATCCTCCTCGCGTTGTATGCGGTCGCGTTCCTTGCGCCGCCCTCGCTCAAGAAGCGTATCAAGACGGATCACGCGCTTGGGTTTGCCAAGGTGCTGCTGCGCATGGTGAAGAAGTTCTCGATCGGCGCGACACCGCAGGTCCGTGGGTACTTCCCGTATGCCTTTCGCCGCGCGGTCGAGGTGCTCAAGCTCGTGGACGATGCGGAGGATTCGTTCGATACGTCCCAGGCGGCGGCGCCGACGCTGATGTTTGGCATGGGCTATGGCGAGCATGGCGAGACTCGCGCCGAGAGAGGTATGGGCCTGTTGAGCGGGTACCAGGACGTGCTCACGTGGGAGGTGATGATGCTCACGGAGGTCTCGCAGCAGAGCGATACTACGGTGTTTACGGAGATGGAGAGCTTGGTTAGGGTGGATCGGTCTGCTGCTGTGTCTGCTTGAATAGGGTCTGATTACTATGTTGTTATACCACTCCAGATTGTATCTATCAGTGTATTATCCAACTGGGCTACTATATATGTGAGATAACGGTGCATGACCGGATTGGTAAATACAAGCAAAAGGCCAACCGATCAATATTCAATAGCGTCAATAACGAGTGCTCAGAGCGGAGAAGAACGCAAACTCCCCTCGTAGATTGTGACTATGCCCGAGTTCTCTCCTCTGTGCGGACAGTCAGTCGAATCGAGATTTAGGACAAGACATTTGTGCACTTACACCAGCAGCGGTTTCTCGTTCTTGTATGGATCGCCGAGCGCGAAGTATCCGATATCCCGATCATGGCGAGCAAGGACGACGCCGTTTGACGGGTCGTTTGATGCTCGTCGAACGTCCCACGACCGAATGCACCCTGCATTGAAAGTGGTCGTCAGCCGCATCGCCATGCTCATACGTATGTACGCATACCATCGGCTCCTCCAGTGACGAGAGACAGCCCCTGGGCTGTACCATCAACCCACAAAGCATTGACCACGCCAAAGCAATGCTTCTCATCCACATCGCCATACTCGTGCGAGAAAACATGCAGCGCGCCGCGAGTCAGCTTGCGCGAGTCAAAGATATGAACCGTATTGTCCGACCGCGCGACAGCCAGGTAGATACCGTCTGGGCTGAACTGCAGCGCGTTGACGTCTCCCACGAAAGGCTCCAAGTCGACTTTGGATGTCGCACGGGGTCTGAGCCGGCGTGCGTCGTAGAGCCGGAGAGAGTGCGCTACGTCGGTGGATCTCGTTGCCAGAACGAGGTTTGCACCTATTCGCGGCATCAGCATGGAGCTATCGGCAGAAAGGCAAAACAAACCGTAATTGTCGATCGCGATCTTCTCGCCGTCTTCCGAGATATCAAACACGCACACCGCCTTGCGAGTCGGAACGTCGAGCGCTTTATGCACACCCGAAAACACGTCCGGCTCTAATTCGCCGGTCGAGGCGAACAGCATATGTTCCGTGCTGCCCTTTCCCCAGAGCATGTCGCCGATTTCTTGACTGGAATCAGTGGGTGCGACGCGTATGCGGCTTCTTGCAATGGGCGCTCGGCTATGGGTCTGTAGATAGATTTGACTTTGGGTTCATTGTTCAAGGTCAGAGGGATCCGTGATTCTAATGGTAGACCGCTCACCCGTCCCTGCCTCCCATGGCAAGCAGCGGTTCTCGTGGTTTAAACAGCAACAACCCCATCGTGCATTCATAATACACTGCAAGGCGGATGGCAATGAGCATCAACAACGTGTCCTTCTTTCAAACGCGTACTTTCGTGCACCAACTTCGGCAACGCGCCAGACTCGACTTCCTTGCAGCTCCATACGGAGACCTTTCGGTCAGTTCCGCAGGAGACAAACATGTCTGGACTGTTTGAATAAAAACAGCTTCAGAGTACACCCACACGATCGCAGAGCAGACCACACACTTTGCAGGATTCAACTGCACGTCCTCGACTGTATAGTGCTTCACTGTTTATCAGATGAGCCACCGAGGCATCCGGAATTGCCGCTGTCAACCCCAAGCGCACTGACAACCAAATTACTCACCTCCCGTCTCCTCGTTAAGCAGGCGCTCGTGCGCACGCAGCGCGTGGCCTGTATTACCTGAGTTGCAAAGGATCAGCCATCGGTAGAAGTCGGTGGAGTGAGATGCTCAATAGCACGCACATATGCTCTCATGCCACACTGTCAATGTGCCTTCACGGTTGTACGGACTCATGTTCATTTCATCGCCAGCACTGATTGGGTCTTTCCCGGCAATGATGGCACCGACGATCTTCTCAAGGGCAAGCAAGTGAGTGACCGACCTTCCGTGCCTGCGTCCACAGCGCTAGCCATCATAACAACTCCGTTGCACTGCGCGATCATGTTGATTGCTGGCAATGTCAATCAGCGACTATAGGATAGCGGAGCGCGTGCATATGCTCACCTCCTGGTGCGCGACACACCCTCCATGCGGGGCGCAAATTGCGACCGATTGCACGAGGATTACGCGTGCGACTTGGTACGTCGTACAGTCCGATGTGCGTAAGGAATGCTTGAATCTATAAGAGGTCCGTTAAGCGACACTGTCCTGAGCATAACATTGACAAGGCATGCCTCGGTCCAGATTTCTCGCGTCCCACGATATCCCGTGGGTTCGTTTTCACGAGGGAGGACATCAGGGACAGCGCTCCGGAATTGTATCTGTGCTCGCCCCTTCTGCCGGTCGATGTCTCGCTTCAAAGCAGCGCTTGAGACCGTGAAGGTTTCCAGCTTCTCTAACAGCTCAGGCTCGTCATCTTCTGCTAGCACAAGGAGCTGTCGAGAAGCATGATAGGTCCAATTTTCCGGGGTATGCCACTACAATGCAGAAGATTAGGAACAACCACGGAAACTCGCCGCTCGCAGGACTCACGATACCGTCGTCGAGAATGTCCAGGCCGGCATGCGCACTTTCGAACTCCGATTCGCTTGCACAGTCGTGGTCTGCTGCGACAGTATGGTGCTCGGAACCTTGTAATTCCTCGAAATCCGCTGTCGATGGTTCTGTCGTTGCCGAGCGAGATACAAGCAATAATTCTGTCTGTAGATTTGACTTCTGTTGTCGTTGAATTGTTTAGTTCATGTCATAGCAAAAAGACACCGTGCATTACTTACCTTCGGCGGGGGCTCGTCGTCGCTGTCGCTTATAACGATATACTCATGTGGCCAGGAAGGCAACGATTGCTGTAGTTGACGAGGTCGCTTTTGCAGATTGGCCACCTGAGCAGAAAATGTGGAAGAATCGTCATACTTAGGGCGCTTCTTGGGCTGATTGGACGTGGTGTTTGCAGGAGCGAGTCGTTTGGGGTAGATGGGGGTTCGTGAGGCCTGTAGATGAATTGTGGGATAGGGCTGTAGCATTGCACTTAGCCCCCCTGCTCTGTCTTTGTAGTCAAAGATAGACGCACCGCCCTGGGATTAGGACCGCTCTTTCCGTTCGTAGCCCCACCAACATGGTGATGCTGTTCATTAGTGGTCGACGAGTCTGTATTCTTCTTAGCTGGCTCAATATTGTTTGGCAAACCTGTCTTTTCTGGCGATGTGACCTTCCTCTCAGGCACTATCTTGATGTTGTTGTGCCCAGTGTAGACAATGCCTTGCGCCTCGAGCTGTTGTACGTGGTATTCGCTCTTGGAGATGTCTACGCGCTGGAAGCCGAGATACTTGACCTCTTCATCTGAGCTATCATCGGTCGGATTCTGAGCTCTTTCGTCGGTGATGATCGCCATCGTCGGAAATTAACAAGAAATAGTTGAAAACCAACCTTGTATATACGCGCCAACGAGACGTGAAGCGCCCACAAGTCGATCGCGTCGCGGTTGATCGGCGTGCGTGTGGGGAAAGGGTCACGTGTAGCTACAATTCGTACGCCGGCCAGAGAGGGAGTTAAGCTTGCCTAGGCTCCTGCACATCGCCTGCTCCTCTCATCGCCGCAGGATGCTGCCTTCGCGCCAGCTCGTCCGTCGCCTCGCTGCGCGCCCACCCCGCCGCCCCTCCCGCGCATTCGCCTCCTCTTCCTTACCCCAGCTCAATTCGGTCACCGAGGCCGACCTCGCGCACTTCGCCAGCATCCTTCCTCCATCCGCGATCCTCTCCACTCTCCGACCCTCCAGCACACCTGCGTCCGAACTTGAGCCATTCAACAATGACTGGATGAACAAGTACCATGGGCGGTCGACGACCGTCCTCAGGCCTCGCTCGGTCCAGGAGGTCAGTGCGATCGTGAAGCATTGTAATAAGCGGAGGATTGGGGTTGTTCCTCAGGGTGGGAACACCGGGCTGGTGGGAGGAAGTGTGCCGGTGAAGGACGAGCTGGTGATCAGTCTGGGGAACATGTCGAAGATTAGGTCATTTGACGACGTCTCTGGTGTGTATAAAAACGATCCCTCATCTGTCTAATAACTGGCTCACGACGCTGCTGTTCAGGTGTCCTTGTCGCGGATGCCGGATGCATCCTCCAGTCCCTATCTGATTTCCTTATACCGCATGATCACATTGTCCCGCTCGATCTGGGGTCAAAGGGCAGGTACGTGCGGACCATGCGCCCTACAGAGCGATACCGACGCTTATATTTCTTAGCTGCCAGATCGGCGGAAATGTCTCTACCAACGCAGGTGGCCTCCGTCTCCTCCGGTATGGCTCTCTTCACGGCTCTGTGCTCGGACTGGAAGTCGTCCTCCCGGACGGTATCATCCTTGATCTACTCAACAACCTGCGAAAAGACAACACTGGTAGATAGTTTATTGATCTAACGCGCCTTCTGCTAACAAACACTAGGCTACGACCTCAAGCAACTCTTCATCGGCGCGGAGGGCACACTGGGGATTGTTACTGGCATCTCCATTCTGACTGCTGCTGCGCCACATGCCTCGAATAACGTCATGCTCGCCCTACCTTCCTTCGCCAACGTCCTGCCTTTATACAAAGAGGTCAAGCGGCAACTATCAGAGATTTTGTCTGCATTCGAGTTCATCGACCGGAGAGCGTACGATCTGGCCGTGAAACACGGACAGGGCCGTGCACTGGATGATGCTGATGTAAAGGGTGCAGAATGTTTCGTGCTGGTGGAGACAAGCGGCAGTAACCGCGAGCATGACGAGCAGGTTTGTCCATTCTACATCATTCCTTCACGCCGAAACCCAACTGCTGTGCAGAAACTCAACAAGCTGCTTGAGGATTTGATGGATGCCGAGCCATCGCTCATCAACACAGGCGTGATGGCGACGTCGCCTGCACAGTTTTCATCACTCTGGGCGATCCGAGAAGGCTTGACGGAGGCGATGGCAAAAGAGGGAAAGCCATACAAGTATGACATCTCGGTACCCCTTGACAAATTCCAAGAGGTTGTGGATACAACGAGGGAACACTTACGAAAGAAGGGGTTATTGCACGAGGGTGCCGTCGAACATGTGGTTGGGTACGGGCATGTCGGAGACGGTAGGCGATGGACATGTCTCAGCTTATGCTGATATTGATTGACTGCCTAGGCAACCTGCACTTGAATGTTGTTGCGGCCGCATATACGCCGGAGATCGAGGCGGCCCTGGAGCCGTTCGTGTACGAGCTAGTTGGTCAGTGCTCATCTGTCACATTCATTACCGCTGCTCGACTGATGGCGTATCAGGAAAGTACAAAGGCTCGATATCGGCGGAGCACGGCATCGGCGTGATGAAAACACATGCACTGCAGTACTCGAAGAACGCGGTAAGCATCGAGTGGATGAAGAGGATCAAGCACCTGTTCGACCCGAACGGGATCATGAACCCAGGCAAGGTGTTGGAGCTGTGAGGCTGGACCAGTGTAATGCCTGCTGTGTCTCGGATATGCATGTACATAATAATCTGCATCACTATAAATGCTTGCGTGCGCGCGGTGTGGCGTGGGCATCGTGCGCGGCCCGGGCGGCACGTGGGGTGACGACCCTAACCTGACACAACAGGGCCAAACTCTAACCCCCATCCAAGGTTACTCTCTCGTCCCCTCCGTTCTCAAGCCCGCCATGGTCCGTGTCCGTCTTGCTTTGCGCGTAGTAGTGGCCAGAAATGCTGACACTTCCCACCACAGCCGATATTCCAGGACAGCAATGGCATGGCAGTCAAATTTTTCATCCAGAAGGACATCTCCCACGACGTACAGGCCGACGTCTGCGAGACAATCGCCGTGAGTCTCCAGCTCGACGTATATCGCGGTCCGTTTACTGATGCGCTGTGCAGGCTCTCGGTGGGAGAGTCGAGCCGAAAGTACCCCGCGCGGGTTACATACTCGTGCAACCCGGCACCGCCGAGGAAGAGCGTCTCCGCCTCTGTTGGGGCAAACCCGACCGCCCCGAGCGATATTTCGTGCCTTACAGCTACGTAGAGGCATGCAAGGTCCACGGGATGCTCCTGAAACAGATCTTTGTCCATGAAGGTCAGCCGATCCGCATGCACATCGACTCGAGCATCGCCAACGTGAATGTAAGGGCGACGCTGAGCGCGAGAATCATGGTAAGTCTTTCTCCGTTGACATCCGGAAACGCGTTTGCGGTACAGTAAAAGCGTGCCTGGAGAGAAAGTTGCCGTATTCTGGTCTTTGACATGCTTACGTGTTTCCGCGCTTACTGGTGCCCATTCCTCCCTTGCAGCACTCTGGCGGAGACCCCACGGCATCCGCACAGTCCGCCCGTGTCATCCTCGCAGACCCGAACACCGAAGTCTTTCAGCACCTCGTTAAGACATACCAGTGCGAGCCCGACAAATACGTCGAATCGTACCTCTGGGTGAGGAAATGCATCGAGAAAGGGCAAGTCATCTATACGCCCGTAGTCTATAAGAATCCCGGCGGGAGACGGCCGGGAGAAGAGTACGTGATGGTATATCAGAAATCCAAAATAGGCTGCTGACTCTGGCTCTTGTTAGGCGGACACAATTCACAAGAGAGGACGAGGAGCATCTATGTCAGTGGATAGCTAAGAAGATCCCGTACAAAGAGACCGGTGGAAGAACCGGCAACAGACTATACCAACAGCTCTGCGAGATGGTGAGGCATTTTTTTCTCCACAGTGCATCAAGCACACGCTTCTGAGCACGTCAACCTGGTAGGCCCATGACCCTGAATACGCCTGGGTAAGACGCCACACATGGCAATCATGGCGTGAGCGCTACAAGAAGAACTGCGCCAGGCTCGACATGCGCATCTCCGAGATCGTCAACGAGCGCAAGCCCGCGCACGGCGAGAAGGGACAGTACGGCTACGTGCGCATGCCCGAGGAGAAGCCCAAGCGCGTACGCAGCAAGAAGGCACGCGGCAACGGCGCTGGCCCATCAGATATGCAGCCTGAGGAGCTGCAGGAGCTCGAGGCCTTCCCGCCCGTCCCGCTGCCCGTCCTCCCCGGCATGCTCTCCGCCACCGGCGGCCCGAGTAGCGCGTATACCGCCGCGATGAACGGGATGATATATGGCGCCCAGCCGCCCATGGGCCCGTCTGGCGCGGTCATGCCAGGCCTGGCAGCGCACCTGCAGATGTCGATGGCGGGCAGAGAGCCTATCGATGCGGAGACGGCGCGCCAGAATGCGACTGAGGAGGAGATGGAGGACGATGAGAGTGAGTGGCAGATTCGCGAGGGCAAACCGGACGCACCGCGGCCTTCGTGGGCGAAGAGCAAGCAAGAAGGTGAAGAGCAAAAGCCTGCAACGAAGAAGCGCAAGAGAAGGTCAGTGTTGCGATACGAACGTACACTTCGTACGCTCATGACGTCCTTCAGCAGCGACAGTCCACAGGGTACCCATCTGATCCAGGAGAAGAAATCCCAACTGCACGTCTTGGACGTGGCTGTGCGTCAGATTGCGAGGGAGTTCCGCTTCACGATCGAGGAGGTGCAAGAATACTATGACAAGTGCGGCGACGTAGAACGCACAAGAGCGCGCTTTAAGAAGATGCGCGATGTCCTTTCAGCGCTGAAGGATGATGATGATGTGCCTGGCTCCTCTTAGACCTTTTTTCGCGACCCTCATGACCTTGATGTCGGATGTATATATGTCTTGGTTTTTGATCTTGTTATGTAACCTTTGGTTTGTATTGTGTGCAGTGTTTGCAGGTCAGTTCTCAATCACATTCACGTCATCCAGACTCCTACGAGACAGGACATCATCTCAATGCAACAAGTGCATGAGTTAAGTAATCCTCAGTAAAACCCTAATCAAACTCTGTCAGTAGCTTGAAATCTGCCGCCCGCACAGGAGCCGATGGGCTGTCATACGGCTTTCGCCGCCTATCAATTCACAAATCAGCATAGATCACAACGTAGGCACCGCAGGAAGGACGTACTTTTCTCCAGCCGCTGCAGACGGGAAGGAACCGAAGAGGTCGGGATGCTTGGGCAATGGTGATTCACTACAGACAGCACACTTTGGAGCCAAATAGTCCATGGAGCAAATGTCTCGACACGCACCTGAAATATGGATGCTTCAGCGCCTCTGTGGCAGATATCCGCATCTCAGGATCATACGTCAGCAGACGTGAGAGAAGGTCGAGCCCGGCAGAGGTGATGAACGGGAACTTCTGCCGCAGCTGGGGCGGGTGGGGAGGCGGAAAATTGATCGTCTTTGCCAGCGGCAGCTTATGATAGTCCGGCCACGAGTGGGGTGTCGGCGGGCCGAGTAACTTGAAGATCATCGACAGCAGCTCGATTTCGCCCTTCGCCTGGAAGAGCGGCTCCTTGAGGAGCAGCTCGGCGAAGATGCACCCGACGGACCACATATCGACCGCCGTCGAGTATTCCGTCGCCCCGAGGAGAATCTCGGGCGCCCTGCGTTATAGTACGTGGCGAGGATAGTGTTGCACAAGGGCAGGCGGGGGAGGGCAGACTTACCGGTACCAGAGCGTGACGACGAGCTGGGTAAGCCCGCCGACACCGACGGGGTCGCCGTACCGCCGTGCGAGCCCGAAGTCGGCGACCTTGATGGTGCCACGGTTGTTCATGAGCAGGTTGCTGGTCTTGAGATCGCGATGGAGGATCCATCGCTCGTGGCAGTGGGCCACTGCTGATAGCAGCTGGATCATAAGAGTCTTGATTTCGGATTGCAGGAAGGGTGTTGGCATGACAGTCAGCAGCGTCTTCAAGTCATGCTCGATGAAATCCATGACTATGAACACCCTTGACACCGACTGTCAATAAAGAAGTAGATGCACGTCATCGAACGGACGCACTGTGTCAAGGTATCCCCTACGACCACCTCTCGTATTCCAACTACATTCTCGTGCTTGCACACCATTAGCGAGTTGATCTCCCGCAACGCTGTTATAGGGAACCCATTCTTTTCCTGGTCCAGCTTCAACTTCTTGAGAGCAACGATATCTCCTGTCTCCTTGTCCCTCGCACGGAACACGACACCATACGAGCCTTCTTCGATAGAGTTGAGTCGCTCGTAACAGTACACAGATCGCGATGGCATGAACGGTGGGTGCAATGTCCGTGGAGGTACATAGATGCTATGAGAAGGCTTCTTCCGCTGTATCAACGCCGCTGGAGGACGCGCAGATCCTTCTCTGCTCGACTGAGACTCCTCCGGAGCAGGAGAGGATTTGGCAGATTTGCCCTTCGAGTGTCGCTTCGCGGGCTGCACCTGTTGGTCGTCTTCGATGTTGTCTGTGGCGTCCCAGCGAGAGCGCTTGCGCGACGGCGTCGAAGGACCAGCAATGCCGGCAATATCAGACATGTTGGATGCAGTACTCGCCAGGCAGAGGCAAGTGAGAAAGAGCACAACGTGCTCACATAAGCAAGGATTGATGTGATCGGATCTGTGGCCAGATGTAGTGCCCTGAGTACAAATTGACCAGGAGAACAAATGGCGATATCAGAAAGGCATCAGACTTGTACTGTACACGTAATGGCATAAACATATTGGTTATTGGTATTCTTTGCACTTGTCAGAATTAAGAGTACAGTCTTACTTGTCATATGAATACGAATGCGGTCTGTTACCAGTGGATATACCGGGTTGTATACCCTCTGAACCGCTCCCAGTCAGATATTATCCAAGTCGTTCCATCATTTGGATATATCACCTCTCGTACCCGAGTTCCTTGGCACCGCAATTGTAGGATCCTGAGGAACTTGCCCGCAAGCCCTTCTTTTGCAACTGTGAGCATTGCTGAAACCTGTACCAGCCGCAACGGAAACCCAAAAGGTTTTCGAACTGACGCGAAGGCGACAATGGCATTCATGAACTTGCTATCGTGAGCTCCGAACAAGCTGAGGACTTCCAGCTGGGGCAACAGAATTTGTCGCGATCCAGCCTGAAGGTCGTGCAGATTTTGCACAAAATCGATCACATTTGGGCCACTGAACGTGAGATATCTAATCGCTGGAAGTAAATGCAAAAGCATTCGCAATCGCTCTCCTGTGATCAACGGTGCACCGTCGACGACACGATGCATCTCGATATTTAGACAGCATAGTCTAGGGAATTTGACGGGAGGGAGAGTAGGATCGTTGGAAGCTAAAGAGACAACGATGGCATCTGCGTCACTGACGTCGGGGGCATAGAGTTCTTCAATCTGTAGTTGCTCCAACATAGGAGCAGATAGATGGTGGAGAAACAGGATGTCGTTAAGACCGCCGAGTCGCAGACTCTGGAGTGCGGGAAAATGGGATAAACCCATCGGCAGCGATAAATCCTTCCAGAGAGTTTTGTGGCCAGTGAAGGTCAAATGAGTGAGGGCAGGACAGTACAGCGGAAGTTCACGTATAGTCCGGAGAGGATACGCGCCGGCGACTACCGAGAGGTCTTGAAGGAATTGCAAGTTGCCCTGAAGCGGCAGTGGAGATCCGCACTCGGCAACCTCCAAAACGCGAAGTCGAGGGGCACCGCCAGAAAATATACGAGGAAATGACGAAAGAGGATTCATAGATCTATGGGAGCGCCGCGTTACATATGGCTCTGGACACGCGATTTGAAGGACCTCGAGCTCCGGAGCATACATGTGTGTAAGTCTTGACATGATGGCAATAAGGAGCCGAGCATGAGGGATGACGATATGCAGCTCACGCCAACGGCGGTGTTCTGGGAGTACGACGTCGAGCAGCTGCATTATATTGTGGCGGGTCGTCGGCTTCCTTTCGTCGATGCATACGCGAACGTCCAGTGAACATGATCCTGCGCGCGACATGAACTCCAACAGGAGCTCCCGTTGCATAGAAGAAGACACGTAGAGCCGTTGCCATAGGGCCGATCGATGCAACGCCACCACCCTCCACCGACGGCAGACAGAGGATACGAGGAACTGGAACGGTAGATTGCACGTGCACTCCTTGCCCTTGAGTCGCGCAGGGGTCGTATCGCATTCCTCGCAGCAAGTCAGCTGGCAACCGAGAAGAAAGATGTGTTCCAATAGTTCTGTAGGTATATTGTGCAGTGGGTGACAGGCTCGTCGAGTCAACTATAAATCGAAAATTTTATTAGCGATACAAGGCCGCAGTGGTTAGGAAAGTCGCGCCTCGTACCCGACGAGCACAACGTTGTAGGCTGTCAGTAATGAACGTGGTAGGCATAACCAGAAAACAGATGTTGGTAAAATCTTCGCGATTGGCTATTTTTGTGGAACGCCACAACGAGGAGTGATTGTGGGTGCTCGTGCGCACACAGGCATATAGATTGATCAGCGGCTTCGCTTCCAGGGTGAAACAACACCACCTAGGGGTGGATTGATCGTATGCCGTGTTTCAGGCGTTTCATGCAGAATGTACTCTTTATCGCGAGTGCTTTCGGGAGATCCTGTTTACGATCCCGGAGCAACAGGCAGACCTAAAACATGACGGAAGCAGGAGGCATCGTCACAGGAGAGTCGACTTCGACTAGATGCTTGTTCGTGAGACATGAATTGGTCGAGGAATAGTTTGAAGGAGGTACGTAGTTATCTTGCGCATTCCGCCACTGCAGCGGCATCATCTTGTTGCAACCACTGCAATCGAGTCCATGCTCTGCATCAAAAAAAATCAGATGACGACTCCGTGTTCGGTGGATTCCTTGCAAGAAAGCACCAGAATCACCACCTAGTGGGAAATGCGACAGGACGAGGAGAGACGAGGAGCCACTTCAAGTCGGGTGCGGGATGTCCTGATTGCGGACAGACCCGTCGGCGTGACGCGTCGCGTCGCGGTCACCTGACATTGTGTCACTATGAGTCTGGACCGTGCGCGCAGGTTCGAGTTGAGGTACGTGCAGTAGAATGACTACGAAAGCAAATAGCATGGAACTAACCTACGAGAGGACGGCCATTGACTGAAACAATCGAATTAGATGCTCAAGAGTGAGGTAGATGTCCGACAAAGTCTACGAACAGCTAGCTGAAATTCATATCGGGGAGGGCCAGAAGGAGAGAGAGAACGTACGTCGCTCTGCGTGGATGTGTACTTTTTGATTTCTCATATCTTTTCCCAGGGAGAGCCAGTCGATCAGCTGAAAGAGTCTATCACAATATTCAGAGAAGTGTATAGGCTGTTCAAGGCAACGTTGCAAAGCGTAAGCTCTGCTTCCTGAATAACATCAGAGAAGCACAGTCTAAACTTCTGTTCTACTGTAAGTTGCATAACGAGCCGGATTCTTGCAACCTGTCCGTACCTACTGTGAGTGTGCACTGTTCGGACCGTCCCATGAATTATGACTCGTACAAGGTATGAATATATTGAACTCAGGCTGCATCATCTCGCTTTGATCCCCATAACGTTCATCCCCGACGCAGCGAAAGAGCCTGAGCCTCAGCGCAGACCCGAAACAATTATACCCTTATCAACAAGGTTTTCTACTAATATCAGGGTTCCAAAAGTAAGGCCACGATCGTCGCCACGTAGCGAGCACACAGCCTAACTCGATGCGTCCTCGTGCAGGAAATCCAATCTTTATGGTGGGTGGAACAACATTAATCGAGACTTCCGACGGTTTGACCTTCGTGCGCTAGCGGTTCAGGCCGCATCCTCCAATTCTCTGTAGACGAGTTGATCTGGCCCGAGAGTAGCACCACCCGTTTCCTGAAGCTTGCTCCCGTGCACGACTATAACCCGAATGTTGATAGGCGAATCGGCGAATGGGCCAAATCAAAAACGCAGCCGGGGTTGCATGTGACGCCCGGCCCCCAGGCTCGGGAAGTGTTACTTCACATGCATGACGGCGATTGGGGATAATATGGGATGTACGCGCATGTTGGTACCGCAGTAATATCACTTGGAGAACTTGGGAACCTCATATCGCCTTTAAGTGGCAACTCATTGCCGGCATGCGCATAAACTCAGTCAAAACGCAGCACGTAGTGAGCTCGTTAGTCAAGAGGACCATAAAGCGCGCCGATCTTGTCCCGTCGACCGACGTCAGGGCAGTACGAGAGATGTATGATGAAGGTTTATTGGAGATTTATTGCCTAGGCTTCCAATCAGTCGGGTTCAATGAACCTCTTGACGAAGCATTGCAAGCCTGGAAAGGCCCGAAAGCTGAAGAACAGGCAGGCGCTGCGAGGAATACCGGACGCCAATACACGTATTACAGAACAAGACCTAGGAATAAAAGGTGAATAGGCACGTTATATCGGAATGCAGATAAGGGAAACATCGGGAGACATCGTTGTTGGCGGGGAGCAATTTGAAACGCTTGGACATTCTTACCTGGGCAGGTCAGGTTCGCTTCACGTACAAATATCTGCCAAGACGATGTGCGTTTGTTGTATTTGCGGAACAGGACACAAGATTGCTTCGAATAAGAATGAGCTGTCAGGATTGAGAACATTACAACATTGCTGATATACACAATATGCATTACAAATTCGACACCCTGCTACGCTAAGGCATCTTAAGCTCGGATTGATGTCTGAGACACATACTATGGTAAGACATCAAGAGCTCACCGTAATCATGACTGTCATGTCGGATAACCTGCAAAACCTCATCAGAAGAACATCTAGTTCCCCAGGTGCTCCGCAAGTTCTCGTTCCTTTATAATATCTTCCTTGATCTCATTAACGGTGGCTAGACCGGGCAACACAACCTTCCACGTGCCCTTTTCTGTCAGCACCTTGCGTATCTGTGCGAAGAGGTTGAGCAGACGTATAAGGCAGAAGCAGAAGGACGTACTTGATGTGTGATGAGTTCGTGAAGCTTTGGGACGTCTGCGAGCTTCGCACGGCTGCCCATAAGAGACTTGGTCTGAATGTTGAGAGTGAATTCGGTGTCGGGCGAGGGGAGGGTCAGGGTGATCGTCGGGTGTTGTGCTTGAGGATACGGGGGCGTAAGGACGATCTAGCAGCAATCAATTTGTGGATGGCACGGATATGCCGGTCAACATACGGAGGATGAGAAAAGCGAGAGCGATATTGTGAGGGAGACTGGAAGGCGCGCGAAAGACGGGAAGGGGTAGTTGAAGAGCACGGACGTCGAGATAGAGACGGAAAGGGTATCCACGTATGACATGTCAAATTCAATCTCCTGCATGTCTGAGATTAGCAATGGGTAGTTATGCCGAAAGCATGGACGCACTGGATCCGCTTCTGGCGAAGTGGTCTGCTTGAGGCGTGCACGAGACAAACGAGGAGCCGACACTCCTAGGTCTACGGAATGCACCTTGATTGGGTCCTGAATGTAAACAGTGAGTAATGACATGATCGCTCAACCTGTTATTGTGAAGGCGCACCAAGAAGTCTGGTGGACGCAACTTGTTCGCGTATTCCTCTACTCTTTTCCGTGCGACTTCGTCCCCTGCGGCTCCTGGTAGGCTGCCACGCAGTTTTATGCGATATGCTTCTAGCACCTATCGGTCTTATAATTACACTTCTCCGCGAGATAACCTATGGAGAGAGAACGTACTTGACGTAGAAGGCCGTTCAGCCAGTCCGCACTTTCCATCCCGCTCCCGCCATCCTTCTCCTCCAGACCTGGCATGGCACCCAGTCTCTCCGCAATCAGCGCAATGCCCTCCTCATCCTCGTCCCTTTCGACCTTTGGCTGGTACGAAGATGTCCGATAAGAGCGGTCGGAAACGGTATCGAAGAAGAGATACTTTAGAATGAGCACGAGGAGGAAGAGAATGGAGAATTGTCCAAGAATGAGACCTTGAGTAAAAGTGGGCTGCAAGCTGAAGATGTATGCCTCTCCCATCCTGCGGGGTGGTATCTGAATGAGAGTGCGAGACGGAGGAGGTGCGGGACGGGACGCGGACGGTCGGCAAGCGATCACCCGCATGGCGATCGCGTGGGATGCGTTCGGCACACGCCTGTGATCTTGTTTTGTGCACTGACCGCACTTGCAGCTAAATGTACTTGGCTACTGCAGCAAAACTGAGGGCGATACGGAAGTGATGGAACCATTCAAGGCCCTAGTCGTCTGGCCATCGGCACCTCTCACAGACTTCTTGGTCCGCAAATCTCTGTCGTCATTAAAACCTCCTCCGACCGTTCTGACTTCTCTTCCCGAAGATCTGCCCTCTTTTTCAGGCAACCTCCTGCAGTGGTCGACATACGACGCGATTCACCATGACCTAACCCACTCAGCTCCTCCGAGCTTGAAAGTTCTTTCCTCCTCGTATGTCATTCGCAAGGCTCTCATCCGCAAACACTACCTCGCGAGATGCATCTACAATTATCTCGTCAAGCACAAGGAGTCTGCCCTGGGAATCGCTACGCCGAGGACGTGGGATATAGAACTGAGCTTTGCGGACGAACTGGACGAGATGTGGAGCGATGATCTCTTCGACCTTGGACAAGAGCTGGACAAAGCTGGTTCAAAGAGATGGTAGATTCTGAAGCCAGGCATGGCAGACCGAGGCATGGGGATCAGACTCTTCCACACAAAGGAGGATTTGATGAGAATATTCGAGGAGTTCGAGCAAGGTTCTGACGATGAGGAGGCCGTTGAAGAGGAAATCCGACATGGTCCAGATTCTGGCGTTATGATGTCCCAGCTTCGGCACTTCGTCATCCAGGCAAGAAACGCTTCATAGCTTCGTTGATCTGAGTTCACCGTGGGACCGCCGAGCTTCTGACACAGCGTGTTCGTTGAATATGGTTCTGACTGTATTCACAGGAATATTTATTCAACCTCTTGGTCCTAGATCCAGCAGAAGTCCCGCTGGATGGAAAACCCAAACCAAAATTACAGGACTTGCGCGGCCACAAAGTCAGCCTGATGCACTCATAGTCGTCCGACGGGCTGCTCATCACCTCACAGTTCCATCTCCGTGTCTACTGTGTGGCCTCCGGCGCTGTGACTGTGTACATGTACGACCGCATCCTCGCGTTGTTCTCCGCCGTGCCGTATAGCAACCCATCTGAGGGCAAGGACAGTTCGACTAGCTCCTTCATCAATGAATATCTGGCGGCACATTTGACGAACACTTCCTTGCAGACTGAGCGTGGCGAAGCGGGCGTGCGACTGCTAGATGAGCTCATTGGTTCTCACATCCTGTCGTCAAGGCTTGGTGCGTCGGCGATGCAACCCCAGCAGCAGCAGGTCCGCACGCGCCAGCCGAGACCTCCACGGGCGATAGGACAGATGATGGACGTGGAGCAAATCCGGGTTGCCAGGAAGAAGCAAGATGAGCAGGCACAGCGTTCCGTATTTACGGCGGAAGACATTGAGGATATCAAGTCGCAAATCTCGGAGGTCCTTGCTGAGACGTTCAAGGCTGCGTTAGACATGAGTGTACACTTCCAGGTACGCGCCTCACTCAATGAACCGTTCGTTCTGAAAGTCTCATCGTCTCGCAGCCACTTCCCAACGCATTCGAGCTATACGGAGTGGACTTTCTCGTGACAAATGTACCATGTCCATCTCTGCCGAAGTTCCAAGTGAACCTGCTGGAGGTCAACTCGGAACCTGCGATCGAGCTGACCGGCCCGCGTCTTACGTGGATCCTTGAGGATCTTTTCCGCGCCATCGGTAGAGTGTGCGTCGCGCCGTCTTTCGGCGCATCACAGGTAGGTGATGGGAAGTGGGAAGTGGGTCAGACGCGCGAGCTATTGAGAAAATGTCTGGATATGGAGGTCCGGGGAGCGCAAGGGTGGTGAATATCAAAAGACCTTTGTCACTACAGCGGTGTTGCTTTGCATATATCGATAATGTAATGGATGATGCACAGGCCTGAGGATTCCATGAATTATGTATGGCACATTGAACCGAGAAGCCAAAGCGATATTCTGCAGTGAATGCCATTGCTCCTCATTGCTCATCGAGTCCATTGATCATCGCAGCGGCCCAAGAGCTCGGCAGCCACCGATGAACGATCGGGCTTTGGTTCGAAGCGGGCGCTTGCGCGAACTGAGTTAGCTCGATACTCTTCTTTCTCCAGCCACTGCTTTGCAAACTCAAAAAGGCCTCATCTACATACCAGCCTCACCAAAATGGCCGCGAACACATCCAACCTCGTCTTTGATGACCTCTTCACGATCAGCGCCGTCGACAAAGAGGGCAAGAAGTTCGACCGAGGTGTGTTTAGCCTCCTCAGCCACATTTTGCGAGCTCACCCATAGAGTCCGTCGCTTTGCGGTGCGCGTATGAATTAGTGTCTCGCCTATATGCGCACTCGAAGAATTACGATATGGACCTGACGCTGGACTATAACATTGAGCTATACCCACTGCAAAAGGACGAGTCTTTCACGCTTGCACTGGCCTCGTCATTATCACGCGGTCATCCAGGGACTAGTGGTGGGGCGGAGGACGACAAGGACAGGGATGTTTGGCGGCCAGATGGGAAGGGTCAGCGAGGGCTTGAGGAAGACTACGATTATGTGATGTACGGCAAGGTGAGTCCTGTTCCCCCAATGGCCCTATATCCTGCTTGTTCTGTTACTTTTATTTTACTGAAAAACATCATGTCATAAAGGTGTATAGATTCGACAGTGGTGCACAGGAGATTGTGTGAGTGCCGCTTGCAACCGTGCAACTATCTCAGCACGCTCACGAGCCTCTATAGCACAGCATATGCATCGTTCGGTGGTCTGCTCATGTCCTTGACAGGATCATTCCGGCATATGACGAGCATTGTTCTCGGCGACCCAATGTATATACTCCTCCGGAAGTGATGCTGTATGTGTACATTGCTCGTCATCGTGTCTGTCGTCTGCTGGAATGTGACACTCAATCGCATGCGCACTCGTTTTTTTCGCATTCGACTGACTGCCTGAATATCGCGCATGCTTGTGAAAATGGTGTCGCTCAGGACCAGGCGCATATCGCATTTGGCGTAATACAGCTACCGGTGCAGTAGCATTATGTTCTGTGGTACTATTTCATCCTGATATCCCCAAATATAGATGATGATGTGGCAGCAGTCTATTTAGGAGCTCTCCATGTCCTTAAGGACTTTCGCGGAGTACTTTTTTGCATCGTCCGAGACGTTTGGGTTGGAAAGGGCAGCCTGCGACATCAGTCAGCCTACATTGACCGAATCTCGAACGACGCTACCTACCTTATGGCCGGTCGCAACGTTGGCTTCGTGGGCCTCGCTGAGGCTGAAGTCACCGCTCTCTTGCACCTCCTGGAGTCTCTCGGATGCGTGTTCTTTGGCCTCTTCTGAGTTGTGGGGGTTGGAGATGGCAGCCTCTGGGGAGAGCGAAGTCAGCAACGAGTCCTCTGGCCGACTTGCGGATGCTTGGACAAGCACTAACTCAAGCCGCGAGCAATCTAGCGAATGACAACTTTAGAATGTACCGCCCCTGGAAGAACAACATCTCTGATTTACGTTTACCGGGCTGGACATTGTGAGTGTGGAGAGGGGAGTGAGAAGGTGAGGTTGGCTGTGCTAGTCGGACTCGAGGGTCGGGTTCTTCTACCTGCCTCCGATCTCGGGCGCTCTGGTGAATAAACGTTGCGTCACGCTCCATGATGGCGGCTCAAGGATCTGGCCAATGCACCACTGACGAATGCTGCTATTGTTTAGACAGACAGGGGGAGTAGTTCGCAGAAAGGTGCAGCGACGTCGCCCAAGTGTTGGAATTCAGGAACCTATGCCACCAACTAATCACCATGCACCAGGCCTCGGCAAGCTCGGGTACAGAGAGTGAATACATCACGCAACGCAAACACTCAGCCCGCCGGCGCGCGTGCGAGGAGACCGCGGTTGCGGCGAGGCGGATAGAAGGCCGCGGTGTCATCCCCGATGTAGTGAACAGTGTCACCGTCATCATCACCTCCGCCCTGCGAGCATATAAGGGCGGCCACCTCGCATTGCAAGCCGATATGCCTGGCTACAAGTTGAGCATCACCGTACTTCCCCGCACATGGCACGTATTCAGTCAATTTATATGCAGCCACCTCGAACCCCAAAACCTCCGAGGAGGCCAAGCAGCACTCGCAGCATGCCATCGACGATTTCAGCTCTTAAGCTGTGTATACCACCAGACCGTACTGTACGAATAACTCTTGAGATCAGATGTCAATATTATAATGTGTTCGCGACTAGGTGGCGAGTATTCGATCTCGAGAGATACTGTACGTTCATAGCAACAGCCGTTGACCGGCACGCAAAGCAAGTCAGCATTTCCACATATCCACGCAGATATGTGATGGCAACGCCTGGTGAGGGAGATAGGATGTGACGAAGGAGTGACGTGTGCAAAGCGCGACCTCGGCGCGACGATGCAGGGTACGCTATAACCATATAGTAAACCTGTCTGTCTGAATGTAATAAATATTGCATGTTGGATAGGGTGTGAGAAGAGACTAGACGCAGTGAGTAATCCAAGACGAAAGATACCCAGCAAATTCAAAGGTTGAGCCGGTGAAGGGTGCACTACTGCACGATATAGCACCGGCCGGAAGGTGCAACCCTCCCGGGCTCCGTACGAAGAGAAACCCTCTCACGAATGAGAAATCCCAAGCCTGCGATCGCGCTATCGCATCCTCCGGAGTTGGTCGAGCACATCAGCCATGTCCAGCTCCTGAACCGCCTTCTTCTCCTGACGCCCGAGCCGAAACCCGCGTGGCACCTCCGCGGCGACCTCGACGGTCATAGACGCTTTCCGCTCAGGCGCAACCGTCGGCTCCTCTCGTGCCGTCTGTACATACGCCTGTGCCGGAACTTCCGGCATGGACTCGTCATATCCATGCGCACTGTTATGTTTGCCAAGTTGGGGAATCGCGGGCGTCGCGGGTGTGGCCGCGAGGGCGTCGGCGAGGTCGTGTGGCGCGACGCCGAAGAATCGCGAGAGCTTCGCCGCGCGCAACCGGCGAGCGCGGAACTCTTCTGATGGGGCCACCGGGCTACGAGGCGGCTCGGTCTCAGTATTCCAGCGCACGTCGCCGACCGGCGGGATAGGCGCAAAATTCGAAAAGGGCGGCGGCGTCCGCGGGGGAACGTTCCGCGCCGCGTGGGGCGGCTCGGATTCCAGCTCGTGTGAGCGTGACATCAGCGGCACCTGTGACTGGTGAGAGTAACTCCGACGGTGCGTGAATGTGTGCGAGACGGTGGATGCGAGCGATAGGGACGCGATGCTCGGCTTTGCACGCGCCGTTCGCGTGGTGGGCGAGATGGGTGACGATGGTGTTAGCGGTGGAACAACGTCCGATTTTGACTCGGGCTCGGCTTGCTGTGCTGGGTCTTCGTCCCTTGACTCTGTGGCCTGCGCAGGATCAATTTCACTGCCTGCAGTCTTAGTATCTGGATGCGCATCGTCGTGCAACTCCTGGCCCTGCTCCAGCTCCGATTTTCTGCTCCTGTCCTCCGCCTCTCCTTCCGCCTTCACGTCCGGCAATTGCTCTGCCCCCGTGAACACCAGCGGCGACGGCGGTTCGGACGCCGACCGCGATGATGGGAACGAGTCGCGCACGCGCCGATGCACGGTGAGCGAGATCGTGCTCGACGTGATGGACGCGAACGTCGCGCGCGAGCTGCGCCGGCTGTCGGTCACGATCGAGATCGAGTCCTCCGCATGCGCGGTCGCGGTCGCGGTGACCTGGAAGAGCTCGTTGGGCGGCTTGTCGCCAAACAGCTAGTGGCAAATGTGAGATGACGGTGTGGGCTGAAAAATCAATAAGGGGACGCACCTGCATCATCTTCCTCGCTCTCCGTAAATTCATCGCCCGCTGCTTATCGCTCATCGGCTCACCCATCCTCGAGAACCCATCCGCCTCGCCGCGCTCCGCGTCTTCCCCCTCCTCCTTCACAAGCTCCTCCAGCGCCCTCTTCGTCACCAGCGTCGTCTTGTTCTTGCGCAGCTTCGCCCCGCGCGTCGGCTCCGGCGTCAGCATGCGGAGGTCGAGGCTGAGGCGGCGCCTTGCCACCTTGCTGCGGGGGACCTTGGCGCGGAGGGATGCGCTGCGTTTCGGTACGGCGCCGCCGCCACTATCGGAGTCGAACAGGTTCCGTGGAAGCGGCGAGGGCGTGCGCCGGTTCGGGAGTGAGGAGGAATGGGTGGCCTTTAGATGTAGGGAGGTGGGTAGGGGGGACATTGTGCGAGATGGACGTGGTGGTGGCGCGTTCAATAGTAGTGGTGGCGGAGCATCACTTGGATTGTGGATGAGCTTGACGGTGGGCTTTCCTGTGCTGGGAGCTAGGCTCTCTTCGGTGATAGGTGCGGAAAGCGACGAGGGATCGCGACTGGAAGAACCTGTCTCTGCAGGCGCGGTGGACGGGCGGCGGGTGGCTTTCGAACGAGGACGCTCGGTAACAGGAGACTCGTCCACCTCCCTGATGATGGAGGGAGCTTTGGAGGGGATATTAGAGTCAGAATAGAACGCACTGCTCGTTTGCGACCCGTCCTCATCTGGGCGCGCGAACACGACGGGAGAAATCGGCGACATACGCGCCTTGGGTGGCGCAGCAGGTATCACTAGCTTGGACTGGAGGGCGGCGAGAGAGTGCGCGCGATGGATGGAGGCGCTGGGTGGCAACGGCGGGACGGGCGGCGCGGGACGCGTGTTGAAGGTGTTGCTGCGCTTGAGCGAGCCCTTCTGCGACTGGGTCTCTGAGAAGGTGGTTGTGGACGCGGCCGGTGAGGAGGACGCGAGCAGGATGGGGGACATGATGGTGAGCGAATACGGGTCCTCGAGCATGTCGGCGAGCTGGCGTCCGCCGGGGGAGGGAGGCTCGTCTCCGATGGCGATACGGCTGAGTTTCTTGACTTTGCGCGCGAGCTTCATCTTGTCGCGCGGGATGTGTATGCTCTTGGGGATGCGCGGTGGGGGGACGCCGGCAGTGGAGAAGGGAGAGGACGGTTGCGGGGAGTAGAGGATGGAACTCACTGAGGAGGCGAGGGACGGCGATACTGATACGCCAACCTCAGGGCCCACCACCGCAGGGTCGGTCCTGGAGCGTCTAGGTGCAGGCTTCGGGGGTGGTGGCGAATGGGGCGGTGGCGGGGCGTTGGCGAACCAGGAGGAAGGGAGAAAGGCGGAGAACGTTTTGCGGTGGGGGCTGCGAGGAGAACTTGGGACCATCCTACTAGTGGGACGCTGATGCGGACAATCGGACGTGCAGGGCTGATGGGAAATATTCAGGCTGTGATGAGCTGGTACCGCTGCGGAATCGATGGGGGCGCACTGGGGCTCGCTGTGCGGAGCAGCGGCGAGGATGGGCGAACCAGCGCGAGGAACGACGCTGCTAGCTGGAATGCATGGCGGCGAGAGTGCGAGGCTCTGCGCACAGAGATGTTGCATGGTAACCGTCCCGATACGACATGCTGCCTGCGTTCCAGCGTGCGTCTATCAGGCGCACCTCGATTATGTTCTTACACTAGTTACATACGCCATAAACAAACTAAAAGAGTGTGTATCCGCTAACAATCTATGCAAATGCAAGTGCGAATGAAAAACGCGACAGTGGCCATCGTCTGATACTAGTAGCCCTCTACACGTCCACGTCCATCACCGCGATCGTGTCCATCGTCCGCCCATACGCGTTTGGAGCGACGTGACTCCCGTCAGGCGACGACGGAGCAGTGGCAGTGTGCTCCGAAATGCTCTCGCTCGCCGTCCGCCCGTGTTTCCCAATCAGCACCGAGATCCGCAGGTCAGGCGGCAGCCGCACCAGCGACACCCGTTTCGCCGCCCGCGTCTTGTGCCACTCCTCCGCCTGCTCTTCTGGCACTTCTGGCGACTCGGGCGCGGTGCGATACTTCTCCTGCCCGGCATGGTCCGCGTGGCCGACGCTCGACGGCGCGCTCTCCATTGACGTGTCTTGCACGAGTGACGTCGGCTGCGGGCGCCCCGACACGTCGGGAAACGGGTACTCTCGCCCTTGATGGCCACCCGGTGCCTCCAACGGGGATGTCATCGGCGACTCGAACGAATGAGCCTCGTGCAGACCTCTTGACTCCAGGAACGCAGCAGAACCAGGGCTCAGATCGCGCCAATGTCCGCTAGACAGTGCGGAATGGAACGACTCGTCCCCAAGCGACGAGCTCACAGACGTGCTCGCGGTGGCCGCAATGCTCATAGGCGACGTCGAGAGTGACTGGTCCGACACGTCCGTGAAGGAAGACAGCGTGATCATGTCCGGCATGGTCCTCGTCTGTGTCAGAGGGCGCGACTCCATGTCCTGCGCCGTCAGCTTGTCCGTCGCCGCGCGCATCGCGATCCGCTTCGTCCGCGCCCAGTCACGCTCTTCAGCGAGCAGGTCGTCCGACAGCACGTCGCGGTAGCACACCAGCTTCTCCAGGTCCAGCCGCACCTGCATGATCCGCTTCGACGCGCCTTGCACCGCCACCTGAATCCGGTCTCGCGTCGTCCGCTGAAACGGCGTCAGCACCGCCATGTTCCGCACGAACCGCATGTCCGTGTCCAACTGCTTCTGCGTCAGCGAGATCCTCCCTTCTAGGTCGCGTAGCTTCCGCCGGATGATCTCCGACCGGGACGACCCACGCGAAGCATCGTTCGAGTTTGGCGTGGCGGACGTGGGCGACGCAGGCGGCGAGCGCGTCGCAGATTCTAAACTCTGCGTGCGAGGACGCGGGATCGGCCGCGCATCCGGCACGTCGTACGACCAGCGCCCCGATGTCGCCAGTTCCGTCTTGACCTGGTCAAACGTCGCCTTGAAAAGCCTCGAAGAGCTCTCGATCTGAGACGGCGTCATCCTCGACGAGTCTACAGATGAAGCGGCCGATATTTGCCCCACAGGATCCGAGTTTAGCAGCGGATGGAGAGGGGGAGGCGCCGACTGAGCCACGGACGGTTCGAGGTCATCAGGCGACCCAGCATACCATGTCCGCACTCGAGGAGCCGCGAACGAGTTGGCACGATGTTTCAACTCTCGCAAATGCGACGCTGCCGCAGCGATGCCGGTCAGCTCGATGTCCCGGTTCGTCATGCCCGAGGCGCGCATGCGCACGCCGGCCGTCTTGAATGCACTCGCATAGTTGACGCGCGAGATCCACTCGTTCATCTCCTTCTCTTCCTGTGCCTGCAGCAGGTAGTGATGGCCATCCGGCATGACCAAGCGCATAGTGTGTGGGTGCTGAGATGTGCAAAGCGTCAGATACAGCCCAAAGTGAACAATCGCAGCGACATGCCTTGGTGTAGGATTTGTCAAACACGGCGACAGAATCCTTGACCGAGACATATTCGTCAGGATGGGGCAGCGCTGCATGCGCGAGAATCTGTCCATTGCACTGCGTTTGGATAGACGCCACCCATGACGGGTCGCGAAAGAAGAGGAGCTGCGAACCGGTAAGCAAAACACACCACGCACGCCACTTGCGATTGTTTGCCCGACGGCCTCCTTCCAGAGTATCGTCCTTGCGCAACAAAAGGCCGACTTTCGTCACCTTGATCGAGCAGGACGAAGCGGGAGATGTCACGGGATGAGTAGGGCCTAAGGGACTCTGAAGAAGCGGCGCTGGTGTTCCAGACATGCTGATCCCGAACCATGGTGTCGATGCAGCTCCTGTAGAGATGTCAATAGCGCTTGCCATGGTAAACGCGCGCAGAAGTTCGTCTTCATCCCACGGTCCGCCCGTGCCTTGATAGGAGTATGGGCTCTCCGGAGGGACCAACGCCGTCACGTTGACGCGTAAGTCGTCAAGCAGATTCTGTACGACCATGTCAATTACAAGGCCTCCACACGACGAGGAGACACTGACACGGGTAATAAGGTAATATGGGTCAATCCTATTGCTCTTACCCAGCAGTACTGAACCGGATCCGCCGGGAGTCGTGGGCATGTTAAAAGTCGACATGCGGCGCATGTTGATTGTCTCCGGAATCAGTCCCCGTTGACCGTTGACGTCCACTGGATCCTCTATGAATATGAAGGGTACAAATATTATGTTGTCATAAAAACACTAGAACCTTCTATCAGCGTCAATGTCACACCGGCCTCGCAAAAAACTCACATCCAAAACCTCCGGAGCGACTCCAGGGAGGCGGGTATTCTTGACATAGTCTGCCTTGGTCATCTTGCGTTTATTGTGTTTATTGAACGCGTCGGTGTGCAGCATGATCAGACTGAATGCTAGGATGTAAGGGTGGTCTGTCATTCCAGACATCAGTTGCGCATTCGACCGCCAGCTGCTGGACAGAAGACGGTATGTACCTTCAGACGTGAAAAGATCGGGATTGCAACGCAAGTATCGTGCTGCAAAGGCTTCGATGACGCGGTCGATTTGCTGCGTTTCCCGTGGAAGGCCGACATCCATTAATAGCTTTCGCAGGGCTACATCTAATGGATCCCCCATGAAGTCGAAACGGTCAATGTAGGCACGTAAAGCACGTGCATGGAATGGGTCCGCGCTAGAATTACATCAAAAGTTGGATGCTCTTTACTTGACCATGAGGAATGCAGTGCACGTACCTTGATGCGAGCACGGTCGCAACCTCTGCTTTGCTGACGGCATCCGTGAGTCTATGGAGGTATACCTCAGGCGATTCTTCCTCGGCACGCGGCTGCGGTATCTCTACAGAGCGCTTGGAGAACGAACGGCGAGGGGATTCATAACTGGAAGAAGGCGATGCACTCAGCGGGTCCGGACCGGCTATCGGGTCGTGTAATGGGTTAGGAGCGACGTAAGGACTGTTTGATGTAGGCGAGGACCCGAACAAGTTCATGGAGAGGCGATGAAGGAGAGGAGGATTTGTGTGCGCACGAGGGCGCCGAACTGGAGAGGCTTGTAATGATGATGGAGAGGATGATGTGATGGAAGGGCTATGGTACGGAGAAACGGGTTGTTCGATGGATGTAGGAGAGGAGGCAGTGACCTGAGGGACGTCATGAAATAACGATGAGGAACGTAGGATGGATGCTGGATCTGCGGTATTAGGCCGCCTCGGACAGCGGTTTCGCGGTGATTTTGGAGTAAGCGGTGCGATGCGTGGTGCGCTTGCTGGAGAGTTGCCTCCAGAATGGCCAATATCGGAACTGGAGGACGAGCGGCGCCGTTCGGAATGTCTCCGATGCAAATCGACTGCCTGATAAGCAGAAGGGGGGTCACTGCGCGGAGAAGGGGTACGTATGGTCGTATCCACATAGAACGGCGAAACAGGCTGCAGGGCAGGTAGTGAGGGGAGGGGAGGCGGATTGACTGTCAAGTGTGACTTTGCAGGAGACGTGCGCGAATCTACTCGTTTGCGCGTCCAGAAGGAGCTCTTGCGGGTCAGTGACTTACAGCTCGGCGAGGTATGAGTTACGTCAGGCTCGATGTCCCGCTGCCTCTCTTTCCCTTTATCGTTGATCGTAAATTGAAACGGACCAAGAGAAAGTCCTCTGTTTCGCCTGCGTTCCCTGAGACTAGGAGGGACAGTCGTCGGAGTAGGCGTGTCTGAGTCGTGATGGAAGCTCTTAACGCGGCGCACCGTGGATTGAGATGCTTGTCCCTCTGTCAGCGGGGGCATTGCTTGAGGCATCAGCGAAAACGCATGCAAATCTGTCGTGGACGATGTCGCAGACATTGTTCCAGGCATGACATGGGGTAGCCCAACCCCCAGCGCGGCGCGAGCGAGCGCAAAAGTTGGTTTAGACAAAGACTCCTCCACAGATAATGAACTTCGCACTGCATGAGAGGACGAGGAGGAAGCAGCAAGGCGCATTGAGTCAGCGTCATCCCGGTTTCCCACCTCTGCAACTCCACTCTCACACCTCTGCCGGCCTGAATCCAATCCAACGTGCTCCTCGCTCACCGAGGGAGTCGGAGGCAGATCCTTATCTCGTCTCAAACCGCTGGAGCTTGCCACTTGCTGGGCAGAGTGCAGCTCATCGGATGATAGTCGTCGTTGTTTCGGAGCGGGTAACGAGAAGGCCTGCGGGCTGCGTCGTCTCCAAAGAGGAAGCGACAGGAAATGAGTAGTAGTCGTACGCGTTGTCGTCGTGATTATGCGAGTAGTGGTCGTTGTAGTTGCAGCGGCGAAGACAGAACTCTCATGGCTGTCTTCCTGGTACGGTGGAGGCGGCTCGGACGCGCTAGCGTGCACTGGAAGGGGAGGTGATTCCCTGGCTCCTGTGCTAAGCTTTCCAGTCATACCGCAGGCGCGGCACGTCTAAGAGCACACGAGAGGACACTGAGTGCAGATAGACTGCTCGTGCAGAGAAATCCAGCTTGGAGATGGGTACAGACAGTGTGGAGGGGTGCCCTGGCTCGATTAGGCAACCGGGACAAACACGGTCACAGTATTGGCAGGCGCCCACATCTCGTTTGGAAAATCCTTTATGCATTGTCCGTATAGCGGGCCACAGGCCTCACACTCACGCGGTGGCAGGCGGTGGCCCCCAATCGGTATAAAGTGCCTGTTTCTCCTTCATCTCAACCACTATCTTCCTCCATCCCTGAGGACGTGTTCACATTCGACACGTTCCATCCACGTCCATCCTCGTAGTCGTCTTCGCCACTCGACGTTTTCATGCCCAACGACACGTATGTGTGGCGTATCCGATATCTTGAATGCTGAGAGAGTTAATCGCGATTTCGTCGTCTGTTGCAGTCCTGCATTAGACCCCACGATGACCAGCTCAACGAAGAATTATGTCGTCCAAGTTACCCAAACGTGGCGTGGCAAAGACTCGGATGGCAAGGTTTTTCCATTGCACTGGGCCTTGACGATCATAACGTCGGACATCGGGGACGAGCCGAGTGGCAACATATATAACGCGGCCGGGAATATTGACACCTATTATTTCGACCAGCACAACGACGTCCCGCTCAGAGACGCTAACTGGCGAGGGGACTTGCCCATCGGTACGATCCGTCAGGCGGATTTGGCCGATGCTGAACGCATTCTGGCCGATGTGGAGATCACCCGCCACCACACAAACTGGAATTGCCAGAATTGGGTCTGGGCCAGCATCAGAGCACTCCGTCGAGGAGGATATGCCGTGCAGATGTTCACCCGGGAGCAGCTAATCGAGAAGATGGATAAACTGCTTGATGACTGGGAATCCGGTGAGATCTGACCTAATGGTGAGTAGCGGAAAGCCCATAGCATCAGTGCCTCGCTCACTCGAATAACGCCGCATATGCGTGGACCGTAGCCACCGTTGGTATGTCTCGAACGCAATACGCCAGACCGTGATCTTGTGACTGTCGAACTCTCATCTCACTTACTCGAATCCTCTCTTATACCTTACCTGTCCCTGGTGCAAACTGTCTTACTTACGCAAGTTGTCTGGCTTTCAGATCGACCGTAGTCAAGTGACATAGAAATGATGAGTAATGATAATGCAAGTACGTCTGGTGGTCAATGAGTGGGACATGACGGAGGCGTTGCCAGATACTTAAGCCTTGGCTTGTCGCTTTTTCGCCTTCTCGAGCGTACGCTTCTTTTGCTCCAAATTTTGACGCTACATAAGCATATCGTCAGTAATGTAAGTGACAACGCCGATATGAAGGCATACCTCCACTGCCCGCTTCCGCTCTCCATACTTCATCCTCTCGTACAACTTGCGCTGCTTATTGCTCATCAACATCTTGTTCATCTCCTGCTCACCCTCGCCTTCCTCTTCGACGACCGCCTTTTTAGCTTTCTTCTTAGACTTCTTCGCCTCCTGCTCAAAGGTGTCATAGTCTATTCCAGCGGCTTCTGCTTGCAGCTCTGCTGTTCTGAGAGCAGCTTCATCCACCGCTGATGCCGCAGCCTTCAAAGCCGCCTGCTCTGGCGGCACCGCATCCTCCTCGTCCGCCTCACTGCCCACCGCATTTTCCTCTACCTCTTCGTCTTCCATTGTAGCGTCCTGGCCAGTGAGTGCGATAGTTGGATCATATGCCCCTGCACGATCGCCGAAGGGGCTGAGATGTGGAGGGAGAGTCTGACCCTGAAGATATGGCTCCTCGAGCAGGATCTTTCCAGCATTGATACAATCAACAACCCATTGGGGTTGCACATACTTCCGTCGTCTCCTTCTCTCCTTCTCCTCTTCTGTCAGGTGCGGTGTCTCCACAATAGGACGATCAATGATGACGTGCGTTATCGACTCGTCAGTCTCATCGAAGAGAGAGCCACTGCCAGACGAAGCAGGCCAGCCTATGCGACCACCGAACGAGCGTACGATGAATTCAAAGATCGGGCGCGACGTTTCTCGCGAGAGCCAAAACGTATACGGCGCGAATAACTTTGATGAGCCGGATTGAGGGAGAGATGCGAGAGTTTTGAGTGTCGGCAACGCGGCGGCTTCTTCGGGGTTAGATGTAGAGGGATGAGAAACGAACTCCTCCTCATCCTCCTCGATGGGTGCGGAGTCGGCAGCGGGCATATCAACGTCGACGTTATCGTCAGAGGTGGTGGCGATGGTTTTGATCGTTTGCCTGACATCTTTACTGGAGATTCGCTTGCCATCGACCTCGACTGACTTGCCTTTGGGCGCAGTTGACTGAGAAGACGTGGCCTCTTGGAGACGGAAGGCACCAACTCCAGCTCCACTGTCATCTTTCTCCGTGTCTCGAGGGGGAGGATAGACAAGCCCGACATCTGTGTAAAGTTTGAAAAACACGAAGCCAAGTAGTGTCTGGTATAACTCCAAGAATGTCAGCATGACGCGAACATCGACATCTGGAGGAATCTTGAGGTTTGTGAGCTAAAATCCTCCGTTGCAGTAACTCGTTACTTACGTTCTGGGTGAACTGGTATGGCACAAGCCACGTAACGGTCTGGTCCATTACCTCCGCTTGGTAATAGACACCTTTTATGGAAAGAAAGGTCTTTCGGAGAGCCTGAGTGTGCATAACATATAGCTGCCACTCAGAAGCAAGACGAGAACAGTTCTCGATCAGGGAGGGTGCGACTCGACCGTCGGACGGTAGTGACGCGAAGAGGAAAATCATACACAGAGCATCGTCGATGTCACGGACAGCATCAACGAATGTTGGATACCTGGAAACAGTGTCAATTTACGAGAGCAAAAAGAAGAGTGGTCACTGACCTCTCTTTAATGATGTGGTCCAAGCGGTATACCGGCTTATTTTCCTCCAAACTCTTCGCACTGCTCCATTCTCCTCTGCCCAATGCTCGCGCCAGCTTCTTAGCAAACGCTTTGTGTTCCCTAAGTTTCTTCAAGACAGGCTCATGTGCGAGATAAGCTATGTCCTTGGCATAGTAGAACGATGCCGGTGCAGTAGAACCCTTGTTTGCACGCTTCCGGTTGCGCGGCTCGCGAGGGAATATACCTTGAGTTATCCGTAAGCACTTGTAAAGACAGACTTCGCACTGCATCTACAACCTTTGAGAATGCACAGCCGGCGAAAGTCTGCGAGAGAGCATTGCAGTTTTTTCATTGCCACCGAACGGGTCATATAGGCCTTGGCGGCACCGGCCTTTCCCTTCTGTTTCATGCGACCCATGGTGATAATTGCTTGGAAAGAGAGCCTGGTGCGAAAATACCGCGAGAGCGCAGAGTCTGTATGAAGTCCGGCGTCCACTCAGGATGCTATACTTTTTTGATGCCCTTGTTTGGTCGTTGCCAAACACGTTCCTCGAGCTCAGCAACCACCCCGTCCAGCAGCCAAACTTAGTCGCAGTCCCTCAGCTTGCGAAGATGAGGTAAGTCTCATGCTCCTTGCGTACTTGAAATGAGCAGTGAACACCTTTACAGTCAATATGTCCACGTGCCGAAGTCTGAGCTGGACGAAGCTCAACTGCGAGCTCTGGAGGAACATGAGATCAGCCAGGGGCCGTTGTCTGTTCTGCAGCAAGCCGTCAGGAATCACACGCAGGTCCTCGTTTCACTACGAAATAATAAAAAGCTACTGGCTCGTGTGAAGGCATTCGACAGGCATAGTAACATGGTGCGCTGCTTGTTGTTCGCTAAGCAGTTCTGATCTCACGTTTCTCATATAGGTCCTGGAGAACGTCAAGGAGGTACGTTTGGCTTGTACAACCTGCCTTCATTGATACTGAATGTAATACAGATGTGGACGGAAATGCCCAAGGGAAAGAACAAGAAACCGGTGAACAAGGACCGCTTCATCAGCAAAATGTTCCTACGGTGAGTTATTTGACCCTCAGCAGCCGTCAATGCGCATGTTCTTAACGCCATTTTTATGCAGAGGCGATTCGGTAATTCTGAGTAAGTGCCGAGCTGTCATTCATGCTATAAAGTCCTAACTATTCCACAGTTCTTCGCAACACTGCATAAACATCCACTTCTCGCAGCCTTGGCTGCACATGCATTCCTGCAAATCCTCGCTTTGGCGAATGCTGTTGTGTATGAGTTGACGCGTGACCGAGCAAGGATCTCGCACTGTGCTGTGAGTCTAGTCAATTTGTAAGATGTTACTGTACATGTGTGGATGCCGTTTGCTACGTAAATCATTTCCCTTCCATAACGTCTTAGCCATTTGCAAGACTGCGATGTTGCTCCGTTTGAACATAGTAATGGACCTGCGTCACACCGCTATATTCACCTCAAAAGCCTCTGATCCTCCTGCTCTATATCTTTGATCGCATCGAATGCCTCGCCAAGAGCTATCCAAGCGAAACTGCGAGCCCCGAAATAGTCGTCCTGAATGAGAGCGACCTTGTACGCGATCCACGCTCGCAACAAGGACTCTTCGGAAGGGGTGTCGTCGTCGCCCGATATGCCAGCTCGAACGCTCTCGACGAGGCTTGCCGTCTGTTCCCTCAGCTGGGACATCATATCCTTGCGTCTCCGTGGTTGTGATGACCTGGCGACAATTGTACCCACGACCGCCTCCTCTTCCGTGAGCATAGCGTCGCGAGAATACGAGAGCGTGTGATCAGCGCATATCGTGCGGAGCTGAGCCGAATAAGATCGAAATAGCTCCCACATAGTCTCTATCAGGGACTCCTCGACGTCGACATCCTCAGGAATCGGGATGTACTCCGATATACGGTGCTCAACCGTGAGCTGCACGTAGTTGTCCTCGCGTGGTTCATACGATTGGAACTCCTGGACAATATCCGCCAGGTCAAACTCCTGCCCGTCTTTTAGATGTCGACGTTGTGCTCGTGACGCTTTGGTAGCAGTCCTCAGTGCAGGCAACTCGATTTCACGGAACAACCGCCCAATGGCTCTGTTGCTTTCGTAATACCTGGGAGATTCTCTGACTAGAGTTTCCGGCGCATTCCAGTCGGGTTTCGCTCGGAATTTGAGTTGCGGGATCCTATCAAGAGGGACGGGGTTTCCGCTCTTGGGATAGTCGACGGCATCGCTATGCAGTTGTGCGAGTCGCAAGCAGTCAGGATCCAAGATTCCTTGACTGCTCTGGTCTGCAATGATGAGCCAGTTTATAGCAATAATTCCTAAGGTCTAAGAACCCGATTGGTCAATAAGGGCATCCTTGCTGCGGGGAGTCGGGCTTCCAACTTACGTCGCTGTTAATGTACTCCGCAACGAAATCTGCGACGTCTTCGATCGTGCTCTCGTGGTCCACGGTCTTTCTCTTCGCTGGGTCATATGAGGCCGCCGCATATGTACGTCGTGGATGAAGATCCGGCATTGTTGTGACATTGTACACATCGCCGTCTAAGTCACCGCCTCCAAGGCAAGACGGCAGAGGACGAGCACCTAGAGGCAAGCGAAAGTTACGTGGACGTGAGCACTAATTCGAGCCTTGAAATTCCCTTAGCCTACCTTTGATTGAGAACACGACACTGTTGGGCAATGACTCCTTCTGGAACGGGGAGCCAGGAGGCGGTCTACCGATTGCGTGCACAATCTGCACATCTCCGGGATGAATGGTGGGTGACCGCGATATCAAAACGGGACCTTCGAGATAGAATGGCTCGTTCTGGTCTTGACTATCAATGCAAACAAATATCTGCCCTTCTTCTAGGTAGCCGTGCACATCAGCTACTCCAACCACGGTCCACCCTTGGGGAACCGGGATCCGAGCATGATGTTTGAGCTCTCTGAGGACATGATTGACAGCGAAATCCATCATTTGCTGCCAGAAGATGTCCTTCTTGAGAGGCCCAATACTAAGCCGATGAAGATGCAGCATGGTAGAAGTTAGTCGATAGGATGCTCCAAGACCATACGCCTCCAGCAAGCGTGCTGATAGCTCGAGAGACTTCACCGCACCTTGTGCTCTGCGTACTGCATCCTCTTGGAGGGCTAGGAAGACCTCGTACGGTACTCCAAGCCCTTCCAAGAGCATTATCAGCGGCCGGTTAAGATAGTATGGACCCGGTTTGTCAAATGCCCTTGCAATTTCGACTTCCATCGAGTTGGGGGAGTCGAACTTGATCATAGATGGACGCAGACATATGCTGCGGCCCTTGAGCGTGTAATCGACACTAAGCATGCCCTTGGATCCCATGAACCGAATTTGGAATAAACGAGGATATGTTTTTGTACGTCGAGCACGCCGCCGCTTCAATCTTAGTTCCATCCAAATCTCCCTAGCAAGCTCTGCTGAAAGTGTGCCGACTCCGTCCGTGAAACAGTACCTATCCTCGCTGTCCATGACGTCATCCAAGGGCATGACCTCCTCCGGTTCAATTGCAATTGAGGAATCTGTTGTGGTGAATGCTTGTGACATCCGCGCGGCATATCGTGCAGGACAGTATATCAACTGTGGGTCGAAGGCTAAGTCCCGAAACGATCCCAGGCTCTTCCGAATGGTTGTAGCATTGACTGTGGTGCCATCGATATGCACGAATTCTTTGACGAACCACACCGAATGTTCTTTCAACGCAGATTGTGAATATGCAAGGAAGTCGAAGTGTCGACCAGCAACAGTCATGCCGTGGACGAGGAGGTGCTTGACGGTACGATTAATGAAGGTCCGACCGTCAACCTCACGATCAAACCGGTGAGTGAGTCTCGTCTCGTCAACGAAACTGACGCGGAGGAAACTGTCCTGGTTGGCAACATATCGGCGCATTACTCTGTTCGATCGCTCCGGAAACGGACCCTCGAGATAGGATGTTGTCGGGGTAACGATGACACGAAGGCATTCAAAGTTGTCAGTCGAGATAGGTTGGATCGGCGCAATCGGACTCTGCAAGTATCTCCTCCATGATCGAGAGAAGAACTGTTCCACCGCGTCTACCGGTATCTCAGACCCATCTCCATACCATAACGTTGCTTTCAGTTCGGAGCCGAAGTCGCGAAGGAAAGTGCTTGTCATTGCGGTCCCTCTTGCCTCGACCATCTGCTCGATGCGCGGCCGCAGGCTCAGGAGCTCCTTCATGTCGATGAGATAGCTGCGTGACAGCGCTTCAACTTGAAATGCCACCTTCCAGTCTAAATCTGCAATCCATGAACTATACATGTGGCGAACGGTGGAAGAGAATAGGTCTCTCTTCTGGACGGAATAGGTGTAATCGTGGCACGTCATGTGTGCGATGTCACGAAAATATTGGAAGGTATCCAGATCCGCCTGTGAGGTGCAAACAATGCGAAGCGCGAGAGACGTGTAGGGGGCGATCTCAGCGTGTGTGTCGTCGAATGATGTCCAACGATGGCGGGTGGGCGCATTTGCTCGCGTGAATAGATTGGCAAGCAACGCAATGAGTTCTGACTGGTCAGGCTCGATTTCGAAGGAAGGAGGGTGGTTGAGGTGGAAGAATAGAACCGGCATACGCATGCCATCGCGCGTGCCATCAGGAGCAGCACCAAGCCAGTAAACCTGTGCGGCACGAATCGCAATTATACGACTCTGTTTGACGTCCGGTACCTTGATGCGAAATTCGCGTCTGTCTTCGTTGTAAGCCATACTGCCCCTGATAGCGCATTGCTTCTCCCATTCGATGGAGAAAATGTTATCTCTGCACACCCATCCAAATTGGAGCGTACTGACAGAGACTGCATGAGACTGTAATTCATTGGCTTGGGCATCCCTCTCCTCGATCATCCTAGGATCGATATATGGGAGGCGCCTAATCATCTCTAGGACGTCCTCCTTCGCTTCTCGTTTGCCTGGAAGGAATTTGATCCTGGAACCACCAATAACAATGGGTTTCTGAGACGTATTACCCCCGTATTCCTCTAGAAATTCTTGACCGATCTCTATCGTAGGCACGGTTAGGAAACCCACCGGAGCACGCCCTTTTTTGTTAGATATGCGAACTTCAAAATTGATAGGATTGTTACCCGCAGTACGACGACCGAAGTCGGGAGAGTGTAGCTCTGTCGCAATGCGGATTTTGAGCTGGTTGGGGGTCAAGGACATGGGTAGGTTGCACATGAAGATGTCCATGTCTTCTACAGGCGAACCGAGATATTGTAGAAACTGTGAGAAGATATGGGAAAGATAGAGAGGGGCCAATATCCGGATTATGACCCAGAGGGTGCTTATATACGAGCGCTTGAGATTGGCTGGGCGGCGGCCGAACCAGGACTGATAGAAGCTGACCACAGCCTCGCGTATCGCTCATGCGACCTGCACTGCACACCCTGTTTAGACCATATTGTCCCCATACGTGCAATCCATGCACATGGACATATGAAACGCTCACCTCTAAACGCCGGCCGGTATCTCGAGGTCCGACTGTAAATAGTCGCTGCTGGACCGTTACCAGAGGCGCCAGAAAATATGCAAGGGGTACATCAGATGCACATAAATGTGGTTGGACAATGAAGGACGAAGGGACGACAAGACGAAGCTCACCTGAGACTTTTGCTGATCTTTCACTTGAAAAATACCTAGTTTCACTATCGAAGATGTTGCAGCGTTTCATTACCTATAGTTGTGGACGCACGGCTAACATTCGAGAGATTATTCGGGCACCGACTTCTACGCATGTCAATGTCGATTCTTACGCATAAAGGCGAATAGGGAGCCTCGGGCGACTCACATCTACCGCAGGGGTAACGTCAGACTTGGCAAAATCTGTTTCAGTTCTCTACGGCCTGACGCTAATTTGTCTTCGATGAGATTCTGATATGAAGTCCGTAAGCCATATGTGAGACGGGACAAAAACATAAAGACGCACTACGTCTTCAATGTACTTATTTCTCTCAAACTCGGCGCGAATCCAGGCGATAGTCTCTTTACGAGCGATTGGGTCAGGGATAGCTGGCTATCAAGTGAGCATTGCCGAACACGGAGCACGAAGATTGGCTCGCACATCGTGATCCTCGAATAACTTGCCGATAGAGATTTAGTACGCGTTGCTGCAAGACAAAATGCTTGAGAGTCAGTTGCTGCATGGCATCGCTGCGCTAGCAAAGCTTGATGGATGCGTAGATGTTGGAGAGACTGACTGGCGATCGTGGTCTTGCCGCTGCAAGGCGCAGTTGTAAATTCGCGAAGGAAGTTTCAAGTCCCGCGCTTGCTGGCTGGTCGACCCCGACTTCTGCACCCACTGCGCTCTCTCTCAAACCCTTCTGACAACAAGACATGGCCTCTGTCGATACTGACAATCATAAGCAAGATGAGATTGAAACAGCTCTCCAATCCGACACTGCAGTCGATAACCTGGCCGATGCCGTGGCGCAAATCGCCGTCCTTGAAGACACCGAAACATCAGACCATTCTACTCATGAAAGCCCAGGCAGGAACACGAGACCTTTCCGCTCGTATACTCGTGCACAGATTCTGTACTTAGCCTACTCGCCATTGGTCCAGCCTCCCCATGATATGCCCCCTTTGAAAGAGTGGTTTGGGTGCGTCTACTCGTGCACCTCCGTGTTCAGTCATTGACATCTGCTTCTACAGAGATTGGCACGAGCAGCTTATCACTGCAAAGAAAGACCCGGAAACATCTGGCACTTCGCTGAGTGCTAGGGACAGACGGTCAGTAGGCGGTTGCTCATTATCTGCAGTGGTACTGAGTGAATGGTAGCTTCCGACGGGACCTCGATGACGGAGGTATGTCTTTTGTCGTTTTTTGCTGGAAGAGTGTTTCTGAGTACTGTCGTTGACACAGAGAACCCGAAACAATCATTTCGGGCGACGCTTTCCCAACCTTCTCAGATGGGCAACTTCAGACACCAGTCACTTCGTACTAACGACCGCGACAAGGACAAAGATTTGGAGCGGGAGAGGGAACGCGACCTTAGAGATAAAGAAGGTCAAGAGCGGTTAAGAAATGTGCGTTGCAGTTACTTTCTTCCCTATTTCGCTTCTTAACCCGAGTATAGCTATCTGACAAGTATGATCGTGATCGACTCGCCCTTTCCGCCTCCAGCAATATCCGTACCAAAGAACGAGACTCTGCTCCTCATTTGGTGTCCGGTGCGACGAGTAGACTCGGTCAGACGCAAAATTCTTCCTCGACCTCACGCCGCAATGAGACACGAGACGTGCCGAAGCGCAAGATCGGTGAGAGTAGCGAGGATTGGAGAAGAGGTGCGTTTCCGTTCATTTACGCTCGATTTGCAGTAACTGATGTCGTTTTAGGATCAGAACCTGCACGCTCAGGCCGAGACGATCGTGAGTAGGATTTGTTTTATATTCTCCGTGCACAATCCTCATAAACACCTTGCATAGGCTCTGATAACTCTAGGAGGGATCGCGAGAGGCCACGATCCCGGGCTCGGGAGTCGTCAAGAACAAGACGTGAGCCGTCGTCAACCAGGCGCGACCGCGACGAGAGAGACAGAGAAAGGGAAAGGCTCCGTGATCGCAGAGGCGATGGCGACCGCGACGACCTTCGCAGAGACAAGGAGGAGTACTCCCGTCGTGAGCGTGATGACAGTCGTCGTAGAGAGTGGGACGACTTCTACAATCGTAGTGACCGGGACCGAGAGGACGTCTCTCAGAGGGACTCTCGAGGGAGGTATCGCCCCAAGGACTCTGAGCGAGACTCGGAGGAAGATCCAAGACGTTGGAATGACGATGGCAAACGCGACGAACGAATTGCTACGAGGCGCGAACGTGAGCGGGAGCGAGTATGGGACAGGTATGACGAACGCGACCGTGAAAGGCCCAATGGTTCTGACGATCGCGATACCCGATCGCGACGTGGGGTGGGACGAGAAAGGAGGCCCGGGGGCGCTGGTGATGATTCCAAAGACAATGATGACCGCAGAGATAGGAATAGAGAAGCAGAACCAGCATGGATGGAAACATACGTTCCCTCCACCTCTGGGGGTGGGATTCTTGGTGGGAAATCTGGTGATGGTGAGTTAGATGGCATCCAAGCGTGGAAGAAGGGCATGAAAGAGAAGGAGCGGCTACAAAGAGAGAACAGCGCTTCATTGGAGGCCACTCAGAAGCCTGAAGCCAAGCAGGCGAGCTCTGCATCTACAGCCGCATCCCAGGATTCCTCTAACACCCCGGAGAACCAGCTGGATGAAATACAGATTTTCAAGCAGATGATGAAACGCGAGGCGGACAAGAAGGAAAACGAAAAGCAGTCGACCGCTTCGCCAGAACCAGGACCGCAGATGGGACCGGCCCTGTCGCGCGCGCAAAGCTTCGCGTCTGCCTTCATGCTGGAACAACTGACGACTGGGAACGGTGTGTTTCGTGTTTCCTGTATTGATGCGCCCCCTCATCGTTTCCAACAGACGAACGTGCTGCTTCTAACTCACACCCTTCGCAAGGAACTGCAGAGTCGCAGCAATCGAGCAATGGACGTTCCAGAGTATCAAGTGGTCAACAGCTTCCGGCTGGTCTCTCGTCATTGAGCCGACTGACTATCTCACAAGGCGAAGGGCGGCAATCATTTATGTCCGTGCTGGCCTCCTCTGCCTCGAGAGAATCTGCCTCTCCCACCAACCTCGGTAACACCACTATTCAGTCCGCCGAGCGATCGTCGGACGGACAACAGCCGATCGTCTCGCACGTCACTCCTAGTATTCCTTCAGCAACGGTTTCATCCTCGCAGCTTTCTGACTTTGCATCCTTGGAAACGTCTGCTTCAGCCTCATCTGCTGCCTCTGTTTTCAATCCCCCGCCCGGTTCCCGTCTTCTTGCCTTCGGCTCTCGCAGTGCACCTGGTCCTGACGCGTTGTCGTCCAAGTTGCAGCCCACCTTAGATTCTTCTATCAGTCAGTTACCCCCTCCTGGTCTACCCGGCCTTACTGCGCAGAAGTCGACAGCCATGCCCCCTTCAATGCCCAATCTTTCCCTGCTGGCCGAGTCCGCTGGCCTGGATGCTCACTTTGTGACCAATGCCAAACGTACCCCTACAGATTCTGTGCGAGGTTTCAGGAGCTTCTCTCCCCACGGCAATTTGGTTTCCTCGTCTGCTACATTTGAACACCTGCACGAAGAAATATCAATAGAACAATTGAACGATTTGCGGCGAGCATCTGCTGTCGAACGTGCAGCGTTCGGTCTTCCAAATGAGACAGTTGCTCCCTATGCGGAAATGGCCGGGACGCAGGGCGGTCCCGCCAGCTACTCTCCGAGCAATTCTGTTGAACTTGGTGGAAACATCCCGGGCGCTGCCAACTATGCCAGTGGCAAAGGGAGTCGTTTCGCAAAGTTCTTCGACTCCAAAGTAAGAGATGCAACTCTCGTCGGTGGTGGCAGGAAGGCACCAGGTCCTCCTGGTTACGTGTCGAATTCACCTCATCCCGATCTCAGACAGCCTGGCGTGGGCTTGAATGGGACTAATGGCACTCCCGGGGATACGAGGACGATGGAGGATATTTTCGCTATGCTGCAGAATTCGGCGCAGGTCTGTATAGAAATCGCATTCTCAAACATAAATACTCATATTTTCCCAGCAGCAGAGCCACCGTGTTTCCCCGCAAATTCCCTCCGCCGGTCGCATGGCGTCCATCGCGTACGGGCAAAACCATCCCGATCTTCACAATCTGCAGCAGCCGATTCATTCTCAACACCAATTCGCTCAGAATAGTCAGTTCGACTCGCTATATGACAGCCGTCTCGATGACCGAAATTTCGTGCCCGACGGCATGGTCCCTGGGCTGCGTCCCGCACCGCCGCGTTCTCGCAGCAGAGAAGCCAGTGGTGTGCTCTTCAACGAACAGCTTGACGACCCACTGCACTTCAACGTCCGCCTTCAGCAGCAGCGCAACCTGGAGCAAATGTTTTCTGGTTCGGTTTCATCCGTGTATTCCCAGCAGCAGGCTGCAATGATGCGGAATGGAGGTCTACCCCTCCAACAGCCGCAGTTCCGAGGCGCTCCTTCACCTATCCTGAACCAGAATCCTCTCGGCCCGCAGCGACTGCCTCCTGGGCTGGCAAACCTTGGCGGGCGGCCGCCTCACGACCCTTCGCAGTACTTGGGTGGTCCCATGGGTGGGCTGGGGGGAGGTTTGCAGAGCGGTCTCCACAGTGGAGCGACGGCTGGTCAGCAGTCGTTCAATAACTATGGTGGAAACGGTGGTGCGCTAGGATTTGTCGGTGGCCCACAGATTCGCAGCCCGTCAGGCCCACAGGGTCCTTTGGCCGTGAATTCCATGGCGGGCCTTGGGATTCAGAACAACATGGACCTACGTGCTGCCAACCAAGCGCATCTCCTGGGTCTTAGCGGAGGTAGTGTCGGCGGGGGATTGCGAGGACAGGGGCCAGGTTTTGGTCCTCATCATGTCCCATCAGGACAGCCATCCGTCTCGCATCTGGCAATGCGTCAGCAGCAGCAACAACAGCAACAACTTCCTCCTCATCTGATGTCCCATCTGCTTCCACCTCACCTCCAGCAGCAGCAAGGTCTTCCTGGCGGGAACGTGCAGGGTGCGCAAGATTTGATGGCTCTTCTGATGGGCGGTCACCGGGATTAGATTTCGACCCTCCTTTTTGCGGCGTAATTACGCTACATGCTGGCGTGCTCCCTGGCGCTTTCTTGCGGTGCCTGCCGTGATGACAAGTTGTCGCCGTGCGTGATTGCTATCCAGCCTAACCTCGATGTGAAAGATGTAACGCCCTTGGCGAAAGGGCTGCACATGGGCCAACGATTCGTTTATTTTGCTGCCAATACTAGTACTGTACATATACATATTCGTGCGTTCGTGGACTTGTAGGCTGCAGAATTCCATGACGATGTATATACCGCCTCCCGATTTGTTTGTGGTAAGGTCTTCACTGTGTGTCTGTCTGATGCGTCATATTCTCTTGGGGATCGTGCCACTAATGGAGTGATGTGCCTTGGCCTAGAGGTGAAATGCAATGGCCATGGTCTGTATGCGAGTCGTATCGAGCTCGTGGGTTGCGGCTGATATTCCGGACCGGCTGGGAACCCCTCGTGTGATACAGGAAGCTCCTGTGAGTTCATCCGAGTCGCAACCTTCGGACCCGTGTAGGTGTTACAAGAGGAAGACGGGTTTCTGTCCTCGACCTTCCTGTGTAGTGCCCACTGACTCTGCTAGGCGGCCTGCAGGTTGCACGAGCTGATCTGGGACCAGAAAGGCAGGAGCAGGGTGCCGTCATTCGGCATGAGATCGATCGGAGATGCAGGCGACGGTTTAGGCAGATGCGCGCCGACGATGCGGATGCAGCAGCTTCACGGTACATCCATGCCTGGACTCGTGAGTCTGCGACGTATCGATTAGGAACACTAGACTCGAATTAAAGCTTTCCCATATCATAGCGCAATCGGTGTGAAACAATGCGCTGAAAGCAGATCTGCATAACAAACCCGGATTGGCGTCAATGACTCGGATAGTGAACCCCAGGGCTTGATGGAAGACGAGAACAGATATATGCTTTCAAATGCGCACCAGGCTTTTCTCCTCTGGGCATGAGACTATTACGACCACGGCGAAGAGAGAATTGCATCATTCAAATGTCTTACTAGCTTTGTTACCAATCTACTGCTTCCTGGACAAGTGTGACGCTTCCATTGGTGGGCTGCTTTATCTCCTATGAAGTCGTCATGTAACGCGCTTGATTGCGGATAAGGCTCCCACCTACGGGGGTCGTTCACGACGGCTAGAAGCCTTTGATGAACAGTCTGCCATGCATTCTACGTTACGGCGGCAGGAGCGTGGTGATATAGATGGCCGTGCTTTTATGCTGGCGCTCGAGCACCCCAGGACAGGTGAAGTTCGGCATGTGAATCGCCTCGGGGCCGTATGTGAGCGGCGAACAGGACATATATCACGACCCCATCCGCAGCTATCATACCGCGATACCCGGCCCCTGACATGATGCAAAGTCTAGATACCGAGACGGCTGAACACTGGATACCGGCACCTTCACGCATCGATGGCGTGCGTCCCTTGATCCAGAGCACATGTAAAACGTTCACGAGAGAGTAAAGAATGTCAGCAGTACGTCAATCGGTTACGCAAACGCAAATTGCAGTCAGCTGGATACGAGCGTCTGGAAGAGAAGATAAGCATGAATGATGTCGAAATTCTCTTACGGAGAATAACGAGGCCTTCTCAGTTTGATCGTGCACTATTCGGCCTTCGATGTTTTAGGACACCCACCTTACATTTGTTACTAGTTCGTTACGTCGGGCTCGCAACATGCATACCGCTCGGTGGCGGCCCTAGTGCGATATTGATGCGTATGTGAATGGCCAAGGTGACATTTGCGAGGATTGCCGAGCGCTGATATCGTCACAATCAGAACGGTCGCAGGGGCACGGACCTCCCATGCAAGTGCCTGCACATGCTCCAGAGCGCCCAAGACTTCAATAGTCGATGCCATCAGACCTAACGTCAGCATCAGTGCAGAACAAGACCCGTTTGTTCTCGAATTGCTCTTTGGAGAACCTTCGGAGACAGATGGCTATGAGGCTTACCTGAATAGCCAAAGGAGGGACAGAGTTTTGACACTTCTACGCCTGCAGGCAGGCAACGTGGTACGGTTCATGTAGCAAATAGTGGCCAATGGGCGGTGAATCCCGGAGAATCTTATGTCAGATAGGTAGGGTATAGAAAATTTGCGGTAGCACACGCTTCGTGCGCCGTGGGGCTGCCTACGCCTTCGTCCACGTCGCAAGCCTGGGGCTTCAGTTCAAGACTGGAATAGTTTGCGCACGATCTTAGCATATCTCCCGTGCTTACTTGCCCTTATACCCAGCCAGAGCGGCTGAAGCGTAGGTGTGAGCATCGGGTCGCCGTTTCCCGATATACATTTCGCTCACTGTCGTCCCACAGCTTCCCACAATTTGGCTTCCGACCTTGCAGTATAGCGAATCGAACTCGGCAATCTTCGCCAGTAGTCTTTCTTTCATCTCATTTTCTACTACACATTGCTTCACCTCGCGTAATTGGACGGCCCGCAAGTATTGTCACAAGCTCCGCATTTAATTCAAGTCTCGTCTTTCGGTCTTCAAGAACAAAGCTAGCCGACGTTCGTTGGAACATGTGAGTGATTCTTTTGTTCTGTGCTTTACGTTGGCCTGCACATCATGCACGTTCTGCTTCTGGAATTGGTGGAACTGGAAATGCAAAGTTGCAATGTAACAAGGTCGATCTATCGGAAGTGCGTCGCCGCTCTAGCGTCGCCGTTCACGCGGCACAGCGGATTTCGGATTTCGTTATCGATTGTGACGGTTTGCCATGACAAGAATACTGATTATCGCGGCAGATACTTTCAGTTTTCGACAGCGAGGATACCGTCGGCGGTGAGCATTCCTGCATGCGTGATATTGGTCGGCGCTGATTCGGAGGCTATGATAGAATTGCGAAGAGAACGAGGGCCCGACTAGTCACGGAACAAGGTAAGCTGCACGCTAGTAGCGAGCGAGGCAGGGCGGTGTCGGGAAACGTGGACCGTGGGGGATTCTGCAATTGGATAAAAGCGGGCGGATCCGTGAGGCCGGCCAGATCTTGATTGCAGCTCCGCTTAGAATCGCTGATGGCTCGACGCATGTGGCTGAATTGATCGCTGCGCCAGTGCCGTGTACCCGGTTCCCATATACATAATTCTGCGCCTGCCTCTTTCATCCCTTCCCCCCACTCCTCGACGTCGTCTCTCGTGTCCCCGACGACGCCGACGTTCTCCCTTTATCTCCTCACTCACTCCTGCGGACGCTGACCTCATATTTCTTCCTCACTTTCAGCATTCCCGCTTCTCCTCTCTGTCTATTCTGCTCATTTCTACACCGTCGTCGCCGGTTGTCTTGTGAACTTATCTGTAAGTCAATTTTCTCTTCTTCTAGTGTATTCACGATATGCTACGATGTCCAGTCGAATAATGCCGTCGCCGACCTTCCATCTGTGTCCGGCGTGCTGACGATCGGACGCGTGCTCGTTTTCGCTGCGATCGTCTGCGACGTGACTAGAGCTCGAGTGAAGTGGCCTGCGCGCCGTCTGCGCCGCTGACTTGGAATGTTTCCGGAAGATCTCGTTACGGCCGTGTTGGCAGACGAGTGAACGCTCCTGTTCTCTTCAACCCTCTCCTCCTCGCCCTCTTCAGCACACCGCGCATCCTTGTCCCACGGGCGTGGTGGACGCGTTGGGTGCTCTTCATCTCTTGCACCCATGTCTCCTACTCTTGGAAGTTCACGAGTACCGACTGATGGTTCCGCCTCCGCGAGCAGTTCCCAGGTACAGCAGCTACACTCGTCATCAACGTTCTCTGCAGTAGACATGAAGGAAATCTCGGCTGTCTCAAACAAGGCTGCGCGACTCGCTATATACCCAAAGAGTCGCCACTCTCCCTATGGTGTGTCAAAGTCTCGGAAGGCGTCTCCCCTCTGTCCGCCGCAAGATCCTGTCCGCAAAACGCCGCGTGCCACCCGGGCTGATCTCCTGGCTCAGCGACAACGAGATTTACGGATCATGGTGTTACGGAGGGAGGGAGTCTTCATGGAGGACGAGTATGGTGAAGAGATTAAGAATTACATGCACGAGATGGAGGTCAGTCCTTTCGCAAGTCTACGTCGCGTTCATCACTTTGCTCAATGCTGAGCTCGTCGAACGTTCAGCGAAGCACTAGGTCTTCATTGGAACAAATGGATCAGCAGCCGGAAATTAGATGGCATATGCGGCCCTGTCTGGTTGACTTCCTCGTCGAGATCCATTTCTCGTTTCGTCTACGCCCGGAGACCCTATACCTCACCCTAAACATCATTGATCGTTACGTCTCCCGTCGGGTCGTCTATGTCAAGCACTATCAGCTCGTTGGATGCGCCGCCCTTTGGATCGCAGCAAAGTTCGAGGACACGAAGGAACGCGTCCCTACCGTACAGGATCTCGCGCACATGTGTGGGGATACGTATGCCGAGTGCGCCTTCATACAGATGGAGGGACACGTTCTGTCGACGATCCAGTGGGCATTGGGTCACCCTACGGCTGAGGTGTGGATGCGGCTGCTATGCTGCGAGACGTACATCGAGGAGCTCAAGGTGCAGCACGTCGCGCGCTTCTTGATGGAGATCACTCTGTTCTATCGGGAGTTCGTCAAATACCTCCCGTCGGCGATTGCCTTGGGCTCACTCACATTGGCGCGATTCCTTTGCGGAAAAGATTGTCGTATGCTTGAGCAAACTGAAGAATCTTTGGAGATTGTCGACCTCCTTGACAATCGGTTGGCACAGCACGTCAACGACCTCTCCGAGACATTGGTCAAAAAGTACTCATACGCATTCTACTCGAAAGCTGCGACATTCGTCATCCAGTACTATCTTCAGGGCGGTCGGTTCGAAAATCATTCGCTCCTTGTTCTCCCAGTGACGCCTGTCCGGGCGACCTCACCGAAGATCAACACTCCCATGAGTGTTTCAACCACCGCTTCAGACCTTTCAGACGACATGCCTGCCACCCCTACGAGTCCGACATTCCCCAGCGACATGTTCTCGGGACCGTTGACCTCGGATGACAAGGAGAATCTCCCTTCGCCGATCTTCGAGCCTGTCATCAATAAGGCGCAGGTGGAATCGACACCTGATCAGTTCCTCCCGCACGAGTTCGTCACCATTTCGCGTCCTGCCCTCCATTCCTTGAATGCCCCTTCGCCTCGGGCAGTGGTGGCTTCGTGAGGTCAAACGGATGACTGTACAGTGAAATCCTCGGCTCGGTCGCTCTGTAGCTGACGTGTACAGGTTTCCAACGTTCTCGCCGTCATTCTATCCACCAGTCTCGAACCCCTTCGCAAAATGTACCACTACATACCATAAACGTCGTTTACTCGGCATATCAACCGCAATCTGTCTCATTCGCATTTTCGTCAACCTCATCCATGCATTCCTCTCTCGTGTCCCTTGTATCTTATTACTCCTTTTATTGTACATATTTCTGTCCCCTGCATCCCCTCAGTTCTGCCACTGTTATTCAACTCAACTTCGTACGTCTCGTCAATGTTGAACACCTTGTTCGCCAGTAACTGTCCTCATAACGCAGTGTAAAACGGCTGATCCTTCATCACTTGTTCACATTCGCATCCTCGTGCAATCCAATCATCATAAAATTATGTCGCAGTGTGCTTACTGACCGCAGTTGCACCAGAGGTTCCCTGATGATGGTCGAAATGTGGGTTGTTCTCATGGCGTCGCTTCCATGCTGATGTAGTGGAATCAAATTCGCTATCGTAACTAGGTGAGGTGAGGGGTGCACATGGATGCGAAACCGCCTTGACATTCATGCAGGGACTAGCATGTGGGAGGCTCCCCAAGATCAGAGGGAATGATTGCAGGATGAACGACCGGAAGCAGAAGTTGCGGTAGTATCTACTGCTGCGAACAGGTCCAGAACATGCTAAGCCCCATACAGTTCGCAACCTTCATGAAGCTTTGTCGCACCTCAACAACGCCGGGTTCACTCGCTTACACGCCTGTCCGGAATTATGGCCAGCCGCGACGAATGTCATAGCCAGAGCAACCGCCTTAGAATACACTTGAACTGAACTCATAAACGCTTCTTCCGTACCCCTTGCTTGACGAATCCCCCGCGTTCACTCCAGGATCCACTCTCCGTTACTATGCTTGATGTCCACCGGCCGCTTCTCATCCAGGCTAATCCGACCAGCGTTGAGGATGGCGGTGGTGAGAACGGTGTTGGCGATCGTCGGAAGGCCGTAAGCATCATAGTCGGCGGGCTTGGCGGTGCCGGCGTTCACGCTGCGAGCGGCGTCGATGAACTTTTCGATGGAGATGTAGCCGTATCCGTGCTGGCCATCGAAGTGCCCGCTCTCGTCGGGGGAGTACTTCATGCTGCACATGAGAACGTTTAACTGCTGAGTAAATGGAAGGATATGGATACGCAGCGCACTAGAAGGGGTTGTACCACGTCTTCCCAGTTTCGTCGTTGACGATGTCATACCCTCGGTGCGCTTGGTCGACGTTGATCTCTCCCTATATCGCCTAATGAAACTCCGCTCTACCACCAAGAGGGACGGGAAGGAGAGACTCACCTTCTCGGCCATGTAATACCACCTTTGCGCAGAATGCACTCCGGACTTCAGCGGGGCCGTCCACGATGCGGTGTATACGGCCGTGCCGCGGTGCCTTGAACTGACGAGCGACTGCCAGTCGACGAGGAGCGTGATGGTGTCTTCCGTTTGGGGTACGCAGTTGTACGGCTCGCTTGTGGCGATACCCGTCGCGGCGCTCGCGATCACGCGAGTCGGGACCGCCTTGCCCTGCATGATCCAGCAGTGAATGTCGATGTGGTGAGAGGACAGGTAGTAGCTGCCCGGCCTGTGAGCATACACAGGTCCAACATGTAGCATCGAGCTGACCTGATGTCGGAATCTTTGCCGGCCCATGCGCGGAACGTCTCCAGCTGGCTTTTGGGCTGACTCATCCATGCGCTGAAGAAGTTGAATTCGCCGAGAGAGGCCGCTTTAGCCTTCGCGTCGCTATACACAGGGTCGAAGCTGGATGATGATGATGAGCGTCCAGCAGGTTTCTGCGCAGTGTATGCACTGACCGCTTATGGTGCTCGACGAAGCAGATCACATTGTGTTTCTTTGCGGCGGCGACAAGGGCGATGTGGTGCGCAAGGATTTGGACGGCGGGCTTTGTGACCAGAACGTGAATGCCGCGTTCGATCGCGTACAATGCGATGGGGTAATGCGTGTCTAGGTACGGCTTGAGCATGTACCCTTGTCAAGACGTGCTGCTACTTACTGTCAGGAGTAAAGATAATGACCGCATCTCCAGGAGACATCTTGTCGACGGCAATTTTGTCTATATGATGTGCCGTCAGCTGGGGATGTCTAGTAAAGCACAGACTACCTGCTCACAAGCCTCTGCGTTGACCGTTGGGCCTTCCGGATATGAGTCAAAACTACGCCGCATGAGGAGAGACTCTCTATGGATACATAAGAGCATACTTACGAGATGTCCATGTCCTTGTAAACCTCGGCAATGTTTTCCTGCAAGTGCTTCCGGATCGCAGGGAACTTGGAGCCGTTCACGCCAACCATACCAAGCCAATCGACCTTGCCCAACCTCCGGAGATCAAAAAGCGTAAGCCCGACGACCTTGGAAATCTGTGAGGGCTTGTGTTTCTCATAATTGACGATAGCCACTTACTCCGATCTAAGAGAATACATGTTTCAGTAATCAGCACGACCTATGAACTTGACCAGACGCACTTTCTTGTCAGACTTGGACGCTCCGGAGCCAGTCCATCCCGTAGTATACTCGCCCTATTCGCACGGCCATGAGCAAAACAGTTCCTTTGCGACTTATCAACGATCGTACGGTACCACCTGCAACGAGAAGTATCACATCGTGAGCCACATTCACAGATGCACGCATGGCTGTCTTCACTTACACATCAGCACATTAAGCTTCTTCATTTCGGACGGCATGGCTGTTTTTCTGTCAGAGTCGCACGAGAGGTGAAAGAGTACGAAGCGGCGGAATGCATGACCTCGTTCGAGAGCTTGCTATAAGTACGCCCGAGGCGAACGAGAGCACCCTCTGAACACCATCGTCCCGGATGCGGGCCGGCCACTGACCCGGCCCGCTGCGTCCGGTGGCTTCAATCGTCCCGTCGAACGTTGTAACAGTGATGTTGTCTTGCGCACACTCCGGGGTGAATGACATGATATTTCACTGCTGAGCTTACTGTCATGACCGCACTGTTGTTGGCCGGCTTGCTCACGGTCGGGGAATGACTACAAAACGACCTTTCAATTTCCATATCATGCGCGGGCAAAGGATTCATGCACACTGAACGCGGATCGTTGAAATTCCGTCCGCTCTCCTTGAAGCAACTGTGTCTCACAGCCTCTGGTTGGGTCATCTGATGCTAATCCGATCCACGATGCATCCACCATTGATTTAACGTACGTGCATCATCCTCACCATATCCCACGATCATAGAATTCATATTAGAGTGACGACAACATGATCCCAACACTCCGCCAATTATTCAGCGGCCCCTTGCAGAAGCATCTGCCTGAGAGAATCGACTGCTTGGCGTGGACCTGCCAATTTGAGCAGAGATCGACTGTTTGTATTCCATGACATCGTGACATACATCATATATATATATGCCATGGTTGGATTGAGCGGTGCTGTCCTTCCTGACTCCGATTGCACTACATGTACAGGTGGTGTGCGGCCGTTCAGCAACTATTTGCCATACGGCAAGTTTGTGACGACGGTTTGCATGATCGCGACTTGCTCGCCACAACAATTCAACATCTGAAGCAATTTTGTTGTCTGGATCCAAGACATGCCAAGTATCTGTTCACGCCGTTGTTTCGAAGTTGTTGTCAAGCTTCATGGAGTGCAGCCTGAAAGGTGAGTCGAATGGTGTGTGGCGGGCGTTGGTGGCCACATGTGCACGTGGGGAAACACGCGTGTGCGGGGCTGTAGTGACGTGAGCGGGAGTGTGGCGGTGTATACATGTGCATAATCGAGGCATTGTCCGAGTTTCCACCCGCCTGCAGCGCGCCGATAGTGCGAAGCAATGGCCTGCTGCACGCTACTTCCATGGCTCAACCAACTCCTCCTCCTCCGTCGTCCAGAGCCCCCAATCTTTCCGCTCCCAATTCTAATGTCCCTAACGCATCTACTAATGGACTTCCATTTGTTCCACGCAGGGAGTTTATACGCGATCAACGAGTCGTATCTTCTTTCTCTCTTCTAGCGCTGTCTGGTCCGAATCTCGTCCGGCTCTACAGCTTCCCTTTACCAGTCATATCTGCCCTCCGACGCTTGTTTGATCATCAGAATCTCACAGTAAGGGTTCGCGAGCATTCATCCAAGAACTTCTTCGAATTCAGTCTTAATGGCCGCCCGTGGGCGAGCCCCAAGACCATAGAGTCGGAAAAGCTAATCGTCGGCATCATGTCTTCCGTTTTACAGTGCGGTTATTCCTTCTTGTCTACTGTCGAATACGGCCGTGAGCCAGATGATCGTCTCGCAATTGCTTTCTCAAAGCGCGTCGCCATGAATGTCCTGTCTTCTTCTGGCCAGAGTGCGAATGGTTCCGCGGTAACCCTGCTGCAACCCGTAAGAACACCATTTGCGATATCCTTCGTCTCCCCCAGTGTGCTACACGTCATCGGTCCTCCCCTTCATTCCACTCCAGCTATCCTTCAGGCGGTCAGAGGTTCTTGGCCCCGGGGTGTTGTATCTGAGAAGAAATTAGGTGATGCTATCTACCAGTTCAAGTTGAAAGGTTACAAATGTGCGTATACACTATGTCCAGGGTCACCAAGTCAACTCATCTTCTCGTACATCACCAGTCTTCCAACAGGATACCTTTGCTGCAGACTCACTGCAACAGATTCTTACCGTACTCACAACGCTTGATACCCACGCCTTTATGCTTATGACTTCATTGACATTGACGAAACGCTCACGCAAGCATGATTTGTGGATCTTCACGGGGCCACCTGAAGATGTCCCGGTAATGGACTCGCCATATCCTAGTCCTATCCGTTCCAGCCTTGAACTGCAGGACAGCTCTCCGTATGCTGCCCAGGCTTCAAATGAGAAGCTTGCGCCAGTGGTTTCCCCACATCGTGTCGGTAGCACCACACCCTCGACGTCTTCTCCTCTGAAGCCTTCATCTCCTACCATGTACAAAGCGCAAGGCCAGCTATTGCGAAAGCCTTCGCCCAAGATCCAGCTCCCACGCGCATACTTGGCAGAAGCTGACAGTGCGACGAGTTCCCCGGTGGACAGCAAACAGCATCCGTTCTCGAGCAGCATGGGCAGTGTCGACATGACCGGAATTGGTTCTGGTCGTGGCGGCGCGGCTGGAGAGCGACTGTCTCGGTCGCCCGACATCTTCTACGTGGCCGCCGGCGCACAACGTAACGTTCATGGATATCGTAACGATCACACCCCGTGGCGTCCCACGAGTCCGCCAGTCCCTCCAGCTGAAGTACTGTTCCCAATGTTTACGCGTCAAGATGCAAAAGGGCATGCTCCCCCTCAATCGCCGGCTGCGCGGGATATGGTTTCACCCATGCCTCATTCAAGGGGTCCCTCCACCGGAAATAGCTCTCCTACTATCCGCATATCCACCTCGTCGCCGCCACTACTCGTCTCGGGTGAAACACTGCGAAAGGTTCATTCCCCTTTACCCAAGCTCACGATTGGGAATGACTACTTCTCAATTCACCATCATGACACCGATGTACAGGATGGCATGACGCAGGGCGGAGAAGGTCCTCCAAGTCGACCTGCTGCGCCTGACACGCCGCGCACGCCCACCCCACCCCTTCTCACCCCGGGCGTCTTCCGAGACTCCGCATTCTCGTCTACCACAGGCCAGTCGTACGAAATCCCTATTACATGGGCAGGCGGAGAATCGGAGCTCGGCCGCGGGATGTTGGCGGGCATCAAGGAGGAGGATGAAGCGAGCAGACAGAATAATCTGCAAAGTTCGCAGGAGAGACTAGGCGAGTCGTCGCAGACGCCAAGACAGGACCGAATGCCCGCCGAACCGCTGCCCCGTAGCGCTTGGGCTCCAACTCCAAACGAGCGGAAGTCGCATGACGTAGCCACCATGTTGTCTCCTACAATCCAAGAGCTGTCCAATCAAGAGCAAGACGGGCATGGCCACTTCATAGGCAAGGTGGCCAACAGGCATAGTCGAGGGGATAGTGCGAGAGAGGCGTCGAGGTCGTCGGAGCGACGTGCATATGACAGAGGCAGGGCCAAGGATCCGTCAGGCTCGTCGCTCCCTCCGTCTGACAAGACAGCACGGAGTAGGTTTCGAACACCGACGCCAGGAGAACTCAACAGAGTGAGGAGTCCGACACGCAGAGACACAGACACGTCAGGATGGGTCATAGTGAACGTCGACGACAGCAAGGGGAAGGGACGAAAAACACAGAGCGTGTCTCCTGGTCCGACGCACCGAGTGAAGTCACCGAACCAAAACCCAAGCTTGAGTGCGCCACCCTCGCACCGTCCGGTTCAGCATATGCGAAGCAGCTCCGACTCACGTCTTCCTCGTTTGCCACAGAGTAATCAGAGGGAGCCTGCTGTGGCGAAAGGCTCAATGGCGCCCGCAGCAAAAGCCATCGTGCTCATCGATGCCATGGATGCAAACAAGCAGGGCTCTGCTCTCAAACGATTATTCAGGAGGAGCAAGGACAAGGGTCAGTCCGCCCAGAGTACGCAGGCACCTGATAAGTCAGTTGACGCCTCCAGATACGGACCCAGGAACGAAGGCGAAGTGATGCAGAATGACAGAGATGAAAAGAAATCTCGAGAGCGATGGAAGTTTCAACGGTCCGCACGCGCCAGTATGAGCTGTTAGTCTTTCGCTGCCTTCAAGACCTATATTGATTGGATAGATTTGTGAGCACTCTCCAGACGAACTCTACATGTTGCACATGCACCCCCTAGTACCTCTCATTTAGCACGCTTTATGCGATACCATGGACTGTTTCCTCTATATTGATGCCCGCTCATGCCAGATCAGGACTGTCTCTTCTTGCTCATGAATCCTAATGACATATACCTTACGATATTGTGAATTGATGACTGCACGAATGCGATGGCTTACTGACAATTAATGTATTTATGCGCGATTGCGTGCGACACTTTCATGTTTGATGACGCGGTCCTTGACTAGTCACGAGATGAATCTGCGGAGTGTATACAGGGGCAAAATCTAAGCGGAGGAAGTCTCAAATGATGAGCTGGACACCGTTAACGTCGAGGCGACGCGTCGGTCGCCTCGCGCGACGCCAACGCCACAGAGCGCGACTACGCCACGTGACCGTTCTCGCAGCATCCCGCAACACTGCCAACGGGCGGCAGGAGATCATAACCAGCATCCATCCGTAGCATCGGAGTCGATATATGGAGCATAAAGCAACATGAATGAGTCAAAACGACTGATCGCCGATGGAGAATGAGTTGAGTAGTGTCGCGAGCGGGTGCGCGTCGCCGCCCTGTTAGCGAGTTGCACGGCAAGGGTCGCGATTGGGCTTGGTGTTGCAGTTACGGAGCTTAGCATCGCGTTACAGTCATTCCCCAACGCGAGTAACTCCTTTCGATGTTTGTTTCGGACCGCCGTGGGAGCTCAGGCCGCAGAACATGCTGGTCTTGTCATCGCGCCGCGAACGTTAAATGGAGCCATATTAGGCGCATCGGCTGCATCGTAGACATTCCGCGGGCTGTTGTAGACAGGAAATATGCAGTCGGGAAGGATGACAGTCTTTAGGAACATACAAGATGGAGTCCAGACAGAGACAGAGAGTATGCAGACTCGGAGGGCATCTAGATGAAGCGCTTTTGCGGCCAGAGCGTCGGCGATGGGGCACGCGTCCAGTAGGCACCAGCGCTGCCTGCGGGATGTCGCCGAGTGAGTATGGTCAGAAGACGGTGATCCAAAGGGACAAAAGATGAAAGACGAAAGAGCGAAGCTGTGGGAGAGGAGAGGCTGAGTGTGAAATTGGGGAGGCAGGAGGGTGGCTGAAGGTGGACGGCCTCGGGAGACGCACTACAGCAAAAATGCGAGCGACCGCTTCACGCACCCGTATCCCAACCAAGCCACCTGTCCGCTTGCCCTATTCCCGCCCTTTCTCTCCCGCCCTCCTCCCCCCCTTTCTCCGTCCCCCCGACATCCCACCATGCCCACCTGCAGGCGCAAACGCGTTCTCCTCACCGAACCCTCCCCAGAGCTCCTCGCCGCTCTCAGGACTGATCCCAACAGGGAGGTCTACTACTTAGCCCAGACTGGCGAGATATTCGAGACATACGAGTACATCCTGCCCTCGTACCACCTTGTCGTCCCCCCTCCACTGACCCATCATGTCCTCCCTAGGGCCTACGTTGCACGGATGTCATTCTACCGCCTCAAACAGTTCCAATGCGAGGTCACTGGCAAGAGTGGCTTGGACTACTTCGAGGCGCTCGCCAGCGAACGACAGGAAGCCCAGACGATGCATACTCGGTTTCCGGGTCCTCTCAAGCCTGCTGTTCTGAAAGCTGTACAGTGGCGTTAGTCCTTTCTCGTGCAATACGTGTTCCATATGCTGACAATAATCCTTCATATGCGCAGAGGTCATGGGTCGCCTCGACCATCTTGTTGAAGCGGTGTATGACCGTTTCAAGGACCGATATTACCCTGACGAAAGTGCGTTCCTCCCCTTCTCGTGTGACTGACAGCCTTTGGTTTGTATGTTGACGAACTGTGTGCAGGAGTGTTGATAGACATTCAAGGTGACAAGTGCGTTCTGTTGTGCATCCATATCCTCTCCCATCCCTGACACAGTCATATTGCAGGTTCCTAGCCCGTGTTATACAGGTCATTCCCCCCAAAGCCTCGGCAATTGCATCCACATCAAGAGCAAGCCCACTCGGCCCCAGCTCATCTTCCTCGTCACCGTTGTCCGATGTCGAACAGCCTATTCACAAGCTTGCCGAGGATCTCAAGATCCCAGTCAAGGACTCAATCGCTAGGGACGATCCGGTCCAATATGTGTACAGAGTACAAATCCTTGATGAGGAACAACAGCCTGGTGCCGGCAGGAGCCATGACAAGCACAAGGGAAAGGAAGCTGCGAAATGGAGCGGTGCAGTGATGGATGTGGATTGCTCCGTCATGAGGTACGTTCCCCTTTACGTAACCGTATACTGTACGATCAATGTGGCGAGTTCACAATGTGTAGTCGCGACCGTCTCACCTTCTCGAAATCTATCCTGCGTCGCTTCATACGCGACTGCGTCGACCGAGCACCAGCTGTAGCATCACCATGGACGGTCAAGCCAGCCATCGCCGAGCGGTACGGTGTGAACACTGTAATGCCAGAAGAGACGAGAGCAGGTGTCGAAAGCATCAAGAAGGGCGAGATAGATAAGAGAAAGAAGATATGGGAGGACAAGGAGGGACCTGTCACAAAGAAACAGAGGAAGATGACAGCAGCCGCAGAAGAGAAAGGTAAATCACCCTGACCCTCGAGTTCTGGCCATCATTTCACGATGATATAGTGAAAGCTCTTGCAGCGGCTGCTGAGCAGCGTGAGCGCGAAGAACGCGCGAAAGCAGAAAAGGTTCAAAAACATAAAGAAGAAATGGACCGCCTCGCTGCTGAGAAGAAGAAAAAGAAGCCACTACGGTATCCGACGGAGGACCTGGATATAGTCATAGGCGACAGGGAGAAGAAGGCGGGAATGAAGCTACAGAGGCCGATTCCGAGTCGTGCAGCCATGCCTTTTGGCCATGATATGGTGACCAACGAGGGGTTTTTGATGTCTTGGAATTTCCTCGTAGTCTTCGGGTGAGTATTTTTGATGGTCAGTAAATTTCGATCTCATGTGGAATGTTCCCGTAGGCAACCTCTGCATATTTCGCCATTTACTATGGACGAGTTCGAACAAGCCGTTCGGCACTCTGTCGTGGATCCTCCTTGCACTTTGCTGGCCGAAGTGCACGCCACGCTCATATACAATCTGCGTACCGTGCCCTTCAATCGGCATAGTGCTACGCTGTCTTTGATTCGTACCCAAGATGACGCTCAAAAGGATGATGATCTAGCGTTCGGCGTTTCTGTCGAACAGCTCACGAGCGCGATGGCAGACGTTGGCAATAATTGGGAACGCGCTCCTTTACGTCATTCAGAAGGCAGGGAGGGTTGGGAAGAATCTCTTGTGGGTTGTCTCAAAGACGTGTGTCACCCTTTATACTGCCCGCCCGTTCGCTCGTCACTGACGCTCTGAAAACAGCATGCAAACTATGGTAACTTCCCGCGAATACGTGAAATCCTTACCCGCTTGCTCTTTGCTCCGGAATCTGTCTCGGAACTATCAAGTTCAACAGCTGTGACTCCGGCATCAAGCCCAGCACCTGTCTCGCTTTCCGTACCAATGGCTCCAAGTCTGCGGTACTACTCTCTGCCTCCAACAGATCGAGTTGCCATACTGTATTTCATGTGTAACTTGGCAATCTCGAGCAAGGCTATCCATGTACATATGGAGTGGTGCGAAGAGCAGCTGACAGCTCTACGAAAGGAGAAGATCGAGGTCAATAGGACAAAGAAGCAGTAGTACGTGCAATTTTTCCAAACTCCATAGGGCAAATTGACTCATAGTAACTTCTCGTAGTTTGGAGGAGATGCACGCCTTGAATGGTGACCTCAAAGCGAACGCGACATCCGCTAATGGTGGAGACGAGGATGCTGCGTTGCCAGATTCTTCTGACCTTTCTGAAGTACCTGGGTCAGACGGAGAGACGGAGACGCCTTCCGCCGCGCGGAAGGAGACTCGGCGAACAGCAGCGAAGGAGCGAGAGCTGGCACGGGCTAAGCAGGCTTCGGTCAAGCAAGCCCTGGCTGAGCACCGGCGGCTAGATGAAGAAGTGAACAAGCTCGAGAGGAGGCTCGAAGGTATCGAGAGGGAGTTCAGGAAACTGCTCGGCTCGATCCGTGTCAAGCCTTTGGGCAGGGATCGGTTCTACAACCGTGTTTGGTGGTTTGATGGGATGGGTGCAGCGTCACTCATTGGGAGCGGAGGGTCGGTCCACTATGGGACTGGCCGGGTATTCGTTCAGGGACCGAGCGAATTTGACATAGAGATCCTTCAAAGAAGAGAGGAGGATGTCAATGCTCGTCGCAAAGAGGAGGAAGGTGAAGAAGGGATGCTTGGAGTGGGCGAGTGGGCAGCGTATAATGATGTTGAAGAGGTGCGTCGCGCTCTGGAATATTTTCCTGACGACGTTTAACACACCGATTCTAGGTCGAGGCTTTCGTCGCATGGTTAAACCCGAAGGGTGTTCGAGAGCTGGCTCTAAAGAACACCACTCAGAAGTGGTGGTCACATATCGCACCTGGCATCCGAAAACGCACTGCGGTAAGCTCAGCCAGACCCTTTGGAAGCCTTGACTCATCTCTGTGCAGGACCTGGCTTCGAATGCGAAGACCCCAGAAACACGACGCAGTACACGGAAACATGCTGGTGCAGACCTCGCAAGAGAGCCGTATATGCTATGGACGAACCGCAAGGCAGTTAATGGCTCGTAATAATGTCGCTGTTTGCTATTATCATATTAATTCTTTCTGTCGACATGTATATCCCCCGCATTGCATAGCACTTTACCATTATGCACGCCCTAATAGATGCTGTTCTACTTGCACAAATACTGTATACCTCCTGCGTCGTGTCCGCCGCGTGTCGATTATGCCCGGCTGATCGCGAGCGTGATCGCGTCTGCACTAGGTGTCTGTATGCCTTTACGCTTAACGAGCATGAACAAATCTCTTGACACTCTCTACAATATTGCAGCGCCTCGCCTGTCGCTTATCGGATGACCTGCTCGTATTTGGACCTGAATGCTTGCCGATGGGCTCATATGACGTTGGAATCCTTCGTTTGGTGACGGCGAAGGACTCCATTTCCCGGATCTTCGACAAAATTATGGGAAGGGTCTGTCTCAATTTGCATAACTCTCGTCTTGAGACAAGTGTTGACCTGGTTCCGTGCCCAGATTACTTTGATAGTCCACCTTCTCGGTATCGGCATAGAAAATGGCGTCGACCGAGCTCTCCCCTGCTAGCCCGAATTTATCATACGATAACGATCTCTCTGCATGTCGCGAGAAATGTCTGCCCCACCCATTGCTATAAGCTTTCGCCCGCGATCGCTCTCTGGAGTTGTGGATGTCACCCAATCTTGTGAGTGCCATGCATGCGCATCTACTGTGCCTCATTCGAACCTCCGTTAGATCGGCGCGCACAAGAGTATCTATCTGAATCGGTCTCTGCATCTGTATCTGGAGCCTCAGACGACGAGGGTTACCAAACGCCTGAGGAGCCACTAATTGAGGAAGAGGAGGATGAGACCCCATTCGAACAGGAGCGCCAGGGCGTGCAGCCATATGATGTTACGTTAGCAATCTGCAATGGGACGAGGATCTGATTCCGGGTCCATCTCAAATTTCCGTGCTCGCGGCGCACCGGCCATTTTTGCTACCTGTAACCAGTTCCCGCAGACCTACCCTTAGAGGAGAAGAAGAGCGTGTATCGCTTTTAAGCGAATCAGCTGCAGAATCCTATCTAGGTGCTTTTGCTCGCACGGCTGCTGTTGTCCAGACATTTGCCAATGCAGAGGCCGCTGTACAAGGCGCATTGGCCCGGAGAACTTCTCAGCTCAGTATCTCGCAGACTACCACTGGAGGCCGTAAACGGGAGAAGGTGCTTTCGGGGCATAGCACGTATGGGCAGACGGTAAATAATCGTCCTGCGAATGGGTTACGGAGACTCAGTGTGTGCGTTGTTTTCAGCTGTTCAACGCCATTGCCATCTTACTCGGCATTGGCATGCTGTCAGAACCTCTGGCATTTGCATATGCCGGATGGATCGATGGCACGGTGATCATTATATTCTATGGTATAATCACCTGTTACACGTACGTACACTATCGCAACAGTCTTTATACGACTTCTCATCTTGCTGACAGAGGGAAGATACTAGCGCATCTTATCTTAGACGATCCTCGTTTGAAGTCATATTCTGATATTGGCAAGAAAGCCTTTGGACCGCGTTCAGGTCCTTGGATCAGTGCCCTGTTTTGCCTGGAGCTTTTCACCGTCAGGTAGATATCGCGATAACACTCTGGACCTTAGCTGACGTCCGTAAAGTGGAGCTTTGGTCACTCTCTACGCAGACTCTCTTTATGCTGTGTTACCTGCGTGTTCTTCCGACACCTACAAGCTAGTTGGCTTATTTGTGTACGTCTCTCACTTCGCTTGGTCGTAATATCAGAGTTGACTTCAAAGTAGTCTCACACCGACCATGCTACTTCCTTTGTCTCTGCTATCATACACGTCGATTCTCGGAATACTGTCAACCATACTTATCATTGCTGTCATTCTGATCGACGGTCTCTCAAAGCGCGACAGTCCAGGCAGTATTTGGAGTCCTGCGGAGACCACCCTTGGAGTCCGCAGCGTTGGACAACTTGGTCTCTCGTACGGGCTCTTCATGGCCGGAGTAGGTTGTACACTCTGTGAGACATTCATCGTACCGATACACTTCCCTCAGTTCTCCGGTCACGCAGTCATTCCCTCTCTGGTCAGAGATATGGTGGATCCCACCCAGTTTGACTCAATGATCACTCACGCTTTCACTGTCGCCACTACTGTGTACGCGGTGATTGGTGTTGCTGGATATATCATGTTCGGCAACGAAGTCAGCGACGAAGTGAGTTCGATAATGCCTTTCACTCAGAGCTGTGCTAACATGGACCATCCGGGAGTAGTTTAGCCAAGATCTAGCAAAATACACTGTGTACCCTAATTTGAACAAGATCGCTCTATGGAGTCTTGTCCTGGCTCCTTTGTATGCTTCTCCTTCAGCTATACGGATGAACCTTCACTGAACTCGATATACCAGGTCAAAGTTTGCCGTTGCTGCCCGGCCGGTGAGCGGCAAAATGGCTGACAGTAAAGCAAGGCAATTTATGCTTGGCCTTGTTTTAGCTGAACCTCACGCTGGAAATGATGTTGGGTATCGAGATTGGACCAGTCTCGGTCAATGACCATGGCACAAAGCCTATACAGCAAGACGCGGAATCTGCGGTAAGGCCGCACAGGCCGCAACGCACAGTGACCTGGGTTTATACTTTTGTTGAGCGCACACTCTTCACGATATGTTCCGTGACAGTATCAATATGCGTGCCCGAGTTCAGCTCCACGATGGCGTTCCTGGGCGCGTTCTCATCGTTTCTACTTTGCGTCATCGGGCCAGTCTCTGCAAAGGTTGCGCTGGCTAGACATTGCAGTTGGTGAGATGGTTTTCTTCTAGCGAGCGGTTTGATCATGGCCACATGGGGGACGATAGCGGCATTCTGGTCGATGCAATGACGGAAAGGGAAGGACACTGTGACATAGAGTACATGAATACCCATGTAATATATTAATGACGGAACGTTATGGCCTTTGCATCCATGAGCAGTTCCGACAGCAAGGTCGCGAGACTCATGTCATTACACGGACGACACGTGGAGCACACATAAGAAGGACGAAAACAGGCATGCGGGAGAGGGCATTGTGCCAATCCTAGTATGCAGTCTGCGTTGCGTGCGAGATAATCTTCACCAGCTCTATGAACAGTAGTGAGCCGAAAGTGGATCAGGCCAGTCAATGAAGTGTTCCTACGCGGCAACTGAATATTTTCTTGGACAACAGTCGATTCGATCTGGTTATCCGGGTTCGGTGGGACCGTAATGACTCCTGTGGAGGAGTCTAAGGACCACCCGAGTTTTGCGATGTATGCATCCAGCTCCTCGCCTGTTGGTTTATGACGACCTGAGCCTCTCTGAAAAGTCGAAATTACTGAACACGGACCTGTCAAGTCAAGGTATGTGCTCAAACGCTCCCGTCCTATCCTCGTGAATGCAGCTTTCACGGCTCGGACGACCACGTCCCGCACGGAACTCTCGAACCCTATGCACTCGACCGTGTAGTTATCCCGCAATGATTCCGCCTCGTCGGATCGGTATTGTGCCCAGAACGCGGGGAAGCGACATTGCTGAAGAAGATTGTATAAGGATGTCAGGATCGGGAGGAGAGAGGGAAGGGGGTCGGGCTCGTCGGGATTTGTACTGGCGGGACGTTCGTCGAGGAGGGAGATGCACAGGTTGAAGTCGGGGAAAGGTACGGACGTGAGGGCTTTGATGAGGATATTAATGACGACGTCAGGGTTGTAGAGATCAGGGTTGAACTGGTACCTGTAGGAGTACAATTGATCTAACGCGACAATATTAGAAGAGACCCTGAATCACGCACAGTTTCAGGATGGCCAAGTTGGCCAGGCAGTCATACTCCTCGCTTCGGATCTGATGGTAGAGATAGTCCTCCAGTATACTTACATTATTCGGGTTGTACCGGTCTGTCGACAAAGTGAGCGTCCCGACGGCAGACGTGTATCCATGAGCCTGCTCGTACCTACACCGGATACCAGATTCTCGATCAATGGTGTCCTCGTTGGCGGTGTGGCCCAGAGGGACCCAACGGATGCCATATTAGCAATGGAGATGGTGATCTCAGCAATCTGAGAAATGCTCAAGGAGCTGGCGGTCTTGCAAGTTCGAGCGGTTGGAGGAGCAGCCGAGCAAGACTTTTCGCGAGTCGGGCGCTAGACGCGTCTTGTGGCAGCGCTAGTTCTGGGACAGTCTCTCATTCAACCACCATACTCAAGTTGCTCATGGCTGTCACTGAAAGCCACTATGCGTACCAAACTGATGTACAAGAGATACCGAAGGCTGAGGACGTCGAAGAGAAGCTGCCTAGCCCTGCTCACGCTCCTTCCGAGGCAACTCAGTCCCATGCAGACGGGTCCTCCAATTCAGCAGCTGCAAGCAAGACTGAGGGACCAGCGTATAGGCTGCAATACATCTTGAGCGGGCACAGAAGATCCGTCTCGTCGATAAAGTTCAGCCCAGACGGGAATATGCTTGCCTCATCATGTACGGTCTCCTTAGCAGTGATCTGCCTCTGGTCTGACTTAACGTTATTGCAAGGAAGCTTCGGACACACTCATCAAAATTTGGGATACAGAGAAATGGGAGATGATCACCACACTCGCTGGTCATACACAGGGCATCTCGGACATTGCATGGTCACCAGATGGTGAATTCCTCGCGTCCGCTTCTGACGATAAGTCGATACGATTGTGGAGTTTGGAAACGGTGAGTGATGCGCTCTCAATTCAAGAACGAACGATCTAAAACCTTTGAATCAGATGGAGACTGTAAAGGTTCTAAACGGGCACACGAACTTCGTCTTTTGTGTCAATTTCAACCCGAAGTCAAACCTGCTTGTGTCTGGTGGATACGACGAGTCTGTACGTGTGTGGGATATCGCACGAGGTGGGTTAAGCCCTAATACACCTATCTTCTCTGACAGTAACAAGACCACAGGTAAAACATTGAAGACGCTACCGGCGCATTCTGACCCTGTCACCGCCGTAACCTTCAACCACGATGGATCACTCATCGCATCTTGTGCTATGGATGGTTTGATGTGAGTTATTTGATGTGGCTCCCGTTGTCATTGCTCATCATCTCCTCAGCCGGATATGGGACGCAGAGTCTGGTCAATGCCTGAAGACACTAGTAGATGACGACAATCCGATATGGTATGGCATCCAATACACCTTTTTATACGGAAGAGTTACACAACCTTGCATCTCTGAGCAGCTCTCATGTCAAGTTCACTCCAAACAGCAGATTCATTCTTGCCTCCACGCAGGACTCAACGATCCGACTGTGGAATATTCAGTCATCTCGATGCGTGAAGACATATGCGGGCCACACAAACCGCACATTTTGCTTGTTCTCTGATTTCGCTCCAGGCGCGAAGTATATCGTGAGCGGAAGTGAAGACGCGAAGATTTATCTCTGGAATGTGCAGACAAGAGAGGTGGCACAAGTATTGGAAGGACATAAAGGTAGGTTGTTCGAGCTTCCACTCTAGCAAGATATTGACAGCAGATTGGAATGCAGATGTCGTGATTGCAGTCGCAGTACGTGTCTCGTTAGTCCTTGGCCCTCATCATCGCATTGACCCGCGCCACAGAGTCACCCAACTAAGGCGGTCATTGCGTCAGCATCTATGGAGAAGGATTTGACAATCCGCATATGGGCCGATCAGAGTTGTGGGATGGAACGGGACTCGCCCGTTCCCAGTTAATTACTTGCTATCGAGTTGCAAATTCTGCCCCTCTGTGTGATGATCAGCTGTAAGAGTATGTGTTTACTGCGAACCCGCCCATCCAATTAGTTCAAGCCTGAGTGACGTCCAGGAGGGGCTCGTCGTCGCGTGCGAGACTCTTGTACATTTGCGGGGAATGAAGGCTCCTCTTTAACATTGGCGACTTCGCCACTTGCAGTAATTCGTCTTGCGAGGTGCCGAAAAGCTCGTAATGGGATGAGTGACTTCTGTCCGTTAAAGCTGCTGAGGGGCATCTATTCCACCTGCTTGAATCGGTCATTGGACGGGTTCATTTGATCGACCAGTATCCTTGACCCATTCTCTGGAGAAACTGTTTGGAAAACGAGGAATGTGGGAGAGACCATGACTAGAGTAGGGGGTTGATTTAGGCAGCAGAAAGCCCTTGTGGATATCAAATGATATGCTCCGGACTTCGTTGACGACTTGCATGGATATCCGAGCCTAACATCCAGGCATCTATACCTGCGAGTGAGGTCTCTTTTCTCTGCTTATTGTCCACTGAGTAAGCCAATATCATCCAGCTCACCCTGCGACTGCACGTTTGAAGTCGCGAGCATAGAACATACAGAAGGATCTCGCAAATGCTGGACATACTGCAGTGATTCTTCCGGATACAACAATGTCTGCAACAAGTTTTCAGTGAACCATACTCTGAAACGTAAACAGTAGCGCAATGGGATCATATAAGCCACATTACTGCATACGGGCTTGTGCATATCCGTGGTTCTTGATATATTCATCACCCGGTGTCATAGAAGAAAAATGGGTGCTCAATGCGGGAAACTCGTCAGCATCGATTCGTCCCAGATTCGTCCCGGCCTCGACCTCAGAAATGCGTGCCAGCTCGACCGCATATTTCACTGGAAGCGCACCTGTAGCGTTCCTGCCATGATTTTGCTCAATCATGGCACGAAATCCTTGCCTCAGTGCATGTTCGCACTGAGCGACCTTGTCTAGTGCGCATCAACCCCGCTGCCTTGTCAGCTGCAGTAATTGTTGAGCCCGCGTTGTAGACTTTCTTGGCGTGGTCGTTGTAGAGTGGTCAGTAGTGACTCGCCCTCGGTGACCCTGACTTCGTGCTCGCCCACTGGCGCGCGAGACTGGATGGATGTATCTGTGCATGAGAAGGGGGAAGGGCGATTGGTGTCACTGCCCGTGGTACGAACCAAAGATCTCGCCGACACCGGGCTCCTCCGGGATGAGGTGAACGCACTGCACTCTAGATGACTGGATAAGCAGAATGAAGAAGTCTTACGGTGCACGAGGGAACGGAGAGGAGATCGAGCAGACCGGATAACAATATCGTATACATATGTACTTGAGACGCCGGTCTGCAAGGCGTCAAGCTCGTACATTCTCGAACACTAGCGCTCATCGTCATGAGTTCATATATTTGATACACGTCTATAGGAGCAACGTGTTTGCTTTCTATACTACCTTGACTGTGCTGTTACCGCATTCCGTCGTGCTGCACGATGCAGGCAGAGATTATTGACATCGATGCTGATGACTCCGGGGTAACCGTTCAGGAACCTGTACGGTACCCACAATTCTTTCATTCCATTGCGGCACACTCAACGTCTATTCATCATCTTCAGACCAATAGTGAGAAACAAAGCGTCTTTATTGATCTCACTTTGGATGATGAACCGTCGGACGATGGAAGTCGTGCAGGGTTAGCAACGCATGTAAGTTCACGGATTTGCAGAAAGTCGATCAATTCTGATTCTGGCACTGACTGCATGCATCATATCAGCCTGCTGAACGCGCACCGCTCAAGCGTGCAGGCTCGTCCGCCTCGCAAGCAGCTCCTCCAACGAAGCGTCGCAAAGAACAGGCGATGGAATCCGTAGCGTCACCCGCCCACAAACCGTCATCAAAACGACCACATTCAAATGCCCCACACGAGCTTTCAGACAAGAGAGATCTTGATTATTCGGACGAAGAGCCTCCAATCAAGGTACGATCAGATGATATACTATCGAGGCCGAATCTCACTCAACGCACAGAGGTCGCGCCGCCAAGGGTGCCATGTTGAGGTCAATAGATTCACGCTGGAACGAACGTCGTCCTCGCGCGTGAAAGATGTCGTCATGATAGAGTACGATGTCAGCACTGAAGATGAAGAGGAGAATTCAAGCTCTGTCGTGGCCGACTATGCCAGCGCGGATGACGCGAGTGATTCCGAAAGAGAGTACGAAACATTGTACGATGCTCTTAATCCAAAGATAGAGAAGAACGTAAGCTCGCCACTGGCCCCGAGAAGTGCCCAGCTCATGAAAGGAGCGTCCTTCAGTGGTTGCCACCGAAACCACATCTTTCTCCTCGTCCACTGAGGAAGAGAGACGAGGATCTGCTCGCTTTGAATTTAGCAGCGATGACTGTATCGCCTTCCTCCGACGATCTGGTCAAAGAAAGGAAGAAGCAGGATAAGGGTCAGGTTCACGGATTCCGTCTGCCTCCCGACCTGCTGTCTCTGGAAAGAGGCAGGAACGCCTATCGCGGCAATTCATTCGTTTGGACGGAGGCAAGCGATTGTGTTGTTTGGCCGCTCATATGACTGTTGATTTCTTTGACGACCTTAGACAAGCGCGTTACCGAGGAGATACCAACTCAGTAATTCGAGTTTTAAACTGCTCCGAGGGTTACGTGCCAGTCGTGTTGCACATGCGTCCGGATGTATGTATTCAGTATTCTGGATCTTCCCTGGCTCACCGAAGCGCGTTTAGCGGTCGTTAAAATTGTGCAACACGGTCCAATGGTCGCAATAGCGAGTGCAGTGTTAGGTGGGAGCGGAGATGATGAGACAGGTTAGTGTAAGACGCGGGTTCTCATGCTACTAAAACAGCATCTCGACAGATCGTCTTAACAGACAATATAATCAAGCGGGCAGTTTGATGTTGTGGTCGAACGGCAAAGGCATGTCCACATATGGAATTCATTTGCGGGAAAACTCATTCCTGGAAGGGTACACACTTCATGCACATCGGCGGCCATGGACAGAAAAAGGCGCTCTCTCGATGCACACACCAAGGATATCCGACTATCTTCAAACGGATTCAGACCTACTTCATAGTAATGTTGGACTGCACAGTCCGATGCAGTACATGACGACGGAGGATGTGCAGTTTAATCCTCTGCAGTATGCTCATTCGTCGCGTTCGCCCGTTTCTATCGTATTACTGATGTCAAACTGCCAGGCCGACGAGGATGGCCTCGTGTGGCGCTGACGGTATTGTTCAACTCTGGGATTGTGATCAAATCATCGAAGATAATATGTTGCTCCCTGTTCGCGCTGGTAGGAGTGGCTGCTGTGCGGAATGATTGCACGTCGCTCACTGTATATCAAATAGTCCCTCTTGACAATTGCAAAGCTAAAACTTTGGCGTACAAGCCCGATGGCTGCGCACTGGCCGTTAGTGCATTTGATGGGTGAGCTGCTTCTCCATCCGTGTGATGATACTTTTGACCGCTGACCCGTTTCTTAAGCAACATATACGTGCAGCAAGATTCTGCCGAACGATCTTCTTCGATAACTTTGCCACTTGGACGCGATGCTGACCACACAACAACTGATATGATCTGGGGACGGAAGTCCTCCTCGCATATCTTGTATGCGACATCGGCATCGTGCAGTATTCAGGAGATGGCGGGATGTCATAAAGCGTTCGATACGAATAGTGGCGGTGTAATTTGCGAGCTTGATGCACAAGAAGCAGGCCAGAGGTTGGCGGTCAATGAGATCGGTGTGTATGTCCACCTTCCGCGAAATCCTGGGTCTCAAGCAGTTCATGTCCGACAGGGGATACCATCGTACTCGCAACAAAAGGACAGGGAATGTCATTCTGTTTGAGGAAATATGATGCCCGTCGACGCTTGGGCAGAGCAGTTGAGCGAACTATGCTGGAGCCATTCACAGGAGAAGGTTCCCACAAGGTCAACTACATGGCATTCAGTCCTGATGGTGTCTATATTGCAATTGCGAGGACGGATAACACCGCGCACGTTTACGATGCACGTTTCCTCGGTAAAGATGTGCTGCACGTATTCGCACATGAAGACGGAAGCAACTCACAGAGTGGGAGGCACGGTGTAATCACCGCCCAGTGGATCGACGGTTTTCCGCGCGGACTGGGGCTCGTTACTGGCGGTGCAGATGGTAAGCGAATGCATTTTTCCTTCAGTGATATATTGTCATTCACAATTGTAGGCTGCATCAGGTTATGGGACGTGAGACGATCGACAGATGACCCTTTCAACGGCACTCCCATTGCTGAGTGCGACTACGGCATCGGCGATTTTGTGACGGGTGACATCGGGAAAGGCGAACATCCTCTTATTGTGTACGTACCTAGTTATGCTAGCAGCCCAGATGCTGATATCTTGTAATAAGTGGCGAATGTTCCGGACAAGTCAACGTGTTCCGATGATTGCTTAACGAGTATTTCGAATCCATCATGGATCCCTTCTTCGTGCATAGGCTTTTGCATAGGCTTTGTAAAACGATTATATAAACTGCACGGCCTTGAGAAGTTGCTAGAAGATACTCGTCTACGCTCACACTTTCCATTTATGGTGCGGCTGGTGCATGCCGCCGCTGACTCACGGGACTCAACTTTTAAACCCCGCTGTGTCGTTCCTTATAAACTGTGGCGCTGCGCCTTTGCTGTCCTACACGCGTGTCCATCGCACCTCGATACTTCCAACATGCAGATCTTTGTTAAGACCCTCACTGGCAAGACTATCACGCTCGAGGTTGAATCCTCCGACACTATCGACAATGTCAAGGCCAAGATCCAAGATAAGGAGGGGTGAGTGCAGACGTCCTTGTCGCTATCGAGCACGATTCTGAGACTTGTTTTCAGTATCCCACCCGACCAACAGCGCTTGATCTTCGCGGGCAAGCAGCTGGAAGATGGCAGAACTCTGTCCGATTATAACATTCAGAAGGAGTCGACGCTGCACCTCGTGCTTCGTCTCCGTGGCGGCATGCAGATCTTCGTCAAGACCCTCACGGGCAAGACCATTACGCTGGAGGTCGAATCGTCTGACACAGTTGACAATGTCAAGGCAAAGATCCAAGACAAGGAGGGTATCCCTCCGGACCAGCAGCGTCTGATTTTTGCTGGGAAGCAACTTGAGGATGGCCGCACGCTGTCCGACTACAACATTCAGAAGGAGTCGACGCTGCACCTCGTGCTTCGTTTGCGCGGTGGCATGCAGATATTCGTCAAGACGTTGACCGGCAAGACGATTACGCTTGAGGTCGAGTCTTCGGACACGATCGACAATGTGAAGGCGAAGATTCAGGATAAAGAGGGTATCCCTCCCGATCAGCAGCGCCTCATCTTCGCTGGCAAACAACTAGAAGATGGGCGTACGTTGTCGGATTACAACATTCAGAAGGAGTCTACTCTTCATCTTGGTATGTCATGCTACTTGATATCTGGTCTTACGTTGCTGATCATCATTTTAATCAGTCCTCCGTCTTCGTGGAGGTATGCAGATCTTCGTGAAGACGCTGACCGGCAAGACGATCACGCTTGAGGTCGAGTCTTCGGATACTATCGATAACGTGAAGGCAAAGATTCAGGATAAGGAGGGCATTCCTCCCGACCAGCAGCGCCTCATCTTCGCCGGCAAGCAGTTGGAAGATGGGCGCACATTGTCCGACTACAATATCCAGAAGGAGTCGACGCTGCACCTCGTGCTTCGCCTGCGCGGTGGCATGCAGATTTTTGTCAAGACGTTGACCGGCAAGACGATCACGCTTGAGGTCGAGTCTTCCGACACGATTGACAATGTGAAGGCGAAGATTCAGGATAAGGAGGGCATCCCTCCCGATCAGCAGCGCCTCATCTTCGCCGGCAAACAACTAGAAGATGGGCGTACATTGTCTGACTACAACATTCAGAAGGAGTCGACGCTGCATCTCGTCCTCCGTCTCCGTGGCGGTATGCAGATCTTCGTTAAGACGCTGACTGGCAAGACGATAACGTTGGAAGTGGAGTCGTCTGACACCATCGACAATGTCAAGGCGAAGATCCAAGATAAGGAGGGCATCCCTCCTGACCAGCAGCGTCTGATCTTCGCAGGCAAGCAGTTGGAGGACGGCCGGACTCTGTCGGACTATAACATCCAGAAGGAATCGACGCTGCACCTAGTGCTCCGTCTCCGCGGCGGTATGCAAATTTTTGTAAAGACGCTCACTGGGAAGACCATCACTTTGGAGGTCGAGTCTTCGGACACGATCGACAATGTGAAGGCGAAGATTCAAGACAAAGAGGGCATCCCTCCTGACCAGCAACGTCTGATCTTCGCCGGCAAGCAGTTGGAGGATGGCAGGACGCTGTCAGACTACAACATCCAGAAGGAGTCTACCCTCCATCTTGGTAAGTCTCCATCGTCAGTCGTGATCGGAACTCATGCTGACTTGACGTTCAGTCCTGCGTCTCCGTGGTGGTCTTTGAGGTTGAGGTGCTTTCCAGACGTCCGGGTCGCTATCTTCACGTGTATCCTTGTAACATTAGCAACGCAGTCGTTCGGCAGCGTGTACAATAGACTATTACATTGCATGACCAGATAGACAGATGTATTACAGCGAGTTCCATGAGAGAGCAACGGACATCACGACGTCTCCTCGAGAACGACAATGCCGGACTGATTTCCTCTTCGCCGTCGTCGTTTCCGTGCGCGTATACTCTCATCTTTGGTTTTGTGATCTTTATCGGTGTTAATGTTGGGCTCGTCTCGCTTCCGTTTCCCGCTCATCCGGGACTGCTCACTCGCGAAAGGTGTCCTGCGCTCGTTGTGACTGCTGAGTTGCTCAGACTTCGGCTTCTTCTTCTTCACGCTGAGGGGGTTCGGGCCTTTTGGACCCTTCTTTTTCTTCTTTGGTGGCTCGGTAGCGGTGGTAGATGGCAGGCCAGCAATCTCAGGCGCAGATGGGTGAAGCAATTTCGCCTCCGCCTGTAAGCTGATCAGCAAAGTCACTGGAAAGAGAGACACGGAAGGTGGACGTACAGATTCTTTCGCTTCTAGCGTAGCCTTGTTTGGCGGCTGCAGTATCGTGACCGAACGGTTGATATGAACGATGGGGACAGCAGGCACGTCGCGTAGTTTTGAGCGCAGTTCTGTTGATTGCGTCGCGATAGCATAGCGATGTTTGTTTGTCTCACCTGAATAGTACATGAAACATGGGAAGTAGACCGGAAAAAACGTTTACATACCGACAAGGCTCGCAATACACTCGTCCCCAGGTATCGCCACACGGTGGTTGCATTTCCGCCGCTCGAACGTCTTGGCGAGGTCTACCGCGGGCTGCTGCTCCTTTGCTTGCAGATAGAGCTCTTGGATGCAGCACTGGGTGATCACTGAGGAGCCGCTTCGCCGGGTGGTTAGTGAAGTGCTGATGCGAAACATTCAATGCGAAAGCGCTTACTGAGTTTGACGGACCCTTGTAGGACGACCCCGAGTTGCTTCAGGAAGTCGTGCTGTTGGGAGGCGGCGTGTTTGCACATCTCAGAGTCGACTAAAGGGGATGGCTAAGCTTTCGTGGGGTTCAACGCGAGCAGCTCTTGCAGCTCACCTAGAACCTGGTATGGCTGCCTAAAGCCAAACGACATGCAGTACATGGACATCAGCTTGCGATAAGTCTTAGCACGCCCTTGCCGCATCTTGAACGGTGTGAGACAACGGTATACAGTGGGGACTTGGACTAGGAAAATGGACGACGTCCAGAGTGATGGTAGCGCTAGTAGTCGATCACCAGTGCTTGTGTGTGTTTGTTGTACAAAAGCCTCTACCGCGTCACTCGATACACGTCCACTCTCGCGATGCGTGTACCGTTGTTTCTGCTCGCCTTGGCGAGGTGAGCATCTTGAAACTACACTTGTCACTCATATTGACACTCTAATGATGCAATTAGCCTATTTCACACCGCGCTTGCCGTGGATTTGAGGGGACGAATCTCCTGGAATGAATTATGTCCTAGTACGAGGCTGTCATTCTCACGACTCGAGGGTACTGTCTGACTTGTCTTGTCAGACGTAGGGTTTTTAGGGCACGCAAAGGTTGTGCTCGATGATGACAAGCTACGTGGGGGAATCACAGAAGATGGCGGCTTCGTGATGTGCGTTCTCTCCGTTGGCCACACTTCTGTTCGTAGAGCTGAACGCCCCCGACAGCCCTGATGTCCCAGCCGGGACGTATATCCTCTCCGTAGTAGCACATGATCACACATTTGACAAGGTACTCCTCCACTGCGCTCGCATTGATGGTTTTCGTGCTCATCGTTCGAAACAATGTCCAGCTGCGAGTAGATGTCTTCGAGACGGACTCGCTGCCCGAGGTCCGACCCTATATCCCTGGCACGCCTCTCTCTCCACCCTCCGCCATAGCACTTCCCTACCCAATCGTGCTTACTGCGCGGAAGAAGAACGATTACTTTGCCCCACCGCAATCGTTCAATCTGTTGGGCACGCTACAGAGCCCCATGATGTTGATGATGCTCTCGATGGGCGCTATGATGTTAGCAATGCCGTATCTCATGGTATGTCCTTCCGACCATGAAGACATGCGCCAACACTGACGTGAGCCTCAGAAAAACATGGACCCAGAAGTCCTGCAGGACTTCAACAAGCGACAGTCTCGTATTGGCAGTCTGCAAAGCTCGCTCCAGAGTGGTGACATCAGCGGCGGGTGAGTGTGCTCCATTAAAGCAATGTATGCGGGCTGACACTACCTCCCCTCGTGCAGATTATCGGCGCTGCTACATGCAGGGGAGGAAGAGAAGCCTTCAACACCCAGCCCGTCGAAGACGGCAACGTCATCCAGTATGAAACATCGCAGTGGCAAGCACAAGAAGCGATGAAGCACACGCGCTCAGATGTATTTCTACACTGCTATCGCATTGTACTCAGACTCCCTAATATAGGATCCCACAAGTAGCCTTTCACCTGCCCATATGCTTACTACAGCAAAACTGTTACCGCACAATACCAGGCGATTGCGTCGTCCTGCATTCTCGTCTACCCAGTTGGTATGGCATGATGAGGGGATGTGAGCGCTATGTACCTAGAGCGTCCATCACTCTAGCAGGACCAATGGTCATCTCAGGTTATTTCCTGGATGTATCCGAGACGTATTCATATTCCAGCTTATGTCGAGGCAAATGACTTCCCCTCAGCGGATATTCTGCCGGGCCGTGAAGATGCTTTGGATCTGGGACTGCTACCGTTCTTCATTCATCGTCGTCGATGGTTGTGTGTCGTCGAGACACTCAGGATATTCGAGTGCACGTCTCAGAATCGCATTTCTGTGGAGCTGCGCGTGAAGCTAATGAACAAGGCGGGGATAGTTTTACATACCGCTGCTTGAAACGAGTAAGGACTGCCTGAGGTGATTGACAGTCGTTCTCTTCGACACTATTGCAGCGACTTATTAGCACACCATTCGTTAATGACGTAGCTTAACGCACCGTTCCTCGGGCACAGCCGTTGTCTCAAGGATATACATCTTGTTGTTCCTATTCAGCTCATCCGCTCCAGGAGCATCGGTGATCCTAAGCCCTGTCACCGCCACGTCGGCCGACAGGCTCTTCACTGTCGGGGAGGAGCCTCTGTTCGGATCGTAGTCTATGACGAGGACATGCTCGCCTGGATAGTGCGGCAAGAGGGCTCTGGGAGAGTCATCGGCGTAGTGGTACTCGATCACCGGGTGGCTGAGCGACGAGGAGGTGGGAGCCGGGTTGCTCAAAGGGGATGAATGGGCCACTAGGACGTAGTATGGAGGATCCTCGCTGCAAGACATGTCCTTCAGTGGTGGTTAGAAACACAAGTGGCAGGAAAGCATGAGCTGAGCGCAAGTTGAGCGAGGATGGCGCGCCCACGTGATGCCCTACGATGCACACGCCGTATCGACCACATCTGTATGTCGTGTTGATCTGCATCTCAGGCTTCAAGCCCTTACATTCACCCTGGGAGCGTCTACGACACGTGGAACTGCATGCCCATTGCTGGATACTCGCCATCATAGCTCGCTAGCGATATGAACGCGGGACCTTACGACCTCGACATGATCAATCGATTTCCGTGGCGACGTATCCTCCCTACCAAGTCGCCCTCACTCGACATATAAGAAATGGGGCTCTCCTGTTAGTCTTCAACTTCTCTTTTTCTTTCTTTTGCGCTAAGCTCTAGCCCCGTCGGCCCTCATATTCACTTACTGTCTTTCAGCAGTCCTTCTTCTGAGAGCTACATTCTTTCATACAAGCATCTATGATGAACCGGCTGGCAATTGCACTGCTTGTTCTCGCTGTGATAGTCTCCGAGATTTCTTGCGCGCAAGCGGGCTTGGATTATGCACACCGATACCACAAAAGACGTAGTAATCTCTCGAGAATGAAGAAGGCTACTTCTGCTGGGAAGATCTCGCGGCGCGCATGTCGCGTAAGGCCATCGTACGTGAACATCCATGGATCTGTTCCCGACGAATGTCTTCGTTACTTAATTGTGATGTTGACGGTCGGTCTCTAGATCAGTCACCAATCTGCCTTCTGTTCCTGCAACGCAGTCAATCAGCGACTCCGGGCTGGTATCGTATGTGCCAATCACCATCTCAGAAACACCCATTACCTCTTCCCTCCAACCAGCAGTCGCGATCTCAACGACGCAGCCAGCTGTAGACGCCTCTGTGGTGTCGTCTTCATCCGCTTCCCCACGGACGGCGCCGACCGTAGTCTCATCAGCCGAGCCCGTAGCTGTATCTTCTTTCACATCCAGCGCGAACGATACGCCTACCGCGTTGACCACCACTGCTGCTGCACTCTCAACCATCAGTGTCACCTCGTCTTCCGCCTTCGTGGCGACCTTGGCGTCTTCCTCGGCGGCCGCAATCACATCCTCTGTATCTTCCACGTCACCGAGCGACATCGACCGGTATCTGTCCGACCAGAATACCGTTCGTGCCCAGCATGGCGCTGTAGCCTTGACTTGGAACGACACGCTTGCCGCCGCGGCGCAGGAATGGGCTAATGGCTGCGTGTTCGAACACTCTGGCGGCACATTGGGACCTTACGGGGGTGTGTAATCAGCGAGGCCTACATATCCAGTAGTTTCCTGACACTTCCTTTCGCCATAGAGAATCTCGCTGCTGGTACGGGCAGTGGTTACGGAATTGCAGCGGCCATTCAGTCTTGGACCGACGAGGCCTGTGAGTGCCTCCACACCACAACTCTGCATGCAGCACTGATCTTACGCGGAACACTTGCCAGCTCAATACAACCCCAGTGACCCAGTTGCGTCGCATTTTACTCAGGTGCGTCTCTCCTCATTTCGCGCCTATCAGTCCGCATGGGGCTCATGTGAGGCTGGCATAGGTTGTATGGAAAGCAACCACGGAGGTCGGCTGTGGTATGCAAGAGTGTAACGGGATCTTCCCTGCTAGCTATGGGGTGAGTGCATACTGCACAAAGAGGGTTGTTGTTGATTTTCGCTTGCATAGCCTGCCCAGTACTACGTCTGCGAGTACTTTATACAAGGAAACGTGGAAGGAGAGTTCAGGTAGGTGTTTCACAAGCCTGCCGTTGGAAAACTGGCTCATCGAGCCGAACTCAGCGAGAACGTGCAAATGTGAGATTGAGGAGATACAGCAGCTTGTTTGAGCAGTTGTTAACACAGGGTGCATGACCTGTTTTGTTCATGAGAATATTTGAAAGATGATCAAACGAGAACCATAGTTTGCTTATGTTTTTATCAATGACAGTTTCTAGAATTATTTTAATGCTTATCAACTAAAATGTGCAGCAGATCACCTATCTTTGCTGCATAATTGAGTTAATAATAATTAAAATAATTTGAGAAGTTGTCATTGACAAAAACATGAGCAAACTGTGGTTCTCCTCACAATCATTTACAATATTCTCATGAACAAAATAGGCTGTGCTGCCTGTGTAGCTGTACCTTGTGCTTGCATCGTCATATATGTCATAGTTGTTTCAATCTAGATATACTCGCTCGAAGCGAAATGCACGACTTTTTATACTAAACAATTTGTTGAAGATCATGACTAGCCTAGAGTCAGTTGCATTGGCCACCAAGGGCGTCTGTGCCACGTGCATATTTGGTGATCCACAAGCAAGCTTGTGAAATCATTTTTTTGTAATACTTAACCCGCCGTGCTAATAATGCGCACCTCTCAAGTCATCTCACTACGGCCGGGTGGATGTTCTCCAAGTCTCGAGGGGTCTCAACCATCTTCGCTGTCCTCTATGTCGCCCTAGTCCTCGTCACCACCTTCTTCGCAGCGGTATCATGCGCCTTGCTGCTCTCCCAGGCCGTCAGGACCGACCCGCACAGGTCATGGAACGACAACTGGAATGCGGTGGTCATCGGCGCAGCGTATGTCCTTGTGGTACTTGTTACTGTTAGCATCTGTACGGGTAGAGGAAAATCTGAATGGATTGCGACAGTGTGTCTTCTCGCTGGCGTTCTGCTTGAAGCGGAGGATTGCCGTACACCGGAGGCTGCAGAGGATCTCGAAGACGTACCGTACCTTGGGTAAAGCGGACCTGCCTGAGGTGGATCTTGTGCTTCAGCCATTCCATACCACCTTTCCTGACCGTGTCGTTCTTGCAGACAGTGCACCGCTTCATCCAGCAGGAGTATACCCGCGCTTGTCTGGTCACGTACGAGTCGCAACCCAAGGACGGGCTTCAGGAGGGGTGGGGCAAGCCTGGTGGGGTCCTCATTTTTGAATTCCTCTCTGCACCTGTTGAGATGATGCTTCTGATTAGGTACTAAGTATGCCGATACCCGATTTCGCACCGCTCTTTTGAGAACGGTGAAGGAGATAGGCTCGTATATTTCACTATCTCCAACGCCCTCATTGTCTAACGGCCTATCGACCTGAAGACGCCCTCGCACATCTCATCATACCCCGTCACCCCTTGCTACGCCCACACGTCCGGATGCTGCATCACTTCCGGTTCATTCGTCCGCTGCTCTCTCAAGATGAAGACAGACTCACTCCCTTGCACTACTACGACTCTGCCATTCAGCTCGCACGTTATGCCTTTCGAGAGCTCACGGAGGGTGAGTACATTGTCGGCAAGAGGGCTGCCGATGAGATCAAGCGGATGTGAGTGTCTGTCCTACCCTGAATGCAAAGCTCTGCGATGAACCAATCTGCTTTCATGCTGCATAGATTGGATGAGTGCAGGCAAGAGATGCTCGAAGGTTCAACCCCGGATTTGCCTGGCGCCATGTCGGCAGTGCTCAGTATCTGAGGCTTGTTCTGGGACAGCCTATCTCCATATCGATTGACCGCAGAACATCCCCACTTGTGCGTCTCAGGGTCCAGGGCTGCTTTCCGATTCAATTGTTTCCTGGCTGCACTGCATGCGCTGCCGAGCAATACGTTGGGACGCCTGGCTCAAGACGTTGGCCACGGCAGGGTATGCCATGTCGCAGTGCTACTTGTTCCGTGTTGCGCTCGCCGTAAAGGAAGACATCATTGTTAAGACAGATTGAAGGACGAAGGCGAGCCGGGTATATAACATCGACCATACGAGTAGGAGGCGTCTCGTGAGTGTCCAGCAACATCTACACTATAGTCACGGCTAGTGTATGGTACATCCTATCATTAGTGCAGTCCGTTAGCGTATACCTTCTTCCAGCTCGGCCGCTCGCTCCACGCAGCCCAGTATGCAGCGACCTTCGCGGGTATCTCCTGGTGCGTCTCCTTCTCAAGCGCTTTGTAGCCATCCTTGTCCACGGATGCGCCTTTCACATGCGCGAGGCGTGCCAGCCACGCGGCCAGATGGAAGTCGTCCTCCCCAGGCGTCTTGCCGCCAACAAAGCCGCTTTCTGGGAGGATCGCCGGCAGCTCGTTAATGATGAATGCGGATATTGTTTCCCAGTGTGCATTTGACTGCGCGAAGAAGGCTTCCTTCGCTTCCGGCGACGCTTCGCCTTTGTATAGGGCAAGGACGCTGCCATTGTCCTTTATCTTCTCCTCATAGAATTGCTTGAATGGCGCCGCTTCGGGAGTCTGGAAATACTTCTCCAGAGCATTCTGGCCTGTCGGCGGATCAGCACGGATACGCAACTGATGATATTGACAGCGCGAACTCACGGTTCTGGACGAATGTCATGGGGAAGCCGGATGCAGCAGCCTGCAATTCATCTTCGTTGCGCTGATGGCCGCGTGGGATCAGCGGCATGTCATTTGACCCGACAGTCTGGACGTACTGTGAGTAAAAGCGGGAAATTGGGGTCGTATTTGTCCTCATGAAGCTTGGCGATGAACGCGGTACCGACGGTGACCTTCTTCGGTGCGTTCTTGACCAGGTAGTGAGTGACTGATTGTGTGTCGGTGAAGACCTGTCCACCAGCTTGGAGGACAGGCAAGGTCGCTTTAGGATTCTTATCCCCCAATCAGCAAAAGAAGGGACAGGTTCCGATAATCGCAGGAGCTCACAATCTTCAAGAAGTCGGGTGTGAAGTTGGCACCTTCGACAAGGTCGACTACCTTCTTCTCAATTTGGCCTTCTTGATAGCCAAGCTCTTCACTGCACGCCGGGCACAATGCAAGATAAGCACAGGTAGTGGATGGCATCGTCAAAGTACATACACAGCGAGCTCGGGCACCGCAGACCATACCGACAAGCCAAAGACGTAGAGAGTAGCAGGCTTCTTGGAGGGTCGGAAGTGCTTAAGGAAATTGCGAACCTTGGACATCTTGGAGGTGTAGGAGGTGTTCTCGCGGGGCGCAGTGTGGGTATAGTCGAGCGCAGCGTTGGGCCTCCAGTCACACAGCTATGGGGCAGCTTTATAGCCGCAGGGGTGCAGGGTTCGTGCTGGTCACGGTGTTGATGACAGAAGCGTGCTATGCAGGAGGCATGATGGGAATGCGGTTATCACTCGGCGAGCGTGCTCCGGGCGCGTAGTGGTCTTATGTTCAGGTCCCGCTCGTCCGTGATCCGCGCTTGCTAAGACTCTTATAGGGGTTGCGTCAATTGTTCATCAAGCCAGGCGCTGGCTTTGTGGCCAGGGCGTGACGCTTACCACCGCCAACAGGCATACTCATATCATGGTGTCATGCTGCGCATCGAAGACGTGATGAGTTGACGAGTAATGTGCTTACGTTAGGCTCGACTCAATAAACGAGGAGTGACATACACGAGCGTCGGCGCTCACCCACGATGCGGGAAGACCTCTTGAAGACAAACATGGTTATCGTATTAGCAGATTATATACAATTTCCTCTCCGAGCATTTCATTATCTTCTCCTCTCGAAGTCAGTGCATGGTTCACATCAAATCGGGCGCAACTCACCATGAACGTGCAGCCAGACCACTTGCCCGCCAGTATCGCGCGTAGTGTATTATATCGACCACATTTTACGTCAGGCGAACTATTCCAGAAACAAGACGGTAATCAGCCACTCAGCGTTGAATGCGAGACGTATCCCTTTGAAGCTCACCTCGATGGATTGGGGGAGACTCTCAACCACCCTCTGCAAGTTCCGCAACGTCACCGCTGGCATGTACATCTGCTTCTGGCAGCTTGGGCAGGTGGCCGCCACCACCGCGAGCACCTCGGGTGCATGCAGCTGTGCAACACTGGTCGTGCGGCCGAACGGCGCCTCTTCTGACCGAGATAGCCAGGCATACTTCAACGAAATCCACTGGACGTGATCAAGATGCCTCTCGCAGGCATCACAGATCGGGAAGTCGTTCGCACTGAAGTAGGCCGGGTCGTCCAGCGCGTCCTTCAGCGCGTCCCTTCTCCGCCGATGCAGCAAGAACAGCTTCGCGATGGCGGGTCCGTCCATACGGGAGACCTCCGCCATCGCGGCGGGCGAGCACAAGTCGAGCGTGAGCGTGTACGACGACGCGAGTTGCGCTTCTTTTTTCCAGAACCGCGAGCACGCGAGGCGGTAGATGCGCAGGGCGTTCGCATCCGTGAGATGGTGGGCGATCGTGCTGCGTATGATGGATACCGGCCCTGGCATGTCGTACTTCTCGGCGGCGAGGAGGATGGATTCTACGACGTCGAGTGAGCCCATCTCGGGCAGCTCCATGCCGCTCACCATCTTCAGGAGCCCGGTCAGGACGTCCGCGTCTTCGTCGAGGTGCAGCACGTCAGAGAATCCGTCCGACTCCCGCGGCAGGCTGAACATGGTGTTGAACCATCCCGAGGTGGTCTTGAGGGTGAGCGAGTGGACGCGGAACAGGACGTTGTCTTTGGAGCACAGCACAACGTCTGAGTCGGCGGAGCAGAATGACGGGTGGCATTTGTTCTGCGAGCACAACCTGTGTTGAGATGAAGTGCCGGATGATGGTAGATAGCACTCACGTCGCGGTCGTGTGAACTTTCCATTGCTGCCATGTTGTCGACGTCGTGAGCAGTACCACCAACGGACCTGGGATCGTGGTTCAAGGCGCTCTGTCCAGCGCATCGCGCAGGAGGGCGGCTTTAAGGGCAGCAGAACGATGAACAGAGTTGGTTTGCATATGGTCGCGGCAAGGGCGAAACAATCAAGCATGCTAGCGAGCGCCTCGTGTGTCCAAGGGAGCTGGACCAGTTCCTTTCTGAGAATGTCACGATCATCAGCGGATAGCGACACACAGGGCTACCGCCGCACGACGACGACGACATGGCAAGATTGCACTCGCACGACAGATGGTGAAGAAAGCAGATAGCATTCACTACAACAAAGGTACAACTGCAAAACCAGCATCCCGACATCTCCTGTGCATCGTGTGTCCAGGGTATCTGTCTAATCCGTCCCAGTGCCCAAATAGATTCCATTAGAAGACAAAGACCTGGGTGCAAGTCAGCAATCTGGGCAACGCTCGGCTCACATCACGTACGTGGTCGTCGAGCTTGCTGACTGTACGCGCAGGAGGGTAGTTGAGTTCCTCGAGGTGTTTCCTGGCAACCATGAGCACATGCTTCGGATACAGTAAGAACATCAAATCACTCACTTCATGGCGGTCATCATGGGAGGGGGTCCTGCACGACATCATCAGCATGCATGTCTGCAAGGTTGTTACGTATGTACGCACCGCAAAGCAGGACCTTGACATCGTTATGTGGGTTGTAAGCCGGCATCCAGTTCTCAACCTGGGCTTTTGAGACAAAACCAACACCGCCGGTCCAGGCCTCGGGAGGGTTGTTCAAGACGTAGAGGACCCGGAAGCGCTCCTCGTGCTTCTTTGCAAGGTCGTCGAGCTCCTTCTTGAGCAGGATGTCCTCCTCGTTGACGTTCGCGTAGATAAGGTTGATGTTTGTGTGGTCATCCGAGTCTTTCAGAGCAGCGCGGATGATCTGGATCATGGGCGTGATGCCGGTGCCACCAGCGATCATACCGAGGACACGCCATTGAGACGGAGAGTACGTGAATTGACCCTTAGGTCCCTTCACCCGGATCTTGTCACCGATCTTGAGGAGCGAAAGGTAACGCGAGATGTTTCCCTTCTCATATGCCTGAATGGAATGCGTGAGCATAGCACGATGGTCATGGACAGACTGATTGGCTACCTTCACCAGGAGGTCGAAGTGGCCACGATCGTCATCGCTACTCGTGGGTGTATAGCTGCGCATGATATCCTTCCCGTTGATCTCGGCAGACACAGAAATGTGCTGGCCGATCGGGAGGCCGAGGATATCATCCGAGTAGGGCAGCTCGAAGCGGTAGCTGCGGTGAAGTCAAAACATGCCCCGAGGATAAAACGAGACGCTCTCTCACATAGCAGTGTTGTGTGATACCGGGATTTTCTCAATCAATGAGAACTCCTGCCACACTTTGGGGTCCAACACCATCTTTCTCTTCTCTGTTGCTTCTGAGTATCACAAGACACGCGACGCGAGGGCACGAACACTCACTGGTATTCCCTCCGAACTTCCCATAGACGAAGGCAGTCGTGGCCACTGCCAGTGCGAACGCCAGCAGCTGACCATAGGAGGTGTTCAGCAAGCCCGCCATGGAGAAAGGAGTTCCAAATTCCGGCCAGCCAGTCGAGTTGGCCATCGAGTCCATATCACGCTTTTTACGAGGAAGACCGATCAAGATCAGGTCGGAGACGTGGTAGCCGGCCGCCTTGAGCTTGGAGTTGATGAACCGGGAGAGGGCGAGGAGGGAGGAGAAGGTGATGATGAAGGAGCCTATATAGGCGACCTGGTAGCGATTGGGCATCTCCGGCTGAAGAAAAGCGGAATCGCACGATGTTGGGGTAGATGGGGGTAACGATATAAGGCGTTCTCGACTCGACCCTCTCTCATCAATGCGTCGCTTCTAGAGCTCACTCAGAACCTGCTTAGTTCTTCTGAGTATTCTTCTTGCACGATCGTCCGGCTTCTCCAAGAACACGCGCAAACTACGTCTGAGACGATGCGGGAGGGAACCGGAGGTCGTTCGACACTCTGCGCAGCCACAACATGTACTGCTGGGTAAATCACCAACGTTCCGGAGACTTTTGCGACACATATCTCCTCTTAGGCCTCTGCACTCCAATAGGCATTTCTTCCAAGCTGCTCAAGCCTCGAATACCCATTCGTGAAAACTCCTTTTGTTTGCTCCGAATGTCACACTGCGGTGAGGCCGACCACACTCAGGAGACATCATGAAGCTAGCATTGCAAGAAGTATATCGCGCTGAGATTAGCCGTATACTCTGCTGCACTGCGCATGTCCAACCCCCTCACCCCCCCTCCCTTTGCATCATGTCCTTTTTGCAATAGGTGCTTATCGACGGACAAGTGACGACGGAGTTGGAGAACTTTTGTGACATGTTGTCCTCGGGTTGACAGGTGATTGATACGTATGATGCTTACATTACCTCCTTGCGGTTGGGTCTGCGTAATTTGACAAATCACTCAGGAATACGTTCGGAGTTGTCCTAGATGCTCGCGTTATCCGGACCAACGTGGTGATGGACGTTGCAATCTGGTCAATCGGAAGCGCTGCATTATCGACATGAATCGGAGGGCATTCATCTGTGCGCTTCGACACTCTTGGAAAACAGCCGATCGGGCCGGCAAAGTGTGACAGAGGAGTTGGTGAACTAGCACATAGAGCAGCTTCGCTCCGAGGTAATAAGATATATACGTATCGGACATAGCTTTTATGCACCCTCAGCGGAGGGAATGGCAATATGAGCCACTTCCCACGGCTTTGACAAGAGTTGACAGAAGATTGAGGTTGTATGTGGTCAACTCACAGAATCACCGGCGTGCCTTGTTGCAAGACTGTTGGGCAGCGTTGAGTCGACGACGCACGGCAGCCGATGATGTCGCGATGCAGATTGGCGTCGTCATTCGAAATGAGCTTAGCATTAATGAAAGACGCGTGAATGGGAGTACGATAGCGGGCGGGGGACGCACGCTGAGGGCCTTAAGGAATGAGACGAGAGCCACGTGGGAACATACCAACGTCGCAGCCACACTCACCGTTGCCAATGCGATTTGTACTACTTATCACCCCGGGCGATCCGAACCGCCCTGGTTTCTTTTTTCCCTCTCCTCCTCGTCCTCGTCCTCCTCGGACCGCTGCAGCTGCTGGGGCTTTCCCTTTCCTCCTTTCCAATATCCCTTCCCTTTTGAGTAAGGGATTGGTTCCCTTTTATCTGCTTTCAATCCATCCCCTTCGTATCGCTATCTGAGTACACGCCGGCGTGTCAAGTCCAACCTCAAAAGCATGGATACAGCAGCAACCCCCCGCCCGCAGTCTGCCCTCCAGTCTGCCACGCCTCGACGGAGAGGTCCCCTCGCTTCACTCCGTATTGAGCCTCCTGCGCACCGTTCCGATATAGCGGTCGTCCAGAACGAGAGCTCTGCTTCTGTCTCCACACTTTCATCTGCCACTTCCGATACGGATTCCTTCGTCTTTCCGACCCCCAGCAAGCCCCGGTCCTCCCGAAACATGAAAAGGCTATCGCTCGCCCTCCCTTCGGCCCAATCCTCCGCCGCCAACTCGCCACTGCTCCCGTCCGATTTGCCAGATGCGGAGCCAAAGCGGAGGCTATCCATCGTTTCCTTGCCTCCCACTACCGGGTCCGGTCTTCTCCGCAGGAGGGGAGAAGAGGACGAGCATTCCGATCCCAGTCCGTACCAGAATGGACCCGTGCAGGTTCTTCCAGGTATCTGGCTCGGTTCTGAGGATAACGTCCGCGATTGGACGGGGCATATGAAGCGCGGTATCAGGTCCATCCTGAACGTAGCCAAGGAAGTCTCGACGGTCTTTGACCTCAACCAGCCGTTGCGCCAATTCGCATCAACGCCCGACTTGAAGGCTGCAGCAAGTAGAACAGACTCGACATACTACCCTGCCCATATCCCCAGCGGAAGGCCTGCGATGCATTATCTCAAGCTGCCTTGGTCGCATGGGCAGGTGGACCTCGTCCATGAGGGCTTCCCCGCAGCCATGGCGTTTGTAGACAAGGCATTGGAACGCGGAGACGGCGTGTTGATCCAGTGAGCAACCTGCGTTCTTGTAACGATGACCACGTTCAGCTTACAACGCATACAGTTGCCAATGCGGAATCTCACGCTCGGCAACGTTAGTAATAGCGTTGGTGATGCGTGCAGCCGCCCAGCGGTCTCCCAACGTGCCTTCAGAAGTGTGGGCTCTCAAGGGAATGCAGGGTGCTTATACCTTCGTTAAAGAGAAAAGTCGCGCCGTAGGGCCTAATATGTCGTCAGTGAACATGCTTACTGCTCGGAATTGCTGTTCACTCTATATTTGCTTTTCAGACTTATTTATCAGCTGTTAGATTATGAGCGGACGTTCAAGACGGGGAACTCCTCGCCGGGATCGTCGGACCAGTCTCCCTCTGAAGAAGAGTGGGGCAAGCAGCGGATGCTGCTGGACGAGGAGAACGATGATCGCGAGAGCATCGAAGTCATGCGGGAAGCAAAGGCCTTGGATCGGGCGATGGAAGATCGCTTGGTCGCACGCAAATCATCGACATCATCGCTGAGCTCCACTGGCACGGGCCCCAGCGGGTCAAGAAGGCTGCGCATCAGCAGCGGTTCAAGAAAACGTGCTGGATCGATCGCTAGCATCATGACTGGCAGTAGCCTACTGAGCGAAGATCTGGTTGAAGAGGACGAGGAGGAGGAGTTGCTGGGCGTTGGAGGCGGATTTGATGAGGGAAGCACAGAGGCAAGTTGTTCCAGCGCAGAGCCCACTGAGGACGAGTCCAGTGGCTCATCTCGAGTCTCGCTTGACTCAAAGTCCCGTGGTCAGATCTCGCCTACGCCGCCGACAGCACGACAGCAACTCCTTATCAGAATGCCTCCGTCGGCTCCTCATCACAAGCTCAGCTTCAATCTCTCCCCACCCGCCACAGCGATCAAGATGTCGTTCGAGATTCCTCCTCTGCCACAGCCAAAGACGAAGTCGAGGCGACGTCCCCCTCCGATTGGTATTCTTCCTCCCGTGCCGTCGTCCCCTGTGATACCGATAAACCCTGCCGTCATGGCGCCCCGTCCTCGCGTGGATGCTCGCAAGGCGGAACAGCCTCCTGCCAACCTTCGCATTCCACAGAGCAGGACCCGCAATCTCCCAACACCGAGACCCATGTCCATGGTCTCAACACCCTCGCAAACGTTGTTTGTGTTTCCCCCGTCGCCGACACTTACCACGCGGACGCCGTCAACCATGACGCTTACGTCCAACACGTCATACCCATTCCCGTCCATGGCAACACCACGGGTTTCATCTTTCAAAGCCGATGGCCGCCGTCGGTCGTTCATTGGCGTTCCACCACCGTCAACACCCACGGTCGCGTCCTCCCGGGTCGACGTGCGTGGATGGTTTGGCGTGAGTTCACGGAAGTAGTCAAGGTCGGATGATATCGTCGTCGTCTGCCGTGACTCGTACGCGCGCTCTTTCGCTCCTTACCAACTCCCGCTCGTTTGTTCCCCGTACTGCGCACCACGCACCGAGGCTGTCTCGCAGCCGTTCTTGGACCAGTTGTTGTACATGTAGCCGCATATGGATACGGAGACTCTGGCACCCACTGCATATTTTATGGCATGTTTTTCTTCTCAGTTCAACTCAAGTAGGACTTGGCACGCATCGTCGTCTGTGTATCAACATTTGCACACTTTTTGTTTCCATTTTACAATTCCACTGTGGCATCCCTGCATTCTTCGTCTTCGTCTTCGCATCAGTTGTCTTCAGTAGCGCACGCTTTTGCCGCTCCGCAGAGCGGACGATGTCCAGAATGGAAGATAGAAGAAAAATATCTCAGATGATGGTTCGATATTCGTGAAATTTGACGTGGAGATTGCGGGCTAGAGAAGCTACTTGAAGACCCTGCCGACACTGTTCTTCACTACGCCGCTCAGGATCTGACCGCCAAAGCCACCCATGCCCATACTCCAGCCGGACGATGCAAGGTTGTTGGCCCACTTTTGCTTGGCGTCTCGGTCACTAGTATAAGAAGTTCCACGTTATGAATCGTCATAGATGAGCATCGCGGAAGATATACGAACGCGTATGTGAAGCCAATGGCATTGGAGAAGTTGAAAACCAATGCGAGCACCACGATAGGCACGAACCTGCTCACGCTACCAGTCAGCAGTGCACTCTTAGGGGCCGTGCCATACTCACGAGAGGTTGAACTTGAGCAGGGAAACGATGAAGAGAGCGGCCCACAACAGTGGGAACACATATAGTGCAATCTGTTTCATGGAGGATTAGTCCCGGCTGCGAATGTGCTCTGAGACGTACGAACCCAGAACATCCTGTATGCGAACGATGAGACTATGCTTGTGGTACGACATGAGAGTCACTCACTTGGAGTCAATCGGGTTCGCTGGGCGTGACGGCTGGAGGTTCCTCGGCGTTAGGGTTTGAAAGCCATTGGTGAGGAGTGAAGGGGTTCTTACGTCTCGGCTTTCGAATACCCAGTAGCTTTCTCCGTCGTCGTCCACCTGGAAGGCATATGAACAGCTCGCCCATTCTTCAGACCCAGAATACCCTACCTGGTTCCAGTAACGTAAACCGACTAGAATGCGCCCAGCTACGTTCTACTTCGCAGAAAACATCTATCAAGAGGCAGCAATCATGATCGTGAGTAAACTCACCCGGCAATTCCAGAAGTCCATCGCGAGGAGCACTACGACGAGGACAGTCTGCGATAGGAACCGGTGTTAACTTCTTCTATAAAAGTTAGCCAGGAGCTGACATACCGATAGCACAAAGTTGCTTGTAAAGAAGCCACACAGTAGATACACTGTGATCGCGGCTATACGCAAGAGGAACAAGAACAAGAGAGCCATCGGATGGGCAGACTGCTCAGGATGAATGAGAACGCTTCGCCGCAGATGGACTCAAGGCGTACTTGTCGGAATATGCCAGCGATGCCTAGTTCTGCGGTTAGTACATCCTAGCAAAGCATTCACTCGCATAGTCGTACCTGATTCCGCGTCGGCCGAGTTGGTCGCCATAGGCTCTGAGACGCGAGCCCCGGGTGTGAGGACTACGGGAGTCCTGCGATTCGCCGAGGAGGCATTGATGTTCCCTGTCGGGACTGCATGCTCTGTGGGTTCATCGGGCTCGATTGTCTGCAAAAGCGGTGTCGAGACGCTGCTCATTGTGGATCCTTGATGTTGCCGGAGAGCGAACCCTGTGTATCAGTGCGGGGTAGTATGAGCTTCAGCCACTAGACGTGCTTAGCGCCCCCCACGTGCCACGTGTACAAGATGATCGGGACTTGGCGTCTACACGCTCTGAAGAGCGCTTGCGCCATGAACGGCCTCAGCGAATCCACCGACCATGAGCAGCCGACAGAGACGACTGCGCTTCTTGTGGAACGAAGATGGCCGCGGGGCCAAGAACCCAGCCCTCATCTCCCTCTGGTTGAGCCAGTAATACTGCATATTCAAACCAAGGATATCGATGCTTGTTCTCGCGCTGAACTCTGTCCATATGTCCTCTCTGGTCGAGCAGAAGAGACTGCCTTCCTGCTAGTGGTCTTGCTTCGATTGCGTGGATCTGTTGTGTCGTCACCCACATATGATTCGGACATTTGGAGGGCGTGGATGAACGAGCGAGAGCGCGCAGAGAGCATACAACAGCTGGATCGTCGCATTCTGCAAGAATGGTCCGATTTTCTTGCGGATGATCGCTCGGCAGAAGAAATAGGGGAAGTTTTGTGGAGTTCGTTCTACTACAGACGCGGTGATGGGAGACCGTTACGTGGTATGCAGCTGTTTGATCGTATCCGTCATAGTGCTGAGCAGCAGTGTCCTAGTTGTCGACTTTCTGAGCAAGTCAGATGTACCGCCGGAGCTGTTAACGGACAGGTTATTCCTCCTTAGCATAAGGAGGACGTGGCGCCAGGGCAGGGCTATTCCTCTCGGAGATCGTTCTCTCGTTGAACGATTGTTGTGCAGACTAGATGCGGTATGTACTCCAAGGTATGCCACTCCGTCTTCACCGAGCAGGGCAGCCAACGATAGCTAACGGGCGTTATATAGGGTCCTGCATGCCATTGACCTATCCTTCCTGATAGCCTATCTCGTTCTGCTTGCACATTACTTGGTCATGCCTCCATCGAGGTCCACCGATCCTACCGCATCGGTCTCTGCTGACTTACGAGTGGCCCTCCTGATCTGCTACTCATGCGCCAAGATCATAGAGAAATGGTCGTTATCGATAATTCCTCCTCTACTGGTGCTTGCCGCCTTCCTTTCCCACCTGCCTTTTGCCCCTTCACCGGACGACTTCGCCTACGCCGTATTGTTCTTCGCATTCTCCTGGATTGTCCTCGAACTACATACTCCCCGCAGTCCGAGCCCGCTGTACTTCCTCCCATTTGAGAGTATACTACCCTTGGCTACTCTCATTTGGCACGGCATCTTTCACATTATACTCCCTGTCGTTGTATTCTTCCTGCCGGCATTGATCCTTTCTCTCCTGCTTCTCTCGACGTCATTGTACGACATCTTCCCTTCGGTGATGATGTCGTACGCATCCGCTCCTGCACCCATCGAGGCGCGAACTGCATTTTTGTCGTTGTTCGCCGTCATATTCCTGCTGATGATATGTTCACTCGTGATGCTCGTCCTCATCTATCCTTCCCTATCATCGGATGAAGCGGTGGATCGGTGGGATCGGTACTCGAAGCCGGTCGGATTGCAGGCTCGTAAAGCCCTCTTCCGGGTTGTCGCTGCATACTCGGCCCCTCACCTCTTCCCGCCTCCTCTCAATCTGATCCAGCTCCTGGTGCGGATACCCGTCATGTTCCTCTCGACTGTCGGAGGTGCCAACTGGATGCCTGCTGCGGAGACGGTGAACAAGGCCCTTTGGCGACTCACGGTTGCACCTCTGGGGTTGCTTTATGCCGGGCTTTGGCTTTGGGGCTCGAGAAGATAGCATTTCGTATGTCGAGGGATAGTGTGAGTGACCTGAGTTATTGCATCCATCATCACGTTTCTTATGAAATAATCCCGATCAATCAGTCAACGAAGGAAGCGAAGAGTACTGTACGATGTTCGTGGCCTTCTAATAATGTAGTTACTCTTTTAAATATTACAACGACATTGTTCGTTATGCGTTGGCAGTGTTGTAATCTGACTTTGATCTTGAGATCTGTTCCCGATCATCTTCATCGTCGTGGCTCTTCGTCGCAGATCTGTATCTAAGATTGTCATCGTCCCTGCCGTTGCCCGTGAGTTCGGACACCGGTTCTGTGCTAAGCAGGTAAAGGACAGGCTTTGTGGTATTCCTCTGTCTGATATCTGTCCATTAGCGTGAGCGTAATCGATAGGCTCGTTGAAAAACTCCACGCTTGAAGGTCGACTTGCGAAGTCGAGTTATCAAATGCTGTCGTGAATTGTATCTGTCTCACGATGCATAAAGCAAGTTCCAGCCACGCTAGTTCAAATAAGAGCAATCCCAGTGCGCGGCCCACCAAGCGACGGAAAAATGGCACACAGCCAACGGAGGAAGATTTACCTACTCCACTTGCGCAAGCCAGCGCACCTACCGCTACTGCACTCTCGATACGGAGCCTCCCTTCCCCAGGCGTCCCTTCTCTGGCGAACCTGTGCATTCGCGTATTTGCTGGTAATCTTGCCAAGTTGCACTCGAACGCAACAGTATGGGAAGACGTCCGCGCCTGGTTGAAGGCGTTGCCCGACTATCTGGTAGCGAGAGTGTTCGCGGGACTCAAGGCGACATGCCCAACGATTCTGAGCAACGGATTAATTGTCGCGGTACGCACTCGACTTATTTCCTGAACCTTGACCGAGAGTGAGAACGTATGGCAGTACTTCCTCCGCGGCACCTCAATTGCACTGGACAGGAGTCTGCCTGGAGCAAACAGGCATACGATCGCAGCAATCCGCGAATCGCCTGACAGTTCCAGTCTCCAAGAGCTGGAGATAAGTGACTTTGATAAGGAGCCGGACAGCTTGTTCGCATCAGTGGTGGCGAAACTGCCTCATCTCCGAATGCTAGTGCTGCGGTATTTATGCAAAGTTAGCTTCATCCCCCTTCCTGCGGCTCATGTACTTGCAGAGGTTGCGCGAAAGTAGGCGAAAAGACGACTCAGGCAATATCAAAGTCTTGTCCACAGCTCGCTGTGTTGAATCTGAACTATACTTCCGTAACGCCCGCTTCCTTGGCCCCTGTATTACTCTCATGCCATGGTCTGGAGGTACTGAAAGTAGCAGGGATCTCAAGCTGGGTTAGTGATTAACAGACAGATGTGACCTGACTTCTGACATACAACTCAGACAGACGCCTCATTTGCCAAACTCTGGTCCGCCTTGAGTACCCACGAGGGTCTTTGCCTCACCAATATCCGGACACTGAAGCTGCGCCAAACCTCACTTGGTGAAGCCGCGCTGGGTCCATTCCTATCCATCTGTCCAAACCTCCAGCGAGTGGATCTCTCGTTCACTCTCGTCCGGTATCCATCGCAATTGCTCGCCGGCAAACCCTTGGAGAAACTCTCTTTGACATCGACCAAGGTCACTAGTAACGAGCTAGTCGCTACCCTTCCTCTCTTCCCCAAATTAATCACGCTCAACATAGCTGCTCTTGGAGGAGGACAAGGCTCCAGTGCAGCCATCTCCAACACATCCGCGATGAACATGACCGATCAGACCCTAAGGGATATCACGAACGTCCTTGCTGGCTTTACCCATATAGAGCGTGTCAACCTAGTCGGCAACAGCAAGCTGGGCATCACTGGGCGGCGAGATAGTGCTATTGCTGAATTTGTAAGACGGGTGGGTCGGAGGTGCAAGGTTAGCGGTTTTCGATCGCATACGACCGTTATCATCTTCCTGACCGAAATATCCCGGGCTTCTCGTTCTTGCAGATGCTGAACCTGGCCAGCATCCCCTCACTTCGCTCTTCCGATCTCGAAGGACTAGTACCGGATACCGTCGCGGAAGGACCATCGGCACTGCGAGTGCTGATCCTCAATAATACCGTAGTCGACGACGAGGCTGCGCCATTCATTTCGAGCTGTCCCGATCTGGAGACGCTGTCAGTCGGAGGGACACGCTTCACGAGTGAGTGTACTCAATTGTCTCACACGCAGAGCATGCGATCGAACTGGAAACATTTACAGGTGCAGGCTTGTTTCCGATAATCGACGCTTGTATGAAACTGCAGAAACTTGATCTCACCAGCTGTCGAGGTGTGAAAGTCGGTGAACGGAGACGGTTCTTCGAGGTCAGCTCAACAAAGCATATATTGCTCTTCTTACTGAGCCTCCACAGGTCTGGGAAGAGGAGTGGCATGACGCGCGGAGCCGCTGAGCCTCCGAGCAACTAAATATCGGACCTCGCGACAAACATCGCCACAGCCGTGACCCGTCGATCTCTATTTTGTCCGAGAGGCATCAGGGTGTGACGTTGTCCTCCACTCTCACAGGCCACGGACCCCATGCGAGGCGCATAATGTATCTCTATGATGCAGAACTACTGCAAAGCGTTGTGAGAGACGGTGGCTGCCCGTAGTGACCTGATGAGGGTCATCCTTCGCTCGTAGTTGAACGATTGTCATAGGCCGTTTTCAAGAGTCTTATGATCATCAGTAGTTTCTAGAAAATGGATGCACGAACATTCCTTTGTGTTGGCACGGTGTAGCTCAAAGGGAGAATGTGTCCCTACTCAGCTCTATTCTCTCGGAAACTTGCATGCAAAACACACGATAGTCAATTCCGGTTTAACTAAGACAACGTTCCAACACCAACAACAGAGAAGGTATAGTATGCAAGAGGTCAAACGCTCGAGAATATGATGATAGACAGGGTAACACACGATACTGATGAATATAAGCTGGCATCCTGGATCCGTTCACCGCTTCCTCCCAATTCTCATGCCACAACGCCGTTCAGGATCTCAGCCAACCCAGAGTCGGGATTAAGGATACCGAAGTGGGTGCCAGGCAACTCGTGTAGCTCGACATCCGGCGTCCAGATCTCGAGGTCTAACAGTTTCGACGCGCCTTCCGTGTACGACTGGGCGGAGACACCTTGCTCAGCGCGAACGAGCACTGTCCGTTTGGACGGCCAGACCTCGTGTAGCGAACCGTCTGCCTCACGCTTGTTCGCATCCATGCTTGCACGGACACCCATAAGCACTTGAATTCATGTCAGCCATACGCCCTGTGTATTAGCAGGACGCGACGTACCATGAGCGACGTAGGCCCTGCAGAAGCGTGCAACCCATTTAGGACCGGACCCGCCTGAGGACACCTTGCTGAAGTGATCCGAGAATTGGTACGTAATCTCATTTGCACCGTCCAGAGAGCCACTGTGGGACATGTCGGCAATGACCTCCATGATCTGTTGATGAAAGAGACACATTGGTCAAGGGCGAACAAATACAGTAAGGAAGATCACATACGTCTTCACGCAGCGTACCCTGCGCAATCCTATCCTTGGTGTAGACCTGGAAATTAGGCCTGTGGAAAAGCGTCGGAGCCCCGTCCAGCAAGACTAGCAACTCAGTCTCTTCGCCCTCATCGAGTAGCATCTGCGCAATTCGGACGGCAAGACAGGTTCCTGCAATAGACATGAGTGACGATGATGGTATACAATCGATCGCCTGCTTACCGAATGAGAAACCACCAATACAGTACGGCCCATGCGGTTGCTTCTCCTGAATCTTAGAAAGGTAGAAGCGAGAAAGACGATCAAGGGTACCCGTAATCGGAGCTTCGGGCGTATCTTGTACACCGTACACAGGGCAGTTCACCTTCTGGGCAACTTTCTGCAGCACCAGGACGCCACCACCAGCACCATGCAGGATAAAGAAAGGCCTTCCTTCAGTCACGTCGTTGAGATGCACGATGGTCTTGTCCATATCATTTTCGAGATTAGATTGGCCGGTGGCGTCAAACTCAGCACCTGAAGCGCCGGCACTTCGTGCCTCCGATGCAGATGCAAGGCGCTGTTCCTCTTGCATCGCCTGCAACTTCTCCACTGTCGTATGATGTCAGTTCAGGATACGCTGCTGAGAAGCTCAATACTGACCAGTCATGTATGAGCTGAGCAGCTGAAGTTGAGTAACAGTAACATCGAAGTACTGTTTAAGGATGCCACTGAGACGGATGGAGGTCAACGAGTCAAGGCCGTAGCTTGAGAGAGGAATGTTCTCTTCAACGTCTTCGGTGCTCAAAGAGAGAGCCGTGGCACAAGCTGCGCGGATCGTTTGCTCATTCGATGCATTAGCAGCAGAGACATCGGCGTTCTCCTTCACCAAGAGGTGACGCAACGATGCGAAATGATACTCAGGGATACCAACTATCAAAACCTGTCAGCATTATAACAACTTTATAATCTTACGAGGACATACTCTCCACGACCTTCTTCCAGTTCATTGGGGGGATGTACACTGCATTGGCTGCGCTGGTGTTCAACGTCCAGATTGCATTGACACAATGCTCTGCAACATGAATTCCAGACATTCCCAAGGATTTATACTGTTCATAGAGTTAGAGTGCGTTCGATGAAGACATAGAAAAAACTCGCCTTGTCGAGGGCGGCATTTCGGGCGTTGCCGGGAGGCATACTTCGCACAAATACACCACCATCCGTCTGCCGTACATACGTGAATAATTGCAGAACAAAATGTGAATAAAGCGCGTACGATCGGTGGGACTGTGACTGAAACGGTATTGGGAAGGTGAGCGCCAATTTCTTCCATCTCCGTCTGTGCTGCCGCATAATTCGCCTGACCTGTGAGCCACAGTGAGTCTCCGCGATGCATGATAGTAGTAACAACATTGAATACCTGGAGAACCGCTGACTGTGGCCATGGAACTGGTCAAGACGAGGAAGTCGAGAGTACTAGGATTGACGGCCTCAAGCAGCACCTTCAAGCCCTTCACCTTGACGTCGTACACTTCAGAACGAACAACATCAGTTACGAAGCTGGTTGACACGATAAACGGCCATACCAGTCTTCCAATCCTCCTTCGTGGTGAGATTGGTGAAAAGCTGATCATTAAGGCGGACAGCGACATAGAAAACCCCAGCGATCCTACGAGACGAGTTGGCGAAGATAGCCTTGGTCTTCTCCACATCGAGGCAATCCACTGCGAGGATCTCTATCGTCACGCCAGGGATATTTCGCAGGTACGTGATGATTTTCTTCTCGCGGATAAGGCGGCCGGCCTTGAAAGTCTTGATAATACGAGATCAGCTGAGCAAAGGTACGACGATATGCTATACTCACATTCTCGCCAGAACGTGAAGTTAAAATAACATATCTAGCCCCGTTCTCTACAAGACAACGCGCGATATTGGCTCCAAGACCGCCGACGCCGCCGATCACGACATATGAGGCTCGAGGGTCAAAAGCGGCCGTGCCTTTGATGATGCCACCACGCAAGATGGGAAGTTTCGGATTGAGATCTTGCAAATCCACCAATATAGCAGTATCAATGGTGGACTGAGACCGGATTTTGTCTTGAGCAACTGCGAGTTGACTCAGCTCAAAAATATGCACCGACGGTGCGATAAGGGAGCGGAGAGAGGGCTGAATGGATTCTAGTGCAGACTCTGCAATTTCTTCTTCGTCAAGCAATGTTGAGTAGTCGACCAGGACGAGTTGGTGACCGCGCTGGATGCGGTGTGGTAGTTCTCCACCGATTTGCACGAGGGTGCCTCTCCGTGATAGGAGGCTGAGAGTCTCCTTGGCTACACTTGGGTCGCCGTCGAAATTGAACATGACGTCGATGCCTTTCTTCGCCCATTCGCGTACTCGGAAAGACCAGATATCGAGTGGAGTGGTAGAGAAGATGGGCGCGGCTGGGGAAGAGCTTGGGGAAACTGGGAATGTACTGGGTTCCGTTACTGTGACAAAGACATCGAGGCCGCGCGCCTTGAGATAAAGGTAAGTCGCCACGGCAGCGGGAGAGGAGACACCGGCGTGCAACAGTATGCGTGGTGACCGAGCACCACAGAAAGCGAGCGCCTTAGTGACCACTGAGGACACGAAAAATAGACGGCCAGCAATCGCAGCAGCTGTCGACGCATGCATCCCATCTGGAACCTCTGTTACCTGCGAGCGGCTGCATATGATCACACTTCCTTGTTGACTCGCCGCAACGCCGAATACCCTGTTCATAAGATATGTCAATGAGTGGCGTAGAAGGCTACCAAAGTATATGCATACCTTCTTCCAATCATCTCAACAGGTACACCAGAACCAACAGCGCTGACTTTACCAGAAAACTCGGAACAGTCGGGGAAAGCTGGCGAGAGGCTCGTGAACGCAACTGTTACTTCGACGTCGTCCGGACCCAACGACTCCGAATAAGCTCGCCAGATTCGAGACTCATCAAATGCCACAGCCTTATTCTCGCGCGGCTCGACGTGAGGGGGAGAAGGAGCACTGACAATGCGCGGAACATGCAAGTTTCCACTCTCGTCCACGATGACTTCCGCATCAACCCATTTCAAAGGCACGAGCTTGCCGTACACGAAGTCCTCCTGCTGAACAGCATCCCACGATGGGTGGAACAGAGCCATCATGATCTTCCATAAACTGAACTCGTGGCGAATGGTTCGGGCAATTCCAATGAGGCTGAGGTTGCTCTCCTCCATGTCCGTGTATAGCCAGACCACATAGTGTTTGGTAGCATCCAATTCTGAGAGGAATTGAACGAGGGAGACCTCATCACCCGCCGTGAAGCGGCGAACGACAGTGAGGTCATGCCCCAAGACGATTTCAATAGGAGGTGCTGGCGTAGAGATCTCAATGACATCTTGTTTGGAGAACATATCGTCGATGCTGCTCCGTCCGAGGACATCGGTGAGATCGGATGACGAGCCGCTCAGAACCTTCACGACATTCGGGACCACATCAGGGTTCAATGGCGTCGTTGGTCCTGGAGAAGGAGTACGCAAGGGAGATGAGGAAGTTGAAGTCGGAGAAAGCGAGCCTTGCGTGATAAATGCCATATGAGAAACAGAGCGACCAGAAGACGTCACAAGAAGCGTGTCCGCGAAACCAGCTGCTTGGAGAGCTGATTTCCATTCTGCTGGAGACAGCGAGCAATGAGTCGCTCCCGGGCGCTGATCCAGCACGCCCATCCATTCAGCGAATGAGCCGAAGATGAAATCCATCCCTAAAGTACATAGTGTCAGCGAGAGTATTGGTCACTCTACAGGAGAAACTGAACCCACATATGGTGCCAACGGCGCCGTTAGCGAAAGAGTTGCCATCGAGTTCAATTACTGCTAGATGGCCACCGGGCAGGAGCAGCTCATGAAGCCGCACCAGTGTCTCGTGGATGTTAGGAATGGCATGAAGGACATCGAAAGCCACGATGATGTCGAAGCTCGCAGGATCCACATTCTGTTGCTCGATAGGCACGCTGAGGTCAAACGCCATCGGGGTCATCGTAAGCCACGGCGATTTGGCAGTGGACTCCTGGGCAAGCGAAATCGATATGTCCGTGCTGACATAATCGACGTAGCACTGTTGATCGAGTTTCGCATCCACCATGGCTTGACCAAGCAGAGCGGTGAACCTTCCAGTACCAGCACCGACTTCCAGAATCCGCACGACGCGCTTGCCAGCCGACACAGCCTCCTTCACAAGCTCAATGAACTGTTCCACCGTCTTATCGAATATGCAACCGACGAAAGGAGGGTGCTCATAGATCTTGCTCATGATGTCGTCGCGGAACAAGAGTTCAACGGCTGCAGTAGAGGCTTGCATAATTTCTGAGACAGAAATGAGTAGCTGATACGAAAGTCTGTCCATGAAAATGAGAACCTTTCTGCCCTTTCCCAACGCGCTCGGTGAGCTCCAGAAGACTGGCGTATTTGTCGCGGAGGGCTGGACCGATCTCGGGAACAGCGCCAAGTACAGCCTTCTGCACCTGCTGTTTAGCCCACGCGAGATACCGCACACGGTCTGACGATGCCAGCTTGGTGTCCTCCGGCAACGTGCTATGGTAGAGAGTTCAATGTCGAATGTCACAAAATCCAGCTATAGCTTTCACCTTAAAGTGTCGTAGGTGTACTTCAGAGCCAAGTGATCCAGAAGGCGCAGAATATGCACCGAATCAGTATCATCAGTAGCTCTATCCAGTACCAGCATCCCCTCATGTTCTGTGGTGGGAAGAGCTCGCGGTTGCCAGTACATCATGTATCGTTCTGTAGGCCATTGATCATCTTGGCTAACGAGTGCGAAGTGAAGGCCTGTGCATTGCAATCAGCAGGAGCGCCGGCATCCAGATTAATAATGAACATGTTACCTTCAAAAGCAATGATCACAGAGTCATCCTCATCTAGAACGTAGGCATCGAACGTCCAGTGATAGGCTGACCAGTCAAGGAGGACGGAGTACGTTCTGAACTCTTCGGGGAGTACAATAGGGTCGGTACGGCCGTCAACGCGGTAGGCTCTCCGTAAGGAGTATGGTAGCTACAACTTGATGAGCGCTTTCCAGAGTTAATAAGTATAACTCACTCACCAAGAAGGACCGCTCTTTTTCCCCGACGTTAATCTTGTCATACAGCTTGTGCAACAACTCTCGTGTTAGGGGGTCTCATGAGTATCTACTCCAAAACTCACCATATTCCAGCTTATCGCGGACTGCAAGTATTCAGTAAACCAGTAATTAATCAAGTATACAGAGCCGTGCCGATAGGAATGCATACCTGGAAGACCGCATCCATTAAGGCCGGATGGAAGACATAGTCAGTCGTATTTAATCCGTCAGCGTGACCCTTGATCCAGCAAATGGCCTCATTCTCGTTTATGGCCGCCTTCTGTACCCGCATAAACCTATAAAAGCATTCAGTACGGCTCTGTGCGAAGAATACCTGATGAAGCAGACACTCACTCAGACCCAAATTGAGCGATACCTTCCAGTTCCGCGTACAACTCCTCATGCTGGTGAGTAGAAACACAGCGCGCAAGGATGGCAGCGACGTCAACTTTCTTGAACCCTCCTATGCTCAGATCGGGAACCCCATACCCAAGCTTTCCGTGCGCATGGGTGGTGTCGAATTCAGGTGTGGCACGAGTCCACTCCAGGTCTCCCTGCATGGTCTGCAAAGAGGATGACGACTTCACCCACCAATTAATACCGTCCTTCGCCACCTCTAAGGTGACCGGCGGAACGCCCTCCTCCAAGATACAAGCCGTTTCGAAGCGACAATCCCAGACTTGGGTAACGCCAGGAAACTCGAGGGCCATCTCAATGTACGCGGCAGCAGGGATCAGATTCTATATGGACCTCATCAGCATTCTGCGAGGACTCGGTCATGGAACTACTGACGGAGTGGTCGATGACATGATGTGACATCCATGGTTCAGGCAGCTGAGGACTGACTCGGAGCCGAGTAGAATTCAGAGGGCGAGTGGCCGGGAGTAAACGGCGAAGATATGACGCTTCTCGCGCAGCGAATGGATATAATTTCATATTGAATGGATAAGCAGGACCTTCGAACGAGTCCGAGGGACAACCGTTGAGGATAGAGAAATTGATCTGAGTGAGCCTTATGATCAGACCCCATGCTGCATGTCTCGAACGAGATTGACTGACCGAGTTGACGCCGTAAAGAAGCAATTGTCCCATGGCCTGTAGGAGAGTCTGATTCTCTTTTGGACATTTAGCTCCGGGCTTCAAGTGCCGCGCCGATGGAGGACGTGTGGTCGTAGCCAACGAATCGAAAGCTCCCATTTTCTTGATGTACTGCATGAACTCGATCAGCAGAAGGTTGGTATGCTCAAAAACGTCCCACGTACTTGAGAGAGGACTGGATGAGGTGAGATCTCAACGAACGTAGTATTCTCGCCGAATTTGTTCACAAGTTGGGGAATAGCGGATGAAAACAGAACTGGCTGTCTAAGGTTGCGCCAGAGGTAGTCAATGGTGTATCCACCAGTCTTGAATTCAGCAGTAACCGTGGACATGGTGGAAGTGACAGGAACGAACGGTCCCGTGTAACGAGAGAAGATCGTGGCGAGCTCCGCGCGATATACATCTTCGCAGGGGTCCACGAAAGGCGAATGCACTGCCGTACTCACGCGCAACTTGCGCGCGACAACTCCGTCCACCCAAGTTTCGATGTACTTCGTCAGAAGATCGACAAGGAAATCTGATCCAGAAACACCGATGTCTGTAGCACTATTAAAAGCAGCCATATAGAGCTTGCTTGCTTCTTCCTTGCTCAAATCGGCGAGAGAAAAGGCGGCATCCACGTAGTCGCGCACAGCATCGGCGTCGCAGCCAGAGATTGCGACCATGCCTCCGCCGGTATTGTCGACCATAGAAAGAGCACGTCCACGAGCAATGGAAATCTCCACGACCATCTAAACGCAAACGCCACGTCAGCGTTGTTGATATCTCATAAGCCATGAACACTTACCTCGCGAGGCATGGCCCCAGAGGCATATAGAACGGCAGTTTCTCCGATAGAGTGTCCCACAATAGCGTTTGGCTTGATACCGAGAGAGATAAGAAGGTCGAACATGGCAATCTGGAAGAATGTAATGGCGACTGAGATGACGTTCGCTGGCCAAGTTAAGCTCTTGGCAAGAGGAGATGATATTGGAGCATCTGCGATAAATAATCCGGTCTCCTCCAAGAACGAGTTGCCAGTGTATGCTGTGTGAACCCGGTCACAAGCATAGATACTCTCGCGAAAGACTGAGTACGCGGCCATGAGATCACGTCCTTGCTGCCAGTGCTGTGGTCCTTGGCCAGAGAAGCATAATACGAGGGGGTTGGGGCGCTTCTCCACGAGTACTGGGTCTGGGAACGTAGCGCTCTCCAGAGAGTCGGCAATTGCGTACGTCCTCCATGGCATCTGTCGCGCACGGCTGCCAAGATGGGCGGACAATGCAAGCGGAGAGCGTTCCGCACACTGCTCTCTGTAGCGCTGCTCCAACGGTCGTACAGACTTTGGTGAAAGCGCACCTGTGAGAAGAACAACTGGGTGAGATAGTGTCAAATTTGGTATAAAGTTTGCTTACCAATGGCAAAGAGGAAAGGCCCATCCTTGAGAGTCTGAGCATCGGGATGCTCGGGGCGTCGCTCGTGTTCGCGTAGCACAGTGTGACCGCACGAACCTGGGAAACAAATGAAAACTCGAAGCCAGCAACGTGTGAGTCAATCAACCTACCACCGAAACCGAAGCTAGAGATCGATGCAATGATTCCTTGTTCAGGATCGTGAGCGACCAGATTCTCGACTTCTACAGGCACGCGCAGGTTGTACTTCTGGAAATCGATTTTTGACGATGGCTTTTGGAAGTAACCATTCGGCAGGATTTGTCTCTTATCGAGCATCATTACGACCTTGACTAGGGAGCTCATATAGGCACTGGGACAAACTGATAGTCAGAAAATGACAATCAGGAATAGTTAGGGATGAGTTCCATACCCCATCTCTCCATGGCCGATATTGCTCTTGACCGATCCAATCACAATCTCACGTCCTCCCCTTCCTTCTGAGATCAAAGCTCCGGCCGCGTTGGCCTCGAAGGAGTCTCCGACGACGGTACCAGTTCCGTGAAGTTCAACGTAGTCGGCTTGGTAGGGCGTGAGACCGGCATCTTGGTATGCATTACGGATAGCCTGTGCTTGGGCTTCTGGACTAGGCGTCGTGAGTGAGCCCATTATGGAACCGCAGGAGGTCAACGCGGTGCCGACGAGCGTGGCAAAAATGTTATTTTTATCCCTCACTGCAAGATCGTGACGCTTGATCACCACCGCGCTGGCTGTGGACATTGCGAAAGTCAGTATGAATGATTGCGGTGTCATGATAGATTGGATACATACCAATGTCAGCGCGAGCATAGCCGTTAGCATCATCATCGAAAGACTTGGAGATGCCATCCGGACTGAGAACGCCAAGCTGGCTAAAGGATGATGTCTCGAAAGGGGTCGTGATGTGGTTGAGACCAGCAACTACGGCTTGGTCACACTCTCCGTTCCTGATCGCCTGCATTGCCAGATGCATAGCGGTCAAACTTGAAGAGCACGCGGTATCAACAGGGAGAGACGGTCCCAGAAGGTCGAACACGTAGTTGATACGGTTTGCAGTGATGGAGAGCGATGTGCCCGTCATATAGTACGCTGAATGCACATGAGTCGGAGACGCGGCAATACAAACAGCACGCGACCTACCTCCAGCTTGAGTAATGTCTTCGAAAGGCGCGCCTCCGGCGGCTGTGAACAGGATATGTGAACAATTCTAATTTAATACTATGCACGATACGTACCACACCCGACGTACACGCCAGTGTTTGTGCCGCGGTAGTCGACACCACTGCGTTGCAAGGCGTTGAACGCTTGATGAAGCCTAAGATTGCTCATTAACGTATGCTCGGGCATTGCCGATGAGAATGCCTTATCACTTACGAAACAAGCTGAGTGACAGCGACTTGAGTAGCCTCCGCTGGAGTGATACCAAATTCTTGAAGATCGCCGGTCGAAAACTCAGGGATGAATCCACCCTTGGTCTGAAGTCCAGGAGTCAGTTTGGCTGACCTGCAGCGCACGGAACGGCAAACACATACGGTGCAAATCCTGCCTGGGCCCGTGCCATGGTAGGCTTCGGCGTTCCAGCGGTCAGCAGGTACGGTTATAATGCCAGAGCCACGACCCTTGAGGAATTCATAAAATGCTTCGGTATCAAGTCCGCGCGCCTCACCACCAGGCGCAGAGATAGAGAGACCTACGGGTCGCGTGCAGTGAGCACAAGAACGAGCGTACGTGAAATGACTGTGAGACATACCGATAACGGCGACCGCATGAGGATCAGGGTTAGTGTAGCTGGGTGGTCTCGCTGCCATCTTGCCTATGCAGTATGCAGGAAAGGACGAGAACCTAGCAGGTCATGACGGTCTGCCTTCACTTAAATATTGCCGGACTGAAATTTTGAGATACGATCAGTTCTGAGTAGCGCCTGGTAATGACATATTGTGAAAGATACTGACTAGCCCTGAGACGGCAGCAGAAGTCGAGATCGCACGCCCTGTCCATCTGTCATACCTTCGCGCACTTCGATCTGAGCCCTAAAATCCATTTCCGACACGTCGATGCTTGCCATATCGTTCGCGCACTGGATCCAAGCCCTAAAAACTCATTTCCGACACGTCGATGCTCGCACTGCGGTATGCATGCCTGCGTTGAGACAGATGTCCGCTTGCGCCAAATCGAATTAGTGCTGCGTACTAAACAAGGTAGGTTAGGATGGCCGGACATGACCTCGGCCAATAATCGTACACGAGTGAAGCCGCACCCAGCGATGCGGGGAAGACAAATCGCGTGAGCCGTGAGATCTTGAGAGCTGCATTCCAAAAGCGTGACTTTCGTGTATCACATCAGACCAATTGCATGCGGCGGCCGCTGCACCTTCGAAAGATACCGATTGAGACCAGGCACTGTAACGTCAGAGAAGAATAGCTGAAGCTGGCTGCGGTGGGAATAAATAATAGAAAGGTCCCCGATGGGCCGCAACAATGGTGGCGCTGGATCATGTCAAGGGCCATCAATCGAGGAGCAGTTGATTGGTCTGGGTACGACACCAAAGTTGACGTTGATCGCCTGCCTGGCGGATACTGCCTTTGCCGTTAAAATCGAATTGATTCTGTCGAACAAGTGCACCGAAGATCGATAACAGCCATGAGAAGGACCTGTATCAGCTGAAAGGAGGACCAAAGTAGACCTGGTACTGCTTGTCAACGGTACACCTCGCAGAACATCCGAAGAGACATAGAATAGAAGAGCTTGGGTTTGAAATTTGTGTACGCACGGCTTGGACTCTTCACGGAAGATACTTTCGGGCCTTCACCGGTCAACTTGAACACGGCGCCGAGGAACTGGTTCAAACTGGCGCCCGTTTAACAGGACATTGAAGCTTGAGCTTGAAGTCCCGATCCTTGCCTCCCAAATGGAGAATAAAGCATGCTCACATCGAGGCAAGCATTGCACGTAGGCAAGAGATGCCGCATGTATCATTGAATGTCCCAGTCCAGGCGAGTGCCCATCCATCCCGAAGCTGCATATCAGGTTGTTGACCGCAGCCCTACCGTCCCGTAACACCGTGTGATATGCGAGTGGCAGATAATGCAGTGCAGACTAGCCTCGCGAGGGCTATTGCGACTTGAAAGATGCGGATTGAACAGGCTCCAGCTGGACGATCACGCTGGTCGGATCCGCAGCCTTCACTGCCTCGTTGACGTCGATGTGACGCTTCTATAGTAGAAGAGGATCACCTTATTGCGCCAAACTCTATATACACATCGCAGTGCCGAATCAGATACGCGGTCTTCTCTGGCATAGTACTTGCTCAATTTGTCCTGGGAGTGACAGCACGCATGTTGACACTAGTGGGAGGTTTCAGCATGACTATTCGGATCCGATATGACGGCGACATAGGCAGCGGAGAGGGCTAGAAATAATGTAGAGATCGCTAGATTGTAGATGTATGCTTGATACAATGCAACGCAGGTGTAGGCGATAATTCCTGTGTCGGCCGACAGCGCATATCCCAGCATGGACAGAAGGGAACCTCTTCGCAACTATCATAACTTCTGCGCCGTAAGCACTCCATGAAAATCGACGGGGAACACGGTCTTCATCTCAGCCCGAGCAAGCTCTGTCATCTCCTTCGCGTCCAGAACAACCATACTGATCCGCATCGCATTCTCGTCGAGTGTGACGCTCAGAAGTATGCCATCGTCTTCAATCGTCCCGTGTCTGGGCGGGACGAAAATCGGCTGGGACGGCGTGTGCGCGGGCTTGCGCCAGACATTGGACCCGCTGCCCGGAGTGCCGTCTGAGGACGAGGCCATGTCGAGCTTGATGATGCCATCCGGAAAGGTATGGTGTAGCTTCGAATCGAGTTGCTGATGCCATATGCGAAGTGATACGGCTTGTGGTACACGGAAGGCGCCACGATGGGAAGCTCGATGCTCTGCGGCTGCGGGGGTGTAAAGTTCACGATGGCGTCCTGTACCTGGAGAGGAGCCGAGGAGCGCGCAGGCAATGGAAGGCGGAAACGACGAGCCCGGCCCATTAGCATGTGGTTCTCCATGCAATGATTCCGCGGCTTGTCGAGATGAAGCAAATTGATGACATTGTTATCGGTCAATGACAATGTCACCGGTGACAGGATCATCGAAGGCGTTCATGTGATGGAAGCAGAAGAGTGAAGGTGTCTAGAGGTCGGCGAATGGCAAGGAAGGGTCGCAACGTATCAAAGCCCGAACGCAGCTAACCTTGGATTTGCCGACAACTCCGCCGTTGACGTAGAACGACGTGTCTGCCTTCGGGTTCCAGTTGTAGTTGATGGACTCTGCGACGTTCTTGTTGAATACAAACGACATCCCATATCTAATGAGATATTTGAAAACTTCCATCAATATCGAAAAGTCAATGAATAACAGGGCAACGCACTGCTTGGTGTGAGCTTGCCAGACGCAGAGTATGACGAATCGCGTGGGTCGATCTATGCTGCCAGCATCGACGATGCGCTTCTCGAAATCTTCCGCACCTTTGTGCGAGCGATATGTGACGCGCTGCCCATCGGGGAATATCCCGAAACGATGAGGCATGGCAAGCCCGTCGAACCCAATGCTGGATATTGACCGTCTTAGAGGGGTCTGCGGTGGTCGGAATGCGGGTCGTGCCTGGGCAGTGCGGTACAGGACTCCGCTGAGTCATGGTGGAATTGATCCGTGGACTGTGTCGAGGTCGACTGGTGTGCGCTGTTCGCAAAGCTTGCTGCACATGAGGCCACGATGTGATGCGGCCGGCGATGGGAGGGCACGACATGAAGAAAGGCGAGCTAGCGTGGACACAAGAACTTGTGAGGCAGACATTAAGGGAATAGACTAGCAAGTGCGGTGTTTGGGCGGGCTGTATGCCACCGAGTTTCTAGCAAGCGCCTCGTCCATTGCCGAGATTCGATCGGGGATGGATGATGTTACGTAAGCACGCGATGCTACCTTGGCCGCGATGGGTCGCCGCCTCCTCGATGACATGCCCCATGTACATCAAAATAATGCAGCCACTACTTCTTCGTCCCCCTTGTATTCTCAGGCCTCATGTTTCATTGCCTGTGCAGCTGCACCGACAATCGCACGACCCGGCCTTGTATCTGAGCGAACATGGTGCACTGTCTCCCGCCCCAACTGCTTTTTGAAGCGCCAGCAGCCCCGGACTTGACCATGGAGAAGAACATGGCCGCAGACGAGGCGTGTTCGCGGAATGAGTCCCCCGCGTTGCCAGCAGACGCGTTCAATGAAGAGGCATACCACATCAATGGACACAGGCGGATTGTGGTGCTTACCGCCCTCGGGCTGGTCCTCTTCATCTCAGCGTTGGACTCGACTATAGGTGCGCCTGCCCCATGCTTTTGCAGCATATAGTCTCTTCTCACGCGTTATGCAGTGTCGGTCGCATTGCCTGTCATCGGTTCTGACTTCAATGATTATTCACGCTCTAGTTGGATTGTTACTGCGTATCTCATCACTTACACAGGTACTCGTGCCACTCTACGCGGTAACATGACTTCTGGTGTTCACTCTTTCCTCCAGCATTCCTTCCTATTGTATCTAAATTCACTGACATTCTGGGGCGTAGGCCCGTTCTTGTGTTATCAACAATCTTCTTCATGGTGCGATGTCGTCTGCAATGGACCTGCTCTTGTTATAATTCTGATGGCGACGACAGATCTGGTCTGGAGCATGCGGTGGCGCAAAGACCATGAATCAGCTTATTGTCTTCCGCGCAATGCAAGGCATCGGAGGTTCGGCTATCTACTCCGCTGTGATCGTTACCCTAAGTACCTTTGTTTCGAAGGTATGTTCCACGACGACTCCTGCTTCACAAGCTGCTAATTAGCACTTTAGCAAGAGGTAGCCAAGTACACTCCCATGATCGGCGTTGTGTACGCTTTGAGTAGCGTTGCTGGCCCTTTAATAGGAGGAGCTATCGTGTCACACACTCATTGGGGTGAGCTGGTGCTTTTGATTTACGTGTCGAATTGATCTAGAGGGATCAATCTAGGCTGGATCTTCTTTGTGAATCTACCCATTGGGTTCGTTGGGACAATTCTCCTGCTATATGGACTGTCGGATCCCTATCGCGATCAAGACTGGCGTTTGGTCTCTCGACGTCTTGATTGGATCGGAAGCTTCTTGCTCCTTGCAAGTAGTGTCCTCCTGTGCTTCGGTGTAAGCATCCACAACTTCTAGTTTGATATCATAATTGGCTCAACGACAGGTTACTGATTGCACAAACAGCTGCAAGTAGGTGGAACGAAGGGCTATCCCTGGGTATCTGCGAAGGTCCTCGCTCCACTCATCATCTCGGGATGTATAGTCCCCGTGTTCATCTACTTCGAGACCCGCCATCCAGAGCCTCTTGTCCCATTGCGACTATTTCGTAGTCGCAACTTTGCGTTCATCATTCTCTTCACGCTGTGCCTCGGTGCTGGCTTTTACACTGTGACTATCTACCTCCCGCAACGGATGGAGATTGTCAACCGTCTCTCTGCCATCACTTCTGGCGTACGCATGCTCCCTCAGCTTACGCTCGTTGGCGTTGTCTCCTTCATATCTGGCGCAATAGTCATGATTACCCGACGCTACCTTCTCCTGATGTGGTTCTCATCCTGCGTCGGTGCCATCGGGTGTGGTCTCCTTACCATCCTGACCGCACAGACCCGCTTCCCGCAGCAATACGGCTTCGAGGCACTCATCGGCTACTCAGTTGGTATCACTATCCCCGTATCCACAATGATCGTGCAGTTCTCCACGGACCGTCCGGACCTGGCCTCCGCGACAGGCTTTCAGTCGTTCGCGCGCCAACTTGGCGGAGTCGTCGCCATCTCCATCTCCACCGCGGTCCTCAACAGCCGCGTGGAGGCCAAGCTGAACATGCTCGAAGGTACGGATAGCCCGTTGGCTAGTGCGGCGCTCCGGGAAGCTATCCTAGAGGACCCGACGGGTGTGATGAGCGAGTTGAGCTCATCGGCACGCGAATATGTGCAGGCGGCGTATAGCGACGGGTTCTCGAAGGTGTTTCTTGCGGGAGCAGTGTGGCTGGCGGTGAGTGCGCTGGCGACGTTTGCGCTGGAGCATAAGCTTCCTCCGGAGCTTGAACGGAAGAAGCCGGTCGTGGGAGCAGCAGCAGAGAGTCAGGGCCCTGAAGGCGAGACGGTAGTTGACGTTGACGTGCCATCTCAAGAGAAGTCTGCAGACGTCGAAAGGCATCAACAGGCTACTCAGCCGATGGTGGTCGAGTCCAGGATGGATCCCGTGCAAGGCCGGTCGGCCTCCGTCGATCAAGAAGCTGCAGATGGTAGAGTCTAAGTCGAGTCAAGTTTATACCTCGCCTTAGAATGACGCCTCCTGTGGGAGCTGGATCTGCGTATAGGGACGTCTACTATTAAAGTATCTTCTTGCATGGTCAACATCTCTAGGAGTTCGGCGTTTTGTGACGGTGAAGTAGATATTTCATGCCGCTATCTTGGTGGGTAGCACATCCCTTCTGCATTCGCCTCTGTGAATCCAGTTTCGCCTCCAATATGTTTATCGACTTTAGCTAGATTTCTTGATATCGTAACGCCCTCCAACATAATGCTGATACATTTACGCGATTGACTTGACGGACTTGACGGCTCAATAGCAACTCTGATACGATAATTTTGTACGTCCCATGTTCGTGAAAGATGGTGTGATGCATTTGCCACCAGGATTACCTTCCTCTGCTGTCAGTGCTAGCGCTTCATGTTGGCTTCTGCGTTTCACCATACCGAATTGGCACTCGTCAGCTGGCATGGCTTGCGGATGGTAGCTATCTGTTTTTGCCACTCGCCCCGTGACTGCTCAGTGCACACCGTTGTCCATCTTGGAACGAGTACCTTCTAGGCAGCCGTACAGCCTCAGATGTCTAATGACACATATATAGATATCGGATGAGCCTTCCTTACGCTCACGTACGCTCATGGCTGCAAGCCGACCAATTAAGGTGGAATCTGGATCAAAACGCGCTTGTGGCGCGAGCGGCGACGCGTCGCTCCTACAGCACGTGACCGTATGCGAAGGCTAGCGCCAGCGTCGAAATCTCATGCGCATTCCTGCAGCATCCACATCCAGTTCCACCAGGCATGGCCGTTGCATCAGAACATGTCCAAGGTTCTCGAACTATGCACAACACGGAATTTCTCTCGGAGCAGCTACCGATAGCTGTCTGACGATTGAGCACGAGTGGCGCGTTGATGGGGCCTGTCACTGATGCTAGACAGGGCTTGTAATCGTATGGTTTCTCCAGTCGATGAATCTCTCGCTCACACTGAACTATATGTTCCTCTGCTACTTACGCAACATACACCGTACCTTATTCAATGCATACATTTGACCACTTGGTAGTCAGGATTGCTTCCGGCGTGATCCGTGCCAGTGTAACCTAGGTATCCATGAATGAAGAGCATCGCCATAGGCTTCTCTGGCATCCTAATTATCAGCAGCTATTGAAGTGATCGACTAGCCACACACCTTTCGCGCTCGAAGATTGCTAATGACAGCCAGAGGACGGTGCGTAAGGCCCCATATCGTACGTTCGATGCTCCATTGACTGATCGCCACAGTGCTGCGCCATGATTCTTTCAGCGGAAACGCTGCGCCATAAAGTTAAAAGTCAATCACAACAGTCTCTGGTTACTGTGCCGACCATGGCAATACCCCGTTTTAAGCTGGTCGTCTGTACCTCTCTAGCCTGCTTTGTGTAACAAATTTCATCAGTTCCGATCGAGAGGACTACGATGTTGTGGTGGCGGGCCTTTACGTACCTGACAACGACATGCATGACTCCTTTCGTTACAATAGCATGGAAGCTATAAAAGCACCACAGTGCGGCCGCTGGAAAACTCGCGAAGAACAGCTGAAAGATACTTCTCCATGGATTCGTACTCGGGTCTCTTTGGCAGCCCGGACCTGAACAGGCCGCTAGAACTTGAAGAAATATTCGATATTAACAGGTTCTACGGTGAATCCAGGTCGGTCAACTTTTTACTGGCGCCCCGTGCCACATCGAAGCTCACGGATACTACCTCAGTCAGGATGCGGCTTCCGAAGGACAGCAGCACAACCTCGATCTACTTCAGAATCGCGATTATAACATAGACCAGCACCTGGCCGCTGGAGTCGCCTACGCCGATGGCACCGAAGCATGGTAAGCACTGTATGTGTGTTCCAGGACTTACGGTCATATCTTGATCATAAACGATAGGGTACCACCTCCACTCGTTCAAGACTACACACATCAACATATGGAACAGCGCCACACGCCACCGACCGCTACCGTCAATGCAACGTGAGTTCTTCTGGCTATCCCCACTACTGTCATAACGGAAGTGAATACTGTTTTCCCACGTAGGGCCGCCATACCGACCGCTCCAGATCACAACTCATATCATACCGCTCCGAACGCGTCTGAACCCTGCCAGAACGTACCAGGATGGGGTTTCAACTCTCACATTGGCCCCTACGATGGAAGCAATCCTTTACCTCCGGAGCCCTTCTCCGCCGAGGAGACCTATGGCTATTATGACCACCTTAGGCAACACCAACACTACACTGGCGCACAGCAACAAACCGGTCGGCCGCCTGTCACGAGTGTGGCGAGCTGCCCATTTCAAGAGTCCTACAACTACTGCATCCCATTTATCTTCTACCCAGGATACCATCGATGCTGCTGCGCCGTGCAGCCCCGATGTCTTCGAAACAAAAACCCGCTTACTAGCGGGATGTCACGAGAGACAACATCTCCCCATGTGCAGACACCGTTCGTCAATGCGCATAACGGTGTACATCATCGATTTGGACAACCCTATTGTCAGTCTGCAATGACAGCCGAAGTGATGGGAGGCGCGCCCCACTCTCTCATGGCCAGGTGAGTCGCTCATCATGCATCAGCTATGGCAAGAGTAATCTCATGACGGCGTATCGATAAGGTCCGTCGCAGAGCCCGCTCCGCAAGCATCGCTGCCCTCTATAGGGCGAACGGCGGCGAGTGGGCTGTATTACCAGGATCCACCGTCTGTATGTGTGCATAATATCGGCAGGTCTAATGGGTAAGTGCCGTCATCCTCTGGCCAAGAATCAATTTGTATTGCCAAACCATGATACTTATACGTGTATTTCTAGACCTACTTATTCCACCAAAGCCATTCAGACTGAATCGATAGAGACAAGTCGTACTGATGTTTGGAACACTCATATCCGTGCTCGCTTTTAGTTAACGTTATGTAGACCTCTTTGGCTTAGTAGGGGAAGCTGTGTTCTGTACACATGCATTAACGTAGATATGCCTATCACCATATAGATAAAGCACTGATTCATATATCTCTTTTGATTTACCTTGGAGTTGAAAGGTTATCATTCTGTCTCGCGAGGACGCGGAGAGGTTGGCCGTTGATGTACTATCATGATCTAGTATTCCGAAGACACATGTTCTTGCCTTGGCAACCACGGCACGAGTGCTTTTAAAACATAAGTGGCTTCCGGACAAGGCAGAGTGGATGTCCTTCTGTGAGCATTTGTGAGGCACCTCACATAAAACAGCTAATCAGTCGACCTGAACAAGCAACTGTACCCTGGTTCGGCACATACTATATACAGTTGCAGCAACGCACTGTACATGTCGTGGGTTCCTCGAAATGCGGACGCATTTCAAAAATTATGCGCCGCAGGAAAACCTACTAACGACTGCGCGCCCATTATGTTGCCGCACTCAGCATTATATTTGTGAAGATCTCGCAGCTCCTCAGCCTCGGGCGTCCGCGTCAGTGCCAGTGGTCGTGCAGACATATCGCCATGCTTGCATGACTTTCGATATGATCATGCCTAAGTAGCTAGCTATAGCTCGCTGTTGCGACGGACTACTGTTACACCAAATCGGATAAAGTGGCGCTAAAGCTACAAGACCCTGAACCTCCACACAAATGCTATCAAACCGAGAAAATCCGATGCTTGCGAAAACTGATATGAAATGCAATGAACACGACCAACTTTACCTCTGCACCTCCCGTAAAACATGTGCCTCATTCACCTGCCTCCCCGCGTAGTCTCCCCAAACTCCAGTCCCAACGCCCGCAGAAACCGCCTCTCCTCCTCCTTCTCCACCATCGCACGCGCATCTTCCGGTTCCTCCTCTGAGCCCATCGAAGAACGGATGCCCATGCTCAGACTCGGGCTCAAATCGATATGTTTCGTGGTCGGAGTCTCTCCCTCCTCGTCAAACGCGGCCCCGGGTTCGCCATCTGACTCTTCCCCTTCCCCGCGTACCGTCGTTCTCACAATCGTGCTGCGAGGTCCTCCGTCCACAAGCGATATCGCGCGGGATGAGCCCCCGTCAACTTCGCGCTCGAACATGCTCCCACAGCTATCCGTGAAAGTCGCACTGCGCGCGAAGCTCATGGTATCCAATTCGGATTCGGGCCTGCTGGCGACGTAGTCACCAACCTCCAGCATTTCCGGCGTAGTCTGTGCACGACTTCTACGGAAATCAAGGTCGTTCGACAGGTGAGAAGTTGGCGACGCTGTCTCCGCACGCGCGGGGCGTGGCGGGGACGACGGCATCGAGAACCCGAACCCGGGAGTGAACATGTCGAAGCGCACCCCGGCGTCGAGGATCGTACTGAAAGTGCTGCCCCGAACGCGTCGTCCTATGCTAGACGGACCAGTTGGCGTAGTGGGCTCCGTCACGTCGAGATCGCTGCGCCTTCCGACAGAAACAATCATGCTCCTCGCACGCATCGCTCGCCTGGAGATCACAGATGACAACGAGAACCTACGCGATTGTACTTGTATCTCGGCTTGATCGTTGGGTTCGGTACTCCTCTGCGGTTGCTGTACAGCATTTGAGGATTCCACGGGTAGACGATCGTACATGGCGCTCGCTGGTGAAGACGGAATCCTCGTAGGCTCCGTCGCTAGCATGGTCGTGTCAGGTAAACCTTCGTCCGGATTGTACGCGACACCGAGCGCGGCGCGCTGCTCGTCCTTGCCCTTACTTGGCTGATGCATCCTGAAATGCGATCCGCTCACCTCGATCATACTCCCTCTTGATTGCCGGTCCATGCTGGTCGGCCTAACCTCATCCCTTTCGTCCATCCGCTTCTCCAGCTTGACCGTCTCCTCCAGTGCTGCAGGACTTGAACGAGACGCATGCGAGTCATCCACCGTCCTCTTCGCGCCGCTCTCACTCGAACTTCCGAGCGCAATGCTCGCATGTCCTGCTGGCCTCTTACTACTCTTCTTGTCCGCCACATGAGCCGCAGCCGACCTCGACGGTCCTACATTCACCTCGCTCTGTCTAGCATCCAAGCCTATACCACTGAGCATGCTCATCGGTCTCACTGGCAATGCATAAACCACGCTGTCATCCACATTCACGGGTTCATGATCGACCGACCGGGGAAAGTCCGGCACCGGCGGATGAGGCATGACCGTCGCTTTCAGCGCGTCCATCCTCGACTTCGTCAGGACGGAAGACACGGAGAACCGTCGTGCTTTCTGGGCCTCGCGCCGTCCATCTATACCACTGATTGTCTCTATCGTAGGAGCAGTGACTGTCCGCGCTCGGATGATGTGACCTCCTTCCTTGTGGTTCTCAGCAGCAGGCTGCACTGAAGCCGACTTGTGGCCACGCATGTGAAATGGCCTCGACAGCAACGGATGCCCGGCAGCCTCATCCTCCAAGGGCAGGAACGACTCGCATCTCGGCGTCTTCGGCGTCCTCGGATAGACAGAAGGCAACATCGACATCGGCAGCGACAAAGAGCGGCGCGAGGTACGCACGTCTCTGGCAGGAATCTCCGGCGCAGGAATGGGATGCATCTGTGCACGCACATCCAGTTAGACAGGAACAGGCAGTCAAAGGGCGCGCATACACTCACCGGCCTATATCCTACCTCCGTCACGGCTGTCGTCGTCGTCCTTTGCACTCCCAGCTTTGCACTGCCGTCTAAGCTTCCTCTTCGCTCTTTCTCGGCGCCCTTCCCTCCAAAAAGGCTGACGATTCGCCCACCCAATTTCCGCATTCTGCCGAACACAAGGAGCTTCATCGGGCGGTCCCTCCCTGCACCCTCACGCACTCCTTGTTCGGGAGGAGGCCCAACGTCCACAGGACTGCTAATCGTACGCGTCACCCTCGGGAGAGGCGTGTGTGGCGAATGGGGCAGCGGGGCACTTTGCCTGCGAATCCGCGCTTTCATTATCTTCGCGCCCTCAAGGTCAACAGGATCTTCGTTCTCAGCTTCCGCCTCTGGAGTCGGTTCGGAGTCATCGTACCGGTGGCCGTGCCCGTCACTTGTGGTCGCACAAGCATTCACCGCCAGCGCAAGACTCGGAGCATCCGAGTCGCTCGTATATGCGCGCATATGTGGTGACGCGCACGCTTTACGTGCAATAATGACTCTCTCCGCTTCGCATACCACTGCGGAGTGGATAGAGGCGGGCAAAGATAGCGTTGAGCTCATCGCGGACGCTGCAGCCGCAGCGGCACGCGCGAACGCGTCGAGGTCAGCGGATGTGCGAGGAGACGGCTGCTTGTGCACGAGGACGTGTGGGCTGTGGCCCGAGTCTGCTTCGGGTGGGAGAACGGGCGAGTCGGCAAAACTGTATGCGGAGACGGATGAGGGATGAGAAGGATTCCCTGTGTTCATATTATGCTCTCCACCGAGTGACTTGGCAGTGTGCTCTTGCGCGCTAGCCCGTGAAATTGAGGTCTCCCGTGGATCCTCCAAAGCCGCATCTATATCTCCAGATAATGGAAATGAGGCACTGAATGCAGCGGACATGGAATTTGACGGTGAGCCGACAGAGGATGGGCTGTCTCCCATGGACGCTGTAGCGTATGATATGCTCGTAAAGTCCAAACTGATCGTAGAAAAATTCAGAACCGGCTGATCGAGGAAGCTAAGTGACGTTGACATCGTGGTATCGGGCGTCGCGTCCGTCATTGGTATGCTGGTATTATTGTTGAAATGCTTGGGTCTAGCGGGAATCGTCTCTAAGGAGGTATCGTGTCCCGAAGGTATGCTACGTGTCGTGGCGTAACTTTCATCTGCGTACTTGTCTGGATACGCGACGGATGGGGTGAGAAAGTCCGGCATCATCTTTTGAGAGTCGCTTATGGGCGGCGCATTCCATGGCGCATCGTGATTAGATTCTGGCGTGAGGACGCCTTCAGAGTCCTACAAAAGACGCAGAAAGGTCATTATATGCGCGCGTTTCTGCACGATAATAAACGTCTAGACTTACCGATACCTCCGTAAACGTCGTATCCTGCGATACGCTCGTGTTCAGAGGCAAATCACTCATCTCAGGAGTGCACGTCAGCGCGGGCGTGTTCAGCACACCAACGGGAAACCCATTATCCTCAAATCCATGGTGCTCAAGCGCCGTCGGGAACATCCAGCCGACGCCCATGCCCATCTCAATGTCGCCCTGCTCAGCGTCGACGGCGCTGGCGCCCCGGTGCTGCGCCCGGACGTGCAGCAGCTCGGGGAGCTGAGGTGGGTCGTCCGGCACAGACCCGGTCACGATGCGGCCTCCGGCGTCATCGCCGTGGGAGGAGACGGAGGAATTTGGCCATGCGCCGGGAAAAAAGGGTGTCGAGGTCTTGCGCCGCCAGAGGAGGGAGGGCGGCATCGTTGACGATGAGGATGGGGAGAGGGAAGAGCAGGAGAGGGAGAGGGAGAGGGAGAGGGAGAGGGAATGCACCTGTGGTATGTGGATGAAAGTAACGGCGAACGAAAGAGAGCCACAGAAGAACGTAACGCGCTGGATATGAGAGCATCTTAACTAAGAACGCAATAACCGCGACCGGCGGTGGTAACTTGCGAAGCGCGTCATCTGCCTTTCCCGGTGCAGAAATTGCCATATCCGGCAGTACCCATGCTCGATCGTGTGGCTACTTTGACAGCTCGGTAGTGGCACGATCGCAGTGAAATCAACCCCAAAATGACAATCCATGATCAGCCAATACATACAATACACTGCACGGAGATAGACATCATCTCGACTCATGTGTATCGCTCCTCGTCCGGCATCTAGCATACAGCACCCCAGCACCAGCCTTACCAGCAGCTGGAGGAGTTGAGCGCAGACCAGCACGACGCGCAAGGCGCAGCTGGTGCGACAGAGCGGCGCTCAGAGCTCGTTCTTGACAGCCTTGCTCACGCTCTCCGAGAAATAGTCGATGTTGTGCGCGTTCAGGCCCGCCATCGAGATACGTCCATCGGCGGTCATGTAGATGTGCGCCTTCTGCGCGAGCACTTGCGTCTGCGGTGTCGTCAAACCCGTGAAGCTGCACAAACGCGTGATCAATTTGAGGCACCTGCGCGACAGCCAACAGACACATACCTGAACATGCCGATCTGGCTCTTGATGTGTCCCCACTCTCCCGGGGTCTTCAGCGCAACCAGGTTGTTATAGAGACGCTCACGCATCGAGATGATCCTGTCCGCCATGCCCTTCACCTCCGTCTCCCATTCTGAATACAGCTCCGGGCTGTTAAGAATCGCGCTCGCGATCCGTGCACCGTGCAGCGGGGGGTTCGAGTACATCGGGCGGATGACGATCTTCAGCTGGCTCTCCAGGCGCTTCTTCTCGTCCTCGTCCGCCGCGATCAGCGAGAACGCACCGACGCGCTCGCCGTAGAGACCCATGTTCTTCGCGAACGACTGCGCGAGCGCGACCTGCTGACCCTCTTTCACAAAGTGGCGTACCGGAAACGCATCGCGCGTCGTCGAGCCTGACGCGAAGCCCTGGTATGCCATGTCGAAGAAGGGGAAAAGCTGCTTCTCCGCGATGATCGAGGAGAGCTCGACCCACTGCTCCGGCGTCGGGTCTATACCTGTCGGGTTATGCGCGCACGCGTGAAGGAGCACGATCGAGTTGACCGGCATGGCCTGCACGAACGTTCAGCATACTCACCACGGGGTATTTCGGGAACTGGCACGCACCTTGAGGTCCGCCTTCATGCCCTCAAAGTCGAGACCGACGGTCTTCTTGTCAAAGTAGCGATACTGCTTGACCTCGAGAGCCGAGTCGCGGAAGACGGCGGTGTGGTTGCCCCAGGAAGGGTTCGGAATGTAGATCGTCTTTGCATGGGGGAAGAAGCGCTGCAAGAAGGCACCGCCGATCCTGAGGGCACCCGTGCCCGAGATGGACTGCACGACTGCGACCTGTCTACCGCGTCAGACGCGCGCCTCCACGCATCTCACACGCGCAACTCACCGCGTTGCTGCTGAAGGGCTTGCTGTCCGCGCCATATGCGAGCTTGGCGGCGGCCTTGGTGAACTCTGGGAGGCCGCTGATGGGGAGGTATTCGTGGTCGGGGTTGGACGCGGTGATGAACTCCTCGGCCTTCTTCACGCTGCTGAGCACGTAGGGTTTGCCATTGCCATCGCGATACGCGCCGACACCCAGGTTAATCTTGCGTGTGTCCTGGTCAGCCTTGAACGCCTCGGTGACGCCTGTGGGAACGGGCACGCTGTGTGAGCATCACGGGCGATCGTCGGAGACAAATATATTGGAGTTGACGAGTGACGAGAACACATATGACCGTGTAGGACGTGGGGCGTGGCCTGAGGCTCGAAGTGCACGGCGAGATTACGCACCGAGAATAGGATCGGGCGGGCCAGCGGGGACGGCGGACCAGGTGGAAAGGGCGGCGGCGCGGCGGACGTTGCTGGGGACAGCGCGGGCGATGGGGCGCGAGACGGCCTGCATTTTGAGGAGACGAGAGAGGGAAAATGGAGAGGGAAACGAGAGAGGGCGTGCGGGAGATGGAGGCGTTTGGCCAGCTCAAAAGGCAGGCGCTAGGACACGGAGCTAGAGCGGACCAGGGCGCCGAGTCCGCCCGGGAATGCTCTCCCATCACCCTAACCCCAGTTCAGCATCGCCCATCGATCGTCTCTGCACATCCACTTGCTGCTCGTATAAACCTCGAGTGCACCTCGCTAAATAACCCAGATACCATAGACATGGCCGACGCAGAGCAGACGCAATCTCCCGCGGAGATCCCGTGAGCACCACTTCGTCAAATTTACCGATTGCTGATCGAAGAAACGTCCGTGTGCAGACCAGCTGAGCAGGCCAGCGATGCCGCCAAAGGTCCGTCCAAGAGCGAGCTAAAGAAACGCGCAAAGGAGGCGGAAAAGGCTAAAAAGGCCGCAGAGAAGGCCGCACGTCAGGCTGAGCTCGACGCGCAAAAGGCTGCCGCGGAGGTCGTGAGTCGCGCGCTCCTCCTCTCTTGACCGTCCATTAAGCCCACCCGACCGCAGGACTTTGCCACCGAGTTTTATGGGAAGCTCCCGCTCAACCAGTCCCAGACGCGCCCCCGCCGGCCGCACACTCACATCGCCGATCTCAAGCCTGAGATGGACGGCCAGCAGGTTCTCTTCCGCGCACGCATGCAGGCGTCCCGCGCCCAGGGCAGCAAGATGATCTTCTTCAACTTCCGCCAGCGCATCGACACCGTACAGGGCCTCCTCATCGTCTCCCCGGGAAAGGTCAGCAAGCAGATGTACAAGTGGGCCGACAGCCTCCAGCTCGAAAGCATCGTACTCGTCGAGGGCACTGTCAAGAAGGCCCCGGAGCTTATCAAGAGCGCGACGATTCAGGATGTCGAGGTTCACCTTTCGCAGGTGCGCGGGGACATATCTACCGCCTCATAGGTCACTCATTCCCTCGTGAAATGCAGATCCACCTCATCTCTGGACTTACTGCTGTTTTGCCGTTCACGGTCGAGGATGCAGCGCGTCCAGAGACGGAGATTGTTGGGACGGACGATGAAGTGCGGAACAAGCGCGTCCTCCTCGACACCCGTCTCAACAACCGTGTCGTCGACTTGCGGGTCAGTGATATTCCCAGCCACCCAGCTCTATTCATGTAGATGTATTCGCCTGTAGACACAAACAAACCAGGCCATCTTCAAGCTGCAACACGCCATCGGCATACTTTTCCGTGAATTCCTCGAGGGACTGGGATTCACGGAGATTCACAGCCCGAAGCTCCAGGGCGCCGCAACGGAATCGGGCGCGTCTGTCTTCCAGGTCAGCTACTTCAAGGGTACGTCCCTTCACCCCCAATCCTTCCATCCCTCCTCTTACACTTCTCTACCCCAGGCAAGGCCTTCCTCGCGCAATCGCCCCAGCTCGCAAAGCAAATGGCGATCGCGGCCGACTTCGAGCGCGTGTACGAGATCGGGCCCGTCTTCCGCGCAGAGGAGAGCAACACGCACCGGCACATGACCGAGTTCATCGGGCTCGATCTCGAGATGGCCATCGAGGAGCACTACCACGAGGTCATGGAGCTGCTCGACTCGCTCTTCGTGCACATGTTCCGATCCCTGCGGCAGCGATACGCAAAGGAGATCGAGACCGTGCGCATACAGTTCCCTGCGGATGAGTTCAAGTGGCGCGAGGGCCCCGAGGGGACACTCAAGCTCAGTTTCAAGGAGGCGGTAGACTTGCTCGTCGAGGATGGTGTGCCGAGGGAGAAGTTGGACGATATCAAGTGCGTGTGCGCGTGTTTGAGTTGAATATCCACAGGCTGATGCGTGCGGTGCAGCACTGAGAATGAGAAGCGCCTGGGGAGGATCGTCCGCCAGAAATATGATACCGACTACTTCATCATCGACAAGTTCCCCATGGCACTTCGGCCCTTCTACACCATGCCCGACCCAAATGACCCGGTGCGTATCTCCCTCTTCCTTCCCCCGTCTCATGTGCTCACCATATACCCGCCCAGACGCTCTCCAACTCCTACGACTTCTTCATGCGCGGCGAGGAGATCCTCTCCGGTGCGCAGCGGGTGCACGACCCGGCGCTGCTCGAGGAGCAAATGCGCGCCAAGGGCGTCGACCCCGCGTCAATGAGCTACTACGTCGACGCATTCCGGCTGGGCTGCCCGCCACACGGTGGAGGCGGAATCGGCCTCGAGCGCGTGCTCATGCTGTTCTTGAAGCTGAACAACATCCGCCGCGCATCGCTATTCCCGAGAGACCCCAAGCGGCTCGAGCCGTAGGCGGGCGTATCTGTGCTAAGAAGGTGCTCGTGGCGGACGCGTACACGCAGTAGATGAGAATGTAATGATCTGAACCGGTGATGTAGTGAACCGTAAATTGCATTGTACCAGTGTCAGCCTCAATCGCAGTACTTGTCAGCTACGAGTCTGCAGTTCCAACACGCAAGACATCTCTTCCTGTTTTGATTCGTAGTCCTCCAACGCCCGGACCGCCACCCTACCCTCAGGACAAAGTGCGCCACACAATCGCCAATTATGTATCTCCCCGACTACCCCTTTCCCCGCCGCTCACTCTGTCCCCCCGATGCACCCGAATGCGGCCCCGGGCCCACCATCGGCATCGCCGCCGACCCCGATAAATTCCCGCCCACCACTGGCACGCCCATCTCACCGGGGCCCGCCATACAGAGCGCCAACGCCGCGCGCGAACTGAACCTCCTGGGCACGACGCGGAATCTGGCCGCTGTCCTCCTCACAGCGGGCCTGCTCATCATTGCACTGGCTATCTACATTGCATTCGGGAGGTGGCCGAGGAAGAAGATTGAGGCGTGGAAGCGGCGTCGACATTTCACTCGCATGGAGGAAGAGAGACGACGCGAGCTCGCGAGCAGACCGGGTGAGGGAGAGAAGGAAGTCCCGCAGCTACCGAGGTCGGACTCAAACCCGGAGGAGGATAAACTTGTATCCCCATGAGTGTAGAGTAGTGGTAGTTCGCTGCATCGGATTCAATGGAATCGACAAGACTCGATAACTAGGTGACCTTCCATATTGGGCATTACATTTTGTACATAAGGTTAGGGTTGGGACAGCGCAGGTGCCAAAAAAAAGGCCTGCCCAGCCCGAGGGCCGAAGCAGGACAGGAAAATATTGAGACGGTGCATGAGCCGAAGCCCATACAAAACGCAGGGTCCCCCTGAGGACATGGTCGCCGTGCTATGAGAGGCCCCCACGGCCCACACCCCCTGGTACATGAAGGGGGGGATGCCATCAAGGTAAGTATGAGGTGTTCCAGCGGCTGGTGGCTTCATTATAAAGTATCCTGGGGTCGCGCACGGACCAAGTAGTTAAGGGCAGGATCCGCTCAGCATGCAATGATTATTCGACTACACGTTCGGGCGAGGCGTGCATGGTTGTATCAATGAGAAGGGAAATGGGGAAATGACTTCCTGCGGGTAGATCTATGACACAAGTCCATAGCGAAGGGCGACAGGCAGATAGTATAGACAGAGATTGATGCAACAACATGGGCAGAACAGATATTACACTATGCACTCCGACAGCTCCTCGTACACTATTCGTATGCTCAGTCCCCTTCGATAATGATACAATAAAGCAAACAAGAACTAACCGCTGCTGTGCAGCCGTGGCGACGGCAGCCGCTCTCATCGTCTCTCTCTCCGACTCTGCTGCCTGTCGGATCGCGACGGCGGCTGAGAGCCAACGATCACATTAGGGGGTATCGCACCTCTCTCCAAAGCAGCGGCAATGACTTCCGCAGGAAGGTCTATTTGTACTCCTTCCGAGTACGCGTATGCGTCAAGAGGCGAGTACGCAGGTGGCTCGCGATCTGACACAGTCAACTGATGCACCGCGCCCTGAGCACTATTGGCACTGTGAGCACCAGCGTTAAGAGCAGAAGAGCCCGAAGAAGCTAACGCTTGCAGTCGGATGTCGCGCAAGTCGGGCGTGGGAGGCTCGGGGCTCATTGGAGAATCTGGTGGCGGGTGGACGTGAATCGCGAGCTCGGAACCTGCACACGAAGAGCGAGAGCCCGTGCGTGGGTGAGTGACGATATATGGCTGGGGGCGAGGCACGTTGAATTGGTTCGCACCTGCGCGTGCAGCGTCGCGAGAGTCTGACCGCGAGGAGCCGGAATCGGAGGACCATTCGCCGTCGCCGTCGGCTGGGGCAGACTCGCGGGCATCGGCACTTTGGGTCGGTGAGGAAGGTATATTAGCATTAGGAGGTGCGTGGAAGGACATATCAGTGGGGGATAGGTACCTCCGGTGTGCTGACGACGCGTTGTGCGCGCCACTGTTCTCGCCCTCCTCCTCGATCGGCGTAATTGGCGGTGGCGGGGTCTCAGGTGGACTGGGCGACGTGACCGGGCTGCCCGGCAGTGGTGCAGGACCAATTGGAGTGGCGGTGGAAAGCGCACTTCTCGGTCTCCGGGAGCGGTGGGAACCTCTCGAACGAGATGAGCCTTGCGGTGGGCTTCGAGGAGAGGCAACTCCACTGTGTATGGGCATGATGTCGCCGCCGGCGGCCAACAGTAAACTCCCGCGCTCGCTGCCGTATGGTGGAGGTGGTGCAAGGGTACCAACACTTGGTGCTAGCCCCCACTTCTTCACGTTCGCCTCGATGAAAACGAAGCCGGACTGGCCCAAATTGACATGAACACTGCATGGGCCATCGGAACCTACAGTCGGAAACAGATTCCAGTTGTTTAGTCCAATGTAAGCGTCCTCCGTCTTCCGGCCGTTTCTTGTGAAGAACACCGTGCCCGTGCGTGGACGATATCCCACGCCTAACACATCGCCTTCTTTCAATTGAGAGCCGCACGGTGTTGCTGTGAACGGCCAATTGTGAGACTTGTCACCATTCGAATGGTATGCCACTGAGAATCGGCAAAGGCCTGGAAGCCTAAACGAGGGGTATGGCTTCGTCGCGAGTCCGACCGCGACATTGGTGGTTTCCGGTAGATCGAACATCTTCACTTCCCAATAATAGACTTCGTTAAGCTTTGGCAAAGGAAGGTTGGACTGGACAGAAGTGGCTGAGGATGGGTCTGGAAGAAAAGTGATCTCCGTACGGGCGTGAACAAGCATCGAGTTCATCGCCTCGAAGTCCGGCTCGAAGGACCAAGCCGAAACACCTTTCTCTTGGATGGAAAGAAATTGCGACAAGGTGATATCAGTCGGCATCGAATTTGGCGGGTACTGCATTTGGTACTCTGTGAAAGAGCGGAAGAAGAGAATAAGTATACTCGGCGATCATGATGGAGATCAGCACCGCACCCTTGGACCGTAGATACGCACGGCGCTCGCCCTCGGACACCGTTTCCAGCCAGCGCGATTCGACACCTTCAAAGCCACCTTCGCCCTCTATGAGATCTTCGCGGCTCATGTCAATCGGGCCGTCGTTGTCTCGCAGCATGATACCGCGCCGCCGGCGGAGTAGAATGACGCATGCTAGGAAGACGAGGAGAAGAAAGAGAAACGTCGATAGCACAATGACCAGAGGCAGCAGAATGTAGAAAGCGTCGTGTGACCCGCCATTCGAGGGGCTACCTTCGTCGGGAAGGTCGAAAGTCAAATCTGCGGTACGGAGGAGCGTATCGCGTAAGGCGTCAATGCCTACTGAGAGGACGTCGGCAGTACCATCGAATGGGGTGTGGCCGCGGTCGAGCGTGAAGTGTTCCGACGTGCCCATCGTCTGAAAGGCTGGGGGAGATGAACAGACGGTTAGTAAAGAGAGAACGGAGATGGCAGCACTGGTAGTCGTGGGGGTGAACGGTCTGAACCGATACGCACCGGGCGGGTCACGTTCTCCTTTCCGGAGGCGCTGCCTATCCTCGGCCTCAAAACTCCCGAATCCTCCGGTATGCCTCCGGAGCTACTTAGTCATCACAGCCATAGTCTGTTTCACTTCATACTCTTTCTTTCCCTGTACGACAGCAGGTCGAGTGCAGATTTGCCGTTACTTACACTTTGAATTTGATGAACTTTGATGCATGAAATACTGGATGGTGCAGTGCATAGTCCAAAGTGAGAGATATAGAATCTAAGCAGTGTTTATGCACCATTTACATCAGAGCAGGCAGCAGAAGGTGCCTTTCCTCTGCTAAACCACTCCTTTCTCACTTCCCTGTGGTCATGAACACAGCATGCCTGACCCAGTTTGTGGACCATTGCATGATTGCAGGGTCACAATTTCTTCGCACACAGCTTTCAAAAATCAAAAATCCAAAAAACCACAGCACCCAGTATTCCCGCGTGGTCCCCCACCGTGGTACTAACTGGGCGGCGCTCTGGTTAACTGCGCAGATCGGTGCTTTCAGAGTCCTATGGCCGTGGATGTAAGCTTTGCTTCCAGCTGTTCTATAAACCTGATCTTTCACATCTGCACATTTTGGAGTTGATAACCTTTTTAACCTCATACTCTAGTTCACCTTGATCTTCACTGGTAGAGAGCCTTTCTTCCAGGGTTTGGTACATCTGCAGTATTTTATATCAACTTCACTGGCTGAGTACAGGCTTGCCTTTTTTGAAATGATGGAAAATGATTTAGAAGATCCAAAAGCAAAATGTACATCCATGGCCATAGGAACCTGAAAGCACCGCATCCCATCCGATCTGCTCAGTTAACCAGAGTGCCGCCCAGTTAGTACCACGCGGGAATCCTGGGTGCCGTGGGTTTTTGATTTTTGATTTTTGAAAGCTGTGTGTTCGGAAGAAATTGCGACCCTGCAATCATACAATGGTCCACAAACTGGATCAATACCCCATTCTTACCTTCTTTTGATCGAAAACTTTGATGGTAATTCCTTGCGGATTCTGTGGTGCTTTCTTACAGGTTTTTGACAGAATTTTTGAATTAGTATTTCTGACAGCAATGAAATAAATATAAATGTTTTACCACTATTAAATTATCTACTAAGTTGAATTTCATTCACCATTCTTATGTCAAATAATTAAGAGGTTCTATTATTATTTCAAGCTATGCAGCGGGCCCGATGCCTTATTGTACTCGCCCGGCACCTTGCCTCATTGCACCTGCTAACCGCTTGATCTGCTGCCACTCCGCTGTATGGCTGGCGCCTGACCCTGACGATGAACTCGACGCTCTCCAACAACTCGCCCAGAGTCAGGCGCAAAACCTCCACTAAGAGGCCACGCGCCCCTTCCCATCTCCCGCCCTTCTCAGAGGCGAGCCACAACAGCGCCTTGGGCGCGATCAGGACGTACCTTAGGGATTGCAACTCCTACGACACGTTCCCTGTCAGCTTCAGACTTATTGTCCTGGACTCCAAGCTGGAGGTGAGGAAAGCATTGCAGTGTCTCCTTTCCAATGGTGGGTGTTCATATCGGTGGCCAGGGGATAGCGCCCTGAAGGTTGTTTTGCCTGTCAATTTGTCTTCTAGGCGTTGTGTCTGCCCCACTGTGGAATAGCGAGAAGTCATGTTTCGCGGGCATGTTCACTGTATCTGACATCATCCATCTCATCCAATACTACTACAATGTGGTGTCTTCATACGAGAAGGCCGCGCAAGACGTCGAAACCTTCCGCTTGGAATCTCTCAGAGGTGGCGCTTCTTTTACGTTTTCTTCTTTTTATGGAACCTGAACGCTGGCTTCCTCAGATATTGAGAAAGAGCTTGGAGTAGCAACACCCCCGATGCTACGCGAGCATCCAGCGTCGTCTCTGTACGACGCTGCGAAACTGTTGATCCAGACCCACGCTCGCCGAGTACCTCTGTTAGACAACGACACGGAGACCGATCACGAAGTCATCGTGTCCGTATTGACTCAATATCGTCTCCTCAAGTTCATTTCCATCAATGTTGGTCTTCTAAGTTGTACCCCAGCTGAGCCGTGTTGACCTTCGTTGCATTCGATCATGTAGTGTCCTAAAGAGATCCAACAACTGCACCTACCCCTACGCAGGCTGAACATTGGGACATACGTTCACGACTCGACACTACCCGCAGATGAAGTTTCAGAAGGCTACAATCGGTTCCATCCTATTGCCACCGCCACAATGTCGACCACTGTCTTTGACGTAGTACATATGTTCTCCCAACGAGGCATTTCTGCAGTGCCCATTGTCGACGAGGAGGGTATCGTGGTCAATCTGTATGAGACCGTTGATGTCATTGTGCGTTTATCGCGTCTGTTCGGCGTCGATAACTGTTGACAGTCCAGTGTGACAGACTTTGGTCAGGCTGGGCGTATATCAGTCGTTAGACCTCACGATAGCGGAAGCTCTCAATCAACGGTCCCCTGATTTCCCGGGAGTTGTTATCTGCACTGCATCTGATTCGCTCGGCACGCTTCTACAGCTCATCAAGAAGCGGAGGGTGCATCGGTTAGTGGTGGTCGAAGGCGAGGTAAGTGGCAACCGGTTATATGGGTGCTGTTGCTCATTGGCGGCGCAGGAGGAAGAGCGAAAAGGCGGCAAGAAAGGACGTCTGCTCGGGATCATCACGCTAAGCGACGTCTTGCGTTACATCATCGGCGAACCCACCATCGGAGAGGCCATCGAGTGTCGTAGCGATTCCCGAAACGAGAAGCGGGATTCGTTGGATTCTGACAAGGCAACAATATCCGAAGTCGACAAGCGCAATCCAGCTGACGGGCAGAAGCCATCCTCGTGCGGGGAAGAGACGCCCACTTCCGCAGTCAAGGAAGATGCGACGCGGGTCGAAGGCGAGCAGCCATCAGCACCTGCAGAAGAAGCTGCACAGATCATTGTAGAGGACGAGAAGCGTCCGTCAGCAGCAGAAGAGAAACCATCTGACGCAGCAGAAGGCGAACAGGCTTCTGCCCCCTGAGAAGGAGCCGAGAACCGTGCAAGCTGCTGAGAGTCGTTGAACGACCGAAGGTCTGAGGTCAATCTGTACAAATTTGTAGCCATATCTCAGCATTGTCACATACATTGCTTGTTGCATCATTCCAAACTTTATGGACGGGGTCTGTACTGTAGTAGCTGGCGCTGATCTGTCCAGAGGTTATCGTACAGAGAGATTTGAGGTGTACCGGTCATAATGAGTGCTCGTACAATTCATTCTAATGTTACTCTCTGCTGCGTCAAGAGATGATGCACATTATAACCGTGCAATTGAGCGGCTGGTGAGTACTAGTAGAGTGCTGAAGCTGAAGCTGAAGTGATCGCCCCGTGGGTGATTGTTTGCCCAAATGAGTACTGGCTGCTAAGCCGACCAGGCGCATCAGCCTCGCGCTGCCAGTGTATGCTTACCACGCTCGCCGACACGTCCAGCAATGTCCGCCCTCCAGGCCATCCACATCCGCGGCTACGACGAACGCAGCCAGCCCAAGCCCCACGTCGTCTACCGTATTGAAATACAGGCTTCCGTCCGTTCATGGCAGATGTGGCGGCGATACTCCGAATTCGTCGACCTTCATATCGAGCTCGCAAAGTCAATCGGTGCACCCCCGCCTGCTGAGCTCCCGCCGAAGCGTGCCTTCTCTATATTCAAGGGTCTCCGCGACCCACATTTACTCGAGGAGCGTCGTGAGGGGCTTGAGCTCTACCTTCGTGCGATCCTCAGCGCGAGAGACGACCGATGGCGCGAGAGCTTCGCTTTCCGTGACTTCCTCGGCATCCCGGTTGGGAAGCATAATGGCATTGACAATGGCGCGCCTTCTCAGTTCACCTCTGCCTCTTGGCTGGACGAGCATCAGGAACTTCAGGCACGAATACGAGACGTGCGTGCAGACATTAACAAGCGCGATGCCCTCTCGGACCGTGGTGACATATCTGCATCACATCAATCGAACGTACAGGCCAAGAAGAAGCTCGCAGGCATTCTCACGAGGATCGGAGTTTTGGAGGATGGGCTGCGGACCTTGGGCATGAGTGGGATGAGCGAGGGCGAGCTGCAACGGCGGAATGACATGGTTGCTCGCCTACGAGACGACTGCGAGAAGCTGGCCAAGATGGTCACCGTCGCACGAATGACCGCCCGCGGACTAGGCTCCTCTGCAGAGCGGAATCCTGCTGCCCCGTCAGACCGAGCTGCACTGGTGGGGACCTCGTCCTTAACAGGGTTCAGCAAGCCAGCCACACGAGTCTTCGGGACGGCTGCACCGCCAAGGGAGACGGACCGTACACGACCTCTCGATGACCATGGGCTGGTACAATTGCAGGAGACGCAGATGGCTGAGCAGGACCAACAGCTCGCGCAGCTGACAACGATTCTGCAACGCCAAAGGCACCTTGGCCTGGCTATTAGCGACGAGGTTGCGAGGCAGATCGAGGACCTCGATGATCTTACGAACAACATTGACAGGGTAGGCGGGAAACTCAGTAATGCGAAGAAGCAGCTGAACAGACTGGGATGATACCTTTGAGGACTATGGTATACTGAAAGCCTTGTATCTATCTCTAGAAGTTCATGTACTCTATCGACACCAGGGTTTTGCGGTATATACAACATGATAGTGGGTGCGACAAGAGTCGCGGATATACAGTAACATATCAATAGTATACAAGGACTATGACTCTTCCTTCGCAAGAAACTTGCCAATCCCCTGTCACGCAAGTCAGTATCGCAGATGACACGACGGACAAGTTTAAACATACCTCGAAACACCCAATCATGATACCGCATGCAGGGGCGATCTTGGCTATTCGAGGCATGATGCCAGCATAAAGCGCAAATACGCCTTCCGTCCGGATGATATGTAACATAAGCGGGAAAGTCGCACTTTTCGTGGAATGCCCGTGCATTGCCACCGCCTGCCGCCGAGTCTTCATGACATCGAATGGCGATGTCAAGAGAGCTGCTGTTGTCCCGCTGATCGCTCCACTAACGAAAGCCACCTGCGGCCCGCTCAAGCCCTGCCGAGCGAAGGCTTTCTTCCACATCTCGTATCCAGCCCAGTACAGTCCACTGAATGGCACATCACGCCAGAGGGTTGGTGCAAGACCTCGCCATAGATAGGACGGTCCATGTGCGCGCGTGAATCCACGAACTGAGGTGAGAACGGAGCGAAGAGTATGCGGGTTGTCCGGTGAGAGCGGTGTTGATTGCAAGTTCGTGCGGATAAGCTCTAGTGGCGACATGATAGATGATATTGACGACCTTGCAAGCATACCGGCACACAGGGGGACGATTGTTGGTGGGAGGAGTGGAGGTAATGTGACGTTCAGGAGATGGTCATACGTGAGCATATAGCATGTTGAAGAGGGAACTCCGATCACTCTTAACGTGCAGGCGAAAGATCCATGAGACGACGCAAATGAAGAACTGCAACTTTGAACGTGCTTACAATGTGGTCCCTGCACCCTTCCACAATCCAAGAATACCCTCCGCACGCATCACATGCCGAATAGCATCAAGAAATCCGGTCACCCTTTCTCTTCGCATAATTCCATGGTCCCAGACGCAGACTATCTCTCCTTCTAGTGGAGGAGCGAGCGAGGACATCCGACGCACACATGGTATTGATGTGGATGGCTGACAACATGTATTCGGAGGAGGCATCGGAAACATAGATTGCGACGCTGGTGGTTGTGTCTGCAGTCGGGTTTTCACCACATCAAATGGTGTCACTGGGATGAGCTATTAGCACGGCTGAATGGGTAGAGATTACAATTACGGACACATACTCGTCAAGGCAGTCACCGTAGAACCAGTCGCAGCCGCGACCAGTTTAGCATGGAATGGCTCCATTTTTACAAGAGGTGTTGTTCAATAAAAATCGACCAATTTTGAGAGAGGGCTAAGTGAAGGGGGGGAAAGAGAGAACGAACTTAGGCTGTTCGGCCGGGAGGGGCATTCGGAATATGTAGTGACGCACAAAGTTCGGCGCGATCGCCACATTTTCCACCTCCGCTTATCTGATAATGACTCCTACATCTTATCTAATCTCCTCCCACACATTCAAAACCTCATCTTTCCTTCGAGGTTCAGGTATACGTGGATGTCAACCATAGATATCAATTCAATTACCCTCTCATACATCCAAGACCCTAATGTAATAATGCCAGACGAGCAATGGTCAATGCACGCAGGCAGCAAGTATCTAATGTATCGGACATAGCACCGGTCTGGATGTCTGGAATACAGTGAAGGAGCGTGAAGATGCAGGAACGAACCACAGTGATGAGAAATGGGAATCAATAATGAACGGACCATAGCACAATACGGTTAGTGCAAGAGGGAAAATTCAACGGCAGCAGCAGAGAAGTACAGAAGATTGTCATGCTTTTGATGCAGGGATATGTTGGTTGATAGCTGTTCACGAGACACTTTGTCAACCGCAGCGGCAACCAATCGGTAAGTCAACATTACCTCTAAACCACGTTAAGGCGTCCGACGTCGACGGCGCCTCAAAATATAATATGGCCTTATTATCCACTAAGCGTAGAGCTATATCCAATAGTCAGGTAAAGCGGACCGAACAACGTAAAAGCAAGCTCACCATTGCCGTGCACGATGCTCGCTGGTTGTGGCAAAGTCTGCATCCGCAGCACAGCCCAAAGATCCACAGAAGAACTAGGACCCTGTCCGTCTGACGAGTCTCTGCACAAGACCAATAGATCGTTGCACAGGATCCCAATCAGTGAACGCGGGGTAAGCTCTGGCGACAAGCATTCTATTTGCACTTCCGAGGAGTCGCCTTGAGCATTTATTACTGGGAAGGACACTGTGGCCTTGCGAACCACGCGCTTAAGCTGCAACGGACCGTCCATGATCAGACGTCTACGCAGGAGAGAGAGTTCAACAAGTGATATCGAGCGAGAAAGCTAACAACCGACCTATGGGGTTGGACCAGTGGACTGGGAAACTTTCCCCGGATCCGCGACTGCCATTGTACTAGCCTTCTCCGTGACTCAGATTCCCGCTTGCCTTCGTTCATGCTGTTGGCTAGAGAAGATATCTCGGCCAATGCCCGTTCGAGAGGATCATCCACGTAATCATACATGGGAGGACTACTTCTGACGAGCTCCTCTAACTGCTTGAAGGTAAACGAGGCACGTACAGCCAACTACAACCTTGAGACTTACCAGCAATCGATACCGTGGAATACGTTGCACAGGGAGAAGAAGATATCCTTCTAGGTTGAGCTGGGAATGTCTCGGGTTCATGCGACACCGTTTGAGATATGCCTTGATCCGTTTCCTTTGACCCGACGTCAGTGTTGAAATGGCAAGAGTTGATGCACTGTCCGCGCCAGCACCTGCAGTGCCCACGGATATCCCTGCAATGCTGAGCTGAGCACTGCTAGATGAAGGCGACAATGTCTGCCCAGCGGCTGTGGCCTGTTTATTATCCGAGGTCCATGCCCTGATTCTCTGCACTGAGTTATCGAAATTACTGCGGTGCGACATGAGAGATTGGTTGCAAGACAGAAGCACTGTACTGCTCACTTTATGTAGGTTGAGTACATCTTCATGAAAGCTGCGTGCGAAACGAACGTCTGAGCCACTTTCATGGCGACGTCCAATGACAGGTAGCCGTCAGCATCCGTTAAGAACAAGTCCTCAGAAGGAACCAGTACTGGAGCAGTAGCGCGTTCGAGTGCTGGAAGAAAGCTTTCTTTATGGAAAGAGAACAAGGATTCCAACCCGCCAAACACGATCTTACGCTCCGCAGCCGGGACGAGCGTTTCTTGTTTCTGTCCAACGCCACTCAGCACGTTCACCGGAACAGCCGCCGGAGTGATGTAGATGTCAACAAGTTCCTGTAACCCCTTGACGTACGTCCGTTCGGTCCTGCAAGAGCGTTATTACTAAGTCGAAGATGAGGTAAATCTTGCACATACTCTACAATTTCGCGTATGATGCGAGCGCGCTTTGCTCTATCATTCTTATACTTCCGCTCCTCACCACTGCCGGAACCGCTACTGTCTGTGGTCGCGACGCTATTAGTTTGAGTAGTGCTACCACTGCGCGAGCCAATACGTGATTCGGGCGAACGCAGTTGTGCCGTTGACTCCGGCCGTGATGGTACCGGCGGTATGGAGCTGACGGAACTGAGCGAACTATCTGATGGTAACCGACCACCATCCACCATAGTCGGTCTTCGCGATCGCGGTGCGCTGGGGGGCTCTAGGCCAGCAGCAGCCGTGTGCGACAAGCTGAGATCATGCATATCTCTGAGATATGCCATGACGGAACGCAATGCGCGTATTCGTGCTTCTCGCGCTCTCTCCATTTCGCGGCGATGCAGCTCCTCCGTCGTATCCTTCGGTATCGGGCTTGGAGGATAGTGCCTCGGTTCCTCGAGCTCATCATCGGGACCATTTGATGCCGTCACACCAGTAACGAAAGTCGATGCAGCAGGTATGGGAATCGGAGACATGTCAACGGGTAGGAAACTCCTACGTTTATTGCTGCGAGGCGTAGGCGAAGGCGCGAGCAAGTTCGAGGATGAACTACTGATTTGGACTTTCAAAGCATCCATAGAAGGCTTCTGTGGAAGCCTTGGTGGATGGAAGTCCATTGAAGGTTGTCTGAAGACAGTAGGAGCTGATCCATCTGGCGGTGTAGTAGTGAGCGATTGCGGAGGGTTCAATAATGCTCCTGTCGTCGAAATTCGGACGTCAATCTGCGGAACACCGGGGGTGACGCTCGCAGATCTTGACAACGGTGGCCTCGCAAATGAGGATGCATGCGGTCGACCTTGAGCAGGAAGCCTAGCTGTTGAATCTGATCTCATCTTGCCCATCGACATCTTCTTGAGGAAACCCCATCGACGAGTTTTCTCCCGTTCTTCCTTGGGCGGGAGAGAAGGAAGTTGGGAAAGGGCGGGACTGTTTGGTTCTGTTTGAGGGGCATGCGTATGATCTCGGGGCAGAGCTGACCTCCTGGACATGGTATTGCCCTGTTCCTCGCCCAGGATGTCGTCCTCGTCGATGGGGGTGCTATCCCAAAAGCTACCGTCCGGAGACAGTGGCGGTCGGTTCGGATGGGACGACGAAGAAGCAGATGCTACACCGAGACTCGCAAAGCGCTTTGGCAATACTTGACTACCACGCGGCGAGGCAGCATTGAGCAGATCTGAGCTTGAGGCAGAGGTCACGTATTCGGACATAGCGGCCCTCAGCGGCGACGGGGTCGCTGACACTGATGACCCTTGTACTGTGTTGGCATGTTTCCTCCTCAACTCTCCTGCGCTCTTCATCTTCCTGACTTCCTTGTCCCCAGATGAGGTCGAGGCCTGTGTAACCTTCGATGTCGTAGGCAGAGGAGGCCCGTCGGAAGCAGTGACGGAGCGGCTCGTTCCTCTATGCTTTTCGAAGTGAGCTTTGTTGGGCGTCGTGCGCGTCCGCGAGAGTCTGTGAGAAGCACCATCGCCAGGTGGTACGGGGACGGGTGCCGTGGCGGAACGTGCAAGTTGAGGCGCACATGCGGTTGTGACCGTGTCCTCCTCTTCCGGACCAGGTGGCAACTGCCCATCACCGTCAGGCCAAGCATTCCCACAGAGATCGTCGCCATCAGGCTCGGTGTTAGTACTACCGGCACTGGCGGATGGAAGAGGGAGCATTGGAGTAGACGGAGGATAAAGAGGCGTCATAGGGACCGTGGCTAGCAAAGGCTCCATGAGTGCCCTCCAAGGGCCTTGGAACGGGTTGCCGTCGACCAGAAGCGTCTCTAGAGATGGCAGAAGGCACAGCCAGCTAGGTAAGAAGTTGAGCTTGTTCCTCCTCATGCTGAGAGTGTGAAGCTTGTCGAGGGTACATAATGACTCCGGCAGCGTGCCGATCCCCGTGGAATCCACAATGAGTAGGCGCAGAGACGTCAATCTAGAAAGGAATTCTGGGAGTGCACGGAGAGGATTAGATGCGATATTGAGCTCTTCCAGGTTCACACAACCCGCGAGCGTTGGTGGAATTGCCTCAAGAAAGTTTGCAGATATATCGAGAGCAAGGAGGGTATTGCTGATGATTGGCAGGGTACTAGAGAGAAAGGACGGGATGGCGTTTGCAGTTCTGGACGATCCAATAAGTAAGTGAGTCGTACCTGCACATGAACCAGGTAAGCTTCTGCAGTGGTTGCGTCAGGGAAAGGAGACGCACCCGGTTTAGCCTGGAGTCTGACAATCGGCACATCATCTCCTCGTACGATGATGCCGCGCCCTTCCTCGGCGATAAGTGCAGCGCTGGTCGGTTGGTCCACTTCATCCTCCTGATCGTCATCGTCCAGACAACCATCCTCATCGGTCATATCATCTTCGCTCCCCAGCCCAGCCTCGTCTCTCTCATCTACAGATACCTGCCAACTCATATCGAAGCTTGGCGTGGCACGCAACACCCGAAACGCACCCTCATGAATGGAATCGTTCCTGTTGCCAACCGAAGAGGAGCGAGATCGGACGCTGTTAGCGTACGGATCCGACCAGCGGCTCTGATCGAACGGTGTTCTGCCCTGCAGAGAGGATGAGGAGCCCGCGCCGCGGGCTAACCGCTGGGCCACATCATCTGTGTTGATGCCAGTGCTAACGCCAAGATCGCCCTCGCCCGACACCACATGGACGTGCCCATATTCGCCCGAGCGCGCGGAGTTGGTATACGCCGAAGAACGTGTTGATGCCGTTGACGAATCCCCAGATGATAGCGCAGGAGTCGTTGAACCATGCTGCCATCGGGGAGGTCGATTGGGGTATGGATCAGGATATATAGAAGGGTCAGGGAGCCCTGACGTTGCTAACGGCGAGCGAGCGGGAGAATGCGCATAGCCTGAATCGGAGAGGATGGAATCATCTTCGGATGCTGAGCGCTCGAGGAAATTTTGCATATTGGGAGGGATCGCAGGGGACGAATGGGAGATAGATGATGGCGAATCGACGAGACACGCGCTCGAAGGGGACACACCAGGCGAATGGTGGCCATGATCTGACGACCAGTCGTCATGAGGAGTCGGAAGCGAGTGAGAAGCAGTGAGAACGCGGGGCTTGTCTGCCATTCTGGGCTTTCTAGATGTGGTATATGGTGAGGGCAGCGGATGTGCGTCGAGGTCGTCCCGTTCTAGCAGAGAAACGAGCGGTGAGTCCTAAGCATAAACGATAGAGCGCAGGGAGCGGTAGAAGCAAGGAAGGGACTGCACGAGAGAGCAAAGGCGGACAGCAGGACGTGCAAAGATCAGCCAGAGAATCGGCTTAGGAGCAGGTACTGCAAGCGGTATAGACCATCAAAGGCAACAAATAAACAGCCTGCTACAAATGTGTGCCAGCGCAAGCCGTCCTCCCCGCTCGAGTACGACAGAGAAAGCTAGAAGGAGGCAGGAGTGCCTGTGTAGCGGGACTCACCAGGAACAGTCACCCCTTCGTCGCTCTGCACTCGTCCACTAGTACCCCAGAAGCCAAGCGTCGGACTATCGCTCCTGTGCTCTGCGACCATATGGCGGACATTCTGAGTGCCTGACGACATGAACCTTGCTGCCGCGCACGCTGTCAGGAATCGTGATTGACCGTTGATAGGTGACCTAGCCTGCGAGAGGCAGTTATGCCCAAGACAGCGTTGTAATAGAAAGGACCAGGCCGGCTAGATTACCGTTGCGGCGCTCAGAGAAAATGTTAGAGACGAATGTAGAGTCGTTTCACGTGTGGTCTGGATTGCCGTCGTACTCAACCAGTGCGTCGGGAGTTTACGTTTTAGCGTCGCATCGACATGCGCTCTCTGCATCTCTGATTTGACCCTCCGTTACGGTCGATCACATCCTTGATGTTCCTTCATATACGGCTGCGACCATGCTCCAAGATGATCTTTGACATGGGAACAGCTTACTTGGCCTCCATGATGCGACTGAATAGACAGCTCCGCCGAATGTCTTATAGGGGTCTTATGAAGGCGGAGTTAACGACGTGAATTGCAAAACCCCAGTTGATTGACTATAAACAAGGCTCCACCGCTCACGCGTGGTAGTAGTCCTACTATAACCAAAACGGTTTGTCACGATGGATGGCCGAGATGAAAGCCATCAATTAACCGGAGCACGAGGCAAACCGAAGGAAGCAAAAGTTCAAGGCGCTCTTGTGTGTTTTGTTCCCTTGTTCGCCCCACCCAACGTCCTTCGAGGCTGTACATGGTAATTATCTTCGCATCGCCTCGTCGCCTGCTGCGGAACCCCGGTAGGCAGGGGTCTCTGCCAAGTTCCAACACACATAGTGTATTGGGCAGCTCCGAGTATGATACAGCGAAGTGTGGAAGCAGAGCGGATGTGAAGTTTTTCTAACCCGGGCAGACAGGCACTGACGACGTCAGTAGCGTCAAAGGCAATACTCTCCCACCGATGACTGATATGAAGCTTCTTGCGCGTAATTTGTAGGAGCAGTTAATGCGCCCATATCCTTATTAGTGGCTCATCTCCGGCTTTCAACGCATCGCGCAATCGCCATGACCTCTCAAAACTGTACAGCCTAGCTTCGTCGGTACAAGGACTATTCGGTTTCACCGGTGACAAGTGCCTGCCTTAGCACGCACATTATAGCGACAATGTACAGCAACGAGGCCGAGCGATAAGCGGGGACAGCAAAGCAACGTAACTAACTTACTGTATACATTTGGCCAGCCGATATCTGTACATTGCGCATGGGAATAAAGTAACCTGCGTACTATTCAGCACTCCGAGTCTCGGCGCCACTCGGCGACCACGGAAAGATGATCGTAACTTTTCTTTACATCTGACAGGGAGCGCACAAGTCAGCGATGTTGCATGGCAACAGTGATATGGGGGAAGAAAAGGGGGAGGGATAGATCCGATTCCGGGAAGATGCACTCACCAGCCACTGCCAGAATGCCTCGAGCTTGTTCCTCGGAGGCGGCTCGTCGTATCTATCAGCAAAACGATAGTAGTCAGCATCCGTGTCAATCGTGAGAAGGGTACCGCAACATACGTATCGGCCTCGATCTCCTTCAGACCAGATATGAAGTCCATGTTCTCTGGCTTCACTGGCGGCACTCGTTTCCACCTGCGCGCGCCAACGTAGAGGATGGGGAAGAGAATAAGTGGCAGGTAGTTCGTGACAAACGTCGCGGTATCCCAATTGCCTTTCAGGAAGACAGCCCATCCGCTAAACTGCAGAAGGCGGGGAAGGATTCAGCATGATGTTGCATGAAAGCGGAAAATCAGGATGCTACGAGTACTTACCAGGCAGATAATTAAGCACGCTGCCGCACCATACCAGGCGGCGAATGGTTGCAGTCGAGAGGCATAAGGAAGAGTGGCCCGGTCGAAGCCCTGCAACCTGAACCCGCGGTAGAAGCGGATGTAAGTGACACAGATACCAAACCATGTCATCAATCCAGCGATCGCTGTTAATTAGCTCCCGTCAACTGACTTTTTTCATTAGCACGTATTCTGATAACACTCACACGTCACTAGGGAGCAGACAGCATGTCAGCAAGCATGCAACACCACGGCAAACACGGTCGACTTACTGTTAGCGAACCAGTCGAAGACCATTCCGGATCCGCTGTTGACACCCATGTACGCAAGGCAAGAGAACAGCGCGCAGGTTATGAGCGAGACGTAAGGCAAGCCATTGCCAGCTGTCCTTGCGAAAACCTTTGGTGCATTTCCAACCATAGCGAGGCCATCTGAACAACAACCGAGAGAGGTGAGCAAATAACAACATCAGGATAAGTAGAACGTACAGAGAGCACGGGAGCTTGTGTACAGATCAGATGAAGCAGCAGAGCACGCTGAAGTCAAAAGTGCCGCGTTGATGACCTGGCCAGCTACTGTCAGCAACGACAGGCTGCGACAATCTAGGACAAGGCTCACTGATGGCAAACCCTTGATGCCCGCTGTCTTGATCGCAATGACGAACGGCGACTTGGCGGCAGTCGACGAAGACAGTGAAAGATATTCATTGTTCGAAGGCACGAGGAGACCGATGATGATGACGCCGCCGATGTAGAACAGCAGGATTCGGACGTAGACACGGCGAATTGCCTTTGGCAGGTTGCGTCTTGGGTTCTTGGCTTCGCCTGCGGCAATCTATATCGGCTTTCAGTTATACCATCGTTGAGGCGATAATCCAACGTAAAGGAGAGACTTACGGCGACAATCTCGGTTCCGATGAAAGAGAAGGCGGCTTGGGTCATGACCGCCCACCAGCCGAGGAAGCGACCCTTGTTCCCTGCAATGCCATTGTACTGCACGAAGGGACCAGGATTCTTCCAGTACCGGAAGCCGATACGATCGTGGTTTGGCCCACCTCCCAAGTCGAGCACGATACCGAGGATGATGAGTCCTGTAATCGTGATGACCTTGATGGAACTGTCGGAGGAGGAGCAATTAGTCCCGGCTCGATGTAAATTTTATCCAACGCAGATAGCGGACACACGCGAAGATAAATTCGGCCTCGCCGTAAACACCTATGGGCAGATTTTTGGCGTAAGAGGATAGACCAGCGCTTGAGAAAACACCGGACATACCGGCACCAAACATATTGATAGTGACGACCACAACTAAGAACACCGAGATCCATGCCGCGCTACTAATGGATGCGTTCCAATAGTCAATCAACACCGCCGCGGCGCTTAGTTCGGCCGGGAGGATGATCGTCCAGTTATACCCTGGTTATATTCTACCTGAGATAACGATCTTACGCGGAGCTGATTGACGCCACATACAGTAGTTCCAACCCTATCATTCGAGAACAGCTGATTAGCGCAAAGGTCCGAAACGCCCGAAACATAGAGTCCTACCATAGTGAAAGAGAACGCGGGATCGACGAACCGTTCGGCCAATTTGATGTGGCCACCAGGGATCGGAAGATAGGCAATCATCTCACCGAGAGAAATCTAACGCTAACACGTTCACCACAGCACTTTGTAGCAGTCAGACAGACGTACCATGACACTATAGCAAATTGTCCCGACGGTCACATATCCAAGAAGCAGACCAATCGGACCACCTGCAGCTAGCGAATTTGCGGTTCCCAGGAACAGACCAGTACCAATCACACCTAATCACGACTCGATCAGTCAAGGAGGCGCAAGTGATGGCATGCGACCTCGACGTACCGCCGATACTGTGAAGGAAGAGTAACTATCAGATTCTGCGCCGCTGGTCGGATACGTTGCGACTGACCTGATCATGGCGATGTGACGGTTTTTGAGCGAACGCTTCAGCTTGGTCTGTTGTGGGGCATTTGAATCCAGCTGAGATTCGGAGTCGTATTCCTTGACGGAGACTGCATCCTTCTCGCTAGTAGCCTTGTCGCGTGGATCGAAAGGCATGATGGTCGTTCAAAAGAAGAGATCGTTAGGCACAGAGAGAGTGTGTGCTGGGATGGCCGCTTTATGGGGGGCAAGCTTTGCGCCAGACCGGAGACCGGGTGGACAGTTTTTGAGATGCCCCCCTGGCGCGTTTATCTATGCGGGACAGAGCGCGTCCGGGGAGACCGCTCAACCGGCTGATGGCGGTGCCCGCCTGTGGCGATATCTCACACAGGGCCCGTCTTTGCATATTTGGAAATTGGGCGGTGTTCTCGGTTGGCGGCCGTGCGCCTGCCTTGGCAGCTTTGCGCGACGAGATGCACCTCGCACACGACTTGGGACCTCCTGGAGGCCCGCCGGGGTGTGGTAATCAAGGCGACGTCGTGGAAAAGCACAGCCGAGGCGATGCAACAAAGGATGGAGGCTGCGCACGCGACTTATCATTACCGCTCTATTTGATCGATGATCGCCTGCTGTTACTACTACCAAGCCAACTCCGCGTTTATCCGCTCCCTACCCCGCATTCTCCACATCCAGTCCACCACTACCACCGACAAACATCTCTCTGCACTGGGAACCCCCTGCACATCACTCAGTTTCGCGTCCACAAATCTCTGCAGAGAATCGCGTGTGCGGCAGACCGTGGGCCAGCATCGTGACTACCAACTGTCCAGACCCGTCAGCCAACACCGCCGCCTAAGCGAGATAAGGCTATCGCATTTTCGCATTGGAAATTTCGAATGCAAAAAAATCTCTCCGCGGGGTACGATCGCTACCACATGAGATGCAGCCATGTCTCGTGTGACAGCTACTTACAGCCACATATATAGTGCTACCAAATACTGCCACCCCAAGGCCATGTCAGCTGTACTGGGCGTAATCAGAGCCGGATTCTAGCCTTGTCCATCTCCAGCGTTTTCTGCCATATTCTCCCCCATTCCGCCATCCGTCAAAGCAGGCGCAGAGCTTACCTCGCCCCACTCTGCGTCAACGCGCCCCTCGCATCCAGACCTCGTCGAGCTATCGTTGTCCATGCTCGAGGCAATTCCAAGCGAACCTCTCGATGGAGTCCCTGAGGCGCGCAAAGCATATCGGGCGCCTGTGTAAGCGCTGGGATGTTTGCCGAGATAACGCTTTGGTGGCAGTCGACAATGATATGGACGCTGGCTCTGACACTTTCGAGTACTGCATTCATCGCATGATCCGTGGAACGGAACAAGCATTGGTGCTAGAAGGTCCGCATCTCTTATTGACGGAGTCCGAGGTATTCGGAATGACTAGAAGTCTGAGGCGGTGGACAATTTCTTCGACACAGCACGCCGCTTGGGATTGTCTTATTGGGTTTGAGCTCGTCTGAAGTCTAAGCAGTCAGTCAGGCGAGCTTACACGCTTGACAGCGCTGGTGTTCTCCGAAACGGACCTGCAGTAGTGGCCCTTGTCTGAGAACATCCATTAGCGTTATCTCCCTTCGCGTCAAGTACTGCGACTCGGATATCTGGTCGTCCATTTTGCCGCCCTCCTGCCCTTCTGCCAAGATTCTATCGACGGTCAGTCTCTCCCGCTTACGCCAATAGAATTTCTCAACTTAAAGAGCTGATGGTGTTTTGTCTTCACTGCTATTGCATAGATATGAATGAGACCAGACGGCGCGGCCTTTTGATGTCAACATGTGCGCACTCAACAGCGCTCGATGCGGTACTGGTGACGCCGCTCTTCAAGATGATTTTGTCCATACAAGCATTCAGCCAGGAAAAAAAGTCACGAAACGGAAAGCCACGTCATCGATGCAGGCACCGATAACTTATCAGGTACCCTCTGGTAACAGGCTGACGCAAGAGGAGTACGAGGACGCCGACGGCTATCCCCGAAGCGTTTCACGTCCATACGATGTCCTCCAAGCCCTTCGGAGCCCAGCAGAGATAAGAACTGAATATTGATATGGAGCACCGAAGAAACGCCAGGCGCGTTCCCGAAGAGTCTGCTCACATTGAGATCGGCCGAGAGACTCGGTTCTGCATCCATGTCTTCCGGACCTCGTCACTGGCAGGTGGAGCAATCGTGCCGTCACCTAGACGTGCTCTTCCAGGTGACTCTGTGGCACCTGTCATCCCAGAACTGCCTCGGCCAGGGCGTCGTAGTGGATACGCGAGACTTCAAATGTATGCATTTTCTCTCGGGTTTCCGCATGGATTCCCTACTCTTCGAATGCTTATTTGATTCTCGCAATCCGTTCGGCACCACGAACGGTCCACGCACGTCGACCATTTACTCCGATGGACATTCTGTTTGAGGACCGAAAATATTAATCGAAGATCCTTGAGTCAAGGTTCTTAACCTTCCTTGACACGGGAGCCCGCTCGGATGGTACGTCGACCGAATTGATGCGTCATAAGTCGACGTCTCTTGAAAAACAGAACGCTCGTTCGCCCCTCACGAGCGATGACTACGTCGACCAGAAGTTAGTGTCGAGCTGGCAATTGGGAAGCAGACGACCTCCGTTTGGAGCCGTTCAGACACTCACCTGGTGCGTTGATACTAAACCCTCTCATGAAGCACTTTTTGTATAAAATACAACCGCAACCCTCTCCAGTCACCGGAAGGGCGATGAATTCGTTCGGATCACCGTCTGTCGCTAGTCATATGTCATCTTCCGGTGGTGATGATTTCTCACCCGCGTTTTCTGCCTCGGACCAACTTCACGAGTAAGCAAGGCTGTCAAACGTTTCAGAGGATCAGCAATGAAAGCAGTCTTACGCGTATCGACGAAATTCGAGCCGTACGATACTTCAATCCACATCTCGAGAAGGACAATATGCAGCGGCGCACTATTGCGCTACCAGATGTGATCTCTTAGATGTGCCGTTCTGCTCTCGCTGGCAGCGTTCATGGTGTGCAGCGTGTATCGCGGGCTGGGAATACTCAAATGTTAATACTTCACATAGAAGCGCTGAACACGCATAACGCACCGCTGCAACATAATATCGCCGCTCAGCATCTCCACTATCCAATGCAGCATAAACCAAATTAGATACGAAAGCTCGAAATATACGTTGACTCGCACAGTCCATGGTCGATCGATCAGTGGCAGGTTTCCGGCGGTCATGTTGACTTTATCTCAAGCAATTAGCCCCTGATGCCGGAACAGCCACGCCACGACTAATCAAACATGTCAGAATTAATTGTATAACACCGAAATTCTCTGGGCCTGCGGGTGCTGTCCGATATGCACTACGCGAATTGTCGCCTACCTACTAATCGCCGATCTGTTGAGCTTAAGTGAGAGACAACGTGTGGTAGAGCGGGGTTGCACTCAACTTGCGCGATGTTCATGTCACTATAATTTGTCAGCTTTAGTGGCATGCATTGCCGCTCTCCGCTTTGAGCGAAGGTAACAATTTCTTACCTGCCAAATTTGAAGTCACCGAGCCTGGCACTGAGCCTTGTGCGTAGCATGAGAGTCGACACGATTGCGGTGCATCATGCTGCATCTATGTACCTGAGACAGAATTGGCTGCAAATGATAGGTCGATGGTGCAGCTATATGCGGTGCCGGAGCCTTCAGAAGTGTATACTCCCGCTGTCTGATTGACCAATCGTCGACATTCGTGCACGGTCACGTGCGTGATGAGCAACGCGTCGCCCCTCGCGCCACAAGCGCGTTTTGATCGAGATCATTCCACTTTATGTAGCACACGCAGTGCGCGTAAGGAAGGGGCACCATATATCAGACATCACCTCAAATTTGAGGCTTTACATACAGTCCAGCGACTACCTAGAGGGTACCCCTTCCCAAGATGGACCACGGTGTGCACTGAGCAGTCACGGGGCTAGTGGCGGAAACAGATAGCTATCATGCGCTAGCACTGACAGCAGAGGAAGAAACTCCTGATCGCAAATGCATCACACTATCTTTCACGAACATGGGGCGCACGAAATTATCGTATCAGAGTTTCTATTGAGCCGTGGGGTCCGTCAAGTCATGCGTCAATCGCGTAAACAAAGGAGTGTATCAACATTACGTTGAAGAGCGCTACGTTAACAAGAAGTCCATCGTTGAACAGATCGGAGGCGAAACAGGATTCACAGCGGCGAAAGCAGAATGGGTAAACTACTCACGAAGACAGCGGCATAGATATCTACTTCATCGTCACAAAAGGTCGAGCTCCTAAAGATGTTGACCATTGCAAGAAGATACATCCATAGTAGACGTCACCTCCCAAAAGAGATGTCACCTTAAGTGCGATATACAAACTTGAATCGACTCAGACTCTACCATCTGCAGCTCCTTGATCGACGGAGCCCGATCCGCCTTGCATGGGATCTATCTTAGACTCGACCGTCATCGGCTGAGTAGCCTCTTGCTGCCCTTTGACGTCTGCAGACTTCTCTTGAGATGGCACGTCAACATCAACTACCGTCTCGCCTTCAGGACCCTTGCTCTCTGCTACTCCCACGACCGGCTTCTTCCGTTCAAGCTCCGGAGGAAGCTTATGCTCCAGCGCAAACGTCGCCAGCGCACTCACCGCCAGCCACACTGCTCCCGCAAGAAACACCTTCGAGAACCCGTCGCTATATGCCGCCTGCACATATTCGCGTGCCGACGCGCTCAACTCGCTCATCACACCCGTCGGGTCCTCCAGGATAGCCTCCCGGAGCGCCGCACTAGCCAACGGGCTATCCGTACCCTCGAGCATGTTCAGTTTCGCCTCCACGCGGCTGTTGAGAACCGCGGTGGAGATGGAGATGGCGACGACTGAGCCGAGTTGGCGCGCGAACGACTGAAAGCCTGTCGCGGAGGCCAGATCCGGACGGTCCGTGGAGAACTGCACGATCATTGTGGATACGGGGATAGTGATGCCAACTGAGAAGCCGATGAGCGCCTCGAAGCCGTATTGCTGCGAGAAGCGGGTCTGCGCGGTCAGGGTGGTAAGGAGACCACACCCGATGGCACCGACGCAGGATGAGAACCACATCAGGACAAGGTAGCGGCGGGTGATCATGACTATTGCACCAGATATGAAGGAGACGACGCCAACCAGCATAAGCTGAGGGAGCATGCGTACGCCAGAAGTGATGGCAGAGAGAAGGTTGACAATTTCCATCCGTTGCGGGAGGTAGATTATCACAGTGAAAAAGCCAGCACCGAGGCACAGCGTGAAGAGAATGATGAATGCAAAGTTGCGAATACGGAATAGCCGCAATGGGACAAGAGGCTCTGGATGGCGGGTCTCGAAGTAGATAAACCCGGGGACTATACAGCCCGAGATGATGAGTGGAGCGAGGACCTTCGCAGATACCCAAGGATAGCCCTTCGTTCCACCTACTTGCAGCTGATTGTGCAATCAGTAACCCGCCTTTGAGAATATTGATATCAAACTCGAAAATGTGGATGCTTACACCGAAGCACAGGAGGACACTACTTGCAAGGAGCAAGAAACTTCCAATCCAATCAACACGTCGAGAGACCGAACGCCAATTTAGCTGATCGCGATAGGGATCCGACAGTCCATACAGCAGGAGGATTGTCCCAACGAACCCAATGGGTAGATTCACGAAGAAGATCCAGCCTACATCGATCCCGATCAGATCAATTCGACGTAAATCAAAGTTGGGCGAAGCATCAGCTCACCCCAGTGAGTGTGCGACACAATAGCTCCTCCTACCAGAGGGCCAGCTACGCTACTCAAAGCGTACACAACGCCGATCATCGGAGTGTACTTGGCTACCTCTTGCTAAAGCGCTGATTAGCGGCCTGTGAAGCGGGAGTCGTCGTGGAACATACCTTGGAGACAAAGGTACTTAAGGTAACGATGACAGCAGAGTAGATAGCGGAACCTCCGATGCCTTGCATTGCGCGGAAGACAATGAGCTGATTCATGGTCTTTGCGCCACCGCATGCTCCAGACCAGATCTGTCGTCGCCATCAGAATTATAACAAGAGCAGGTCCATTGCAGACGATATCGCACCATGAAGAAGATCGTTGAAAACACAAGAACGGGCCTACGTCCCAGAATGTCGGTGAATTTCGATACAATAGGAAGGAATGCTTGGGGAGAGAGTGAACATCAGAAGTCGTGATAGAGCGTAGAGCGGCACGAATACCTGTGTAAGTAATGAGGTACGCGGTAACAATCCAGCTAGATCGTGAATAGTCGTTGAAGTCGGAACCGATGACGGACAACGCGACCGACACTGCATAACGCGTGAGAAGAGATTATATGCTGCGAACATGGACAGGCGTACCTATAGTCGAGTCCAACGCTGAGATGAAGAGGACCAGCCCGAGGGCGATAAGCACCACAATTCGTTTGTGTCCATTGATGTGGTATGCCTCTTCGTTGTACGCGTCTGCTGGCAATGCGGGGGACTGGTTACGCGAAGACGCCTCGTCTGAGGCCTTGTTCTTCTCCATGGTGAAGTGGGGCTGCTGGCGCTTTGAGAAGCAGATGGAGCACCACACGTTCGCTCAGGTACAAGGCCGGGTCGCGCGGTTGTCGGCGCAGCTGCCCAGACAATGAAACATGAGGAGACGAAGAAGGGGTGCGGATAGTGGCTGCATTGTTTTGATGGACGGCATGATGGGACACATCATCGAGGCGGCGGCTCATCAGGTCGAATGCTTACGTAAAATCACCCGATCCAGAGGAGCGGTACACGCCCGATCGCATCTCGGCCTGCTAGCCGCTTGCAATTGATGCAACATCATTGATGGAGGGCTAGCTCAACCTTGACATGCTCCTATGCCGGGTTCTATTCCCTCGCGCCCCTGCCGGCGCACAGACCATCCAAATGCCGCCCTCCTATCCACAACGTTTGCCTCCAACCTTCTGTGTCCATGCTAGCTCGCCTTCCTTCGCGTCGCTGCCCTCCCGCCGCCGCCCATCCATACAAATCGCATCGCGCCATGGCCTCGTGTGCAGCAGGCTTCGAGAACGCCCCTGAACAGCGCACACCAATCGACCTCGACATACATGGATCAATGCCACCATGGCTCAGCGGAGTCCTGTACCGCACTGGTCCGGGCACCACCCGCATTCCGACCACCGCAGACCCGTCTAAGACGGTCGATATCCAGCACTGGTTCGACGGGCTTGCCATGCACCATCGTTTCGAGATATATCCCGGTGGACAGCGCGTCTCGTACCGCTCGCACAAAGGTGCGGAAGATTTCGAGAAACGCATCGCCGACGCTGGCAGTTATCCCGGCTTCTCCTTCGGACAGAAGGGAGACCCTTGTCAGGGTATCTTCCGCAAGTTCTTCACCGTGTTTCGGACTCTGCGCGATATGAATGTACCCGCAATGCAAACGCCTTCTGGACAGAGCGTTTCGGTGACTCTTACTCCAGACATGCCTGGATGGAAGGTAGATCATCTGAACCTTCCGTCCCCGTCCTCCGGACCTCGGTACCTTGTAGCGAAGACAGACGCCGACATCCTCCAGCTGCTTGACCCTATTACGCTCGAGCCCCTTGTCGGTGCAACATACAAGGACTTGGACCCCAGACTTGACGGCCCCCTATCCGCTGCGCACTCATGCCGCGACCACGAAACGGGAGACTTCTACAATTATTCCTGCAAGATTGGTGGCCGTTTCCCGACCTACAAGATATTCAGGATCAGTGGGAAGGACGGTAAAGTGGACATTCTGGCGGAGGTCAAAGACGCGCCTCCGTCGTACATCCACTCATTCGCAATGACCGAGCGATTCGTCATACTTTGCGTCTGGCAAGCTCACATCACGCAGTGCGTTGACATCTTCTTCGTTGACTTTTCGTGTTTGATGGAGATGTTCGAATTTCTTATTAGATATGGGATGTCGCTTGTATTGAACAAGAACGTTGCAGAGTCCATAGACTACAACTGGAACCCGAAGGCAGACACTCTATTCTACGTTGTTGATCGCAACAATGGCGGACTTGTCGGCAAATACAAGGTATGCATTGTCCGGGCGCTGGTGCATTACGACGCCTCCTGACCGTTCACCGATCTCCAGACGCCTCCATTCTTCTGCTTCCATCACCTGAACGCCTTCGATGATCCTGACACCGGCGATATTGTCATTGACATGTCTGTCTACTCCGATAACAATGTCATCAACCTGCTTTATCTCGACAAGCTGCGGAATCTCAACATGGAGAACCACATGCTGATGGGCCGGGCCCGTCGTTTCCGCCTTCCCTCCCCTGCGCGTTCCTCTGCCGCTCTCCAGGTACAGGACGCCATCGTGGACTTAACACTCCCGCAGCCGCAGAGCATCGAGCTGCCCGTCGTTGCGCCTTCCGTGTACCACAAGCCGTACCGCTTCGCATATGGCATCAACAAGCTCGACCCGAAGCTGCATCACACCTTTGCGGATGGCATCATCAAGCTTGACATGGCCTCGTCTTCGGACGGCACTCCGGGCAGCGGGACCAAGGTGTGGCGCAAACCCGCACACACGCCCTCTGAGCCGATTTTCGTCCCGCGTCCGGGCGGGACGAGTGAAGACGACGGTGTGCTTCTGAGCGTCGTGCTCGACGAGGATGCCATGAGGAGCAGCATGGTCGTTCTGGATGCGAAGGAGATGACGGAGCTTGCTAGGGCTGAGATGAAGACCGTGTTCCCTATCGGTTTTCATGGAGTGTTTGCGGCGCAAAAGTTATGATAGCTGCGAAAGTATTCACGGTTCCTTCTGTCCGTGCTGGACATGCGCTGTCGGCTCACACAGGAATCGTCGCCTACACCTGCGTTGCATTGTATCAAGCATACATCTACGTTCTAGCGATCTCTACATTGTTTCGAGCCCTCGCCGCTGCTCTATGTTGCCGTCGTATCGGATCATGGTCATGCTGAAACTTCCCGCCAGTGTCAACTTGCGGGCTATCACTCCTGACGTTCGGCGCTCCGATGTCTATATGGAGTTTAGCGGAACGGAAATCCTCATCTGCTATAGAAGCTATCTCATCACATCACATCGACGTCAACAGAGGCATTGAAGGCTGCTACGGACTTCAGATGATCGTCCAGTCTGGAGCCTGCTAAAATCCGTACCATCCAGGTTTGCAATAGCCGCGCTAGTACCTCTTGCGAGGCTAGCCTGCACTGCACATGTCATTCTGCTACTCGCATATCAGTGTTTCAGGGCGGTAAGGCTGCGATCAACGACATTGACATGCAGCTGCGGGATGGTGTACCCGCCGGCTGGCCTATATATGCGGCATCTCGTGCCTACGTGCAATGATTGCCTCGATGTTAGCATGCTTGATTCCCCATTTGGGAGGTTAGGATCCGGACTAAATGGGCGCCGCGGCTTTGAAACATTTCCTCGGGGCGGTGTTTTTTTTACCGATGAAGGCCCCAAAGTCTCTTCACAAGTTCAAGCTATTATGCAAAGAGCAGCTCGTCTGCTATCCTGTGTCTCTTCGGACGTTCTGCAAGGCATATTCGGGTTGAGCAGAACTAATTCAAATTCTTAACGGTAGACGGTGGCCGCAAGGCACGTGACTAACACATCAATTGATGGCCCTAGAAACGCTTGACGTCCAGCGCCAACGTTGCTGCGGCCCGTCAAGGACCCTACCAGTACTTACTGCCGCCACAGCCGGCCTCGGCTATTCCTCTCTGATGTTACGGTGCCTAGTCTCAATGTTATCTTCCAGCGATGCAGCGGCCGCCTCATGCAATTGGTCTGATGTGGCACGTTCATGGTGAAATGCGGCTTTCACGGTTTACGCGAAATTGGCTCCTCCGCGTCACCGGGCGCAGCTTCGCTCGTGTACCGTTATTGGCTAAGATCATGTTCGGCCATCTTAACCTACATTGTTCATGCAGCACTAATCCCGTTCGGCGCAAGCGGACATCCGTCTTAACGCAGGCATGTGTACCGCAGTGCGAGCATCGGCGTGTCGGAAGTGGATTTTTGGGGCTCGGATCTAGTGTGCTAATGATATGGCAGTTGGACAGGGCGTGCGGTCTAGTTTTCTGCTGCCGCCTCAAGCCCATCAGTATCTTCCGCAACGTATTACAATTATGAGACGCTACTCTGACATGATCGTACCTCAGAATACATATGCATTGTCTCACCTTGGCACTCCATCGTTTGTCACCTGGCATCAAGGCAATTTCGCGCAAGATTGTTTGTTTCATGTCCGCGACAGGAGCTGATGCAGTGACCTCTAATCCGACCCAAGTAAGTTAGCGGAGGACCGGCTAAAACATATTGATAGTAATTACTTCAGGTTGCTTTCTGAAGAAACGTCTGACGACTGTGGTTCCCTGGTGTGCAGGCATCGCGTACGGAGCTCCTGGTGCTCTAAATTTGTTTCAAACACGCTGGTTGCTGCACCAGAACATGCGCAACGGACATCGCTTGTAGGTACTGTGTTTGACCTACATGCATTGTGACAATTCATGGAGTAATTTCAGGGACATCAAATCGAAACGCCCGTGCACTTGGCGAACACGGACAATCACAGCCGTCGGTTGCAAGTAGATCCGTGATGCTCTGCAATAGGCAACGTCGATGGTTTTCGAGTGACGTGATGTATCGGGTTGTGAAGTGCCCGGAACCGCGGAGTGCTGTGACGCATAGAATTGGCGAGTGAAAGAAGTCCGTTCTGCAACCACATTGTACGGTTAAGTACGTTTCACCAAACCGTGTTTGTGTATCCTCAGTATTCCTTTGTCAGTGTGAATGAAATCCATGCGGTCAAAACCAGAAAGCCCAGGACGATGGTACCGCCAAGGTACCCATAGATAGGGAACCAAATGAATGACCCTGGAAACTTATCCATCACGACGACAGCTCCTCACCGCATGGCATGCCGTGCATCGTCTTTCCATAAGCAGCATGGCTCTGGCGCCTCTGGTCATCTTAGGAACCTCGGATAACGGTTCAGAGATGAGAACCGACCAATCACTCGGTGTCATAGCCTGACAGCCCTGACAGAGATGGGACAGAGCAGATATCAATGTTGAGCATTTGCACTCTAGATCCTGTCACGAAGAGCGTTCACTAAGGGCATCGCCATCGCTCGCCCCTGGAAATAGCTCTCACCCCTTCTGGAGGACACCGATCGACCGGATTCAGGTCAGCGTCCTTCAGTCTGGTACAATTTAAGTGAAGGCAGACCGTAGTGACCTGCTAGGTTCTCTTTCTTTCCTGCATACTGCATAGGCAAGATGGCAGTGAGGCCGCCCAGCTACTCTAACCCTGATCCTCATGCGGTCGCCATTATCGGTACGTCTTACAGTCATTCTACGTACGCTCATTTTTGGGCTCACCGTGCGCGATCCGCAGGCCTCTCTATCTCTGCGCCTGGTGGTGAGGCGCGCGGACTTGATACCGAAGCATTCTATGAATTCCTCAAGAGTCGTGGCTCTGGCATTATAACCGTGCCTGCTGACCGCTGGAATGCCGAAGCCTACCATGGCACGGGCCCAGGCAGGATTTGCACCGTATGTTTTTGCCGTTCCATGCGCTGCAGGTCAGCCAAACTGACTCCTGGACTTCAGACCAAGGGTGGATTTATCCCCGAGTTCTCGACCGGCGATCTTCAAGAATTTGGCATCACTCCTGCGGAGGCTACTCAAGTTGCCGTCACCCAGCTTGTTTCGTAAGTGACAAGGCATTCATAATGAAATGCCCGAGCGCGCGTTAATGAGCAATCTTAGGCTTCATCAAGCGTTCAATGCCTTGCAACGCAGTGGTGTCGACTACCGCGGCACAAACACCGGCGTGTACGTTGGGTGTGGTACGTATCGTGCATAATATGAAATCAGAATCGTTCATATATCCTATTTACAGCTGGCGGAGGCGCGCCTTTCGAGATGGACATTACCCAAGCTGGAGGTAGGTTGCATTCTGGCTACGTTACCGCCTCGCGCTCATGCGCATACAGCCTACTATATGACGGGCACATCGCTCTCCATCACTGCAAACCGCATCAACTACGTGTTCGACCTTCTGGGACCGTCTCTCCCTGTGGATACCGCGTGCTCTTCAAGCTTGACTGCTATGCATCTGGCAATGCAGGCGATCAGGAACGGAGAGTGCGACCAAGCCGTTGTCGCTGGTCTCAACTACGTCATGACTCCTCTCGAGACATCATCCTTTAGCCAACTTGGCGTTCTCAGTCCGGATGGCATCTCCAAGTCTTTCGATGACGGTGCTAACGGTTACGCCCGCGGTGACGTCGGTATGTACTCAATTTACTGTGACACCAGCAATTATTCACACTGACTTTCGCAACGTTCACAGCCAGCGCGGTAGTGATCAAGCGGCACGACCTTGCTGTGAGGGATAGGGATCACATTTTTGCAGCTCTTGTCGGCTCGGCGTTAACCTCCTGCGGTTCCATAATGGGTTCACTCACGACGCCCAGCCCAGAAGCCCAAGCACAGGCTATCCGCAACGCATACCAAGATGCTGGCCTCAAGCCCTACCAAGCCGACTACGTTGAACTTCACGGAACTGGCACCGTCGTCGGAGACTCCCTCGAGGCCAACGCGGCCGGAGCTTTGTTCTCAGAAGGGAGGGGAGGACGTGAGATTGTGATTGGATCGGTCAAGAGCAATGTCGGCCATGGAGAGATGGGGTATGGGTCTTGTCCCTGCATACTCCTGATTGTCACTTGCTGACCATCGGTTTATCTCAGTGCTTATATGAGCTCCCTAGTCAAGGTCGTAATGATGCTCGATAAGAGGCAGATCCTACCGAACGGTTACTTCCAAAAGCCATCATCAAAGATCGATTTCGAGAAGTACAACCTGCGCGTGCCTGTCGAAGTGGAGGATCTGGTCGCTCACGATTTTGAACAAGGAATCATTGTGTCGATCTCTAGCTTCGGCTTCGGTGGTAGGTTGATTAACTCACACGTTGCTGGCTTCGAGTTCTCATTTGCTCCCAGGTTCGTGCGGTCACACTGTGCTACGCGAACACGAGCGATACCCTGAGCACCCCGATACTGAGACTCTCAAGGATGGGCCTTTCCTCTTTGCCATTGGTAAGCCAACTATAGATAACACTCGACACCATCTCATCTGTTGTTCTTCTCACAGGTGCACTTTCACCAAAGTCTGTACGAACGCTAGAGCAGCGCTACAGAGAGCAGTGTGCGCAACGAACTCCGCTTGCATTATGCACTCATCTCGGCAACCGTGCACGACAGATGCCATGGAGAAGCTATGCCATTGCCGACTCTCTGGAGAGCGCTACGTTCCCAGACCCGGTACTCGTAGGGAAACGCCCAAACCCCCTCGTGTTATGCTTCTCTGGCCAAGGGCCACAGCACTGGCAGCAAGGACGGGACCTCATGACCATGTATTCAGTCTTTCGCGAGAGTATCTATGCTTGTAATCGGGTTCACACAGCATACACTGGCAACTCGTTCTTGGAGGAGACTGGATTATTTATCGCAGATGCTCCAGTATCGTCTCCCCTTGCCAAGAGCTTAACTTGGCCAGCGAACGTCATCTCAGTCGCCATTACATTCTTCCAGATCGCCATGTTCGACCTTCTTACCTCTCTCGGTATCAAGCCAAACGCTATGCTGGGGCACTCTATCGGCGAAACCGCCGTTCTATATGCCTCTGGGGCCATGCCTCGTGAGGCAAGTGTTCATGGCTTATGAGATGCCAATAACGCTGACGTAGCGTTTGCGTTTAGATGGTCGTGGAGATTGCCATCGCTCGTGGACGTGCTCTTTCTATGGTCGACAACACTGGTGGCGGCATGGTCGCAATCTCTGGCTGCGACGCCGACGCTGTGCGTGACTATGTCGATGCCGCATCCTCTCTTGCCAATCTGAGCAAGGAGGAAGCAAGCAAGCTCTATATGGCTGCTTTTAATAGTCCTACGGACATCGGCGTTTCTGGATCAGAACTCCTTGTCGATCTTCTGACGAAGTACATCGAAACTTGGGTGGATGGAGTTGTCGCGCGCAAGTTGCGCGTGAGTACGGCAGTGCATTCGCCTTTCGTGGACCCCTGTGAAGATGTGTATCGCGCGGAGCTCGCCACGATCTTCTCTCGTTACACGGGACCATTCGTTCCTGTCATTTCCACCATGTCCACGGTTACTGCTGAATTCAAGACCGATGGTTATACCATTGACTACCTCTGGCGCAATCTAAGACAGCCTGTTCTGTTTTCGTCCGTTATTCCTCTACTCGTGAACAAATTCGGCGAGAATACCACATTCGTTGAGATCTCACCTCATCCAGTCCTCTCTCAAGTACGTCGGGTGTTTTTTTAAGCATATCAATCTTCTGCTGATCGCGTTCATGCAGTACATCAAGAAGATGGGAGCTTTCGATTCGTTGGCTACGGCCACACGTCCTCCATCGGCGCGGCACTTGAAGCCCGGAGCTAAACGTCCAAAAGAGAATCAGACCCTTCTACAGGCTATGGGGCAATTGCTGCTTTATGGCGTCAACTCGGTGAGTCAACCTCGTTCGAGACATTCAGCGTGAGGTCTGATAATAGTACTCAGATCAATTTCTCTATCCTCAATGGTTGCCCCTCGGACTCGTTCGAAGGTCCTGCTTATCCATTCAATATGAGATTCTACCCATTCGCTGCGCGAGAAGCGTCGTATCTTCGCCGTTTGCTCCCAGCCACTCGCCCTCTGAACTCTACTCGCCTCCGAGTCTGTCCTCAGCTGCCAGAACCATGGATGTCACATCATGTCATCGACCACTCTGTCAGTAGTTCCAGAACCAGAGTCTCGTAGAATGCTGATGAGTTCCATGTAGAACCTGATCCCTGCTGCCGCGTACATCGAGATGGCCCTCGAGTTCCCTGGCGTTACCCAGGTCTGGGATTGTCGCTTCGAAGCGGCTTGTATCTTGGAGGAGGGCGTTCCGCCGGTCACCTTAGAGGTGGCGAAGGATGGTATTAATTGGTGGGTGAAGTCTTCATCCTCTTTGCAGACTATGCAGGGAGACCTGGAATGGACTCGTGCCACACCTGAATTCGACACCGTCCATGCGCACGGAAAGCTTGGATATGGAGTGCCCGATCTGAGCATAGGAGGGTTCAAGAGAGTTGACGTCGCTGCAGTCCTTGCGCGATGTACTTCTACTCATCAGCATGAGGAGTTGTACGCGGAACTGGAAGGTATCGCTCAATTTGGGTCCGAGTGAGTGTCTGTTTCATCGGGTACCTCGTACAGAGGCCGTACTGAATACTTTTATAGATTCATGCGGGTACAGAGGGCGGCCATAAACGAGAACGAGGCCATTTGCTGGATCAAGGGTCACGCTGATGGATTAAATAAGACTGACTATGTCTTCCATCCGGCCTTGATGGATGCGGTCTTCCAGGTATGCATTCCTATCGGCACGGCTCTGCATGTTGGGTTACTTACCTGTTCGGTGAATACTTGCAGTCCGCGATAAGCTGGAATATGGTGAGTTTTGGAGTAGATTCCCATGAGTGAGGTCCCTAACACGAGTGGTTTTGCGAAAGCTGTATGACAAGATTAACGTCGGCGGCAAAGAGCGGTCCTTCTTGGTGAGTGAGTTATACCTATCGACTCTGGGAAGCGCTCATAAGGTTGCAGCTACCGCACTCCTTACGGAGAGCCTACCGCGTTGACGGCCGTACCGAACCTATTGTACTCCCGGAAGAGTTCAGAACGTATTCCGTTCTCCTTGACTGGTCAGCCCATCACTGGACGTTCGATGCCTACGTTCTAGATGAGGATGACTCTGTGATCATTGCTTTTGAAGGTAACCTGTTCATTCTCAATCGGGATGCCGGCGCTCCTGCTGATTGCAATCTGCAGGCCTTCACTTCACACTCGTTAGCCAAGATGATCAATGGCCTACGGAACGATACATGATGTACTGGCAACCGCGAGCTCTTCCCACCACAGAGCATGAGGGGATGCTGGTACTGGACAGAGCTGCTGATGATACTGATTCGGTGCATATACTGTGCCTTCTGGACCAATTGGCTCTGAAGTACACCCACGAAACCTTAAGGTGAAAGCTATAGCTGGATCTCATGACAATTGACATTGAAGTCAATACCATAGCACGTTGCCGGAAGACACCAAGCTGGCATCGTCAGATCGTGTGCGGTATCTCGCGTGGGCTAAAGGGCAGGTGCAGAAGGCTGTACTTGGCGCTGTTCCCGAGATCGGTCCAGCCCTCCGCGACAAATACGCCAGTCTTCTGGAGCTCACCGAGCGCGTTGGGAAAGGGCAGAAAGGTTCGCATTTTCAGGGACAGACTTTCGTATCAGCTACTCATTTCTGTCTCAGAAATTATGCAAGCCTCTACTGCAGCCGTTGAACTCTTGTTCCGCGACGACATCATGAGCAAGGTCTATGAGCACCCTCCTTTCGTCGGTTGCATATTCGATAAGACAGTGGAACAGTTCATTGAGCTTGTGAAGGAAGCTGTGTCGGCGGGCAAGCGCGTCGTGCGGATTCTGGAAGTCGGTGCTGGTACTGGAAGGTTCACCGCTCTGCTTGGTCAAGCCATGGTGGATGCGAAACTCGATCAACAGTGCTACGTCGATTATGTCAGCACGGACATATCGATTTCGCTTGCCCAGGAGTCGACTGCCAAATCGCCGTGGCTTACGATGACCCCGATGGCGTTTGACCTCAGCGTGCCTATCGAGCAACAGAATCTCGATCCTGCGAGCTTCGACATCGTCGTGGCTTTCGATGTCCTTCATGCCATTCCTAACATCCACGAGACACTGGTGCGGCTTCATGAGCTGCTCCTGCCCGGTGGCCATCTAGCAGTAATTGAACTCGATGGCAACTCTTTCGCTAACGGCGCCGTTGGTACCATATGTGGGTTCAGTTTCTCCTGTAGAGTGACCAATACTCTCGCTGACACTATGTACTTTAGGGATGGATTTCATCTTCGGCTCATTCGCTGAATGGATGGGCGTGCTGGATCAGCGCCCGGGAGCGACTCATTGCTCGCTGTCTCCAGCAGAATGGAAATCAGCTCTCCAAGCAGCTGGTTTCGCGGACACGCTTCTTGTGACGTCTTCTGGTCGCTCTGTTTCTCATATGGCATTTATCACGCAAGGCTCGCTTTCTCCGACTTCAACTTCCTCATCTCCCCTGCGTACTCCTTCTCCAGGTCCGACGACGCCATTGAACCCTGATGTGGTCCCGAATGTCGTGAAGGTTCTGAGCGGCTCGTCACCCGATCTCACCGACGTCCTCGGACGGAGCAGCATCGACGATATGTTTTCCAAGCAAGATGTCATCGAGATCTCTACACCAGCGCCTCCTATTGAAATCGTCTTGGGGCATGACCTCACTGTCGTTCGGCGCTTCACGGCGGGTGATGAAGTCTCTCTCGTTCAATTCCTCTCAGAATTGGATGCAACCAAACACTATGTGATTTGGCTATACACGGACATGGAGGAAAGCAACCTCAGCCTCATTGGAATTGCCCGATCCATTCGCCACGAGTTTAGTTTATGGAAGATCATGATGGCTTTGTTCCACCCGTCATGGGATGCCGTCCAGCAGGAGGACTTCGTGTACGGCAAGCTTGTGCCTTTGAAATGGATTGACGCGGAAGTCATGGTGGACGAGAGCGGAAACTTGCATGTTCCGCGCGTTGTCAGTGCTCCTTCTCCCCCTCACGTCGAGCCGCGCGAGGATAAGGCTCTGGCATTTGATGAGTCTCGAATCTGGCGAGTTTATCCTGAGCCGTTGGGTCCGGACGACGTCGAAGTAACAGTTGCATTTACGAGCCTCTCGCCAGCTTTCCCCGACTGTTCCGAGTTTTCTGGCAAAGTCAGCGCCGTTGGGTCTGGTGTACCTGTTGAGATGATTGGAAGAAGGTATGCATATACTTTGGTAGCCTTCTACACCACTCATTGATACATTTCATGAACAGGGTATTCGGTGTTGCGGCGAGTCGCCAAGGAAATGTGATCGTATGCAGCCGCTCGCAGGTAACAGAGGTCCCAGATGGTATGCATGCATCAACAGCTGCTGCAATTGCCGGCCGTCTATTTTTCGTGTCCTCAGTGGTCACTAAGGCACTCGCGTTTTGTGGTGTTCGGTCACCACGCATACTGTTGCACGCCGGTGTCTCCTCTCCCGCTGCCGTGGCGACCTACCTTTACCTCAAGGCGCGGGGCCTCGATGTCTTTGTCACAGTAACGGAACCCAGTACGTTCCCAGTTTCCCCAAGCTCCTCCCCAGCCGTGCCCATCTTCTCTACCACTCCACTCGATATCTGGTCTTTCCGAGTACGCGAATGGGCGAAGAAAGGCGTCGACGTCACGTTCAATTTCGACGGCGACCCAAGTGTAGCCAAGGAGACTCTCAGCCTCCTATCACGGAGAGGCACCCTCGTGCAAATCGGTGGAGAATTACCACACCGCATCCAGCGCGGTCACCAACTCGTCCTGGTCGACTACCCAACATTGCTTGACGAAGAAGACATTGCAGAGTCTGCACTAGAATCCATTCAGCCCCCTGTCCGCTCCCTTATCGCACCATCGGTGCATATTTTCGAGCTGAGTCAACTCGCAGTTGCTCAAGCAAAAATCCGGTCTCAGTCCACCATTGATACTGCTGTATTGGTGGATTTGCAAGATCTCAATCCGAAACTTCCCATCTTGCGTGGTGGCATCATCAAGGGCACGGCCGCTTTTGATCCTCGAGCTTCATATGTCGTGATCGGCGGCGTCGGCGGTCTTGGAGCCAATATCGCGCGTTGTCTTGTAGAGAATGGAGCTAGACATGTTATTTTAACATCACGTTCTGGCGAGAATGTGAGTATAGCATATCATTGTACCTTTGCTCAGCTGATCTCGTATTATCAAGACTTTCAAGGCCGGCCGCCTTATCCGCGAGAAGAAAATTATCACATACCTGCGAAATATCCCTGGCGTGGTGATAGACATCCTCGCAGTAGATTGTCTCGATGTGGAGAAGACCAAGGCTGTCTTCGCCAACTCGTCTCGTAGGATCGCTGGGGTTTTCTATGTCGCCGTCCGCCTTAATGATCAGCTTTTCACCAATCTCACCACGGAGGAGGACTGGAAGACTGGTATGGCCGTTTATCGTGTCAGCGAGCTTCGTGACTGATATTGTTCGCTCTCAAGTGTACGACGTAAAGGTGAAGGGCTTGAAGGTGCTGCTTGAGGCCGTCAATCCCAGTACTCTCGACTTCCTCGTCTTGACCAGTTCCATGGCCACAGTCAGCGGTTCTCCAGGTATTCATTGTTATTACTACTATCATGCATCGCGGAGACCCAATGTGGCTCACAGGTCAGGCGAATTATGCGGCAGCACAGACGGAGATGGAAGAAATTGGTGCTCACCTTCCCAATACCGTTTCAATCACAGTTCCACCGATCGTACGCGGCTTATTCATACTTTATTCTGCTTTTATTCACATATGTACGGCAGACGGATGGTGGTGTATTTGTGCGAAGTATGCCTCCTGGCAATGCCCGAAATGCCGCCCTTGACAAGGTGAGTTCTTTTCTGCCAGTGTCTTTGTCGAATGCCATCTAAGTCTATGGACAGTATAAAGCCCTGGGAATGTCTGGAATGCTTGTTGCAGAGCATTGTGTCGACGCAATCTGGACGTTGAACACCAGCGCAGCCAATGCAGTGTACATTCCCTCGATGAATTGGAAGAAGGTCGTGGAGAGTATGCCCTCGTAGGATTATAAAGTTATTACCACGCTGACAAGTTTTGATAGTTGGTATTCCTGAGTATCATCTTGCATCGTTGCGTCACCTCTTGGTGAAGGAGAACGCAGATGTTTCTGTTGCTAATGCATCGAACGAGCAAACGATCCGTGCAGCTTGTGCCATGGTTCTCTCTTTGAACACTGAAGACGTTGAAGAGAACATTCCTCTTTCAAGCTACGGCCTTGACTCGTTGACCTCCGTCCGTCTCAGTGGCATCCTTAAACAGTACTTCGATGTTACTGTTACTCAACTTCAGCTGCTCAGCTCATACATGACTGGTCAGTATTAAGCTTCTCTGCAGCGTATCCTGAACTAAAATTATATGACAGTGGAGAAGTTGCAGGCGATGCAAGAGGAACAACGCCTCGCATCTGCATCGGAGGCACAAAATGCCGGAGCTTCAGATGCTAAGTTTGACGCCACCGGCCAATCTAATCTCGAAAATGATATGGACAAGACCATCGTGCGCCTCAACAACGTGAATGAAGGACGACCTTTCTTCATCCTGCATGGTGCTGGTGGTGGCGTCCTGGTGCTGCAGAAAGTTGCCCAGAAGGTGAACTGCCCTGTGTACGGTGTACAAGATACGCCCGAAGCTCCGATTACGGGTACCCTTGATCGCCTTTCTCGCTTCTACCTTTCTAAGATTCAGGAGAAGCAACCGCATGGACCGTACCGTATTGGCGGTTTCTCATTCGGTAAGCAGGCGATCGATTGTATACCATCATCGTCACTCAGATCTGTTGCAGGAACCTGTCTTGCGGTCCGAATTGCGCAGATGCTACTCGATGAGGGCGAAGAGACTGAGCTGCTAGTCTTGCTGGACGGGACTCCGACGCTTTTCCACAGGCCTAATTTCCAGGTCTACACCAAGGATAGGATTGCCCAGGGTACGCTGCGTGAAGACGTATGTGATCTTCCTTACTGTATTTGTTCGCCCTTGACCAATGTGCCTCTTTCATCAACAGATCATGGAGGTCATTGCCGACATGTCCCAAAGTGGCTCTCTGGACGGTGCAAACGAGATTACGTACCAATTCTCGGATCACTTCAGCAAGGTGTCCTCAGGCGGGTCCGGTCCTAAATGGGTTGCACGCTTCTGCAGGGCCTACGTCGCTCATGGTATGTCGCGTGCTGCTAATGCACAGCGCGTATGGCTGACATGAATTGAAGTGCTTATGGGTGTCCGTGCAAGCATGGATGTGAACAAGCGCGAGGCAGACGGTTCGCTGTTCACCGAGGTCTGGCCGTCCAAACGGACAGTGCTCGTTCGCGCCGAGCAAGGTGTCTCCGCCCAGTCGTACGCGGAAGGCGCGTCGAAACTGTTAGACCTCGAGATCTGGACGTCGGATGTCGAGCTACACGAGTTGCCTGGCACTCACTTCGGTATCCTCAATCCCGACTCTGGGTTGGCTGAGATCCTGAACGGCATTGTGGCATGAGAAATCCGGGGAGGAAGCGGTGACCGTATCGAGGATGCCAGCTTATATTTATCAGTATCGTGTGTTGCCGTGTCTATCATCATATTGTCGAGCGTTTGACCGTTTGCATACTATACCTTCTCCGTTGTTGGTGTTAGAATGTTGTCTGCTTAAACCGGAATTGAATATCGTGTGTTTTGCATGCAAGTTGCTGAGAGAATAGAGCTGAGTAGAGATACATTATCCCTCTGAGCTACACCGTGCCAACACAAAGGAACGTTCGTGCATCCATTACTGATGATTAATGTATTCTTAAAACCGGTCCATTACAATATTCAGTAATGTGCGATAATGATCCTCATCAAGCCATTGTGAGCAATCACCGTCTCTCACAACGCTTTGCAATCGCTCTGGATCATAGAGAAAGATCATGAGCCTCGGTGCCAGTCGCCCACCCGCACGAGGCCGTGGCCTGCGAGAGTGGAGGACAGCGTCGAACCCTGATGCCTCTTGGGCAAAATGGGGATCGACGGGTCGCGGCTGTGGCGGTGTTTGTCGCGAGGCCCTCCGGTATTTAGTTGCTCGGAGGTTCAGCGGCTACGCTCATCGCGCCATTCCTCTTCCCAGACCTGTAGAAATTCAGTAAGAAGAGCAACATGTGCTTTGTTGACCTCATCTCGAAGAACCGCCCCCGTTCTCCGACTTTCACACCTCGACAGCTGGTGAGATCAAATTTCTGCAGTGTCGTACAAGCGTCGATTATCGGAAACAAGCCTGCACCTGTAAACATTTCCGGTTCGATCGCATGCTCTGCGTGGGAGAGTATTGAACACACTCACTCGTGAAGCGCAGTTTCTCTGGAACTCGTTTTATGCATCGCGACACAGGTAGAAATCACGACAGCATTTGATAACTCGACTTCACAAGTCGAACCTCAAGCGTAGGGCTCTTCAGCGAGCCTATCGATCACGCTCACGCTAATGAACAGATGTCGGGCACGAGGAATACCACAGAGATTGTCCTCTACCTGGTTGGAACAGAACTGGTGTCCGAACTCATGGACGTGGGCAGGACGATGACAATCTCAGATACAGATCTGCAACGAGGATCGGGAATAGATCTTAGATCAAAGTCAGATCACAACCGCGACAAACAATTCCTTAAGTACCATCCGCATAAACCGATATACTCATCACGCATTGCTGCTTGCACCATAGTTCAGCATATATATACTCTCTCACATTAGCGCCCAAAAGGTTATTGTCATCAAAGTTATCGCGTCTCTGCGTTCCGCGAAAGCAGTCATTGCGAGCTTCTCAGATAGATACACAATGGGACAGCATGCCTGCTCGCCGGTCCTACCTCCCCCTATACCCCAAACAAGACCGCATAATTCTATCTACATATGCAATGAAGGGAAAAGGTCCAATTATCACAGCGCGCTAATATAGCCCCGCCCATGATGGATATTTCGCCACACCGTATAACCAGCACCACGAACTCGGATCACAACTTAGCTCTTAGCCTTCCCTCCATCCTTGCTACTAGATTCAGCGTCATCACTTGTAGGTAGCTGATGAACATAAGGCTTGCCATCCCAAAGCACGTCACGTCCTCCTATTGCCCTCGGAAGAGCATTCGGATTCTGCGGCCATGCGTTGGGATCAGGAGGCGGTCGTTTCTTTTTGGAGTACCATATGCATCGGATGCGCGCGTCATTTGGATCCCATGTGCCCGGCTGTCCCAGCAGCACAGGAGGCCATGGTTCTACGAGCAAAATAGTCAGCGCGTGCCGCAATCTCTGTGGCAAGGCGAACACTTACGCTTTGGCATCATCGGCTGATTAAGAGGCGCACTGGCCTTCGCGGGTGCCTGCGGAGCGTTGGCCTTGTCGTTCGAACTCGACTGCATGGTGGTGCAGTAGTTGTATGAGAGGTACGATCGATATAACAAGTGGATGGGAAAATGCGTAAACTGTTGACCGAAAGATGTTCCGAGAAGACTGTTCTTATACTTGTCTAGAACAATAACATTGCACGTTTCAGATCAGCAATCATATCATAGAGCAACAATCGCATGCAGTGCATCAAGCGTGCAAGCGTAGCTGAAATGCCTCTATTATGCGCTATGTTGAGGAAATCTAGAAAGCGCAATAAGCACAATAAGTCATAGTTTCGCTTATAGATAATCACCGCCGACAATGATCGTGGCGTGGCCACAGAATGCAGCAGCTTTTCCAAACAATAAATGACCACCTAAGATCACAATACGAGCGACTACATAGGAACGCACTACGAAACGGATCTAGGAAACCGCTTGCTCACTTGCTCACTATACTCAAATGTCCAGGTCCTCGTCCGGGTCATCGTCGTCAATATCGTCTGCGGAATCTGGGTCGTACAGGATGGCGGCAGGTGCAGCGCTCGTTCGCGCCTGCTTGCCTATGGTGGCTGTCGTATCAGCGGGATGGTCCTACAATCGGATCAAAATTGAGGAGATAATTACCTTCGTGTGCATATGGCAACGGAACCTGTGCACGAGACTGTTGTTGTTCTATAGTGAGGTTGAGATTGAAAGAGAGATTCTTAGTAGGATCTGGACCACTCTTCAGCATCAACAAGTCAGAACTCTGCATGAAGGCGCTGATGGCGACGAGCGACAACACACCTCTTCAACCACCTTCCGTGTCCACAAGCCTTTGAGGCTCTCCAATTGGCTCAGCTCACACGGAGATCCGCATGCAGGGATCCCAGACCAGCCCTCCAAGACTCGTTCCACACCTCGTCTCCTCCCCGGTCCATCCGCGCCGCGAACGAGCACTTCCACCACGAACTCCCTCCCGCCGGAGCCCTCGCCACCTGGGCCGAACACGAGCTTCTCCGACTCGTAGTGTCGCTCTGCAATTGGGAGGAATACGCTCCAGAATTTCTCGGGCGGTGAGAGAGGCGGCGGCATCGTCAGATACGCTGTGGCGAGATGCAAGATCAACGCGGTGGGATGTGCTATGATGTGGAGGAGTATCGGAGAGAGCCTGGTATGCATGAGAGCGGGTATGATGCGGGAGGGGGCGACAACATGGAGGACGAGACGAGATGGACCTGTGCAGCGGGTTGAGTATGGCTTGCAAGAGATCATTACAATGCACTTACTCGGTCTTGCACGAATCGCGGAGAGAAGCTCTGATAGGAAACGTTCCGTCCTTGCCAACGAGCCCAGATCAGAGAGAAGCGTGTCGACTGAGTCGATCACGGCGGTCAACGGTCCTGGCGGTGCTGCCCACGCCGTCAGCTTCATCCTTGCTTCGCACGTCTTAACACACACCATCGCGCACGGTCCTCAACATCTCCTCCTTTACATCGAGTGCGTCCTCGGCATATCCTGGGACATTGTGCGTCCAGTCAAACACACGGACATTTTCCGGCGTGTCTTTCACGAAGGCGGAGGGCGCGTACAGGAGACAAAAGAGCAAGATTGACCCGGCGATGGGATTACTGTCAGCCTGGCGAACAACGTACTGCACGACAGGCAGACATGACTGAGCTGTGGACGATTGTACGAGTAGAAGGGGCTGCTGACCCCGGGACGAGCTCGTGAGAGTGGACAAGAGAAGAGGCGCCATTTTGGCCACTCAGTGCCGCTCGCTCACAAATGCACGATGAGGTTCTCAAGGGTCAGCAAGGCTCCCTTGGCCTCCTCCCACCGCTGCCTCCGTGCTGTTTTCTAGCGACGCGCAATAGAGATGGCTGCTCTGTCCTTCGTGAGCGCTGAGCAAATCATCCGTTCCGTCATCTTGAATCTATTGAACCTTAACACGATCGCAGGTCCCGTTCCCCGTCGATCACTCGATGGAGGCGCTGCCGGTATCCTCTCGCATACGGACCATCTACCCGGAAGACTACTATCCCAATGGCAGCGTTGCACGCTGAACATCAAGCGCATATGTGTGTTGATGCCTCACGTTAGGTGGATATGTGCAGCTGCCTTACGGTCGAACACGGTACTACTTGCTCGGACCTGAAGATGGAACAAAGGTGAATGATGCCCGACGAGCATTATTGCTTTCTATCTGTGCTTATATGCTCCCACAAGGTGGCCCTCGTCCACGGTCTCGCGACGCCCAGCGTCACCTACTCCCGCTTGGGGCCTTATCTGGCCTCAAAAGGCTACAGAGTGTTGCTATACGGTTGTTGCGCAAGCTATCCTTGTCAAGCTGGTCCCACGAGCTCATGCGGCGCGCCATAGACTTGTATGGCAGAGGATACAGCGAGGCGCCCAAGACGCCCTATACCACGAATATCTTCGTCGTCCAGCTCGCTTTGCTCATGCAGTACTTGCGATGGGAAAGCGCGCACATCATCGGATTCTCCATGGTAGGAGGCTCTCTGCTCTCACGAAGCTGCGGCTCAACGACGATCCATTGCCAATGTAGGGTGGCGGAATCACAGCCGCGTTCACTGCGACCCTCCCTCATCTTGTTTCCGGAAATATCGTCTTGATCGCTTCTGCCGGTGTACATAATGTGAATGAATAGTTTTCATCCGTTTGGGTCTCCTTGCTCACGTTCGACTATCCAGAGAGACGATGAACCGCCACAGGACAAGGCGAGTCGCAATATATAGCTTGCTCGTGGCCGCCAAGCACTAAGTTTTGCTCCAGCCAGCCGTGATTCCAATCAGCCAGTATGCAGAGGTTGGTGTTCATCACGTCTTAACGCTGCTGCTATTGCATTGTCTGAATGTTGCATATACAGCTCATCAATCTCCATAAGGAGTTGCTCCCTGGCTATTCCAACGCCGTGTCTTCTTGTCTCCGTGAAGGACCCATTCACGAACTCCTGTGGGCATTTGACAAGCTGGGCAATACACGCGTTGTTTCTGGAGAGCAAGTTCAGGTGCTTCTCATACATGTGTGCACCCTTCGCTTTAATTCCACGGTCCGTGACGCTGAAATGCCATCCTCCAGGGCACGGACGATCCGTTGGTTCGCTACGCGGATTCCATCGAAATTCAGAAGCGTATCCCAACCGCTCAGTTGGTCAGCATTAGCGGTGGAGGACACGATGTGCCCGTCCGAGAGGAGCATTGGCTGCAAGTTGCGGAGAGTACTGAGAAGTTCTTCCGTGCGTAAGGTCACGAGAAAGATGACACCAAGGTGCATTATCACCTGCAATGAGAATTGCATGTAATAGTAGTCCGAATGGAATATATTGATTAGTCGACTAAATGCGTGCGTCAATAAACGCTATTCAGACAAGCCGCAGGTGCCTTGGACAGTACACGAGTAGTATGTGTAGCCTATTCCTGTGGAACTCGCCAGTGCTCCCTACTCAGTACTCGAACCGTATTCTGCCATCTCAGAATGCCCACTTTCTCCGTCTTCCGCTCGAGTTCAAAGCCTTGTTGTCGTAGTGCATCTCCTACATATGGCTTCAACGGAGAGTCAACAGCAGATATAGTCTTGACTTTTTGACTTGAGCTGAATACGTGTTTGACAGCATGCGCGAGCAAGTCGTGCTGCATGCCCGCTCGTCTATACTGCTCTTCGACATAGAAATGACGGATAGCGGCGGTCTCTGATGTACCCTTTTTCAAGTCTATCTTCTGGTTTTTCTGCCTAGAGGAGGCCAATTCCGAGAGGGTTTTGTTGGAAGTAGAGTCGGGGGAGGCGTCCACGGCGATGAGGCCTACGAAGTTGTCCCCATATTCGAGCAGCCAGAACCCGGATGATGGGGAACGCAAATAGTACGAAGCGATGTCAGCTACGTCTGGTCTGTGCAGGATGTCTTGCGTCTGATCCTCAAACGTTGAGCGATTGAACCTGTACAAATGGTCACCCATTCAGTCAAATCGATGCCGACCAGGAGTTCAGAGACTCACCAGTCACATAGGAACATCAATGGCACGGCAATGCATGCAAACGCCGGTATGGGTCTGACCCAACCTAACGAACCACGCTCGGCATCGGGCCACCAGCCCATGACCTGAACAAACGTGGCAGACAGGCCGACCCATAGGGCAAGGATCAATGGATGGAAGTACGCTGCAAGTGCGCGTAAGACAGGGCGATCATGAAAATGTGTTGTATTCACGCACCTTGTCGATTCGCGACCGCAAGTGCATCCATGTTGGCTTTACCGATCATGAAATGGACGAGCTTCTCGTCCGAGGGCTGGAAAGGACGTATCCTCGCCACCGGCATCGCCATCCTCGCTGCAGATGTCGACGGAGTGAGACCGTCTGGAAAAGAGCCAGGTTGATGAGCGGACAGCCCATATGGGGGATTGCAATTTGAGTGCCGTTGGTGGAGGGCGGACGCACGTTCGTGCACTGGGCGCTCGTTTGGCTTTGAGATGGAGATCTGTGCTGATCGACGGTCCATAGCCCGTCTCTCAGCGAGCTCGCTTTACTCCTCGACGTCCTCCCACCCACCCAACTGCTGCGATGCTCATCAAGAAGACGTACTACGACGTTCCTTCCAAGGTCGACCCCAAGGGCGGCAATATCAGGATCTTCGTGATCTCGCCCAACGTACCGGCATATCCTCATGCCAAGTTTCCAGGTAGCTCGACCGGTCGATTTCATTCTTGGGACGCGGATGCGCTAATGCTGTCCTAGGGGTTGTATGCTTCAGGTTCGTATGCGCGTCATGACAAGTCGTCGCGCGTAATGGAGCAGCCGTCGTGTTTCAGTGAGATCTACCAAGTGACTGGACCTGTAGAGCGGTTCGCAGGCCAGATTGCAAGCCAGGGATACGTCGTTGGTGAGTACATTCATTCCATGTGATGACTACTGTCTCACGAACGCATGCTCATCTATACAGCCTGCCCGTCTAGCTTTCATGAGTTCGAGGGCCCTGAGCCGATTCCCTATGATACCGAGGGTTGGCCTTGATTGCTCGTTCCTTCGTCCTGTTTCCTCATCATGAGATTTGCCAGGAACGGATAGAGGCAACAAATACAAGGTGTGGCTCGTAGTATTTCAACGTGCATCGATCTCCACTGACGTGCGTCCAGGTCGAGAAGGAGCTGGCTGCATATGACGAGGTACGGCGGCCTGTTCGGCCCAGCATTGCTGCGCTGCTCCGAATATGCTGGACATCTCTCTTGCAATCCCTCGCTGTAGGATGCTACCGTCTCAATCGACCTTCTATGCTCTCTGCCCAACTGCACTGGACGGATAGCAGGTTGGGAATCGTCTTTTTTTGCGGATGATAGACATTAATGTCCGCCTTCCCCAGCTACCGGCATGTGCCTCGGAGGTCATCTCGTGCGTCTTGCGCACTCGTACCCAAAACCTTCACTATAACCTTTGTTTAGGCCTTTCGAGTGCGCTCCTCGTTCACTTTCACACCTCGTCTCCCGCTGATCCTCCCGCTTCTCACGCAGGCCGCCTTCGATCCCCGCGTGCTCTCTGCCGTCTGCTTCTTCGCCACCGACATTCACGGTGCAACGCTCGGAAAGGGCGAGAACGACGATTCGCTCGTGCGCGTGCGCAACGGCGAACTGACCGGAAAGGGCGAGCTTGTAGTACGTCATCGCGCCTTCCCCTTCCCCATGCTACTAGGCCTCACGACTGAATCTGACCTGGACTCAGATGATATTTGGCAAGCAGGTGCGCATTGCATTCCATCCTGATGGCTAAAGCGATACTGAAGCTCTGTTCTCTGCAGGACACACACGTTCCGCGCGTTGGACGAGATCTCATTAGAAAGACTCTCGAAGATGCCGACGTAACTACGTCGGTACGTCCCACTCTGATATCCGTACCAAGGTACTAACTCACCATCGTCCATCTGCCTAGTTCCTCGAGGTGCAAGCTCAGCATGCATTCATTCGTGACGAGTCCTCCAAGGATCGATGGGATGCTGCGCTCACAAGGAACCTGTTCGGCTTTATGACGGAAGTCTTTGAGCGGACGGTGGGGAGGGATCTTGGCCCAAAAGTGGACAGTAGGGCTGTCATCGAACACGTCTGCTAGATATTCCATTGTGATCTCTTATGTTGTTGTCCACAATGTACCATGCCGTCGAGCTCGTCTCATGTTCTCACGTTGAATCAGGTCAATTTTCCTCCAAAGAGCGCATCAAATATTCTATCGATACAAACGATGTTACTTCTCATTCGCGATAACATCGCAGGGCAAAGCATTACGGAACATTCAACGAGGTCATCGCTGGTGTCTTCGTCATCGTGAATACAACATTGTACGTAACACAGCTTGCAGCAATGAGTGAGACCATGCAAAGCAAAGAGAGGAATGGAGAAAACGAGAAGAAAAACCGAATGAAAAAGAAATCGCATTCTGAACAGTTTACTTCTTCTTGCCCGCTTTCTCCGCAGACTTCGTCACTAGGTAAGAGACGTAGTGTTAGACCAGCAAACGCGTAAATGGACGCATATACACACCCTTGCCACCAGACTTGTCAGTCTTGTCAACAGACTTGATGATGCCGACAGCCACCGTCTGTCTCATGTCACGGACAGCGAAACGACCGAGAGGGGGGTACTCGTTGTACGACTCCACGCACATCGGCTTGCTGGGCACGAGCTTGGCAATGCAGGCATCACCCGACTTGACGAACTTGGGGCTCGCCTCGATCGACTTACCCGTCCGTCGGTCGATCTTCTCGATGAGTTCGGCAAACTTGCAGGCAATGTGCGCGGTGTGGCAATCGAGCACGGGCGCGTAGCCAGCACCGATCTGACCAGGGTGATTGAGGATGATGACCTGGGCAGTGAAGGAAGCAGCCTCCTTCGCGGGGTCGTTCTTAGAGTCGGACGCGACGTTGCCACGACGAATATCCTTGACCGAGACGTTCCTGCGCAGCGAGCTCAGGATCGTTCATGCGAATTGAAAAATCATAAATTACTCACTTGACGTTGAAACCGACGTTGTCACCCGGCGTACCCTGCTCGAGCTGCTCGTGGTGCATCTCGACCGACTTCACTTCAGTGGTCACGTTCGAAGGAGCGAAGGTGACGATCATGCCAGCCTTGATGATACCGGTTTCGACACGACCAACAGGCACCGTGCCAATACCACCAATCTTGTAGACATCCTGGAGGGGAAGACGGAGAGGCTTGTCGGAAGGACGAACAGGTGGCTCGATGGCGTCAATGGCATCGAGGAGGGTCTTTCCCTTGACGACACCAGCCTTAGTCTCCTTGGTCCAACCCTTGTACCATGGCATGCTAACGGGTTGAAGATTGTCAATATGATTCAGAGAATCGAGTAACGAATACATACTTGGGGGACTCCTCCAACATGTTGTCACCGTGCCAGCCGGAGATGGGGACGAACGGTACCGCCTTCGGGTTGTAGCCCACCTTCTTGATGAAGGTGGACGTCTCCTTGACGATTTCGTTGAAACGGTCCTCGCTCCACTGCAGTGGTTCGGTCAGTATGAGCGACAGAGAACAATCTGAAGAGTACAAACTTTGGTAGTGTCCATCTTGTTGATGGCAACGATGAGCTGCCTGACACCAAGGGTGAAGGCAAGCAGAGCGTGCTCGCGAGTCTGGCCATCCTTGGAAATACCGGCCTCGAACTCACCAGTACCAGCGGCAATGATAAGAATAGCACAGTCAGCCTGCGAGGTACCGGTGATCATGTTCTTGATGAAGTCACGGTGCCCTGGGGCATCGATGACCTAGGGAAACGAGCTGAATGCCTAGCGCGTTTCACTGATCTGGAGAGAAAAACTTACGGTGACCATGAATTTGGGCGTCTCGAACTTCCAGAGGGCAATATCGATGGTTATTCCACGCTCACGCTCAGCCTTGAGCTTGTCGAGCACCCAGGCTGTACAGTAACAACCGATGAGAGATGCAGATTTGAATATCTTGCACTCCTGTCACTCACCATATTTGAAGGAACCCTTGCCGAGCTCCGCGGCCTCCTTCTCGAACTTCTCGATGGTACGCTTGTCGATACCACCGCACTTGTAAATCAGATGGCCAGTGGTGGTGGACTTGCCGGAATCGACGTGGCCGATGACTATTGAAGATCAGATACTGCACCGATGGCCCGCGATGGGGGGGAGAGAGTCGACTTACCGACGACGTTAACGTGGGTCTTGTCCTTTCCCATTTTTGGATGCCTGTGACACGCGATATCCGTCAATATGCGCAGAAAAAGAGCATGGACAGCACGTAAAATGAACCCAATCATGTATGCGAGAGGGACACGAAAACAATACAGCTTTTTTCCTTATCGCGATCTACGCAGACGAATCCGCCTCGCGGTCAAGGGAGAAACAGGACCCTTGTAGATGCGACATGAGCAAAACGGATGGACGACTTACTTGGAGCGTAACGAAAGTGTAGGAAAGCGGGAAAGGCAGGGCGAGGGGAAGATGAGGGTAAGAGAAAACCAGGAGTGATCTGGTGTTGTGGCTTATGTAGCCGCAGGCCTCGAAAAATTTAGCGATCGATGTCTGATCTGATTCAGCTCCGGCCGCTCCGATGACGCCGGAGGTCCGGCCGGCCCAGTCACGGCACCTGTCTAGCCAATCAGACACGGTCTTTAGACGTTGCTTACGCGTGCCACTTAGAATTTCCATGTGCAATTCTTCTACACCGTTCCAACTCATCTACAGATACAGAAAATTATTTTCAATGGCCGTACTCAATGCGAACGATGTGGCAGGTTGTGGTACATCCTGGAATGTCTGCGAGCGATGAACGCTGGAACAAAAGTATCAGGTGCGTAAGTACGTGGTGAGTGATAGACGGTTCGAAAATAGCACACAATTGCGTTGTATAGCGCAGATGCGATAAAGAGTTGGTACACAAGGTAAGCGTGAGTAGAGTGACAGATTGTACAGTGCAGTGGTCTATCAGAGGAACTGTTTCTAGCGCTAGGAGGCATCGATAACGACCTGCGAGGAGCACAGCGTGGTCAGATTGTGATGGCGCCTGGGGAAATGCATTGCACGCCCGTACCATGAGGACAGTCTTCCCGACTATCGTCTCCATCAGTCGTCCGCTCCCCAGCCTCCTCGCCCACTCAGGAAGCGGCTCTGCAAAATGGTCTGGAAGGTCGGCCGTGCGCTGACTTCCACCTGCAGACAAGCGCGGACAAGCGCGGCAGCATCATCCAACGCTCCTCCTCCGTCCAGCTCTTTGCCATCGTGTTCCTTCCCATCCGCACACCTCTCATCCAGTGCGATTGCTGCATTGGAAAAAGGTGACTGAAGCCCCTCTTGCGCCTCGCCGGCTGTCTGGAAGGGACATTCACCCACAAGCATGACGTAGGCCACAACGCCAAAAGCCCACACGTCCTGCTCCTTGCCGTAGTAACGCTCTCCCCTCAAAATCTCTGGGCCAGCGTAATCCAGCCTAAGGAAGGTTGAGTGAACTGAAGCACATGCGACAGCCACGATCACTTACGTGCCGCTGAACGTATCCCATCCGCCCTTCTTCACGAGACCGGAGCTTCCGAAGTCAATCAAAACGCATTTCCCTGCAGGCCCGAGAACCACATTCTCGTCCTTGATATCACGATGTACTGGGGGCTAGTCAATAACTAGGAGATAACCAGACAATGTATTTGGCTTACCAATCCCCTTCGCATGCAAGAAACACATGGCATCTGCGATCTGCCCGAGATAAGACCTTATTGAGCTCGGAGGGAGACCATGTGGATAGCTCTCGACGAGATCAAACAGATCTGATGGCGGTGGCGATTCTCCTTCCTTAGGTTCTGGAGTCGTCGAGGGCAGCACGAGGTAATAGTAGTGATTATCCTCGAAAAAGTCGAGCAGGGGGCAGATGTTCGGGTGCCCGTTGACCACCTTGCCCTCTATCCACCAGTCATCGGGCTGATCAGATAAACGTGAGGGATCCCAGGGTCGACGAGGAGGTAAGATGTAGTGTGTGTTAGATATCGCAGACATGACGTAGATCTCAATGGGGATCGTTCCATACTTGGGGTGCCGTTTCCAGCAATCCGCCAGTATGCGCGACTTGATGATCTGCTTGATCACCAGCGGTGGCTGTTCGCAAATTAGCAGCACGGCGTTCATGAGTCATGCCAAGTATGCGAATTAAAGGTGCCTTACCCCTAGTGTGCCGTTGCTGTGCATCTCTCGCGCCCTTTTCACGAGACCATACGCTCCACGACCAATCTCTCGTTCGATGACAAACTCCGAAATGCTGCGCTCACTGAGCGCCTCTACTTCAGAGTCCGGGGTGGGTGGTCCCGTACTAGATGCTACGCTGAGGTAGCTTGCCGCGCTATTGGTACGAACCAATGTTTGCGGCGCGGTAGGAGGTGGAGATGGGGGTTCCACTGGAACAATCGAAACGCGGCCGGCGATGAGTGAGACACGTTGTTGTGACGAGCGACGGCGAGGCCGCGGCGGGCCGTTGAGACGAGGAGAACTTGGAACGCGATATAAAGACGAAGAAGCTGGCGATGAAGGTTGCGGCTGCGGAGATGCGGTGCGGGGGAAGAGATGCGGAGATGGCGGCGGCGATGCCGCTGGTGAGTGGGTCAAAGGGGTGGCGGTATATGTCCCAGCACTTGGAGATAGTATCGGCAGCGTGTCGATTGTCATGCCACTCGTGGAGGCCCCTGAGTTGGATGCGTGCCCATTTTTCCCCACAGCGTGACCATTCGCGCGACTTTGACGATGTCTCAGGGGAGTGATGGTAGCGTCCCTGCTGGGAACAGGGGGATCGGGACGAGATCGTGAGCTGCGCTCAACTGTGGAAGTAGGTGGGGATTGCTTGTCGGTGTCGTGCTCGTCCCAGTCGAAGCCACGGCCGAACGAAGTTACGCCCCAGCTGTTTCCCACAGAAGCGGCGCGATAGAGTTTCTGCGGAGGAGATGGAGGAACCCAGTCATCGTCTTCGAAGGCAAGATTCTGGTTCTGATCAATGGTAGCAGTAGCAAGCATGTCGGTGCGGTGATGAGTGATAGCTGGCCCGGCGTCGACGGGCAGAGGAACTTTAGTGGGCGCAAATGTTGGTGGGGCTGAGCTAGACCGACCCGTGCGGGAGGTCGGCTTTGCAGGGATCGTCCACGTGCGCAATGGCCCATCTCGGAACTGCCGACGGCGGGCCACCCAGAGAATGTCCTCGTCGCCACTCGAGTCCCGCTCCTCGTCGCTTTCGTCCATAGCACGGACCGGATACATTGTCATGGTCAAGACCAGCTTCCGCGATCTTCCATCCTCGCACATCACTCGTTATCTGCATGTGATCGCCTATACAGGCAGCTCCCCTGCCTCCGAGTTCACGGCTACCTGATTCGCCTTGGATACTGAGTAGCCCTGAAACTGGATCCATCGCGGATGGGTCCCTGCCGCTACGAGTCCCGCTACGAAATTGACCAGACAGCTGCCGGATTAGTCCGCGATGCCCTCGCGGTCTCGCCACGCGATTCGTCTTTGCCCGCGACACCAGATCCACCTTGCCATCTTGGTTACGAGCAGACCTTATTATTAAGAGCATCCGCTACGTACGGTACCTAACTTCATGGAATAATACTGCAGCGTTCCATTTTTCTCGAGGTGGTCTGACCGGGCCGAAGCTTTCTTTTGTATCACGTGATCTCGGCGTACGGCGACAAGCGCATTTGCTGGGCACCCCGTCTGAAGACCACAGAATCTCGCCGCCCTCCTCAAGCCCCTCAGATTAGTGAGTACACCGTCTAGCTGCGTTATACTTGTAGCCTGCGTCACAACGAGCAGAATGATGTCCATATTGCCGCGGAAAAACCGGAATCACAGTTGGATGGATTCGGCCATACTTGGATACACCTACTGCCGTGCCTGCACCAGCCGGTCTCTCCTGCACTTTCTGCCTACGCTCGCTTGACACTTGGAGGCTGGCGCTAATTCCGAGTTTGTAGACCGCCATGGTCAAGGTCCTCATTGTCAAGAAGCGCACGAAGCCTTTCAAGTACGCCTTTCTGTCCCGCGGATAGTGAATCGTGAAATCGATCGTATAACGTATTGCAGGCGCCACCAGTCGGACCGTTACAAGAGCGTGAAGGAGGCATGGCGGAAACCGAAGGGTATTGACAATCGGGTACGGCGTCGGTTCAAGGGGCAGCTGCCCATGCCCAAGGTGCGTTTTGGTGCCATATCTGTCCATTCACCATCTCATCATCTTTGTGCAGATTGGTTACGGTAGCAACAAGAAGGTGCGCTTTACTCTTTTAAAAGCGAGCTAATCAGCCTTCAAACAAAATTCACAGACTCGCCACCTGCTGCCCAACGGCCTGAAGAAGTTCCTGGTCAGCAACGTGCGAGAAGTTGACCTTCTTTTGATGCACAACAAAAGCTTCGCGGCTGAGATCGCTCACAACGTCAGTAGCCGTAACCGTACATCAATCCTCGAGAGGTTCGCTCTATCATTAACTCAGCTTGTATCACGATTGACCATCTCTCTAATCAGGGCGAAGGCTTTGGGTGTGAAGGTCACGAACCCTGCTGCTCGTCTGCGGTCAGAGGAGTAGTTGGCCGTCGTTCTGCATTTGTTTCGTTTACTTTTTTGCACGTCTCTCGCCATGTAATTTCTCTATCGTATTCGACGGCAATAAGCTGTATGCTTAGGGCGACAGTATTAGATGTGTCTCTTCACACCTAGACACTGACATCCTGCTGTGGACTCAGTCGGACGGGTAGTTGTTATCTGAGATCTCAATGATCTTGAGGATTAGCCTGATCATCTTCCGGTCACCACGTGTATGTAGCGGCCTCTTCTGAGCGCGAGTCCGTATCTGCTTCCTTCATAATACTACCGCCATCATCCATCCCCGCTGTTATGGCTGTCAGGTATGCATCCTTTGAATGCAACGTAACGACGCTCTGAGTGAAGACCGGCATGCAGACGAGCTACACACGCCGACTCATGGTACGTCGGTAATGGTGTGTGATCGAAGGTAATAGGAAGACTGCTCGCTGCGCTCAACTGATCGTCAGGGCGAAAACTCGAATCTGAGCTATCCGAGTACTTGAGCAATGTACAAGGCAGTCCTGAGAGGGAGTACATACCTCCGATCAAGGGCTGCAAAGCGATCATCGCTCCGTATGTCTACTATCGCAATACGGTTGTGCACATATTGAACCTCTCCTCGGTAGTCATGCAGGATATTCGTATTCTGGTCAAGCAGCGGCGTGGGCGTATAAGAGCATTGATATGACAGGAATGTACGTCACTTCCCACCTATGCCCATGCCAATGTCGCATTGACGAGTTGATAGCAAGCGCGTATTCATCCTGGGACCTTCGCACCACGTCTATCTTGACGGATGCGCTTTATCGGGGTGTAAGGAGTATGAGACTCCCTTGGGTACCTTGCCTCTAGATCAGGACAGTGAGTTGTCGCCGGGCCTTTTCGGGCTCAGGCAACTCATTTGCCACAGTTATCAAGGAATTGCGCGACTCTGGGCAGTTTACCGTGATGGATATACAGACCGATGAAGATGAGCATAGTATAGAGATGCATCTCCCGTACGTCCGGAAGATCTTCGAAGGGTGAGTGCCAAGCTCGCCTGTGCTGAGGCGCATATTGACTGGCCGGTATGGCATTTGACGCGATGGTTTGGTAGAATGGAGATTGTAATCGTCCCAATATTGGTTGGTGCCATCAACTACGGCGCAGAAGCTAGGTTTGGTGCTCTTCTGGCCCCATATCTGGCGAGAGAGGACACATTCTGTGTCATTTCCAGCGACTTCTGCCACTGGTGAGTTATGTCACTATGACTCTGGTTCCGTTTTGTTGAATACAAAGCAGGGGCACCCGTTTCCAGTACACATATTACTATCCGAAACCTCCTCCTAGTTCCGTTCCCGCAATTCGTCTATCCAAGGCATCGCCCTCTCCTCCCGCCCTCTCCACTTATCCGATACATGCGTCAACATCGGCTCTGGATCATGAAGCCATGGAGATCCTTACAATACCACCGTTCACTGCATCACAATCTCACCATGATTTCGCCGAATATCTCGCTAGAACGAAGAACACGATCTGTGGAAGGCATCCGATCGGGGTGTTGTTGGGAGCGTTGACAACGCTGCAGAAGGAAGGCAAGGTCCCGAAGCTCCAGTGGGTAAGGTACGAACAGAGCAGCAAGTGTTTGACAATCAAAGACTCGAGCGTCAGCTACGCCAGTGCATACGTCACATTCTAGCTGTTTGGGTATGCGACCGGATGCTTCTAGAGTATGTACGAACAGTGTTGTTAGCCAGCGCAATGAGAAGGAATGATAATCTATGTTGGATGCACTCTCCAGCACATGTTAGAGGAGCTCTACATTCTCGACGTCGCATCCGGAAGACAGAGGCCTACAGGTTCGTCGAATTCGTGCTCAGATCCTGGTTGCCCGGGATCGGTGATGACCTATAGGTATCTTGTCAGAGAAACGCGCAAAGAATTAATTTGCGAGTCAATCGACCTTTCCACCGGCAATCACAATGTCCTCAAACCCCCAATCTCGAGAGGCACCTTCTTTCAGGTGACTGCCGTCGGCCAACCGCTTGGGTCTCCAGTGCCCAACGGGTGGTTCATTCTGGGTCGAGCAGACCTCGGTCAAGGAGCAGCATCCCACCCTCAGAGGCATGCTTCGGTCACCAAGTAATTCCCTCGCGAGCGCGATGATTGTCGCTGCGTGGCTGATCAATAGGATTCGCTTATGCTTGCCCCCAAACTTCCGTTGAATCTCGGGTATCAAGGCTTGAAGAAGACCATTGCAGCGATCATGACACTGCTCCACGTCTTCCCCTTTCCTGGATGGGTACCACACTGACGACCACGAGTCGTCAATTTTGGGAAAATGGCCTCGAAGAGTTGCAGCGTTGGCGGGACGTGGATGCAGTCCAGTACCTGGAGTAACCGGGGAATACCACTCGGATAGTCCTTGTCGTGGAACATATAAGGAAAGCTGGAGGACGTCAAACACCACACTAACAATACGCACCATGTTCTACGTATATTGGCACATCAAGAGCAACCGACGTCGGGCGGCAAGTTTGCAGACAGCGATCTGTCGGAGCGTTTTCAGTGTAGTTCTGAATGTAGTGAAACATGTAAAAGAGACCTACAATATGGTGACGAAAAAATGGCTGTGGCCCGCTCTTCGGGAGGAAGCGACAGGAAGAAATCAGCCAGTTCATGGGCTTGCGTCAAACCGTATGCAGCGAGTGGCGGATCGCGGGGCAGGCCTCATTACATGTATCATGAAAATATCAGTGACCATGTCGGTTCTCCAGCGAAGCTGGCACTTGCACCTGTTGCAGACGCCCTATGAACGTGAGCATGTTGTCAAGAATGATCTTCGTACAATACGGTGTGGGCGATGTCGCAAAGCTCGAACGCACCAGTCATTGGTCACCCAGTTCAGCCGGAATCCTAGACGATGCCTAGTTTGAGTAAGATAACACTTTGTTGGTCAGTTTTATCGTCCTACCATGGCGGGCGATATATATCGTCTCAATCATGACGACCACGGTTGATCAGAGGCAAGCTATACTCAAAGAGACGCGAGCGCGACCACCCGCGTTTCCGGGTACTTGTACAAAGCGCGTGCGCCGATATCAACGGATATAGGTATCAACGGACATAGGGCACAGAACTCAGACCAAATTCTGGAGAGTTTGATAAGACCTCTCATTAACATTGCTCGGGCACATGTTGAAGGCGGCCAGTCACGTACAATAACCCACAAACGTAAGTTAAAGATCATGTCATGGATTTCGTATACGTTGGGGGATGTCGACGTCAGTAATCACAACCAGCAGCAAAGGACAGATACAGGAGGCAAACGAGACAAAACAGAGGGACATACACGACACAGTGATGCAACGAAGTGCTGAGATGTACGCAAACTGACGAGAAGATAGGGATGGAGACGCGCAATGATCTGCGTTGCATTGCGATTTTGATGCTGGCGCTGGGCTGTTGAACATCACGGTCCATTTCATCACCGCGAAACGAGAATCGACCGTCGATAACGAGATCATTCAAGCCAGGGAAGGGAAAGCTGCTTGGTCATCGACGTCGACGACGGCAGCTGCCCCGTTGCCGTTCGCCCGTCCTCGTCCGCCACGGCCACGGCCACGGCCACCCCTGTCGCCTCTGTCACCTCTATCGCCGCCGCGGCCACGACCGCCGCGGGCAGGACGCTCAAAACGAGCATCAATCTCGAGGTACACCTTCTCCTCCTTCTTGGGACGAGCCTTGTGGCCAGTAGCCTTGGACTGTCAAAGGTATAATCACTGAGAATTTCGGTCTGCACTGTTTTGAACAATGATTACGCACCTTGCCTACGAAGTAGGCGCTCTCCTCTTCGTCCTTCTTGTTGACGACGACCGCATCCTTCCAGATCGAATCGTCGCCTTCATTCGCCTTACGAGTCTCGAGCTTAGGGACAAGATCCAGCTCCTTCTCCCTCTGCTGCCTGAGATACTCGTCCAGCGTCAGGGTGTTGTCCTCCTCTTCAACCTCCCTGTCGCGGCCTCTCCTACCCTCGCCTGCTTTCTCTGGTTCAGGTGCAGCGACCTCTTCAGTGACGGCGGGAGCCTCGCCCCAATTATCATTGGTGGGAGCGGCCCAGGCATCAGCATCGGCAGGAGGGCTGAAAGCTTCTGCGGCGGCATCGGTCTCCGCGGCAGTCTCGACCTTGAGTTCGGCCTCGCCTTCGTCAGCGCCCCAGCCCTGGTGCACTTGCTTCTCCGTGTCGCTGATTGGTAATATCAGGTATCCATCATACGGATGAAGGCGAGAGCATCGTACATTTTGCCAGTCTGGCTGTGCTTGTCGAACTGACGTCCACGGCCGCCTCGGGCGCCGCGATCCCCACGACCCCGCCCACGTCCGCGACCACGACCTTCTCCCTCGACTAATACGTGCCAAACGAGGGCAAGCACGGAGTAGACACATAGAGTTCCGCGTCAATGGAATGATGAATCGATTAGACGACGCGCAGAACGGATGGACCAAGCATACTGACACTTCCGCCTGGGTGTTTCCCCTTCAACAGGAGCCTCCTGAGTCTGCTCTTGGCCCTCGCGAGGAGCAGCCTTGCCACCTCGCGGATAATAGCGTCCACCGCGCGAAGCAGGACCTCCACGGCCTCTCTGGGCACCACGAGCGGCGGCCGCAGGAGCGGGAGCGGCCTTAGGGGGTGCAGGAGTGTTCACGGGACTGGAGGGCCGTGAATTATCCTGGTCTGCTGTGTTGGAGCAAGCGTTAACGGTCCGGTAGCGTTTGAACAAACGAGTGGCAGTGCAACAAGAAGAACAGATAAAGTATAGTTGTCAATTGCAAAGCGAGCGGTAGCCACCGACATGAAACTGACCTTCCAGGAGGGCAAAAGGATTTTTGCTGGCCACCGACATTGTGGGCGGGGCCTTTTTGCGGTCAAACAGGTGGTTAGCTTCCCTGGTCGGCACACAGACTTGTCGAGCAGATCGGCGGGCGCTGGTGAAAGGGTAGGCTTGACCTGCAAACGAGATTGTTGGACCCCGATGCATCATCTGGGGTCCTCGCAAGCCACTGTACAGTTCTTCGGAGGTACAAAAGCGCCCGCCTGGAACACGCGTACGCCTAACGCTTAAAGCACAGGTGAGTCTCGTTCGTCGTACGTAGCGATGTGCTCATCGTTCATGACATGTTTTGCAGCCCTCAAAAGCATCTCGATGATGATTCGCCCGCCATCTTGGACTGGTGTGAGTCGAGGACCTTGAGACCGTCTCAAAGGGCTGGAGATCAAGAAGACCGTATGGTTGCGAACGATGGGACTTGGGTGCGGCGCATTCGTGCTTCAATGATGGGGCTCATGTCTTAGCAGTCGGCCCTTCGTGGCCGCTGTATGGGTTGCGTCGCAATGTCTCGTTGTACATTCTCTTTCATTTTGCGTCAATCAAACCCGTCTGGTTCTCTCTCATCTGGAACGATTGTCGGTCATATGTCCATATCAGCCGGACGTACGCGGATATCTGAACTAATAAACAGGCCGCGCCTGATCGTACGCGCACACGGCTTCGAGTTCTTTGGCACTCGTTATACCTTGCGATGTGAATGCATGCATGCAGACGGCCTTTGAATTGAGTGTCCAACACCGTCCGAGTATCCCCGGGAGCACGCAGGATTTCTAGCCGAAGCCGGCATCGTCTACGCCGTCTACGCATGAGCCTTCACAAATGCCCTCCTGCGCCCACTGTACAAGGGTGCGTTCGAAAGCAGGCCCACCGCAGAACAATACTGTACCCTTTCGACCATAGGTTCATGGGATGTGACGCGTGACGCTTTGAACTGGGCCGGACCTAGTTCAAAACTCGCTGTGACCTGGGACAAAAGTTCAGTTCACTTCAGGCGCTTAATTGTGCGGGAGAAAAGAGTCCGGAACGGTGTGACCTTTGAACCGACCCTTAGTTCAGACCGGCCGGTGACGCGTGACATTTGAACTGAAAGGCCAGTTCAAGGGTGGGTGTGACCGTGACTGAACCTACAGTATGGTGGCTTGTGCTCATGACCACAAGGACGTGACCGTGTGCTCCGCGGGTGCCACCTACGGCAGATGTCGATGAACCCTCGACGCGTTCTGCATTCCACTCGCCCCTTTCCTCACCTCTACACTCGTCTTCTGCCATGGCCTCTCGACGACTTGCTATCTCTTCGTTACTATGCGCCGATGATCAGCCCAATTATCCTCCGCCGTCCGGGTATGCCCAACGCCATTCTGCGTCGCCACTCTCACCCTCACATACCTCGGCACCGTCCAGTCTCCAGCCTGTCACTCCGGCTGAGGAGTTGATTGGTGACCGCCCGAAGGGCACGTTGGATGTTACCTCTGCGTCGATCGCTAGTCATGAGAGCCCCAGCCGCGACGTCGTCCCTTTGTCACTACAACCAGTGCAACTCAGGAGACATACTCCCCCTTCCGATGACGAGGCGAGGCTTTCTCGACTACAACCGCGTACGGACCACGACCCTCACGTTCCTAAACACATCGAAGGCTCAACAGATGCTGTCAGGCGGTCATCTCCTATACCTCATCACTACGAGCTTTCAAGCTATCATAGCCGGGGACCCCACCCGCTGGCCGAGGAGTCGAGCCATGACTTCGCCGGTCATCCACCCGAGTTGTCCCATGACCTCTTTGCGAAAAGTGCTTCACACGGCAACTCGCATCCTTCCGCACGACCGTCATCTTCCCGGAGTACACAGTCGGATTCACTGTCCCATCCTCACTCCTACGCAAAGCCAAGTCCTTACCTGCGAGCGTCGCACTCTCCCTCGCACTCCTCGCCGTCTTCGTATAGTCTGCCTCTGCCTCAGCGCCAGAGCTCACATTCCCCTGTGCTCTCTGTTCGCGCTTCACCTGTCAACTACTTCCAGCCCGTAGGCCAGACACACTCCATATACGCTGGCGTTACATCACACCATCAGTCCGGGTCGTCTTCCATCCGCAGTCCCGTGCTTACAGGCCCCGGTATGTCCCCAAGCCATTTTTCAAGTCAGCAACTAGAACCAGTTAGGACGCTTCAGACACATTCCACCCACCAAATGATTCCTCAGCTCGTGGATCAAAGCTTTGGTGTACGCACTGCGCTGGCCTCAACACCGAAGGTAGCGACAGCTGCGTCGCCGACGACACGGTCGGGAGAGGGTTTGGCTGGATTGGAGGCACTCGCGCAGGTTGCAACTGAAGAACGCAGCAGGTTGAGCGGAGAAGCAACGAGCTCGAATCAGGTCGGAGGACGAATCAGCCCAGTCATAAGCAGGAGTCCAGTGTCCGCGCGGACCGTGACACAATCTCCAGTCATCCCGCAGCCAGAACTCAAGTCATCATCGCCAACTTCCTCGCGTGAGGCTCTTGACCTGTGCGGACACAGCTTAAGCGTCACAACAGAGGAATTGTCATCCACTTCTGACATTCCTTGTACGGACGGGGAGCCCCCTCGGAAGAAACATAGAAAGTCTGGCGCATACAGTCCCCGCTCTTCTGCTGTAGAACTATCACCGGTTGTGCTTTGCGAACCTGTTGTCCCTTTGATGGACAACCCACTCCCCGTCTCGTCTCCCAGTGCCCTGCGCAGTGCAGGAGGACCTCTGAAGCAGAATACTGGCATTCACAGTGGTCGACTCGGTGGCCATCTCGTGACCGAGACTTCAACGGGTCGCGCGACGTTTGTGGACGACCCATCCGTAGGTGAGGAACATCCACATCAGGCGGCAATTCCTTTACCGTCGGACGGTGGGCGTGATAACAATGTCACTGGTAGTCATGAGGCTCAAGAGAAGAAAGAAAAGAAGAGACGTGAGAGGCCGCCACCAAGGACGGCTGCGCATTCCGCATCGAAGGATCATGGGAAGCGCGTCACCGTTCATGAGGAGAACGCATCCCGTGAGGAGGATCCCCATGATTGGCTCCTCGAGCAGTATTCCGCTGCATCACCTTCAGGAACGACCGCGCAAGTCACTCGCACTGACGAACAGACATCTCAGTTACATTCTTCGCATGGCGCCAGCGGTGCAATGGATGAGCTTGCGATGCGTCATAGCTCAGGAAGGGATGCGTCTCGTTCCCCCGATAAACCAATGAGGAACCCAACTAGGACACCGACACCCTCGGCTCTCCTTGAGGAGGAGTTAGATGAAATCATTCATTCGCATCAGCCAAGTAGGAATGATGTGGCGCGCGATGTTGACATGGAGTTCGATGTTGCTGCCAGTGTCTCCTCCGCTCATGCCAAAGAGATGGATGATCTGATGGACATCGATGTCGATAATGAGCTTCTGAGTCTTCTGGACGACCAGCCACATGAATCGTACTCGTCGCGTCACAAACGCTCTCAACAGATTTATAAGCGGTCGAAGTCCTCACATTCGAGCAGTGCGGTGATCGTCGCATATCCAGACCGCTTGTTTCCTGACGGGCTTTCTGCCGATGATCGCGATTCTATGCCGCCTCCTGCATCGCCAAGCAAAGACGAATCGAAAGGTACTTTCGAAAGCATGAGTGCGGCCCCAACCCACAAGAAGAAGGATGCTTTACTGAAGGTGAGACCGTATGCTTATGGCCATCGAATGCAGACTTTATGTTGGCTTACATCTTCCTCAGCCTGCGCCGAAGTCCAAGGCACCACCGAAGTCGAAGGAAAAGTCGACGACCAAGGCAAAGCCAAAGAACAATAAAGATGCTGTGGGGACTGCTGTACCTGGGTATCTCGCTCCGTCGGTGTCCACAACCTCGTTGAAGAGCAAGAAGACTCCAGGTCCAAGTAATGCAGGGGTCAAGCGGACTGGTTCTTATGCTGCGGGGCCGTCTCGCTCGCGATCCACGTCGATCATGCCAGGTGGCTCTGTGGGACCCGACACCGACAATAAGGGCCAGTCAAATGAAGTAGAAGAGAAGGACTCAGAGCGGGACGATAAGCTGTATTGTATCTGTAAAACCGGCTATGACGAAGACAGGGTCATGATTGCGTGTGATAGGTACGTGCTCACGTATCTTCATGGGCTTCACTGTGCTCAGCGTATATCGTTTATGCAGATGCGATGAATGGTATCACACCCAGTGTGTCAACATGCCTGACCTGGAAGTAGACCTCGTTGACCAATTCATTTGCCCCATTTGCGTGGAAAGTTCGTGAGAGTGCTCCTGCTCCCAGGTCTGTGAGCTAACGAAATTACCGCATAACAGACAACCCTGGCCTGAATCTCAAAACGACCTACAAGCGTCGTTGCTTGTACGGCCTTGAGCATCCGGATCCGACCTCCGCAAGTGCATGCCATAAGCCCGCCCGGGGCATATTCTCTAAATTCTGTTCCGATGAATGCGGCATTCTGTGTATGCAGTCTCGTATGAATGGCTGGCAAGGGGATAAACACAGATTGTGGGAGAGCGTAAAGGAGTCGCAAAAGCGCGAGGGTGTTGTGGTGCGCGTCCTAGATGACACATGTGCCAGGACGAAGCCAGACCGTAGAGGGCAAGACAAGAGCCCGAGGGACCAGGATCTTTCGTTGGAAGTCGTGCAAGCTTCTGTCATGAAGGGCGAACGTGAAATCGCCCGTCTTCATGGTCAATTGCATAAGATTGCCAAGAGGCGGGATGAGCTGAAGAAGGACATGGAAGTGGTGCTATGGCGAGAGAAGTTGGTACGATTGGCAAGCGAGCGCGCAGACGGTCTAGACGAATGTGGCTGGGATCAGCGTCTTTGTTTCGACGAGGAAGAGTATGCCGAGTTTGGAGCTGATGCCTTGGACAGTTACAAAGAAGCTGTTCGGAGGGCCGATGAAGATGACGCAGATGCAATAGCCCATGACAATATGCAAGCAGAGCACGGAGAATGGTGGTGTAAGGGGAAGAAGAAGTGCGATCGACACGCAGGGTGGGCTATTTCTTTCGTGCTGACGAGCATTGATCAGGACTCACATCCACCAGATGGCAAAAAATGCGGCTCGCTGAGATTGAATATGAACGTGAGGTCCAGGAGAAAGCGCTATCAAGGCTCACGGCTGAAGAACGTGAGATACGGAAGAAGATAGAAGATGGTATGGACGTAGGGGCGCGAGGAGCCCAGATGGCTTCTCCCACGACTCCTTTGCAGCCTCTGAACGGTGCGGCCACCGTCAATGGGCATCCTCAAGTGCAGACAAATGGCGATGCTGTCAAGAAGGGCAAGAAAAAGAAACATTAAGCTACCGTCTTGCTGCCTGCGTCTGATTCCCTTGTGCATGCATCATTGTTCGTGTACCATCAAGTCAGCTTAAAGATGTACAGATGATGATTCAATGTGCGCTCTGTTACTGTAGCCAGAATTAATATTATGGAGGGAAAGGCAGCGCAATACGAAAATGAAGATGGCTCTGGCGTAATGAATCTGCCAACATTGAGCCCATCTCTGTAAGAGTACGAGAAAGGTCTGGAGATATGTTACTCGGATACTCAGTATCCGTCTCCTTCACCGCCCTCCTTGCAGAAGCCTTTCTGCTCAAACAAGACCTGAGCCTTGAGTTCTTCTCGCTTCTTTTTGGCCGCAACTTCTTGTCTGTGGTAAGGCTCCAGCTCTTCCCATGCTACCTGCCGCAGCGGCACGTCGTCTTCTTGATCCAGGTCCTGCGATCAGAGGGATGAAGAGATGTCTTGCCAATCGTCATGCATATACGTACGACCTCACCCAGCAACACAACATTCTCGCCACGAATAAGGAACAGTCCTCTCCATACTTCGGCGAAGACGTCTTCGCAGTATATTCGCTCCATTGTGTCCTCCAGCACAAGGTTGGCTATATTCAATGAGGTTCCAGAGGTATTGAATCCCATAGCAAGCGCGATTTACGCACCAAATTGGTCGTATGAGCGCAAAACGCCCTGAAGTTTCCTACCATCTCTGAGCACCACTAGCATCTTCCCTAACCCACGCCAATACCACATGGACCAAGGAGTGGGATCACGAACTCAGGATGGGGAGCTGGCCTCGAGTCTACTTGAGACAAACGTACTGTCGACGCAATCCACTAGGGATCCTGACGTTGTGAACGGAATCAATGAATCCATTGCAATTGGAGGAACCGCAACAAGCCACAAGGTTAGCGGCCAGAATGAAGACGAGTCGCTGGCGATGGCGATGGGGGAAGCGCTCAGTGACTACAAAGACAAAGGCAAACATCCCATTGGCTGGGGCAACTCCGACGCGACTTTTGGACCGAAAAGGAATTCACGCCCCTGTGATTATTTATTATTTATTGTTTAATTTAGTAATGTAGCTGTGGTGCGTAGATGATTTATGTGTCAACATTATTAGGTCAATTCAGATTATTGGATGTCGATAATAAATTAGTTATCCCAACTGATACTCATGTTAGATTAATAGTTACCGCCGGTGATCATGCCAGATTAACATGTTTGATAGCTTTAGACTATTGCTAAAGCTGATATGGCCGAGTCGTTAAGGCGAGTGATTTGAATTAAATTCAAACCTATCACTTGGGAATTCCCGCGTAGGTTCAAATCCTGCTGTCAGCGAAATGTTTGCATTTTTTAGTGTTATAAATGTTGAAACAGTTTGAGATTTTTGATGCTGATCATTGTACAGGCTCCTCTGGATGATGGGGACCAATCTGATGGGAGGCCACATCCTGATGATGTGCAAATGCTCAATACCTAAATCTGCCAAGATCTCAAAATCTTAAGAAAAGTCCTGCAGTGCAGTTGATGTTTTCACTGTGTGAACTGGCACGGGGTTCACAGCCATGCTATGACTTGGCGTGTTCTTCTCCAAGTGCAGGGCATTGTCTTATATGATAGGGATGTGGTCACACCACACAGGACAGTGAGATGTGCCTCCTGGTCTTAACTTCGTTCCTCGAAGCAGGCATCATGAGCGATACTGCTCGATTCACTACTGATACACACTGAGGTATTCTGCAATTGAAAAATGGCAGCAAATGTGCCCAGCCTTCATGCTATCAGATAATGAGTCACGATGATCTGGAGGAGTCTAGAATGGACAAAGAAGAGTCTGCAGACAGCGTAAAGGGGTCAGAATGCAGCACATGAGGCATGAAAATGATATGAGGGCTGATAGACAGTGTTACTGATTGTGAGATGCAGCATGAGAACAGAAGAGGATGAGTTTGACAATATGAAAATGAAAGAGCACACTAAGTGAGCGAAGCATAGGGCTGTGGGCCAATGGACCCTGGCAGTATTTTGACTTCCAGTTCTTCAACTGTAGAGGATGGAGAGGGAGCAGATAGTGTCTGCAACATGTTTCAGTAGATCAGAAACATATTCTATGATCAGAAACTCATTCTACCACCCTCAAAGATGCAGTTTCGACTACTATATAATTCAATCTGTATATAGAACTAAAAGAAGAGAACTTCCTACTCATCAGATTTCATCTCTACATTTTCTTCTTGCTAGGATAATGTGCATGACTATGTCTAAGACAGCTATGATTATGCACTACGTCTCTAGAGCTCTTGATATTGGGAGGGCAGCACTCTTGATAGTGACCTCTAGCTCAACTCGAGAAGCACTCAGATACTGTAAGTCATGTTACCACATTCTGTATCTCACATCATGTATCACAAGCTCCAGAATCAGGATTTCATTTTCATCAGACACTGCAGCCTTATCAGTGCCCAAACCTAGCCCATAGTGCTGAGGAGTAATCAGTAGATGCTCAGAGATAGCAGGAAGCACTTGGAGCTTCTTTGCAAGTGCTCAGAAGTTGTAGAGAGCACGTGGGCCTGCTCAGTAGCCACCTAGGAGTTCATTGAGGTGCCCGAACTGTCTTTCAAGCATAGCAAGTCATCATTGTAATCAAAGCCCTCAGATGCCTCAGCTTTCACCATGTCACAGTGCATTATAGATTCTGCCAAAAGGCAAGGAAATGGCTGCAAGGTGCTAGCCGCGCTCAGTGACCTGCACAAAAACCAAAGTAAGGACCTGCCACAAGGGGGCTAGGTCAAAAAGGCATGCAGTGACATGCAGCCTACAAAAAGGGGCTCAAAGGGCCCATAGCCTTATGTCACACAAAGAGGGGGTGAAGGCTTCTTAGGCTGCATGAAATAGATGAATGAAACTGGGGATATCCAGCTTCCTCATGGGTACTTATATACATATAGGGCAGGGCCCCTGGCACTGTGCTACTGTGAGACCTTAGATACCTACATGTGAACATATTGTCAGAACCAGTAATGGTTCTGGACTTCGCCATGACAACTATCTAGAAATGGCCGTGGTCCATCCAATGAGATAATTGCTGAAAAGTGGTGCCACTATGTGAGTGGCTGAAGTGGTGCCACTTATTGAGTGGCCAATGGGGGTTCTGCCATAGCACATATTCTAATGCTGGTACTACTATTTGGCAGTGAATTGGGTGCTTGCTAGCTTGATGGTCCAATGAGCACAGGTAAGCCTATTGTGGGCCAAAGAGTTCCATTCTGAGCAAGTGGCCCAGTGTCACGTGATCAACACCTGATAACTTCTGGATAGGGTAAGTGGCCAGTGTCACATGACTGGGTGGCTGAATCATGGGCGCTTGATGGTCATGTGGTAGACACAGTCATATCCACAATGTATGTGGCAGTATTGTGCTGTTTGTCCAAGTATCCACTTTGTGAAACCAATATGAAGGTTGGTGTCCGAATAACCACTTGTGGTTGCCGAATGATGACTTTAATGGTGCAAAAAGAAAGGTGCCACCTAATACTGTGACACACCAATCAAGTTGTTGATTTTCACACATACACACACATCCATTCATCTAGCTTTCAACTTAGTCAGAGTTGAAGGTGCTACCCTAGTCACACCCACTACTCACTGATCTGTTTTGAGCCAAAAGCTGAACAAGTTGCAGCCACCCATCATTTGCATTATCATTTGAAGCTCCTGTGACCACTCTGGCCCACCTTACACTTGGATAGGAGGTTACTCATGGCCAGGACATGGTTGAGCATATCATTTCTAGAGCCCACCATGACAGATGAAAGAGAATTTAAATTTTCACAGCATGAATCATCTGCATTATGATTGAAAACTGAAGAGGGAGTTCAGTATCTCCTTGAAACAGATCAGACTCACAACAATAGGTGAAACAATAGAAGAGGAGGTCTTTTCATCACTCAATCAGTGACTCAGGTAACTTCACGAGTTTTAGAGGCTCAGATTTGAGCAAGCAGAAGAAGGCTGACCCCACTTAGCCAATTTCCAGCACCTCTGACATTTGAAACATATTCTTCAGCTTTGTGACCTCGATCACCAGCTTCAGCTGCCTATTTATCACTCAGTTCACTTACTCCACTCTTGCACCATTCTTCAGAGTCTTTGACAGTATCTTCAGAGTCTTCGACAGTAAAAACTTAGTCAGAACACATCTCTGATGCTTCATCACAAGGAATCTCACTTAAAACCCTTCTAGATGAGCTAGAAGCTGCTCTTGCAGTTAAACAACTTTGAATTCAGCCCAGACATCAGCTTAAACACTTAATCTGCTTACTATCATATGCACAGTCATCATGGAATTAGTCATAACAAACCAGATGCTGTTCTGAGGGGATCGACCAGCACTCACCTTAAATCTCAATTAGCCAAGAATCCTTTTCTGATTCTTCAATGATTTCGAGATCCTCTTACACATTTCCAGGTAACAAATGAAGTGGAGAAGAAGCTACAAGTGAAATGCTATTTCAATATAGACATTGCTGATCTTGTTGAATCGCTTTCAGAATATTCTGACCAGGCAAAGACATATCTCAACTTGAGACAAGCTATTCAGGAGCTGTATCCTAGAGCAGACACTGAGCAGAAATGGGAGGTTAGAGATATGGATCTCTTAGTTGGAGAGCATGCCTGACTCAGAATTCAGATAATCATGGAGCTAGGAAACTACCATCAGAAGTTTCTGGCCATAATCTTCTTTCTCATTGGAAAGAACTGCATATCTGAGTTGGAACATAAACACTCACTTGTCTGAGGGTTCCAGCCAGAGTTGTGAAATCAGATTTCACAGACCTACAGTTAAAACAGCTGAATTACTATCCAGATGACCCCTATCCAGTAAATGATGTCTATGAGGCAGCAAAGTTCATGTTGCATGGCATTAGCATGGGGCAACTGACTATAAAGATGACCACAATGACTGCAACTAGCAGCACTCCTATGATCAAGGCTGAGGATATTTTCCTGCTCATAGAAAGTTAAATCAAGTCAGTACAGATGCTTATGGCAGCTGTGACTGGAGGAGTTGTAAAGCAGAATGGTGGTCAGGCAGTGAGTGCGAGCAAGCCACCCATTGCAAATGAAAATGTGAGCAAATTTTGTCACTACTGCAGAGAAGCCAGAGCCATGATTGGAACATGCAAACATGTTGAGGAGAACATAAAAAGTGATAAGTGTATGTGAAACACAGCTGGAAAAGTAGTCCTATCCAACAGAATGCTCAAACTGCATAACATTTCAGGTATCACAATTTGCGATCACATTTACAAGTGGCATAGATGCAACCAGACTTCGGTCATAGCATCAGTCTCAGCAGTAAACCTATTTGAGGTCCCACCAGACAAAGCCAGTTCATTTTCACTAGAAGCAGAGGATAGGATTGAGGCATTAGAGTGCAAATTGTATAACCTCAAGTGATTGAGGGCTGAGGCCAGCCTTCGATGGAGTTCACATTTCACCTAAATGATCAGCAGGATCAGCCATGAAGCCAGCACAGTCTGAGAAAACATTTGAGTCACAGAAGCCTCAGTTGAAGCCAGAGAAGGCTGCTGAGAGCATGCCTAGTGCATCTACTCCAGCAGTTGCAGATACTGTGCCAGAGCATCCATTGGAATCAGCATAAGATGTGCTTTACATTTCACTCAACACACACAATTTTGGTCAAGTGAAACCAGGAGCACAAGATGCAGCCTATCGTAAGCACCACCAGTCTACCAGCCAGAGCTCACAAATACAGTCTTCAAGCAGTTGATGAAGTCATCAGCTGTGACATTGTCAATGGAGGAATTGCTTTCAATATCACCTGATGTATTAAACAAGTATTGAGAGGCTTGTACCCTGAAGTGCACAGTGCCTTTGAGTGCAGCTGGAATGGCCATGATTTTAAAAACATAGAAGAAGGAGTATCTATGATTGAACAGGAAGAGGAGTTCACCTGTTGAGAAGAGCCACTAGCAGTCATGGGCTCAATTATACCTGATCCTTATGATGAATATTTGAAGCACATTGATATGCTCAACCACATCCTGGCCATGAGCAGCTCTCCTAACCAAGTGGAAGGTGGACCAAAGCTCTCCATCTGCAGTCTTCTTGGACTACAATCACAGGAAACTTCAGATGATAATGCAGCAATAGGTGACCATGAGTCATTCAGCTTTGGTACTTGAAACAGATGCTCACAACTGATCAGTGAGTGATGGGTATGACTATGGTGATGCCTCTGACTCTGATGAAGTCAAAAGCTAGAGGGTGAGGGTGCGTGTGTTGGAATATGATTGACAACTTGAGACTGTGAGTGCTGATGTGGCTGGAGTGTGAGCTATGATGAGTACCTAGTATATCTGGAAGACAGCAGCTAAGCACTGACAATGAGCCCTTGGGCATTTCCTGACTGAGACAAGTGCTGACGATGAGCCCCTGAGCATCTCCTAACTGGGACAAGCACCAAAGATGAACCCCTGAGCACTTGTAAGGAAACCTGAGTGCTCCTGCTATCCCTGGGCATCTACCTGCTACTCTCTACTGCTACAGGATAAGTCTGGGTGCTAGTGAGGCTATGAGGTCTGATGGAGATGGGATCCTGGTTCGAGTCTCATGATACATGGTGTGAGATGTGGAACACGATGATGTGACTTATCTAACAATTTTCTGAGTTGAGCTAGAGACCACTGTCAAGAAGTGCTGCCCCTTTTGATATCGAGAGCCTTAGAGATGCAAAACATAGTCGCAACTGGCATAGACATAGTCAGGCATGATGCTCTAGTGAGAATGAGATGAGAACTGAGAACTGCTGAGCGGGAAAAACTTCTCTGTTGATTCTATGTATAGGATAGATTATATAGTCAGTCAGAAATGTGTCTTCTAGAGTGGTCGAACATGTTTCTGATTCAGTAAAACTTGTCGCAAAATGCCTCCTGCCCTCTATCCATACTCTGCAGTCAGAGAATCAGAAGTCACACTCTGCCAGGGTCTGTCAGTCTGCAATCCTGTACTTCTCTTAATTAGCATGCTTGCTCATTCCCAAGTTACCTAACTCATCATTTTCTGCTCTCATGCTGCATCTCGTAATTGGCAAGGCTTTCCAACAGCCTGTTCATCATTTTCACACCTCATGTTCTGCCTTAGACCTCTTCATGCTATCCTTCATTCCTAGACAGTGAGCAGAGCTCTCTTTGTCTGTTTTGGACTTTTTCAGCTTGCAGGTTAACTCCTCCAGATCACGGTGACTTGTTATCTGATAGCATGAGAACCAGACATGTTTTCTGCCATTTTCTGATCACAGAATATCTCAGTGCATATCACCTCTCCCATTCTGGAATCTGGACCATCCCTGGTCCATTGTGCATTCATATATCAAATAGGTCGACCTTGCACTTTGACCCTCAGTCCTCCATCACCATGTCCGATCATGTCGACAGTACAGTATCTTCAGCCTTGCCACTCACTCTCATGATGTTTACCCTGTAAATGCTTCTCTGATGAGCACCTGTCCAACTGCTGCATTGCTTAGATGATCTCATAGTCTCTTCACCTGCATTGGACACTCCTGAGGCAGTCTGACAAACCTGAGCCACCTCATTCTTGGCCTATGAGTTGAGTAACCAAGTTGCGACCTTTCAGAGGCTTGTTGACATAGTCAATTCGCAGTCCTGACTAATGCACAATTATTTAAGGCTTGTCACACCTTTGCTTCACTAGGTTGGATCAGTCTATGACTGGCTGTTACTGTGTGTGAGCCTCGAGTATAGCTGGCTTGTATTTACATATCATTCCTTTCTTTGTGTGCCTGGAGGAGTATCTGGTTTTTCCTCAAGAAGGCCAGCCCTTTCCACACTCCTGCCAAGCTGATTCTGATCATGCAAGAGATCATCGATGCCTCTGATCATGGTGACTTCAACAAGTGTCCCCTTGATCATGTTTACACCTGCAATCAGTTCCTCATCACCTATGTAGACAATGACTTGTTTGTCGATCAGCATAATCGTACATGTCTTGGTTGAACATACCTGATCAAGTTCTGGTGGAAGGCACACAATTTGAAGCACACTCCAGCTTCCTCTGCTGCATCTGTGATGATCTCTGAGGTCATACAAGACATCATCAAGCATGAGGTGGAGTTCTCTGGAGTCACTCTCAAGGTTCCATTGTGTTTGGCCTCTGTGAAGACTACTATCTGATCACTGGTAGTTTCTGAGGTGCCCAATATGGTGATGCTGCATGAGTACTATTCCACCATTTGTTCTTTTTTCAAGAGCATGCAAGCCACATGATTGAGCTTTGAGAAGCTGTGGCCTCACACGATGATAGGCGTGTGTGCTTCTGATCATATATTCCTTGCTAACTTTCACCTGCTAGTGCTTTAAGTGCCTGCTGAAGAGGAGTGCATGATCATGCCCTCTGATTGCAATGAACGGTCATGTTCACAGCGATTACATCATATTGGCTGCAAATTAAAGTGATGTTGGACCAGAAATGGAGAGCCACATTGCACTGATGACCCATGATGCCAACTTGCATGCAGCACCATCAGCAGAGGATAATATGGAGAAGGAGGCCAACTCCTTATCATTGGAAGAAGATGATGTAGTAGACATTGATGTTTCAGATTTGCATGGGGAGATGAACATGGATGGCAGTGTACGCTTTATTCAAACCTCTCATATCATATGTGAGTATCTGTACTATCAGTTGAGACCAGTTTGATAAATCTTACATGAACAAAACAGCCAGGAACTGCACACTGAATGGCTTGAGCTAAAGTTATGCATGGTGATGCCAAACAAACCACAAGTGTACCACTGTTCATCAAATGCATGTAATAAAATGTAAGCTTAGCCTAGGTTCTCGAGAGAAAAAATACAACCTTCCTCACTGATTGGATGACAGGGCAAGCAGCATCAAGGCTATCCAGAATCACTGTTTGCAAGAAATTTGTCCTGCTCACCAGCAATTTCATGCATTGACGAATCAGCATGACTGTGCTTGAGAGAGAAGAAAAAAATGCTTATCAGGAATATAGTGCAAAGTGCAAGTGAATGGCAGCAGGAAGTGGTAAGTGGATCTCATTCCATGATCACACATTCTTATGCCCTGCAATAGATGATATTGATAAAGATGAGGAATCTTACTCTACAAATGTGCTGCAGTCATTGTCAACAAAGCAACAATGTGTACAAAATGGCAATGATGATTATAGATCTGCTAGCTCAGATGTGCTTGGCATGTATGGCATAATCTTGGACCTTGAAAATGCAGGAGCATTCGTTGAGCAAGTTAAACATGTAAGTCGTAAAATGTTCTCAGTTGCATAATGCCACTTATCATGTCGTGCAGAGTGGTTTGAATGCACCAGTTGATGATGGCTCTTTCATTCAAGGCATGCAAATTATTATAGAGCTAATGGGTGCATCGATGGATGAGAGCAAGGTTCACGACAAGAAATAGAGGTCAGTTGGGCCAGAGCAATATTATCAGTATGGTTTGTGAAACAACATTGTTACAAACTGTATGTGGCCATCATGGAAACATCAAATTTGATGTGTTATATCCATACATTGTGTGACATGCTCTGTGAGATACTTAAAGAAGACACACACAGTGTAAGAAGGAATACAACTTTCATTGTCATACATGTTTATGATGATCACATACATGGATGTGAATTGTACATGGTCAATCTGCAGAATAAGCATTTCTGAAGGTCTGGCATTGAGAAATCATGAGATATAATTATATATGATTTGTCTGCCCAGGCTTCAATGATGTTAAAGAGTGCATGTTCATAGATCAGTTGCAAGAGACTGAGGATGGAAATGTCTCTGATGTCATTGACATCAATAGCATCAGGATCAGGCATGGTTAGAAGCCAGGAGCTACATAGTCAAGAATATGTGAAAATAATTTAGTCCACCCATGAACAAGAGTCATACAGTAGCATTCCAGATTGGATCAAGGAGAACTGCAGAATCAAACTAAAAAAGTAGTCGAGAGAATAGCATAATATGTTATGTAGGCCAACTCACTATATCATACATCTTGAGAAGGCAGTTGTGAGCAGTGACTGTATGTGCATTGTTCTGTTTCCATTTTTTGTACTCACAATTCATGGTCTTCATCTAGGTGCCAGCTGCAGTTTCAGAGAGGCCAGCAAACCATGAGACATATGTAGGATCACTTTGAAATGTCATGCTGAAAAGCTGGCTGATTCACAGTTTGCCTTTAGGTTGAGATGCATGATGGTGTCAGTCAATTGCAAACTTGATGGCTTCCACTTTGGCAAGGACACTGAGAACATAGTTTTCAGTAGCGACACCAAGCTGCAATGCTGTGATGGCCTGTGTGTAAAATGAGATTAGCAAAATGCAGATGAATGCAACTGATCAATAGGTGCACAGCATGATGACATTGCAGGTGATGTGTGACATTTTGCAAGCTATCATAATCTTGAGATGCCTCATACAATCTTAAAACACTGGTGTGCAGCTGGCATAGGGATGCAAGAGCTCAATCTGATGAGGGAGGATGATATAGCTATGCACATGCTTCATGTGACCACATAGCCATTCATCTGGTGTTGCAATGTCACAATCACACAAGAGTTGGCCAAGTGCAGTGTCTTCAATGACCATGCATGTTCCAGTGAAAGGCACAAAAATGGATAAAATGAGGTCTGGAGGTGATAAGGGTGTCACATACAGGTCATTGAGGACCATCTATGCCCTGATCACAAGTTGGGCATTCTTGAAGACACCCAGCATAGATGATGATATCAATAATATATAGAGGGGCCAGCGATCATTGACACCAAGAACCTCAGCAGAAGCTTCATTGTGTGTGACATTGTCATATGCAGACTCATGGTTAATGTAAAGATTACTGATATCTTTGTTGCAGGTGTAATTGCTGCTCTGGACTGCATAGGGTCAGATTGACTGGCAGAGCCATTTCAGGCTTGCAGCATCATATCAGTCATATAGAGAATGTTGCTAATGCACTCATGAACTTGGACAGCCAAGTCTCATGTGTCTGAGGCTCAGGTGGCATTGTTTAAGAGAGGCTCTATGGCATCAAGATGCTGAAGTATGGCATGAAGTGACATGATGGTATTGATCAGAGGGATCTGATGCTGTGTGATTCAGAGTGAGCAACAAAAATGTGCATATATCAAGGTTTCTTTTGTGAATTTTTCGCTGAGACAAAACTTGGTGAAACAACAGTGTGATATGACAAAGGCAGTCACACAATGTAGAATTGTTATATGTCTTTAATAGCAAGCAGTCTGATGGATTGGCAGATAGTGATGTATGCATTACATAAAGAGAAAACAACAAAGTTAGAGTCAAAAGGCCAGGTGATGCCATGCTGGTTATGGCATGTTGTCCAGGGTAGGTGCAGTGGCATAATCAACAGAAATGAGCTTACAAGAAAGAGCCTCAGCTGCAGCAGAATCACAAAGCTTCTTGTCAAGATGAAGAGCCCCAGGCTTTTCAGCCAGAGGTTAGAGCAGGCCTGGGTGAGCTCAAAAGATTATTTGAGGAGAACAGGGTAGTGCTGAAGGAAGAGCTGCATGGCAGATTTGAGGATGTGAGGGCTGTGGATGGTGTAAGTAATTGCATGGGTATGGCCAATAATCCATACCCTGGAGTGGTGGTGGTGATGGCCTCGCCCTTGTCCTTGCCTTGTGCTTGCCCTTTTGCTTTAAAAGAGGTTCAGCACTAGAAGAGTTTGCTGCAATGCTGGGGGTTATGCCATTGATGGGAGCCTTATCTGCGAGTGGCTCAGCAAAGTGTTGAGTGAGGTGCTCAGCAGTGATGCAGTGTTTCTGTCACGGTTTTACCTGACAGGTGATTAAAAGGAACAAATGCTATTAAGAAGCCAATCATTTTTTCGTCATTTCTCGTTGCACTAGAAGTCACGTGACCTAATGAGATAAGATAACGAGGCATCCAGTCACATGACCTCAGATCTCTCTCGGCATTGTCACGTGACACCGAACTCCTCGGCATGGCGTCACATGTCGCAATCGCTATGACGCCATATTGCGTGCTCAAGAGGAGCTCCGTCTCCGCGGGTTATTATTAGGCAACCAATCAGGATAATTGGGACATGTCGTACGATTGCAGCACTGACCAGTAGGATAGCGTGTGACTCGCTTAGGTAGTACTGTACAGTAGCATAGCAACCATGTATATAAGGACCAGCGAGACGAGGAGAAGACCTCAGTCTTATTCTCCTTCGTCCACCACTACCATCACAGAGGGGTCTTACCAGACACTCTCAGTGTGCTATACATTTTATTGCATCCTCACTTGTGTGATAGCGCCTCTAGCCTCGCCAGTAAGTCTTGCTCTGCGAACAGCTACTAGGCCTCGTCAGTGGGCACGTCGTATCGCCACAGTTCGTCACTGTTGGCTCTTAGCCAGGAGGCCCTCAAGGGGACTCTATATTTGGTTGTCTATCTTTGTCATCGGCGTGCCGTGACATTAGAATAAGACTGACCTTTTACGCCCCTACCAAGTGTCTAACACTGGTAGCCGCGCATTTTCGCCCAGAGATACATCCGCCCAGGGCAGGGCTCTTTCCACACCACTTCCCTCATACACTTCCTCCGCGTCTCTACCGCCTAAGCTGCTTCCTTCCTTCAAAAGGAACAGCGCTGCAGCGACCGGCAAAGCGCCTCAAGTACACAACGGTATCGTTCCACCCAACGGACGCTATCACCCGTACCAACGCGATCCGTGTCGCACGCACCGTCTAACCCAGGGGAATCTCATCCAAGCAAAGCCCCCACAAGCCAGCTCACAAGGCATCACAGCCGAGCGTCGCCAACAGGAGCGCAAGGTTAGCCTCTGGCTCGAAGACATTCCAAAAGACGCGCTTACCCCGTTCATTCCTCTCCAACCTCCTCACCCCTACGCTACATTCCCCGCCATTGACGTCCTCAACTTCGCACTCTCAAAGAGTTACCATCCTCGAGGAATCCACGAGAATCCCAAAGGCACTCTCTCCGAGAATATCGCGCCGACTGTATACGCTACTATTCAGCGATACAAAGTCCTGCAGCAGCCTCACATCGCTGCCAAGTTCACGGAAGAGCAGTTGAAGTGCCGAGATCGAATTCTTCGACACCTATCCGTCATAAACGAGCACATAGGGGCCGGGCACGATTTCACCTTCGTCGATAGGCGCATCGCTATTAAGCTTTGCGTAGGATTAGGAAAGATTTCCTTCAAGGGAATCAATAAGGAACAGGAGCGCGTAGGCAAAGAGATAGTGAAGTTTGAGAAGGAGTCGTGCTACTGGCCTTATTAGGACCAGTAATATCTCTATACTATCGTATCAAGCAAGTTGTATGCCCCGATACCAAATCGCTTTCGTATTCAGAAACTACGTGGTCGAACATCGCATAACCGACCATTACCACCATCTTGTGTGTACGGGCTACTTCATCTATCAACCCCTACTATCAGAGCGATCCATCCCACTCTATCATCATCCGGTTGACATCGAACGACGAGTCACCCTATACACACCCTTCCGACTCATCGAGACTGACATTGAAATCATCGACCCAGTCCGCGAGTGGATAGAAAACCGTTACTGGGAACGTCTTGCTCGGTTATATCAGGAAGACGAAGAACTCTTCTGGGTAAACTGGTATGGAGACTTTCCAGAACAAATACACCCTCGCCCTGCAAGGCTTGAAGAAGCCGCGGCACGAAGGAACCGGATCATCGAACTAGCACAATTACCGGGAGCAAATAATACATCCCAGTAAAATCATCATTTCGGACGCGTCCTCATTTCCGCTATCTTCAACCACAATACCAATGTCGCAATATGATCTTGGAGGTGTTGCGTTCCCAGGAGGACACACCGTTAGTGAACCCACAGATCCCTGGAGGAGCAATGCTCCCTCAACATCATCTGAAGCAGGACCAGCTGCCCCTGCTGAAGAACCACACAACAGCAGCACACCCAAGGCGTCGGGAGTAGTCAGAAACCCGTCGCCCACTACCCTGCCAGCATTCGCCACACCTCAAACTTGGGAATGGCAGGGAGTTCCTTACGCAACCATCGAGGAGGCCGCCAATGCCGCCGCACCAAACACCATTTCAAACGACGTTAAGGAATGGGTAATGAATGTGGTGCGATCGTTCGTTATGAGAGACGTCGTAAGCTCGTATGAAGCCTTACGACAAAAAATGGACGAACGACACGAGCGCACCGTGGCTGCGTTAGAAGAGGAAGTACTGGCCCGCATCCACGTCGGGATAATGGCGGTGGAAACGCGAGACCAGCTGAGGACTGCAAGAGCCCAAATCGGCACCCTCTTCGCCGACAATGAACGGCTCATCAAGTCCAATAATAGTCTGACAGACGAAGCCCAAGCAATCCGCAAGGACTTCGAAGATTACAAGGATGAAGTAAAGGGTCAGATGGACGCCCTTTACGGCAACATGGTCGCCCTGAAGGAGGCTCAGGAAAAGACCACTACTTACATCGTTGGCTTAGAGTCTCGACTCAACAATGCAATTATCAATGCGCCCTCCACAGGTATCCAACAACCGGCCGGCCAAACCAATCAATCGCCCCGACGAATCAAGCTTCCCGACCCCCCCAAGTATTCGGGAAGGAAGTCGTCAGAAAACTTTGAAACTTGGTTCACGAACCTGCTCATCTGGCTCGACTACAACCATTTCACAGACGACAAGGACAAAATTCGGCAAGCCAACGCACATCTGGAAGGCGGAGCTGCTCTATACATGAAAGAGTACGCAATCAAGCTCGCCTCCGGACAAGACGTCGGCACATGGGCCGAATACACTCGGAAATTGGAGATGGCATACAAGACGCTTGACCCCAAGCGCACGGCACAATCCCTGCTCGACGCCCACTGCGCAATACGCCACAAGACAATGATTGCCTTCGCGGAGAATTTCAGGGCATACGCCCCCGAATCAGGATACTCCGACGAAGATTTAATCGTCAAAATCAGGGAACAACGGTCGACCCATATCCAAATGGTCATGTCGGTAACAGAGACTTTAGATCCCTCTAAAATCCCAACTACTTGGATGGACTACCTAGAATTCTGCTTAGAAATTGAAATCAAGCATCTTCAGCAGATGACAGGAAACAAGTCTACCGGACAAAGCACGGGAACCAAGGCGGCCGCCCCTAAAGACCCTAACGCAATGGACACCAGTGCACGTATCGCCCACGAACTATCCCCGGAACAGGATAGGTGGCTGGCAAACAAACTATGTTTGTTTTGCGGAAAGCACGCCTACGAACGAGGAAAGAGATGCCCATCCCCCAAACCTGAATACAAGGGCAAACGGTTTCAGACAAGATCCGCCCCGAAGCAAGGAAAAGGAAAAGGCAAGGCGACGAACGTGCGACAGGTGGAAGAAGAAAGTAGCGCGGGCTCATCAGTTCAAATTGCGGCATTGGAACAAGCAATTGCTGCACTTCGTGGGATGAGCACAACCTCAACTACTCCACCATCCAGTAAGGGTAAGGCAAAGGCGCGGGGTGCAGACACAGAGTCTGCCATATCAACATCAACAGTCAAGGATACCAACGCGAGAATCGTCGAGATAGATGAATTCTCGGAGGATTTTCAGTACGAAGTGTAGACAAGTCTGGTGTCACACTTCAGGACAATTGTATTAGTACCGTGAAAACGAATGTACCTAGCGACCACCTATATATTGCATCCGCAGGTTTTTCTAAACATTCGATTGAATTGCCGATAAAATTCGTATCACGGGAAATCCAGACAACGGCACTATTGGATTCTGGAGCATTCTCCTGCTACATCGACCAACGATTTGCTGAGAAACACGGGTTTAAGATGATACCTCTAAACCATGAAATCCGAATCCTTAACGCAGACGCCAGCCCCAACAAGGGTGGCGCAATTACTCATCGTGTAGTCACAAGCATCTTAATCAGGGGGCACCGATCCACCGAGAGTTTGCTCGTCACCAACCTTGGACGCATGTCAATGATCCTTGGCATGAAATTTCTACAAGAGCACAACCCCCGAGTTGACTGGGAACATAGAGAGGTCACGTTCTCAAGATGCAGACACACGAAGAAGCAACGAGTCAAAGTATGCGAAGAAGAAGTCAACCTTCTATCGCAACCTCGGCTCGAAGATGAAGCAATTTTCCCTGACGTACACACGGATGACGGGTGGGATCAGGAAGATAACTTCATCAATTGGATAGACTTGCAAGACCAGGATCTTCGTAACATGGTGCACGACATCCTAGGCATAAGCAAGAAGGTAAAGGAGCATTTGGTAGAACAGCTGGCAGAAGAGACACAGGACAAAGAATATTGGTCCAAATTCGTCCCTCCAGAATTTCATCAATTCGGAGATGTGTTCTCGAAAAAGAGCTCGGAAAGAATGCCGACGCGTAAGCCCTACGATCACGCAATCGATCTTGTCCCAGACGCGGCAACCCCGAGACCGGCAAAAGTATATCCTATGTCTTTACGAGAGAAGAATTCGCTCGACGAATGGATTGACGGCGAACAAGCCAAAGGCTACATTCGGCCGTCCAAATCCCCTTACGCCGCTCCGGTATTTTTCGTTAAAAAGAAAGATGGGTCTCTTAGACTAGTTCAAGACTACAGGGCGTTAAACAGTGTCACCAAGAAGAACAAATTTCCACTCCCCCGAATCAACGATCTCATTGACGGACTCTCAAGGGCTAGCATATTTACTACCCTAGACCTGAGATGGGGGTACAATAACGTACGCCTCCGCAAGGGAGATGAGGAAAAAGCAGCGTTCATTACCCATAGAGGGTTATTTGAACCCACTGTTATGTACTTCGGATTCTGTAATGCCCCTAGCACTTTCCAGGCCATGATGAACGACATTTTAGGCGATCTCATTCGCACTGGAAAGGTGGCAGTCTATATAGATGACATCATCATCTTTACGGATAATCAGGAGGAACATGACCGCCTGACCAAAGAAGTCCTACAACGACTCCGAGACAACGACCTGTTCGTAAAACCAGAAAAGTGTCACTTTGCGACCACTTTCGTCAAGTTTCTCGGACTTATAATCTCAAAAGGGTCGATACAGATGGACTCAGAGAAGGTCGACGGCGTGCTCAAATGGCCGGTGCCCACCAAAGTAAAGCAAGTACAAGCATTCCTTGGTCTGGCGAATTTCTATCGACGATTCATCAAGGATTTCGGATCGATGACCCGACCCTTGACTCTATTAACATGTAAGGACGCACAATGGAAATGGGAAGAACCTCAACAAAAGGCATTTGAGGCCCTCAAGACTGCATTCACCTCCGCCCCGATTTTAGCGCTCCCCAACGCAATCCGCCCCTTTAGATTAGAAACGGATGCCTCGGACTTTGCCACAGGTGCAGTCCTTGAACAGTTGGGAGAAGATGAGCTCTGGCATCCAGTCGCATATTACTCTAAATCGCTCAATGAACATGAACGAAACTATGAGATTTACGACAAAGAGATGCTCGCTATCATAAGGGCCTTGGAAGAATATCGGCAGTACTTCGAAGGACACCCTCATCCCGTTGAGATATGGTCGGATCACCTGAATCTTACCTATTTCCGACAAGCTCAAACATTGACCAGACGACAAGCTCGTTGGTCACTTTACCTTACTCGATTTAACTTCATTCTCCGTCACCGCCCCGGAAAGACGATGATGCGTGCCGATCCTCTGTCCAGGAGGCCAGATCATGAGAAGGGGGTGAGCAATGACAATTCTGGGCAAACTTTGCTTCGACTCGAATACTTTGCCATCCATGCGATCTCAACCACTCATTCCTCCGAAGTTGACGATGCAAAACTTCTTGAAAGAGTGAAATCGGCACTACAAGACGATGAAATGACAAAAGGTTACCAGCACCTACTAAAAACTGGCAAGCGAGAGTTTGGAAAAGACCTCCAGGAGTGGAACTTCGAACACGGATTGCTGTTACGAAGAGGAAAGGTCTATGTTCCGAAAGACTCTACGCTGCGGAATGAGCTGATTAAATTACATCACGACATCTCCACCGCCGGACACGCCGGAAGATGGAAAACGCAAGAATTGATCAGCAGGAATTATTGGTGGCCAGGGCTCACCATTGATGTTAAGAAGTACGTCCAAGGCTGTGTGGCTTGTCAAAGAAACAAGACGAGCAAACAAAGGCCATATGGACTACTACAACCTAATCCAGTACCACAAGGGCCTTGGGAAGTGGTTACCTGTGACCTGATTACACAGCTACCGCCAAGCCCAGACCACAGGGGAGAAAAGAAGACTGCCATTCTGGTAGTCGTCGACCGATTTACCAAACATGCCCACTACTATGCAGTGGATGACACGGTGACAGCATCGCAAGTAGCGTCGATTTTCTACAATGAAGTTTTCAAACTCCATGGAATTCCCAGGCAGATCATATCTGATCGAGGCACCCAGTTCTCAGCCAAATTATTCCAGGAGTTTTGTCAGAAACTTCACATTAAATCAACGATGTCTACGGCTTATCACCCTGAAATGGATGGACAGACCGAACGAGTTAATCAGATTCTGGAGCAATATCTGCGTATGTACTGCAACTATCGACAAACTGACTGGGCCACATTATTACCCACGGCGGAATTTGCATACAACAATCAAGCCTCAGAATCAACAGGTCTATCACCGTTCTTCATAGAGCATGGCCGACACCCCCGCATGGCACCCGACGTATTGGAAGGGATACAACATTCATCCCTGGAACACTTATTCCATAACCGCGACCAAGCACAGGAGCAAGCACGTGCCGCTCTGTCATTAGCAGCAGAACGTATGAAATGGTATTTCGATCTTAAGAAGCAGGACGTCCCTTTCAAAGTAGGAGACGAAGTGCTTATTCGAGGAAAAGATCTCCACGTAAGAGTCAAAAGTCAGAAGCTGGCGACTCAAAACTATGGACCCTTTAAGATCCTCGAAAAGATCGGGACCGTATCGTTCAAACTGCAGTTACCAGCGGACATGAAGATACACCCTGTGTTTCACGCTTCAAAGCTAATTATGTTCCATCAAGACTCGATTCCAGGACGCAAACCTCCCCCCAACCCTCCAGTCATCATAGACGGGGAGGAAGAATGGGACGTAGAGGACATCCTTGATTCGAGAATCAGGTATAACAAAACCCAGTACCTCGTTAAGTGGTTAGACTATGACCACAGCGATAATACTTGGGAACCACTGGAAAACCTCACGAATGTCAAAGAGAAAGTAGAGGAGTTCCACAAGACACACCCAGAGGCTCCAAGAGCGAAGCCGCGAACGTACAAAGCACACAAAATCGCTCTGTCTGACCACCCTGACGAGTTCATGTTCTTCTTCCGCCTGCATCCAAATGCCCGAGCCCCCTACAAGGGATCTAGTGAAGCTGTAGGATGGGATGTCAAGTCTGTACAAGACCTAAGCATCCCTCCACATTCCAGAATGCTCGTCGGCACCGGGTTGGCGGTCGACCCCCCAAAATGGACATACATTCGAGTAGCTCCCCGAAGTGGGCTAGCCCTCAAAGGAATCGATGTCGCAGCAGGGGTAGTAGACCCAGACTACACAGGGGAGATCAAGGTTCTGCTGGTAAACACGACCAACGAATCATTCGAGGTCCAGACAGGCGATCGTATCGCCCAGTTCATATGCGAACGTTACGCCCCAGGAATTATTTCGGAGGCGGACAGTTCACTCGCAAAACGAACAATACGAGGCGCCAGAGGCTTTGGCTCATCGGGACGATGAACCTTGAGAAGGGGGTGATGTCACGGTTTTACCTGACAGGTGATTAAAAGGAACAAATGCTATTAAGAAGCCAATCATTTTTTCGTCATTTCTCGTTGCACTAGAAGTCAC